ACGAACCGGCCCGTCCGAACCTCGACATGGCAAGACTCTCATCGCTCTCAATCTGTACAACTCGGAAGACGTCATCCCTACCCTCTCGCACGCACTCCTCACCGTCACCTCTTTCCTCGACCCGTCGACCGTCCACGTCTCGATCTTTGAGAACGGCTCGACGGACAAGACGACCCTCGCACTCGCACACCTCGCAGCGGCACTCACCGCCCTCGGCGCATCGCATACCATCCTTTCCGACCCGCGCAAAACGAACTGGAAGGCGGTCGACCGGATAGCCCAGCTCGCGGTCTATCGGAACGTCGTCCTCGCTCCTCTCGAGCACGAAGAAGGGTTCGACGACGTCGTCTTCATCAACGACGTGTTTGTCTGCCCGAGCGATATCCTCGAACTTGTGTTCCAGCGAAAGGAGCAGGAGGCAGATGCGGCGTGCGCGACGGACTGGATTGCGAACAAGGGCTGGGCGAGTAGGTTGAACCCGGACGTGCGTTTCTACGATAGCTGGGTGCGTCGCGCTCCTCCCTTGCCCTCTTATCCCTTTCGAAGCGACTAGCCGCTGATCGCGAGCTGCGTCACGTTGCAGGTCTCGCGCTCCCTGTCCGGCGAGACGTTCCGCCGCCAAGAAGACTTCCTCGCGACGCTTCGAAAGGGCGTGAACGTCTTGTTCGACCAGCCGGGTGAGGAGCGGTACAAGGCGAGGTGGGACAAGGGGTTGCCGGTTCCAGTCTGTGCGTTCCGTTCTGCGTTTCTCTCCGTTTTGCACGACCGTTATCGACGTCTGTTTTGACGCGCGCAGACTCGTGCTGGAACGGCCTCCTCGCTCTAGACGCCCGGCCCCTCACCTCAACATCCATCTCAGCCCGCTACGACCCCTCATCCTCCCTCCCCCCCTTAACCCGCAAGTCCTGGTCGCGGGAACCTCCGATCGCCGCCACCAAACCTGCACGCTTCCGATCGGCGCTGAACAACCCGGGCGAATGCGCAGCAAGCGAGTGCAAGCTGATTGCGAAGGACTTTTGGTCCAGAGGGTTTGATCGGTGGTTGGTGCGTCCTCACTCCTTCCTCTCTCTGCTCTTTCGAACCCGAGCTGACAGGTCTGTCAGCGCAGATCGTCCCCTCCGTCCGCGTGACCTACTCCGAACCCGTCTACTCCAACCCCGCCCTGCTCTCCCTCTCCTCCCTTCACCCCCCTTCCCCCGCCTCGACTCTGGACGCCGACGAACGCATCGACTGGCTGTCGTATACCCCGCCTGAAGAGGTGGTTTGTTGGGCTTGGACGCCCGGGCCGCATGTGGATTTCGAGTGGGCCAGGGCGGTGTGGGAGAGGCCTTATGAGACTGTCGCGAAGGTCCTTTCGCGCGGGTGAACGACCGTCCCCTCCGTACCTCTCCTCTCGAATTCAGCTTCTCCGCCTCGTTCCGCTTCTTTACGATAAACCCTCTTCCCTCTCTCCCGCGCGCATCTCCCTCGCATGACACTCTCCCCTCACCTGTTGTACGAGATTCACCTCAACAGACACTCACTACTATAGTGCTTCCCGCATCGACTCGCCCGCCTCCTTCCGAGGGGCTGTAATCGCATCTTGTTCCTCGCTTGTCTCCTGGCTGCGAGTGGTCCGATGCGTGAGAGGGAGAACGTCGGGACAGAGGGAAGAGCGACGAGCGACGAGCGAGCGAGGACGACCAACGCCGACGACAAGTCATTGCTTTCAACTCTCGGCGCTTCCCACTCGCTCTCCCGCCACGAACGCACGAACGAGTCGAAACAAAGGTAGAATAACAGAACAGAAAGCTCCTCGGCCAAAAGAAGCGTTGGTAGGGGGTGTGGAAAGGGCAAGTCGGAGTCGAGAAATGTTTTTGTGGGTTTTTTTCTCTTGAGGGGAAGGGGAGACGAGCCGTTACGTGGTGGTTTCGGGTGGTAGGGTTACAAGCGACGAAGCGAAGAAAGGGGATCGACGAAGGCGTTCGAGAGGGGGAGGTGAGGGGCGAAGGTTGGTCGCTCAGACGGGGCGAAGGTTGGTCGCTCAGATCTCCATGCCGAGAAGGAGGTACTCGTCGTTGGGGACACCAGTCTCGTCATAGTTGCTGACGACCGTGCAACCGATGTACAAGAGCTGGTGGACGAGCGCTCCGAGGTCCTCGGCGCCATCCTTCCTGAGCGCAAGAACGACACTCTGGCATCCGTACTCCTCTTCGGCGCGGTCGATAACGTCGACGACGCTGTCGCGCAACTCAACGTCCTCATACCGCCCGCCGCCGACGTACAGCGTGCGCGTGCCGGTGAGGGGGTTGTCGAGGATGCAGCCCGACCAGCCTGAACCGAGGAGGTCATCGACCTTGACGTCGAACGACGGGAGGTCGTGGATCGAGGCGTGGGCGGGGAAGATGGCGTCGAGGAGGGAGGAGGACGGTCCGCCGTCGAGAGTCGGGGCAGAGCGCCCGGCGAGGTCGAGCGGGGAGAACGAGAGCTCGCTCGCGGGCGACGAGAGGAGGGCGGGCGCGGCGACCGACTTGGTGTTGGCGGCGGTCGCGTAGCGCGTGATGAGGAGCGAGTCGGACGGCGAGGTGGACGCGGCCGACAGGGGAGGCGAAGGGGGGAAGATGGTCGAGTAGGCGGGGGGAGGGGTCGAGTCGTCGATCGGGATGAAGGGGGCCGAGGAGCGCGATACAGATGAAAGGGAAAGGGAAACGGAAGAAATCTGCAGGTCGTCTCTCACACGAACTGCGAGCGTCACCGGGTCAGCTTGTTCGGTCCTGGGGAGCGGGTCGCGTGAGCGCACCTTGCAGGCCCTGCGGGGTTGCCGCGGCGCCGGGACTACGGCTCTTGATAGCGGTGTCAGGGCCGCCGTCCGAACGCTGCGAGGAAAGGGAAGCGGGAGCGAGGTCAGCGTATGCGGACATCTCGCCAAGAGGAACGACGGGAGACTCACGGTCGCCCAGGGCGCTCGCCGAGAAGAGCTCTACAGTCTTGAAAGTAGCGGTGGGTGCGACGCCGTTGCCAGCGCCGCAGCTGTTTGAGGGAGCAAGGCGAGACGAGCGCGACGGAACGAGGCAAGGACGGCGATCAGCTCGAGCTCCGGGACGAGAGGGCGACAACGACGGCACGGGGAGGGGAGCGGGGACGCACCAGAGATTCGACGGTTTCTTATTATTCGATGAATCCATGGCTAGCTGTCCTCCAGCGGGTGTGTGTGCGTGTGGCGTGGGCGTGTGAGGGTGGCCGACTGGGGACCGTGGGAGGCTTCCGTCAAGCTGCGCGCGCGCGTGTGCCGTGTCAGCGTGCTCTGTGGGTGTCTGTGGCTTGTCTGCACCGACTCACAAGCAGCGAAAGGTCGAGATGCGAGAGTGAAGGAGCGTGAGAGCGCGAGTCGACCGAGGGCGACGAAGTCGATGGCCTCAGCTGGCTCCCCTCGACCACCAGCTGACCCACTGGCGGGGTCACAGTGCTTCTGCCTTTATTCACACCCATACTGAGCCACCAGACGACCCACTCGAGGCATTGCGAGGCGAGGAGGGCCGACCCACGTTCCCCTTGGCTTCCCTCAACTCGCTCAGACTGCTTGTTCGACAGGCTGACAATTCAAGTGAGTACTCTACAATGCTTTAGAGCCATTCTCAATGTTACTTTGTGCGGATGCGAGCGAGGTGCTTTGGACTCCGCCAGATCCGCTCTCTTCGCCTCGACACTCGCTGGCCATGCTCGCTCCTCGGCTCGCTGGTGCACAGGCTGCACGGCAGTCGCTCAAGTGCACCTGCAGGGCGGCGTACACGACTCGGGCGGCCCTCGCACGCCCTGGTCCCGCTTCTCTCACCTCGTCTCCTCTCCCCCGCTTCGACGCTCCTTCCGCACGACCCACTCCTCGCTCCTTCGCCCGTGCGTACTCGGCGAGAACGACACCGACGGACCCGATCGTCGTCGAAGGCAACACCTACCCGCGAGACGCCTTCTCGAATGTCACGCCGACCATTCTCTCGAAACTCCCTCGACGACTGCATCTCTCCCCCTCACACCCGATCGGGATCCTCCGCACCCTGATCGAGTCGCACTTTGCCTCCTTCAAGCACCTCAACTCCCTCTCGCCCATCGTCACCGTCCAGCAGAACTTTGACGACCTCGGTTTCCCCGCCGACCATCCCGGCCGCGCCTTGACAGACTCGTACTACCTGAACCAGACGCACATGTTGCGCACGCACACGTCCGCACACGAAGTCGAGTCGTTCCGCAGCGGACTCGAACAGTTCCTCTTGACGGCGGACGTTTACCGCCGAGACGAGATTGACCGGAGCCACTATCCCGTCTTTCACCAGATGGAAGGGTGCAGCGTCTTTGATCCGGCGACGGGGGCGATCGAGCGGCTCGAGAAGGAGAATGCCGAGATGCGCGCCGCGTTGAAGGCGGCCAACATCGTCATCGAGGACGAGACGGGCGAAGAGACGGCTACGAACCCCTACCAGGCGGAACACGACCCTCGTGTTGCGCGCGTCATCGCCGAGCACTTGAAAAACAACCTCAACGGGCTCGTGTTGAAGTTATTTGGCGGACGGGCGAGTCAGGGAGGTGAGCCGCTCAGGGTTCGCTGGATCGAGGCGACGTTTCCCTGGACGGCGCCGAGCTACGAGGTCGAGGTCATGTTCAACGGCAAGTGGTTGGAGATCCTCGGGTGCGGAGTGGTCAGGCAGACGGCGTTGGAGCGCTCAGGTGAGCTACAGTCGGCACTGATGGGTGTTTCGCGACTCCTTCCCGCTGCCGCTCTTTGCGCGATTCGTACTGTAGCTCACGCTTTCTCGCTCACAGGCGTCGGGCACAAGCAAGGCTGGGCGTTCGGACTCGGGCTCGAGCGCATCGCCATGGTCCTCTTCTCGATTCCCGACATCCGTCTCTTCTGGTCCGAAGACGCGCGCTTCCTCTCGCAGTTCCGCGAGAACGAGATTTCGACTTTCAAGCCTTACTCAAAGTATCCCGAGTGCTACAAGGACCTCACGTTTTGGGTTCCGTCGCAGGGCGAGGCGGAGAAGGCGTGGCATGAGAATGACTTTATGGAGTTGGTGAGGGACGAGGGGGGCGATCTGGTCGAGAGCGTGCAGCTGGTGCGTCCTCGCGTCCTCCCTCGTTACCCTCCTTCGCCCGACGACGAATCGTGGGGATCCCGCCCTCCCGTTAATTCACCTCGACCGCCTTGGCCCGGACTCTACGCCCCACGCTCAACATCCGCCTGTCCCACGACTGCGTACTGACACTTTCCTGCAACTCCCGCGCAGATTGACGAGTTCACGCACCCGAAGACGGGTCGCAAGTCGCGCTGCTACCGCCTCAACTACCGCTCGATGGACCGGTGCGCGCCTCTCACCTTCCTCTTGACACTCGCAGTCGACTGACGTTGTCGTCGCGCAGCTCGCTGAGCAACGAAGAGGTGAACCGGATCCAGGACCGGGTGATTGAGCGCGTTACGGGCGAGATGGGCGTCGAAGTGCGGTAGCATCCGGCGGGTCAGAAGGGTAGACGGGCCGTATTGAGCAAAGGCAGTACACCACTCTTAACAGTCTTAACGAGCAGAGAGAGAAGGAGAAGGGAATGTCGAGCGGACAGGGGAAGTCTTCGTGCCCCCGCGACGAGGAGACGACCCCCGCAGCTTCAGTTCTTGACCTCTGTCTGCTCACATCTGAGGCTGCTGCTTGCGTGCTGGATTGCTGGGACTGCTAGGACTCGCACAAAGGTCGACTCGAACCTGCAAGTCTTCCTCCCGTTCTATCAGCACGACTCGGTCCATTCCTCCCCTCGCCGTCCTCGACCTCGCCAGCAGGACCATCTGAAGGCGCTCCGAACACCTGGGGCAGACGAGTAGTCCCGGACATCAGCTTGGACGCGCTCTTCACCCCTTCACTCGCCGACACCACCGCTCGGCAGCCGGATCAACATCCTTCCCTCTCTCCGCCTTCCTCAGCCTGATCGCGCCCGACTTGGCTTGCATTCGACTGCACGAAGGGTTCTCGATACGACATGGCCACGAGCGCCTCGCCCGCCGAGAGCGCCGGAACGAGTGAGGGCGGTCCTCCAGGGTTCTTCACCTCGAACCGACCCGCAGGTACCGCCGCCTCCCGCTATCCAACCTCTCAGTCCTTCCTCCCGCCGATCCAGCCCGCGCCTGCACCGACGACGAGTAGCGGTCGAGGAGGTGCCACGCTGTTGAGCGACGAGGAAGACGAGACGGATTCGACGCCTGGCGCGACGTATGTCCCGCCTTCTGCGCAGTCGCACTCGTTCGCTCCGCCTTTGCAGCCGATTGCGCCTGCACCGCCGAGGAGCGGGTCGGTCAAACCACGCGCCGGGTCGGTCGCTTCCTCCGTGGGAACACCAGGCGGGTCGAGCAAGGGGAAGGGGAAGGCCAAGGCTGATGGGGAGAAGACGTCTGCGGGTGGGAAGAAGGCGAGCGGGAAGGGCGGGAAGAGGGGACAGCAGGTTGGGCCGGATGGGAAGCCTGTGCCGAAGAAGAAGAAGGCTGGGAGGGCGTGTGCGGCGTGTCAGAAGGCGCATTTGACGTGCGACGACGGTGCGTCGTCCTTTCTGTAATCGAACTGCGCAAGAGCGGCGGAACTGACGGCTTGAGTGGATTGCGCAGCTCGACCTTGCGCCCGTTGCGTCAAGAAGGGCTGTCCTGAAGACTGCGTTGACGGCGCGCGGAAGAAAGCCAAGTACCTGCAGGAGATTCCGGACGAGCGTGAGTTTCTGCTGGACCACTTCGCTTCGTTCGGAGGACAAGCGAGCTGACACAATCTCTTGCAGTCCTCGACCGCGGCCGGCAACATCCGCCTGGGACGGGCCCTCCAGCTGCGACGACGCCGATTCCTGCTGCCGCTCCCTCGCTACCGCAACAAACAGAGCCAAACTTCTTTCAGGGTTTGGAGCTCTCCTCGCCTAGCTGCTCGAGATCCCCTCGAGCTGACTTCCTCCGTCACCACAGGGTCGCCGACGTTCTCGACTGCAGAAGCGGGACCGTCGCAACCGATGCTGGCGGGCGTCTCGCAACCGACTCTCACGACCGAGCCCCAACCTCAACCCTTCTTCGACTTTTCCTCCGCTCCGCCCGTTCCTTCGACTTCTGCCGCAGCGACCTACGACCCCTCAAGCTTCTTCTCCTTCCCTTCCATCTCAGCCGCAACACCAACAGCGACATCGATGTCCCTTGCCAACCTCTTCAACGACTCGACCCAATTCGGATCCGAAGCAGCAGGCTTTGAGTACGCGATCCTCAACGCCATGCTAAACGGCAACGGATTTGCGACGGATACGAATACACAGCCTGCGCTGGGTGGGATCAACGGCGCGGACGAGGGGTTCAAGCAAGGGAGGGAAGACCCGATGTTGCTTGACGCGGGCGCAGCGGGCGGAGGCGCGGCAGGTCCTTCGCTCATTGATGGGGAAGGCATCGCACCGAACGGAGCGGGCAGAACCTTCGGAGACGGAATGGACGGAGCGTACGGACCTGCGAAGGTGCAGCAGCCGGGCGTTTTGACGGCCGAGGAGGCGTATCGGAGCGTCACAAAGCCGTATCCGTACGCGCAGAGCTATCACTTCCTCGTCAAGCATCTCAAGGAGCGGTGCGTTGCGATCGTTCCATCTCGCTGCGAATGCCTGTCCAGGCGCCTCCCACGGGAGGGCATTCATCGCGCAGTTGTGACAACTGACGCATCGTTCCACTCGACACAGGTTCGAGAAGAACGACATCCTCCGCATCATCCGCGCGCTGGCGACGTTCCGACCCAGTCTCATCGCCCTGCAGATGCCGCTGACGGAGGAAGACGAGGCGTGTCCACTCACTCTACTCTGCCTCCCGCATTCCTGCTGACGATATGATCTTGTTGCAGACCTTCGTCGAGCGCACCTTTCAGCGCACCCTCGTCGAGCTCAACAAGCTCATCTCGTTCTCTGGCACGCCCACGGTCGTCTGGCGCAGGACGGGCGAGATCTGTCTCGTCGGGACGGAGTTCTGTCTCTTGACGGGCTGGAAGAGGGAGGAGCTGGTGGGCAAGAAATACATCTTCGAGGTGCGTGGAAACGACCGGCGATGTTTTGCCTGTTTCCTTCCGGATTATCGAGTACTGACTTGACGCTGCGGGTCTTCCATGCAGCTCTTTGACACTGCCTCGGTCGTCGAGTACTACGAGTCGTTTGCCAAGCACGCCTTCGAGTCGACCGCGACGTCCATCACGATGCAGTGCGTCGTCCTCGCGCCCGATGGTCGGCCCGTCCCGTGCGCGTTCTGCTTCTCCGTTCGACGAGATCTCTTCTCGGTGTGTTCTAGCGTCGTATACTCTCGCGGAATCGTCGCTAACACCCTCTCCGATGCAGTGCCCTTTCCTTGTGATCGGCTCGTTCCTCCCCATCTTGGTCTGACCACCTCCTTGCCTGCTTCCGTCGTCTTGCGCGATCCGCACACCCCTCTGCACGCCTCCATACCTCGCTACTCGCCCAGCATACCATGTCATAGTCCCGCCTTGTCTCGATAATCCTCCTCCTCCCGCCGAATTTCCGCCTCCTCCTCGGTGCACCCGAATCCGCCTTGTCCTGTAACGATACTCGCACTCGTCTGCTTCCTCTCGGTGTGCTCGCCAGTCGCGCAGAAGAGAGTTCCGGTTGGCCACACGACTGAGTCTCCAAGAGAAGTTGCCCGTCTGGTCTCCCTCGTCCCGCCTCCTCGCTCTTTGCTCTTGCGCTGGTCGACTGAAGGCAGCAGACGACGTGCTACAGGCTTGCCAGTACTGCGCACACCCACAGTCACCCTCGTCGCGCTTGTGCAGCCGTCTTTCCTCCTCCCCCACCTCCGCACCTTCACACCTCTCGTTCGTCGCGACAACGCCTGCCGACGGCTCGCCTTCTGACGAGCAGTCTCGCACAGCGCTATGCTACGACCCATACGCGCCTTCCGCGCGCCGGTCAAGCTAGCGGTCCTCGTCGCCTCCCTCATCGCCATCTACCACTTCCTCCCGCTCATCCTCCCCGAGTCCGACTCGGACCGCGTCCTCCGCAAATTCGACCTCGACCGCGAGCGCAACAAGTGGCGGTCGGCGCACGGGCAGGACTCGCCTGAGGGAGAGAAGCGGAAGGCCAGGACGAAGGACAAGGCTGCTGCTGCGGCTTTGGCGCAGCAGTATTGGGCGCAGAAGGCGCAGGAGGGAGGGGCGAGAGAGTGGGCGCCCAAGGAAGGGGAGCGGCCGCCCAGACGACAGGGGATGGAACGACTTCGCGGCGCTGCACAACGACCGCCTCCCCCGCCTCCGCCTGCTCAACAACAGCCTCCTCCGCCTCGAGCAGCGCCTGTACAGCAACAGCAGCAGCGAAGACCGGTCGTCCCGCCGAACCCGGTTGGCGCCGCGCAGGAGGGCAACTACGAGGAGGAGCTGAAACTCGCTGAAGCGCGACGAGCGCGGCAGCGGGAGAAGCTGAAAGAGTACGACGAGCGCGTCGCAGTCGCCGAGGCGAAGGAGCGGGAAGAAGCGAAGGGCGTGCGGGTGGCGAATATCGACGGCGCACGAGCGGCGCGGCCTTTCGGTCAGAAGGCGGGCCTGCGTGTTCCCGCGGGCGTCAAAATGGTCGATGACGACGAGCTCGATGCGGCGCCGAGGGGTGCAGGAGTCGGGCGAGGAGCGGCTGTTCCGCCGAAGAAGAAGGGACCGGGACCGCTGTTGCAGGCTGGAGGAGCGGGTCGCGCTGCTGCTGCTCCAGCTGACGCAGATGCGGCCGCTGCACCAAAGGCGGCGGCAGGCGACCAATGGGGAGGGAAGGGCTGGGATCAGCGTTTCAGGAAGGCGCAGCAGGCGGCGGTTGAGGCTGAGCAGGCGAAGGAACCGATCGACGCCGAGAAGGACGACATCCAGCTTCCGCAGGCTCAACCACCTCCCGCCAAAGCCGCCAGACCTGCCGGATTGCTGAACCACCATCTCGTCCGCCGCTTCGCTTCGTTCGACTTTACTCAAGCCGGACGACCGAGTTCGACGGCGCCACTCGTCTTCGACCCGAATGTGGAGGACTCGTTCCAGGCTGGCAAGAAGCCCGCGCCAAAGGTTGCCACGAAGGACCAGGAGCGGTACAACGTGACAGTCTGCGCCATGATTCCGAACGAGAACGTGCGTTTCGCTTCTCCTCCTTGCACGAGTAAACCCTCTGACCTTTTCCTACGTAGCGCTTCCTCCACGAGTTCCTCCTCTACCACCGCCTCCTCGGCGTCGAGCAGTTCGCTCTCTACGACACCTCCCATCCCGGCGCTTTCGGTGCAGCCGAAATCGACGCTCTCGCGGACCGGATGACGGAAGAAAGCGGCAGTGGCGAGCTGAGCCCGACTGTCGAGGAGCTCAAGGCGCGCGTTGGCACGACGAACGCCGGACCGGACGGGCTGGACGAGAAGGGCGAGATTAGGGCCGAGAGGATCGCTGGGTTGGAGAGGTGGATCGATCAAGGGGCGGTCAAGCTACACTGGATGAAGTTCGGCGGTAAGTGGCGAGACTCTGACCGAGTCAGCACAGCTTACTGACGGATTCTGCGGCCGCAGACCGGAAGAGCGCTCGCGACTTCTATGACGCCATGCTCGAGCACTGCGCGAACCGCTACAGCTCGACAACCGACTGGCTCGCCGTCCTCGACGTCGACGAGTTCCTCTCCGTCACCTCTCCCGTCCTTCCGGAAGCGCCTTACTCCGCCACAGGCGCCGACGGACCGAAGGAGGACGCCGACGCCACTGCAGCCGACAACGCACTCTCCACCTGGCAATACCCGCTCCACGACCTCCTCTCCTCGCCCGCACTCGCCGACGCAGCTTGCATCCCGCTTCCCGAGCTTAACTTCCGGAACCAAGGCGTGCGGGAACTGGCGAAGGGCAAGGGAGTGCTCGAGACGCACACGCAGCGAGATGTGTTGAAGCAGGGAACGGCGGCGCTGCGAGAGAAGCGGCTGTTGCAGAAGGTATGTCTGTCGTCTATCGCTAGCAGAGTCAAGCTGACCCAACTTCGCGGCAGACCCTCATCCATACTGCCTTCTCCGACGCGCCTGCTGTCGGCTTTGCAGGACCTCACGCCTGCGAGGTCTTTGCGACCGGCGCGGTCACCTTCAACGGCGTGTCGACTGCGATCAAGGACAGTCAGGGCACGGTCTTGCAGGAAGGCGGATTGTACGAGACGCGCAAGCTTCCTGTCGAGCCGTTGTCGATCGCTCGTGCGTGCACTATCGACTTCGCTGGGAAGATATGCAGCTGACGACTTGAACGCGTGCAGACTACCAACAACGCGACCTCGTCGACTGCCTCGCCAAGATCTCGTCCGTCTCCGACCCGAACGACATTCACGCGAAAGGCAAGGGCGCAGTCGTATGCGAAGAGCACTACATTCCGACGCAAGAAGAGCTCGACTCGCCCGCCCTGTACTCGGACAAGCAGAATCGCTTCTTGCTTGCGACGCCGCCAGAGGGGAGTGTGGTGCCGGATCGACGGGTCGCGGATAGTTGGGCTGCGAGGGCGACGAGGGAGATTCAGGAGGTGTGGAGAAGGACCGATGGAGAGTCGGCGGGTCGGACGAAGGGGAGGAAGACGGAGGGAGTCGGGCATGTTGTCCCGCCGGACGTCGTCGAGCGGGCGCGCAAGAAGGTCGAGGTCATTTTCTTCCGGTCCAGCACTTGAGGATGGGCAGTTTGTACACCTAGCGCATCAGTTTCGTGGCATTCGAGCGTAAGTTATCGCATCGACGAGGGCGCGTTGAGAAGGTCGAGGAGGAGTGCGAGGGCGAGCGTCTGGTTCCGATAGCTGTGTGCGCGCGTCCTGGCCGACCTCGCTTGTGGGAAAGGGACGTCGCAAATGCACGCTCGAGCGGATCGAGGGCGTCAACGTCGACGACCACCCTCTCCTCCTCCTCCTCCTCGTCGACTCCCTCGCCTCGCCCTGCTCGACGCAGCGGAAACCTTGTCGACACGCGAGAAAGCGACCAGTGCCTCTCCTTCATTAGGAAGAGAAGGAGACTCTGCTCTGTGAACGCCCATCGCGTCGAGACGCGCACAGTCGACGAGGATCAGAAAGGTGAAGCGAGGAGGAGGAGCAAGCGGGCAAGTGTTGTGTAGCGCGCTGCAGTGACTCAGTAGACTGCCTTGTAGCACTTCGCTATTTACTTAAGCCCGAACGAAGCGTGTGACAAGAGCAGGAGAAGCTTCTCTCTCGCCAACGGTCTTCTCCTCGTCCCCTCGCATCCGCTGGGCGAGTCTGGCTAGTCCAGTCCAGCTCGGCAGCCTTCTCCTTCTCCCCTCTCGCTCGAACCAGTCACGCAGACGCGATCCCACACTCGTTTACACCCCCCTTCCTCTCCTCGTTCTCATCGCTCAATTCGGCCGACTGCACCCTCGCACGCCTCCGCCAGACACGCCGACGACCGACCTGAGCCACGCACACCATCTGCACACCGCCACGAGTCCACCCACTGCTTATTTGGCCGCCCGCAGCCGCCTCTTCCGTCTCGGCTTCGTTCGCGAGTCCATCATCTGAGAGCGGTCCCTCCGCCTCTTTCGCGTCGCTCAACCCGCCAGCACGAGCGTCCATGGAGACGCAACGACTGCACCATCCAAATACGCCCGAACCGAAGCCGCTTGCGACCACACCGTCATTCCCTCTCGCGCCGCTCGAACTGCAGAGATGGGTCAGGTTCGCCGTGAAGGGTGGTATTGGAAAGGCGGTCGCCAAGGTTGACAAGGCTTCGGAGGATGGCGTGCGGGACTTGATGTTCCTCGAAGGCGACACGATCACGGTCCTCATGGATCTCGGCAGGGGAGCCTACCTTGTGCGTCCTCTTTCACAGGCCTCACAGCGCACGGCTGACAGGACTTGATACAGGGCTATTGCGAAGGCGTCGTCGGCCTCTTTACCGGCGCGGAAGTCGTCATGCAGCAAGCCAAGCTGAAGCGGCCGGTCATCTCGACTCGCTCAGCTTCCGCCTCTCGCGCCAATCCCCTCCCGCCTGTCACGCCCGAGATCGGCGCAGCGTCGCCCGCGCTCCCTCCTTTACCCGCTGATTCCTCCCCCGTGATTCCGACCCCCGTGCCTTCCGCCTTCAAGCCCGCAATCGCCCGCTCCGACAGCATCGATTCGACCTCGTCTTCCAGCTCGCTCACCTCGCCGCGCAAGCAGCATCGAAAGCCCGTCCCCGCACTCGAGATCCTGTCGGATCAGGCGAGCGAGTTGGGCCGGGAGTGCGTGGATCTGCGAAGCAGGCGAAGGGCGGATGCTGCTGGACTTGGCATCGCGGTTGATAGCGGTGGGCTTTCTCGCGTTGCGCCTCCGCCTCGACCTCGTAGAGTGTCAGCGAATGAGCAGGGTGCGCACGAGTGTCCGCCCCGATTCACTGACAGCGAGTCTGACGCTTTATCGTGCTGAGCAGAAGTCCTCGCATCTACCGAACCTCGTCGACTTGCCGCCTTCGTCCCCGCTCCGTCCCCCATCCTTCCACGCACCTCGCCCTTCCCGCTCTACCGTCCAGCCGCCGCCTCTCCCGCGCCCTCGAGCGATTCCGACAGCACGAACCGCACACCTTCGCTCGTCGCTTCACCTTACTCCGACCTCGCGGACCGCGACCGCGACTTTGACGACTCTGCGTCGTCAGCGAGCGGTCATGGTTATGCTGGCGTTCGGCGGGTTGCGCCGTTCACGCCGGAGGATGCAGGGGGGCAAAGTTGGGCAGGAGGCGAGGCGATGGGAAAGGCGGATACCAGCGCTTATCTCGATGCATACGGTACGCCTGGAAAAGACTACACGGACGGGCCTACGCCGACGGCCGAGTCTTTTCCACTTGATGCGTTCCCGCTTCCTTCGGCGTCGAACGCACTGTTCGGTGGTGTGCCGTACGACGCGCCTACTCCTGACTCCTCGTCAACTGTCCCTCTCTCCACCGAAGACCTTCGCCCAACGCCCTCTCACGTCCTCTCGACATCCGGCATGCCTCTGCCTGTCCCCTCCGCCGACCCTCAATCCGCCTTTTCCTTCTCGCCAAACAGCTCGATCACCTCAACCCTCCCCGCTTCCGTCCTCTCAGCAGGCGACTACTACGCCCGACGGGAGAAGTCATCAGACGGCAGTTCAGGCGGGAGCGTGCCAGGGACACCTGGAGACGACCCGACTTTGGCTTTCATCTTCGATTCGTATCGCTATTCGAGGGTGCCGAGTATGGGCAGCCTGGCGGGCGGTGCGGGAGGGACGGGTCAGGCTGCGATGCCTTCGGTCGGGCTGGCGAGGCGCAGCAGTCAGGAGGTTGAGGAGCTCGCGGGCGAGTTCGCTCCCGAGACTGAAGAGTCAGAGGTTGAGCCCGCTTTGCGGACCTTCGGCGCGGCGACGCAGCTGAGGTCGCGAATCCTGGGCGGTCAGTCGACTGGCGCCGAGCCTTCGACAGCGCCGCGACCGGCACACCCCCCGGCAGAGTCGACCTTGTCTTCTGTCGACAGCCTCGTCAACGTTCCGCGCCTATCCGAAATCTTCCCACGCGTGTCGCCAGCCGACTCCCCTGCGCCAGCCAGCGTACGCTCGAGTCGCAGCGGTTCTCTCACGCTTCCTTACGACTCGTCGCCGGTAAGGCCAATACAGGACCTGCCAGATCGCCCTCCAGTCTCGCCACGACGGCAGTCAGAGCCGCAGATTCGTTGCAGCGGCGTTCCGGTCCTCGATGCAGCGGGCCTCCGCGACGACCTCGATGCATCCCGCCGCCTCTTCCAGGCGTACTTCACGCCTCCACGCGAGCTCGTCGATGCGGCTGCGGCCATAACCGGCACGACGCCTGTGGTCCCTCGTTCCCCATCCCCGATCGAGTCGCCTCAGCACCTTCGTCGAAAGTCGGTCAAGGGTTTGCAAATCAGCCAGCCTGTCGTCCCTGCTCTCCGCACGCAGAACTTGCCGATTTCGCCGCCGCTCTGGAGGAGCCACGACGATGCTTCGCCTGTCGAGCAGGTCATGCCGCATGAGACGACCGATGTCTTCGTCGCTTCTCCCATCTCGATGGCCGCTCCGCCTCCGCAAGTCCAGATTCTGCAGGCGACGCCGTCGGCTGTGCGGACGTACACCGCTCCCCGCGACCACGACATCTCGCTCGACAGCGACTCGCAGTACGTCCTCAGCCCGGTGCCCTCCTCGTCCGCTGCCTCTTCGCCCAACACCTTCACGTCCGCCGCATCGAGCCCTGTCCCGCCGTCCGTCGACGAGGGGAATGAGCGAGCTTCGAGTTCCCGCGCTGCCGACACGACACCGAAGAAGCTGCGCAAGGGTGTGCACCGCACAAAGTCCTCACCTGCCATGGGTCGCCACTCCAACTCGTCCACAACGTCGCTCGCATCGCCAGTGATGCCGAGCGGACGACCGCAGATGCCGGCTATGCCGATCCGCAAGATGAGCGATCCGTTCGGCACTTCCTCCTCTCCCGCCTCGCCTGCCTCGTCATCAGAACGCAAGGTCGACTACAGCACGGGCATCTCGAACCGGGATTTCGAGGAGGAAACGATTGCGATTGGGAAGAGCGAGTTCGAGGTCGTCAAGCCCCTCGCCGCCTTGCTTGCGAAGGACGAGGAGGAACCCGTCGCAAACAGCGCCTCATTCGACTCGCCTCGGCCAAGCATGTCGTCCTCGGTCGTGAGCGACTTTGCGACGCCGCGCCGTCCCCTTTCGCCGCCTCACTCTGTCACCGCGCCATACCCTCCCTCGTCTGCTTCCACCACGCCGTACATGACCGCCTCACACGCTCGCTCAGTTGCCTCGCTCTCGCACTTCTCGCCGCCTACTCCCGCCTCGGTCGAAGACGGCGGTCGCGCCGCTCTCGACGACTACCGCGCGAAAGAGGCCAAATGGCTGCAGGTCATGTCGACGATGACGGTGGCGCAAGCGCGGAAGAGCAAGAAGGTCAAGGCGCTCGCGCAGAGTGGCATCCCGAGCAGCGTGAGGGGCAAAGCGTGGGCTTTTCTCGCAGATGCGCAGGCGGAACTTGCGCCGGGTTTGTATCAGGTACGTCGGTCCTCCAAGTCTCGTACGCTGTGCGGAAGATTGACACGAGTACCTGCAGTCCCTCGCGCAACCGCCCTTCCCGCTTCCTCCGGCTATCGAGGAGGACATGCAGGAGGTGCTGGACCTTCCGCAGTTTGGCGAAGGTTCGGCAGGTCGCGAAGACCTCGTGTCAATCCTGCGGGTGCGCCGCATCCTTCGTGTCCCATGTGACCCTCGAGCTGACCGTTGCTCACGCAGGCCTTCCTCCGCTTCGATCGACAATTCGGCTACTATCGCGGTCTTGCCAGCGTCGTCGCGCTTCTCCTCTCGCAGATGCCAGCAGAGACGGCTTTCGGCACCCTCATCTCGCTCGTCAAGAACTACTCTTTCCGGCATCACTTCCCAACGGGCGTCGAGCAGCTCCGGCTGGACGTGCTTGCGTTCGACTGTCTCTTCGAGGCGGAAGAACCCAAGGTTGCGAAGCGACTGGTGAGCGGCGCTCTTAATGGTTCTCTCAGCAACTTTGCTGACAGCTCTTCCTCACAGAACGAGCTCGGCGTCTCCGCTCGCGACTACCTCCCCTTCTGGCTCCCAACCTTCTTTCTCACCATCCTGCCGCACACGACCGTCGTCCGCCTGATGGACGTCCTCCTCTTTGACTCGAAGATGCGGTACCGTATCCCTCTCGCCCTCCTCGACCTCTCGCACCTCGACGACCGCCTCACTTTCCCCTCACGCGACGCCGTCCTCAATCACCTCCTCGCGCCGCCGCCGACCGCCTTCGAGCCCGCGTTGCTGTTCCCGGCCATCGCGCACATCAAGCTCAGCGACGACAAACTCAAGAAGGCGCTGAAGAAGGCGGCGCAGGCCATGTTGCGGCCACAGCAGCAACGGCAGGCTGCCTAGACATCCCTCTCTCGACCCTCGCACGCATCATCTCCCACGCACAGCGCTCGCACAGCAGCTTACTGTCCGGATAGATACCGCTCTCGTTCTCGCACGATACCCTTTCAAGTCGTCCGTAAATACCTGTCGTTCCAATTGCAGACCGCTTCTCGTCCCTTCCGACCGGCGTATGCAGTGCGTTCAGGCCGGGGACAGCAGTGAGGCCGAATGCGCGCGAGCCGAGTGCGAACGGAGGACACTCGAGACGGACGAGCACGAGCAACAGGACAGCGCAGCGTCTTCCAGCCTGCCAAGCGGCGCCGCACCAAGCGTTGCGCGCGCTCGCAGCTGGAGTGTAGCAAGTTGTGTTTTGTTGGATGCCGGAGGCGGCAGGACAAGCGAAGGAAGGAGGAAGCGGGGTGAGCGGAAGAACGGTCGTCGGTCGTCGAGGTCGTAAGCCAAGAGAGCCAGTCGCCGGGAGTCCAAGAAGCCTGTCAAGACAGTTTGCGTCAGCGCTGGGTCCGAAAATCCGCATAGTCTGAAGCACATCAGTCATAACAGCGAGAGCTGCATTTCCACACGTCTTCGAACGAGAGGCGTCCGTCAGACGGCCTTGCGCGAACGAGGAGCTCAGCGTTGGATTGTTAAGATAGACATCGTCTGTGCGGCGTTGAGCTTGGGGCCTTGCGCGCAAGAACAAGAGGCGGAGCCGAACTTACGAGGAAATGCAAGGCCAGAGAGGCGATCGGGATCTGCGGGGCGCACAGGCGTGAGCGTTAGCCATTCGCATCGCAAGCTCAAGCGTCTCAGAGCGCAAAGCGGAGGGACGTGGCGCTCAGAACCTAGCACGTGTGAGTGTGCAGTTCAGCCCGATCCGATCAAGGATCACTCGGAGGTTGGTGATACGATGATTCGTCCGTGCTGCCGTCCCTCCTTCATCCTGAGCGTTCAGTCGGCGGACTCACCAGTCTAGAAGAAGACGGACGATTCGAGGTCGTCCTGCGCCGGCGCCTGTTCCGCTGGTTCGGTTTCCGCGCTTTGCTTGCCCTTGAAACCGGCGCATACGAAGAAGCCTTCTCTGCTGTCTTTCCTGCTGCTCGGCGGCTTGACCCACTTGACCTGGCGGAAGTAGCGCGCGAGTTCTTTGCGGAACGCCTCGGTCGACTCGGACGCAAAGTGCTTGACGATGAACTGGATCGGGAGCGACTTGGAGCCTTCGGCGGCGGTAGGTCGACCGGATGGAGTGACGACTTTGGTCGCGCGGCGGATGGGCGAGAGGTGCTGGACGGCGAAGGCGAGTGCGGCTTCGCACAGTTCGAGCGAGAGGGCGCCGTCGCGTGTGTTGTTGCCGCTCGTGTTGGCCATCATGTCGCTCAAAACGAGATCGACCTTGGCTGCGATGCACATCGTGTCAGCACAACCAGTTCGAAGGGAAGGGAACCTTCCGAAGACTCACTGTCGCCCGACATGTCCAGCAGCGCCTCCTTCAGGCGAGCCTGCACCTTTGGATCAAGAAAATCGCCCTGGACGAACTGCACCCCTTCGGCCGCTCCCACGCCATGCTGCAGCTTGAGCAAGTCGACGCCGACGATGGTCCCGCTGCCCTGCAAGACCGAGTCTGCCGCCTGGATCCACCCGCCTGGCGCTGCACCGAGATCTACGACGACCATGTCAGGTCGCAACAGCGGCAGGCTCCCTCGCCTGGCCTTGTGAAGGTCGAGCAACTTGAACGCCGAGCGCGAGACGAAGGCTGCCGGCGCGTCGAGCGGTCCTGACGCGCGACTTCGCACATAAGGATCGTGCTGTTGTCGCTGTAGCCACCGTGCGGACGAGCCGGACTTGCCCGCAACGAGGGTGGTCGTGGTGAAGGTGCGAGTACGAGGAGGGAGAGAAAGATTCGGCGACGAGCGAGGACAGCTGACGCGAGCGAGTACCCAGCTCGACGGGGACGGCAGAGTCGCTGAGCGTGTCCTGAGCATGTCTGGCACTCGTCCAGCGGTGGTCGAGCGTGCGGCAGGAGCGAAAGTGCTGTTGAATACAAACCGCTTTGTATTGCGTCGCCAGTTTGTATTGCTGCTGCTTACACCTCGCCACCGCTCGCTCTCTCGCTCAGACAGGCTCGTTCTTGCTCTCGCTGTGCTCGCTGCTCTTTTCTGCGCCTATTGAGACCAGCGAGACGCGCGCGCGAGGCCATGGGCGCTCCCACCGCTCCTCCGTGAGTTTCATCAGCTCCAGCACTCAAATCGCACCAACTCGCATCGCTGACCTCGCGAGCATGCCTGCAGGTCGACTGATCCACCTCCCAAACCTATCATTTCCCCGCCCAACACCCTCACCCTCTCGCAGATCGTCACCGGATGCAAGGTCTTCGTCCAGCGACCTATCCACCCCGACAAGCCTGACGAGCTCGAGGTTCGCAAGGCCGAGATCTTGTCGATCAGGGAGAGGAAGTTGGGGCGGGCGGAGCGGAAAGAGCGGAAGGCGCGGCTGAAGGCGGCCCAGAATGAGGGTGCGGAAGCAGAGGCGGAGCTGAAGCGCAAGGAAGAGGAGGAAGAGGAGAAGCGGAGACAGGAAGGAGACAGGCTCGAGTACTACTGCCATTACGTCGAGTTCAACAAGGTGCGCAAGCGGTTCCGTTTCCCCAAATCGCCTTCGTCTCGCAGACTGACCTGGCTCTCGCTCGCAGCGTCTCGACGAATGGGTCGCTGCGTCCCGCATTCTCCTCTCGCGCGAAGTTGAATGGCCCTTACCTCCCGCACCGCCTGCACCCGCACCCGGCTCGACCCGCAAGAACAGTCGCGAAACTTCCCTTGTCCCTCCCGCTTCTCCCTCGCCCGCTCCTTCCTCCATTAGCGGTTCAGCGGCCGAGACCAAGAAGGCTATCGACGCCGGAAACGTCTTGCGAAAAGCGGCGATCAAGGCGGCGCACGAGCAGAGCGTGACGAACAAGCGGAAGGCGATGGACGGAGACGAAGATGCGGACGGCGAGGACGAGGATGCGGACGGTGAGCTGAACTTAGACGGCGATGCGGCGATGGCGGATGCGCAGACGGGCGACGACGCTTCGACGCAAGCAGACGGCGCGACAGACGGCTCGGAGGACGGCAACATCCCCACGTTCTCCAAGGCGCGCGAGATCGAGAAGCTGCGCACACAAGGCTCGATGACGCAGTCGCAGTCGGAGATTTCGCGCGTCAAGAACCTCGACCGGATCCAGATCGGCAAGCACCTCGTCGAGGCGTGGTACTTCTCGCCCTACCCGGTCGAATATGCGCACACGCCCGTCCTCTACGTCTGCGAGTTCTGCCTCTCGTTCTACGCGTCCGAGAAGCAGATCGAGCGGCATCGACACAAGTGCACGCTCCAGCACCCGCCCGGCAACGAGATCTACCGCCACGAGGACATCTCGTTCTTCGAGATCGACGGCCGCAAGCAAAAGACGTGGTGCCGCAACCTCTGCCTCCTGTCCAAGGCTTTCCTCGACCACAAGACGCTCTACTACGACGTCGATCCGTTCCTCTTCTACGTGATGTGCGTCCGCGACGAGTACGGCGTCCACCTGGTCGGCTACTTCTCGAAGGAAAAGGAGTCGGCCGAGGCCTACAACGTCGCGTGTATCCTCACGCTGCCGCAGTACCAGCGCATGGGTTACGGCAAGCTCCTTATCGAGTTTTCGTACGAGTTGAGCAAGAAGGAGCAGCGCCTCGGGTCACCCGAGAAGCCCTTGTCCGACCTCGGCTTGCTCTCGTACCGCGCGTACTGGGCCGAGACGATCGTTGAGCTGCTCATCAACACAAAGGACGACATCTCGATCGACGAGATCGCGAACCGAACAGCCATCACGACGAACGACGTCTTTGCGACGTGCGTGCCCATCTCTCTCCCCACGCAGGCTCTCTCTAGCTGACACAGCGTCGTCGTCGTCCGCAGCTGCCAGGTTCTACGCCTTCTCAAGTTCTACAAGGGCCAGCATCACCTCGTCGTCTCGCCCGCCGTCCTCGAGCAGCACGAGCGCGTCAGGGCCAAGGTGCGGCGGCGCATCGAGCCGTCGAAACTCGTCTGGCGGCCACCGGTCTTCAGCAGGCAGGAGTTGCGCTTCGGGTTTTAGAGCGGCGGAGCAGGGTTCGTGTACAGGCGTCGTTTGGTTTCCGTCTTGGTCGTCTCGCAGTCTCATGTTGCAAACAGTACGCTTCGACGCTCGAGCAGTGTGGTAGGAGAAGCAGAACGAGACCGCTGAGCCTGCGACTTGGTACTGCTTGGATTGCGTTACTTCTATGTAGAAGGCAGCCCTCGAAGCTCAGTTGTTCGGCACCCGGTTGGCGTAGGAAGCGCCTCCACCCGACTCCGTCTGCAAGCCCTGGATGTCGACCTCGTTGGCCTTGCCTTGCTCGCGAAGACCTGAAGTCGAGAAAACAGGTCAGCACAACGTGAAGGGTCGGACATGGGCTCGACTACGCACCCTGCGCCTTCAATTCGGGATCGCCAAGAGCCTTTCCGACGCCCTCGTTGACCTTGCCCAACCCCTTGTCGAGCGCCGACGGCTTCGACACCGACTCGTGAGGGTTCTGTCCCAGCGTTCCCTGTCCTCGCTGCTCCCACTCGGCGTACTTGGACGAGGCGTCCATCTCGAAGTTGCGGTTCGGGTCGGGGACGGCGCCTGCGGGACAAGGGGTGTGAGCAGGACCCGCGAAGGACCGGGGAAAGGAGGAGAGGGAGGACGCACTCTGGGTGCCGTGCGTGCCAGTTCCCGTTCCGGTGCTCGACATTGTGCTGTTGTTCGACGTTTGCGAGTGAATGGAGAGAGAAAGAAAGAGAACAGCCGCGGAACGGACAAGAGGAAGCGACGTCACGAGGGTTGGCCTTCGCAACTCGAGGAGACGAGTCCTCGGTGTGTTTCCTGCCGAAGTGCGGCACTTCTGAGGCCTGCGGAGAGGCGGAACTCGTTGTTTGCAGGAGAGCTACAGGGTTCAGAAGATGGGCGCAAGAGCGAGACGCAGCGTGAAAGCGAGAATCCTGTCATTCACGGACTCTTGAAGAGGGCTTCGTCGACAGCGGTATGCACAGGGACACACCTCTGACTACACATGGATCAACACAACAGAGCTCAGAGATGTCGATTGCGACGGGTACGAAGGCGACGACAACCTCGCGGTCGAGCGTAGCGTAGAGAAAGGAAAGGCGCTCAGAATTCTCCGTATACGTCCGTTGCCCAGCGGTAGTCCTCCTTGTTGAACGACTCGACGTTTTCCTTTCCCGCGACGACCTGCAACAGTCGGTCGGTAGCGTCGCATCTCCCTCCAAGCGACCGTCGCGCGACTGGAGGAAACTCGACCCATTCGGAATAGAAACCGCCGTTCTCCCAATCGATGATGGCAGCAACAAAGGGGTTGTCGAGGTCGTCGACGGAGACGAGGATGTTCGAGGGCCAGAGATCGCCGTGGACGAGTACGAGAGGCGAAGAGCGGCCCAGATGAGCTTCGATGGCAGCCCAAGCCTCATGAGTCGTGTCCGGCAATGCGAGATATGTCTCCTTGAAGTAGTCGGCGAGTGTGGCGGACGAGGTAAGGTCGCCGAAGGCGCGGGGAGAGTCGTTTCCCTGACGAATGGTGAAGGCGAAGGTATTGCTCCCGTCGAGACTGCCGATGACGGTGCCGGGAGGCGCGACGATGGCATGTAACTCGTCCAGCATCTGCCTAAGCTGCTTGTAGACGGAGAAGACGGCAGGCTCGCTCAAGCGTTGTACTGCCAAAGTCAAGGATACGCCGGCGACAAACTCGAAGTAGATGTAGGTTGAGTCGCCCTCGTGCACGACGCCATAGACCTGCGCACGCGCGCGCTGGTGAGCTAGGGAGGTGGATCAGCGTTAAGGCAAACGGAAGACGCACCTGCGGAACGGGGATCGACGTTCGCGTCCGCACAAATATCGTCATCTCCGCTTCCGCTTTGGTGATGCCCGGCCCGCCCTTGACAACCAGGGTAGTATCGTCATATACCACCTTCCAGACCAAGTCTCCTGCCCCTCCGCCCAGCACCGCGCCCGTTCTTCGAGCAAAGCTAGGCTGAGGAAGCAGGAAGTCGGGTTCTACAGCGCCGACGATGGGTAACAGTAGGTCAGGGTCAAGGGGCAGCCAGTCGAGGTCGGGAAACTCAGGCTCTGCCGCATCTGTGACTGATTCGGGAGATGGGGAGAACCCGAAGAAAAGAGACAGGGTGAGGGCGCGACAGACCGCGCGCGCCAGCGTAATGCCAAAGCCGTCGATCGTATCTAGAACAGCTGCCGTCCGCGCGAGCATCCTGGCTAGCCTGGAGATCACTCGCGGAGGGGAGGAGATGAGGAGAAGACCAAGAATGCGCCTCTGGGTGCGTGGCGTGCGTGGGACGGGCGGACGATGGGTGCTAGGCGCTGAAGCCACCGGAGAGCAGCCGGATAGCCTCGGAACGCTCACAGGCGGAGGAGCAAGGAGGAGAAGCGGAACTCGAACCGCAGTGAATGACCGGCGTCAGGTCGGACGTCGGGACGCAAGGGGACCCCCGGTGTTCTCTGCCCTTTCTGAGTTCTTGACTGAGCTTGAGCATTTCTGAGTTCTCGCCCAGCTTGAGCAACCGAGTAGTGTGTTGCTCAAGAAGGATGGGCTCTCTCTCTCTCTCTCGCTCCAATCTCGGAAGCCAAAGAATCGTTGCACCCCTGAGTGTGGACGAAAGGGAGAGAGCATGATGTCCGTCAAGCCGGTCGCAGAAGGTAAGGGAGGAGCGCCGCCGGGAGCGGTCCCGAGAGTGCCAGTTCGCCTCGCCGGCACTTGTCCATCGCGTCCTTGTACTCGCTCGTCTTGACTACCCCGTCCCAGTGCTTGATGGTGTAGGCGACGACAACCTCGCGAATCTCGTCGAACTCGACCGTGGCGCTTGCGAAGAGCTCGATGGCGGCGATAGAAGGCGAGAGTTGTCGCTCCAGTTCGGTAAGAGCGAGTGCGGCAAGGGGCGGGATACGCAGGTAGTGTGCGAGGCGGTAGACGGATTTTGGAGAAGCCGCCAGCATAGAGGAATTGGTGGACTCGGTGGTCGTGGAACTGGGCGAAGACTTGAGAGGCGCGAAGAGGCAGTTTGACGTCGACATCCAGAGGAGCACGACGCGCCACGTCCGACGGGAGAAGCCGGGGATGCTGATGCTGTAGAAACGCCAGTCGGGCGGAAGGCTCGTCTCCGTCGTGTCTTCTGCTTCGGTCATCTCGGCGTCCTCAGCGTCTGAATCGTCTGAAGCGTCGACATTGTCATCCGCTTCGACCTTGACCGTCTCGCATGAGTGTTCAGCAAGCGTTCGCTTGTTTGCGTCGTTGAAGCCGGACGGAAAGAGGTCGCGGAAGTAGGCCGAGAAGTGCGACAGCGTGCGCGAGTCGGTCCAAAGATACTGTGCGCTGCTTCCGGTTGTCGAGATGCAGAGTCGCACGTCGTGGGAGAGAGGCGAGGTCTGCATATCTGCGGGCAAGAACAGAGTAAGCAAAGTTACTGACGAGCACAGGGGCTGATTCTGTGCTTACCGGCAAGTCTTTCCAGCCTAAACTCATCTTGCGCACTCATTGCACCTGTGTTCTGACGTCGTCCAGGTGCCGCTAGTCCCAGGGTAGCGACCGAGGTGAATCGGAGCCGGAGGAGAAAGAACGAGTGCGTCGGGCTGATAAACTGCCCATCACTGACGGCTGCAGCGTGTTCCAACTCCGCCCACAGGACAGTCAAAGAAAGTGACTGGCTGGTTTCGTTCGGCCACTCCTGACGTATCTGTCCGACAACCGAAGAGATGAGAGCGCCGTTCTGTCCGTCCTCTGTCGTCCAGTAGAATTCGGCGCTAGATAAGGCGTCTGTTGCGAGCGACGGTCCAGACGTCTGGGCAGTCCAAAGGGCCTCAAAGCCGTTCGCCGATCGCAGACTGAACGTGCACGAGCACGACGCTCCGCCTAAGTCGGGAAAAGTGACGCTCGAGTCGAGAGGGTTGGTGGTGGTAACCGCAGCAAGTGGCACGCTAATCCGCCATTCGTAACAAGTCAATTGGCCAGCGCTTCCATGCCGCGCAAGAAACTGCATCCGAAGAGAGGAGGGGAATCTGGGGAGGATGGGAGAAGGCGGGCGTGCAAAGGTCAGGGCGTGTATTGGTTGGACGTCAAGAGTTCTCTGCCGACGGGGTGAGGCACGAGCAGGATCAGCACGGTCTCAGCGCGAGCGAAGTGAATTTGCGGAGCTCAAGCCGTGAGGAAGAGGGTTGAGGACAGTCGTCTCGTTCCACCACGGGCTCGAGCTGCTATGCTGAGACGATGAGCAGGTCTGCATCTCCCAGACACTTCGTCCTGGACGAGGTGCGCATCCCTTCGTTCGCTCGTCCCCGTTCTCTCATCCTCATCGCTCGAACCCCCACATCTCACAGGAAACACACTCTTCGTCGTCCGATACAGCCTCGCTCATCGACCGCAGAGGTGCAGGACACGATGCTGGCGAAGACGAGCCAATCCGCTACCCGCCCGGTGTCCTCAGTGAGGAGGAGAAGGCTCTCCCTCGCCGCCGAGACCGCCTCGCTGTCCGCATACCAACTCGCCAGGAGGTGCTAGACGCGAGAACGAGGCCGAAGCAACGCCCTCGACGGCTGAGGATAGTCATACCCGGCCTGCTCGCCCTTCTCGGCTTTGCTTTCCTCTCGACATGGGTTCTCTCCCTCGGTACTCAGTTTGGCGACCAGCACAGGATCCAGGTGATCCTAATGATCTCTGACGGCATGGGTGTGTTTATCTGAGAGCGGGCTGAACGAGTGAACGAACGCTGACTTTCCGTCTCTCGCAGGACCCGCTTCGGAAACGATGGCTCGCTCGTTCGCACAGTACCTGGCGTCGACAAACTCGTCCTCCTCCGACTTTACCCGCTCGCTGCTGAATGAGTCGTCATGGACCGGCCTCGAGGACGGCTATCGAGGGAGAGGGTCGATGCGTGGAGTGTTGCCTCTGGACGAGATACTCGTCGGGTCTTCCAGAGTGCGTGCTTCCCGCTTTCCTTGGTCGGCTACAGCAGCTCACAAGCATGGATGGACAGACCCGCTCTTCGAATTCGCTCGTCACCGGTTCGCTCCCTCTCGCTTCAACCGTTCGAACACCTCGTGACTTCCTGTTCTTCCGCAGACTCGGCCGCTGGCGCTACCGCCTTCTCCTGCGGCGTCAAGACCTACAACGGCGCTATCGGCGTCACCCCCTCTCTCCAACCCTGCGGCACCATCCTCGAAGCCGCCAAACGACAGGGCTATATGACCGGCCTCGTCGCGACATCCCGCATCACGCACGCCACTCCCGCCTCCTTCTACGCACACGTACCCGACCGAGACCTCGAGTCTGAGATCGCCGAGTTCCTTGTTGGAGAAGATGGGTCGGCTTCGAAGGGTTTGAGGGTGGATTTTGCGTTCGGCGGTGGAAAGTGCTTCTTTTTGCCGAACGGGACGGATGGGAGCTGTCGAACGGATGGAAAGGATATGCTTGGAGCGGCGAAGGCGAAGGGCGTGAGGGTGATTGACGGGATGGCGGCATTGCGGGCGTACAAGGACGAGGACAGTGTGGACGAGCCGGTGCTCGGGCTCTTCGCGAGCGATGTGCGTTCCCAGATCATGCTCTCGAGGCCCTTGTTATTGAGACAGGATTGCCTGCAGCACATGGAGTACGAGGTCGACCGGCAGCGGATCACAGCACTTGCCGACGAGCAGCCGAGCCTGAAGGAAATGTGCGTTCCGCATCATCAGTTAAGCACGATCTCCCAAATAACAACCGTCTCCACCTTGCAGGGCTACTCACGCCCTTCGCTACCTCTCGCGCAAGGCAGCCGATAAGAAGGGCTTCTTCCTGATGATCGAAGGAAGCCGGATAGACATGGCTGCGTGCGTCGACTTCCTCAGTCTGTGCCGAACTGATCGCTCGCAGCCTGACACCTCTCGACTCGTGACAGCCACAACAACGACCCAGTCGCCCACCTCTCCGACATGCTCGCCTACCAGCAGACGGTGCAGTACATCAAGGACTGGGTGGACGCGCAGATTGAGCAGGGCACGCCGACGATGCTCATTTCGGTCAGCGACCACGAGACGGGCGGCTTGGCATTGGGTAGACAGCTGGGAGAAGCTTATCCCGAGTATCTATGGTGCGTCGCGCTTTCCCGGCTCACCCGGCAGCTATGGAACTGATGAGAACGGTTTTCCGCACCCCCAGGTACCCCGACGCCCTCGTCAACGCGACCCACTCCTCCGCCTACCTCGGCTCGCTCTTCGCCTCTCGCTACCCCGCGGCAACCCGCGACTGGGTCATCAGCGAGCTCTTCGAGAAGGGGTTGGGGATCGTCGACGCGGCGGAGTGGGAGGTCGATGCCGTGTGGAAGATGAGGCAGGATGCGTACGGAGCGAATCGGGCATTAGCGGATGCGGTGAGCGGCTCCTTCTTCCCAGTTCTTCCGCTTGTCCTTCCAACGAGCGCTCTAACGGTATGCTGACAAGTCTACCTTCGCAGATATCGCGTCGAGCTCAGCTGGGCTGGTCGACGGCAGGGCATTCGGGCGTAGACGTGAATCTTTATGCGTACGGGTGCGGACCCTTCCTTGTCCTCGGCTTCCCTGCAGTGCTTACGCCCCTACTTGCGCAGCTACAACTCGACTGGGCTGACGGGAAACGTCGAGAATATTGATATTGGCTTGCACGTTGCGGAGAACATGCGGTTGAACCTCGACGGTGCGTCCGCTCGCGCTCTACAGCTCCTCCAGGCTTCTCGCCAGCTCGCGCTGATCTTCAGTTGCTGCAGTCGTAACCATCGAGCTCGGGAAAGGGCAGTCGAGCTGGTTCGACGCCAAGGCGGGCAACGAGACGACTCGAACTCGTGCGACGGGGCTCGGGCACTACCACGGGGACTTCTAGCGCGTGTACAGGGTTCAGTGAAGCGCATTTGTTGTATTTCCGAGACGTCCTGGTCGATATATGCAGGGCCCGAGCGAGAGGAGTCGACGAGGCCTCTCGTCACGCTGATCCGTCTTCTCCTCTCTCTCTCCCTCCTTCATCTCACTTTCCCCTCCCGTCGACCTAGCAGATCAAATTCGCAGCCATGGTCAACCCGCCTACCGCACCCTCGCACTGGGGCAGGCAGCAGGAGGACGTCGCGCACCCTTCGCCTCCTCAGAAGGGACTCGTCGGATCGCTCATCGACAACGTCAAGACGGTCGCCGGAACGGTGCGTCGTCCTCTCTCTGCGCTTCCTGCGACCGCACGAGCCGCTGACCGGACGGTCCGAGTGCACGGCAGACGCTGCACATCGCCCAACTCGCCTTGTCGGAGACCAAGCCCGTGCAGGCCGCCCAGTCGACGCTCGAGCAGGGCGAGCACGCTCTCCACTCGCTGTTCGAGCAGATCAAGGACGACACGCTCGCTCGCGGTGCGTACTTCCGCTCGTTGAGGCGGTGAGGGTCCGCGGACTTGCGCTGATGTCCCTCGACTTTGCCTCGCTGCAGACGCGCTCACGATTCTGCGCGCTGGAGTGCAGTCTGTCAAGCCACTCGATGACCGCAAGCTGCTTCTCGAGCAGGTGCGTCCTGTGCTTGTTACGCAAGGCTCCCCTTCAGGTTGAGAAGGCCAGCCGCTGACCTCCTCCTGCTCGTCTCTTTCTGCATCGTCCCCTCCTTCTTTCGCCTCTGTTCCTCCTTTATGCAGATCATCGTCCTGCTCTCGACGCTCCCGCCCGACTCGCCGGTCGGTCCCGTTCTCCAGAACGCCTTTAGTACGTCCAGCCGGTCGCCAACTCCGCTCGAGTCGAAACTCGCTGACCACACTCTCCTTGCACGCAGTCCGCGTCCTCTGGATGGACATCCCGAAGCCACCGGCGACGCTCATCGGGCCGTACCAGCACCGCACCGCTGATGGCTCGGGCAACAACGTCTTCTCGCCCGACGTCGGGAAAGCCAACATGCCTTACGCGAGGACCGTCCCGCCCATCCACCCCGTCCCGCGCAACCTGCCCGACGTCGACCTCGTCTGGGAGACGCTCCTCAAGCAGGACAAGTTCACGCCGCACCCGTCGGGAATCAGCCCGCTCCTTTTCAGCTTTGCGGTCCTCATCACGCACAGCATCTTCCAGACCAACCACGACGAGCCGGCGTACAACGAGACGAGCTCGTACCTCGACCTCGCGCCCATCTACGGCAACAACGAGACGGAGCAGAAGCAGGTTCGCCTCGGCGAGAACGGCCTCCTTCACGCTGACACGATCGCCTCGCGCCGCCTCTTCCTCATGACGCCCGCCGCCGTCGCCCTCGCCATCGTCTTCGCGCGCAACCACAATTGGATCGCGAAGAAGCTCGTCGAGGTCAACGAGAACGACGTCTACCAGCCGTGGGATCAGCTCGACCAGGACGGCAAGGCCAAGCAGGACGAGGACATCTTCCAGAAGGCGCGCATGATCAACTGCGGGCACTTTGTCGCCGTCATCTTCCAGGACTACATCCGCGCCATCTTGGCCATCAACCGCACGACCTCGACCTGGTCCCTCGTCCCGACTGGCGAGATCAAGGAGGCTTTCCAGGGTCCGCTTCCTCGTGGTACTGGCAACCACGTCTCTGCCGAGTTGTGCGTCGCCGTCGTTCCTCTCCTTTCGGCGTTGAGCTTGACTGACCTTCTCCGCCTTCTCACCTCCTTCTCAATACGCCTTGCAGCAACATTCTCTACCGCTGGCACATGGCGACGAGCAAGGAGGACGCCGCTTGGCTCGGGAGGCTCATGCACCAGCACTCGAAGGTCAAGCCCGAGAATGCGAGTCGCCGACCTCCGTCCTCTCGCTCACACTCTCGAACATGCATGTTGATACTCGCCTTCGCACCCGCAGATGACGCCGGGCGACTTCCGCGCCGCTTACGAGAGCGTCGCCGCCGAACTCGGCGAGAACCCTCGTCGCTGGACCTTCAACAACCTCAAGCGCACCGGCCCCGACGGCGAAGGCCCCTTCCGCGACGACGACATCGTCAAGACGCTCACCGACGGCACGATCTGGAAGGCCGGCGCCTTCAAGGCTCGCGGCATTCCCGATATCTTCGCTGTCATCGACAAGATGGGAATGGTCGCGGCGAGGAACACCTGGCAGGTCGCGTCGCTCAACGAGTTCCGCCGCATGCTCGGCCTTAAGGAGTACACGGACTTCACCGAGTGGAACCCGGACAAGGACATCGCCGAGACCGCTCGCCGCCTCTACAAGCACGTCGACAACCTCGAGCTCTACCCGGGCTTGATGGCCGAGCAGCCCAAGCCGTCGCAGGAGGGTTCAGGTCTCGCTCCTGGATACACCATCTCGCGCGCCATCCTCTCCGACGCCGCCGCCCTCGTCCGCGGCGACCGCTTCGTGCGTCCTCAGTCCTTCCTCTGTCCCTCGCCCAGCTGACTTGACCTTCCTCCCTCTCGACGCAGCTCACGCACGACTACAACGTCGCGACCTTGACGAGCTACCACTTCCAGGACTTGCAGCCTGACCTCGACAACGGCGCTTTCGGCGGCCACATCTGCAAGGTGCGTTCCGCGTCCTTTCTCTCACGCTCGCATTGCGCTAAACTGCACTCCCCGCCGTCAGCTCCTCTTCCGCCTGTTCCCCGGCCACTACACCTACGACTCGGTCTACGCCCTCTTCCCCTTCACGAACCCCGACACGACCCGCGGCATCCTCGAGAAGCTCAACATCGAGGACCGCTACTCGTTCACCAAGCCCTCGCACGCCCCGCACTGGGTCAAGGTCACGACGTACGACGGAGCGAGGCACGTTTTCAATCGCCCGCAGTCTCTCGACAACGTCTACGGACCCGCCCTCGCCGAGATCAGCGGCAAGGAGGAGGAGTCGACCGAGGGCCCGTCGCAGCAGACCTTCAGCGAGACGCTCGACGCCGTCTTCTTCCCGAGCAACTTTGCGCAGCTCGCGCTCACCCGCATCGGCGACATGACCAAGCAGCAGATGGAGTGCTGTTCGTGGAAGTACGGCAAGGGCGAACACCTCCGCGTCGACGTCGTCGGCGACGTCTTCGTCCCCGTCGTCTCGCAGTACATCGCCGACATTTGCGGCGTCCCGCTCAAGACGAAGCACAACGCGCTCGGCCTGTGGACGCCCACCCAGTTCTTCGAGGTCCTCAGCGAGATCTACTCGTTCGTCTACCTCAAGTGCGTCTCGTCGTTGCTTCCTCCGCCACTCCACCCGCTGATCTCTCGCTACGACCTCGCAGCTTCGACCCGAGCGTCGGCTTCAAGCTCCGCGACCGCGTCATCAAGAACGCTCGCACGCTCCGCCTCATCATCGAAGGCCGTCTTATGCAGGCGAGCGGCTTCATCGTGCGTCCTTGTCCGACCTCCTCTCTCTCATCCACTCGCTCACCCTTGCGCCTTCCGCCTCCGCAGGGTCAGCTCGGCGAGCTCGTCGGCGACATCAAGAACCTCATCATGCCCAGCCGCGGCCAGGGCTTCGTCATGTCGGACACGGCGCGCGAGTTCTACCACCGTGTCATCCGCTCGACCGACAGGCCCGCCGCTGAGCTCGCCGGCGTCATCCTCATTGGCGCCGTCCGCCTCGTCACCTGCGTCTCGCGTGAGTGCTCGACGTCGCTTCCACGCATCGAGAGCTTGCTGACGGTCCGCTTCTCGCAGAGGCCGCCAACGTCCTCGACTTCTACCTCAAGCCGGACCAGGAGAAGAACCTCAAGAAGGTGCTGCAAGCCGCGCAGAGGCACACCAACATCGCCGACGACGCGACTCTCCTCGTGTGTGACTCTACCTCCTTCGCATTCGCACGCTCAAGCTCACGATTCTCTCCGCAGCACTACGTCGAGGAGGCTCTCCGTCTCCAACCTGCCGTCTACGGCACCGCTCGCCGCGCCAAGGGCGACTTGCACATCAAGGACGGCAACAAGGACCACCACGTCAAGAAGGACCAGTACGTCTGGGTCGACATCGTCTCGGCCAACCTCGATGCCGAGCACTTCCCCAAGCCGAACGAGGTCGTCGAGAACCGCGACATGACGCGCTACACGTTCAACCAGAAGGTCTCGTCGCTTACGAACAGTGCGTCGCGAGCCGTCCGCCTTTCATTTCACTCGTCTCGCTGACTTCCTTCCTTCTCCCTCAGCCCGCAACGAGTCGCTCAACTCGACCCTCGTCACCGGCTTGATCCGCGAGGCCGCGCAGAGGGACATCAAGCGTGCCGAGGGTGCCGCTGGCCAGCTCGGCCGCATCAGTGCCGCCGACGACTTCTGCCCCGCCTACGTCCGCGCCGAGGGACCGCCGACCGCCTTCCCGTCGTCGATGGACGTCATCTTCACCGGCAAGAAGAACATCGTCTACGGCGAGAAGTGAGCGGGCGAAGGGGGCTCGAACGGGAGGATCGCTTGGACTCGCTTGCTGTGTAGGAATAGCTTCGGAACTCGCTTGAAAAGAAACATACTCGCTTTCCGCATCCATTCACCTGCCGCATGAGCGAACGTGGAGAGCAAGCGAGCGAGGCGGCGAAGGAGGCGAGCATCGAAAGACCTGCAGCGTGCAGGCAGGACGTCGCGAGAAAAAACACGATTGCAGCCATACTTCTAGGTCCGCCGTGTGCAGCAGGACGCCGTGACGAGCTTACCGAAACATCTCATGTCCCTCCCTCCCGCCAGCGGCACAACTCCCTGTCCAATTCCGTGAGCCTCACGCCGTCTGTGCCGCCTTCTCGCCGTTGAAGAGGATCAAGGGAAAGTAAGCATCCGGGTCTGACGGCGCCTGCTCCTTGGCGGCGGCCCATCTGCGAGGTAGAGGTCGAGCGGGAGGCGAAGAGTAGGAAGGAGGGAAGAAAGGGTCAGACAAGCTCGTCAGCGCTTCCGCCCTTTCGTGCTGAGCTATGCAAGACTCGTACGCACTTGTACTTGCGGCCGGGAGGCTTGGGAGGGCGGAAGCCAGTCGCGGTGACGGCAGAAGAGGAGGAGTAGAGCGAGGCGAGCGAAGGAGCGGGAGAGTCGGCGGTGATGGCGGTCGTCTGGGTTCCCTCGGGCGCTGAGACGGGAGGAAGGCTGTGATATCAAGGCGTCGTCTGTAAGCGGCTCGGAAATGGAGAAGAGGAAGCGAGGCGCACGCCTCGAAACCGCCCTGGGCGATGAGGAGCTTGGCGAGTTCGGGCTGGGTCACGACCTCGGTCTGTCGAGCGCAACGAAGGCACGAGTCAGCCAGAGCACGCAACAAGCGTGTCTGTCAAAGCGCTCTTCGTAGTGAGAGCGAACGGAGACGCACCTTGGGGTAGTTGCGTCGGAAGTCGCGCTTGAAGTAGGGGTTCTCGGCGACATCGGACGCCTTGGACGAGGGGACCGTGAACTTCTCAGGTCGCGAGCCAGGCTCGGGCGTGCGGTACTGGCTTGCGAGGATGTTGCCAGTCGTCGACTCGCTGAGGGAAGGAGGAGAGCCGTTGTCAGCACAGCTCCTTCGGGCCAGAAGCGTGCCAGCCTCCTCCATTCAAGCTCTTCCCGCTCCGAGCACGCCCCGCAAGCCCCTTCACCGCTGTTCCCAGTCGAGCCGAGTTGGCGGAGCGATCCACCCTCCCTCGCTCGCCGGCACCCAGACTGCAGGGGGACTCACGGGTTGACCACGAGCGCCTCCCTGACCTTCTTCCAGAACGGCGACTCGTCCACGGCGTGGTACTTCCAGGGGTCGGCGGAGAGCTTCTCCCTGACGACGCGGGTTGCGCGAAGAGCGGTGCGCATCGTGTCGTGCGGTGCGGAGGGGTTCGTGTGTGTCGAGTAGGAGTCTCTGAGCGGTCACGGAGCAATACAAAGCCCTGGCAGCGTGTAGGCGAGACGAGATGGATCCAAGCCAACTTCCGCCAACGACCCTCTCCCTTGGACGCTCGCTCGCCGTCGTCTGTGCTGGACGGCAGGTGTATGGTTGCGTCCGCAACGGTTAGATATGCACAGTCTAGGACAGCGCGGACAGCCCTGTGTGGTCGGACGGTCTTGCTGGCCCGCTCCCCTCTCCTCACTGTTCGCAGGCGGCTACGATTTATGGATAACACGCTAGTACGGACAGATGCAATAGCTTCCCCTCACCGCACTGACCAGCCGTACAGCTCAAACGCCCCCGGGATACCTGCGCTGGCGAGCCACCCGATCCCGCTGTACACCACGACCTTGGTCAAGACGTCCGCGTCGAGGTGTCCCGACTCTTCTGCTGCGCCATTCGAGAGCGACGAGCGGTGAGGAGAGGCGGCTGTTCCGCCTGATTTGTGGAGCGGAGGAGCCTCGAGTGAGCCGGGAGGGGGAGGAGCGAAGGACGAGCGGTTGCGCAGGTCTTTGCCGTTTGAGAGGGATGAGGAGAGCGAAGAGGTCGCGCCGCGCGAGAGGCTGGGCGAGACTTCGGCTTCGTCCACGAGGGAGGGGAGATCGAGAATCGAAGGGACCGGGTCGAGCGAGGTCGTCGGAGGGTAAGCCTCATCTGCGAAACAATTGGCAAGCTACGTCAGCGGATTGCTTCGTAGAGCAAATTGTGTGACTGAATAACGCACACTCGGTCGCCGGCTTGTACCCACGCCGCGGCAGCCGAATGAGCGGCGCGAAGAAGCGGAAGAGCGGCGGTAGGACGAGATGGCAGACCTGCTTCGCGACGATGCGCCAAACAAGGATAGTCGAGATGCCTGTCAGACCGATACGTCTCCGTGTCAGCGAGAATCCCAGCAAAGGCGGAGGAAGCTTGACGCACCAACGACCAGCTTGAGCAGAACAGACGCAGCCCACACCCCGACTTCGCTTCCGCTCCGCCACTCGTGGCCGTACGTCGTGCTCGCGAATCCTTCGGGCCAGTAGGCATCGCGCATGGTGACACCTTGAACGACCGAGAGGAAAGCGACGGCGTCTTCGAAGCAGGGGCATTCTTCGGCCGGCTGCGGGTATTTACAGGGGAGTGAGTATCTCGCGGCTCGCAGACCAAGAGGCGAGGCATTCGCGCTTGGTCAAGCTTGTTCGCGACTCACCTCGGGATGGAAGGTAACGAGCGCAAGCAAGATCGGAATAGAGGCGAGCGTCGCCTTCCAGGTCGTGCCGAAGATAAGAGGGTCGACGACGGGTAGGATGGCGCGGTGGAGTGTGAAGATGAGGATGCCAATGAGTGAGCCGACTGCGACGTCTGTCATCGAGTGCTGAGGGGAAGCAGTGTCAGCGGTCGCTCAATCTGCTACGAAATAGGCGGACGACGCACCATGCCGGTGTAGAGCCTTCCAAACGTGACGCTCCAAGCGAAGAAAGCGGCGAATCCGACCGCTCCAGCCGAGATCGCCCAGTGCCCTTCCCACCTATCCAGCACCAGACCCGCGAAGAAGAGCGCCATCGAGCACGCGTTTGACGAGTGTGTAGAGGGGAAGCCGTATTCGAGAGCGTGCGAACCGACGGAGAGACGGACGACTGGAGGGGAGTATGGGCGCGGGACGGAGAAGGCGTCTTTCGCGACTGACGTGACGTAGGCGCCTGCGAGACGTCGCGAAGGGGTCAGGAGCTGTGAGCTGGCTAGTTGCAAGAGGGATGGGCTGCCTACCGATAGCGAGGACGTGCAGAAGCCTGCGGATAAACGAAAGTCAGCGGAACGTTTCGGGCAGTTGAAGGAGGAGCCGACGCACCCCCTACCAATGTGAGCGTCGCCGAACCAGTACCAGAGCGGCAGGAAGATCATGAAGAAGCTGCGTGAGGCGCAAACGAGAACTGCGAGTGAGTTCTCATACCGAACAATGTCTCCGCGAATGCACTTCAGCTCACGTGTGCGTTCCCAGCAGACTCGTTTTGACAAAGTACTCGTCTCGGAAGGGCGTCCGCCAGCGAGTCTGGGTTGCGTAACGCTCAGCGTCGGCGGTGCGTGCGAGACGAAGAGGAAGAAGCGACGCACCTGGATGCCCTGCAGCGTGTCCATCTCCTTACTCAGCCTCTGCATGAGCTTCTGTCGGATCCAGAACCGCCAGCCGGGCATCATGCTCCTGTAATACTCCTCTTCCCGACATCCAACGGCCAACTGCTCCTCCTCGCCAACAACCGCATCTCCGACGTCCTTTCGCAGCGTTCCATCCGCAGAGTCCTCTGAGGGGGTGCTGGACCCCGTCGACGAGCGCGACGGTGTTGTGGGCGCTCGTCGAGGCATCGAAGTCCGGCCGGGAAGGAACAAAGCGGTGAGGGGGTGCAGGCGGATGCGCTGGCGCGCTGGATCGGTTCGGCTGGCACGGCAAGCACTCTGAGCAGTCTCTGCAGCCCCAGCAAGCCCTCAGCAGCCGAGCAGACCGTGTGTGGACGAAGCCAACTCGCTCGCGCTGCTCTTCATCATTTCGAACACCTCGAAGTCGCTCAACCTCCGCTTGCGGGCTCATAGACGCGTTCAGACTCTCGCTAGAATACCTTAGACCACAGCCATGCCCGTCGAAATCACCGTCAAGGGCCTCCTCTTCGACATGTGCGCGCGACTCGTCTCACGTTCGGAGGCTTCGGGTCGCCTCGCCGTCCCTCTTGACGGCAGCTGACATTCTGCACCGCATTTTCGACGCACAGGGACGGCACCCTAGTCGACTCGACACCTGCCGTGCGTCCAATCTCCCTCCCTAGCCCACTTCCACCTGAAGGATGCTGACACTTCCTGGCGTCGTTCGGATGCACAGGTGGAGAAGACGATGGGCGACTGGTGCCACGAGCAGGGCATCGAGCCGTCCGAGTTCTTCCAGCATTCGCACGGTGCGTTTCCGTTCCTTCTGGTATTTCTCCCTTGGCTCCCTTCTCCAATCCGCTAGCACCCGCTGCGCTTCTTGAAGTACGTGCACTCACACGGCTTCCTGTTCTCCTGCAGGCGTCCGAACCCAGGACAACATCAAGCGATTCCAGCGCGTCCCCGTCCCCGGCACCTCGCTCTCGGAAGAAGAGCTCGTCAACTCGGTCAACAAGCTCGAGTGGCTCATCGCCGAGAACGGCCGGCTAATGCACGAGGCTGGAGGAAAGGGAATTGAGCGGCTGCCGGGCGCGAAGGAGTTGCTTGATGCGTTGCGGGCCGGCGGAGCGCGATGGGGCATCTGCACGAGTGGTGAGCCATGCAGCCTCCTCCGTTCTCTGCTTGCGACGGTCGCTGAACTCTTGATTGCAGCTACTCGCACCTACGCATCTTCGGCGCTCAAGACGGGCGAGATCGGCGCAGAACCTCCCGCGCTGCCTTTCCTCGTCACCGCAAACGATGTCACGCACGGCAAGCCTCACCCTGAGCCGTACTTGAAGGGCTTGGACGGTGCGTCATGCCGCCCTTGCCGCCCCGCAGCAGCTCAGGTTAACAGCTCTCGACCGCAGAGCTCCGACAACTTCCTGGCGCCGCCTTCGAGCCTTCCGACATCCTCGTCGTCGAGGATGCGCCTTCAGGGCTCAAGTCTGGCTTGGCGGCAGGCTGCAAGACACTTGGTGTCGCGACGGGCCAGCCGCTCGAGCGTTTCCGGACGTTCGAGGCAACGGTTAAGACGATGGACTTGACGAGGTACGCTTTCCACGCCGTCCTGCTCTGCCGTCAGAGTCGCTGACTGTTGCCATATCACAGGGTGGAGGTCGTGAGCGCCAGCCCCGACGCTGTCACGCTGAGGATCATGACGCTCGAGGAGGAAGAGTCGGAAAAGACCAATGGGACCGCCTAATCTTTGCGCCTGTTCCGCAACCTGATAGACGTTATCCTGCATACTATACGTGAACAGTGTCCAAGTCTCTATCTCGCGAGTCGTGAGCTTGCCAGCAGCCTTTCCGCCTCTCCCTCGACCTCCTCACTCTCCCGCTCAGCCCTTTCACCCTGCTTGGCAACCGCTGCACGGATCCGATTTAAACTGCCTACGGAACGCCAGCTGACCTCTTTGGCTGTCCTGGTCGAGCGGATCCGTCTCCCCTTCATCAGTCAACGCACCCCGTTCACTTGCTCCCTAGCAGCGAGCATGCTCTCCGATCTCCTGAGCGTGCTGTCTCCCCCTCTCGAGGCGTTGTTGTCGCTCGTGCTACCCTCCACTATAGCATCGCAGCGGTCGTTGCCCTTCACAGCGCCGCCATCAAGGTCTCCTTCTCCTTTGCCTTCTCGCCGCCACTCGCCGCCGCCTCCTGACGACGCCCATTCCGGCGAAGACCATCTTCCCATCCACCCCGACCAGCTACTACCGGTCCCGGGCGCAAGTTGTCCCTTCCCCCTTCCGCAACCATCGTACGCTCGGAGGAATGGCGAGTTACTGCAGGGCTTCTTGGGTAACGGTGTCTGGAAAGTCGACTACCAGGGCAACAGAATGATCCTCAAAGGTGGACCGAATATCACCAAGTCAGAAGCTGAGACGACGGAGTTTGTACGAGCGCGAACGACGATACCTGTTCCAAAGGCGCGTCTCCCGCTCAGTCGCGCCGTAAAGCTCGGCCGACCTGCTCACACGCCTCCTTCGCAACAGGTGTACGGCGTTGTACAGGATGGCGACTCGACGTTCATCTTCTTCGAGTATATCGAGGGCACGCCGCTGAACCACCTCTTCGACGAGCCCGACCCGGCCTTCGTCGACTCGATCTGCCAGCAGCTCAGCCAGATGCTCGACGAGTTGCACGCGCTCGCGGCGCCGCCAGGTACCGCCATCGGCAGCCTCGACGGCAATACTTTTGCCCTCTCTCCTCGTCAGGACAACACGGCTTTGCGCGAAATCGGACTACCGACAACCTCAGCCGCTCTTATCGACTACCTTCATTCGCGCTACCTCACCTGCGAGAACCCCACCGAACAAGCCTGGCGCGAGGTAGAGGCGCACCTCGATATATCCGCCCCGCTCGTCTTCATCCACGGCGACATCCACGAAGCGAACATCCTCATCGTGACTGGGCAAGACGGCTGCTCGAGGATTGTCGGTCTCCTTGACTGGGAAATGGCCGGGTATTACCCCGAGTGGATGGAGTATCCCGCCGTGGAGCGCAGAGCCGATGCCTGCACAATGGCGACCGCCTTGATGAAGACTGTCTGCGGACGCGCGACAGGCTTTTCTGACGACACGGTCGACTACGAGTGGATTGCGGATATGCGCGGGGCGCTCTCTTCCTTTGAATTTTGAACCGGCACTTTGGAACGCTCCACGTCGCTCTGTGATACTTCATTTCCCTGCCGAATCCCGAGGATTCATGCGCAATTGCAGGCGGTTCATCACAGACGTACTAAGGTTACTCGAGTGCGGACGAGTGCGGACGAACGATGGCTTCCAAGCCTCCCTTCTCCCTCTTACCCGCTGTGCACACTGCTCGACTCGGCTGCGAATGGCCGGAAGCGATTGCTTTGCACAACGGCGCTGCCACCGCTCCCCTTAGCCTTTGCACGGTGACGTCCCCTCATCGTCTTCATCAGTCGGACCACATTCCTCTTCCTCCTTCACCGCGACCATGCTGTCCGAAGTCCTGGGCGTCCTGCCATGGCTGGCAAAGATAGTTTTCTTGCACAGCGATACATCGCCGCTACCGGCGTCCGCCTCCTTCGCGCCTTCTTCCCCGATACGATCCCGCACTCAGTCGCCGCCGCCTGCAGACGACAGCCACGCTCCCAGGGAGCTTCACTCCGAAGTCGACCAATGCCCCGTCCCGCCTCATGAGCTGCTGCCCATCCCGGGAGCGAGCTGCCACTTCCCACTTCCGCGACCTTCTTACGTTCGCCTTGCGGGTGAGGTGCTGCAGGAGTCGATGGGGGACACTGTCTGGAAGATCCGATATGCTGGGACCAGTATGGTTGTCAAAGGCGGACCAGGTATCACCAAGTCGGAAGCCGAGATGACGGTGTTCGTTCGAGCGAAGACCACGATACCGGTTCCGCAGGCGAGTCCTTAGAACGCCTGCGCTGCGAACATTCGCTGATGAACTCTCGTCAGCAGGTCTACGGCGTTGTGCGCGAAGGCGTCGCAACCTACATCTATCTCGAGTATATCGAAGGCGAGGCGCTCCACTGGGCGGCGCCGAAATTGGGCTCGGATGGCCTTTCGACGATCTCTGCGCAACTGCGGCGCATGCTTGATGAACTGCACTCGCTCGTCGCGCCCGAAGGAGCCGCTATGGGCAGTCTCGACGGCAGCAACCTTTTCGCCTTCAGATGCCGCGAAGACAACGCGAAAGTCCGCCAACTCGGGGCAACGGCTTCGACGAGCGCTTTGATCGACAACTATCTTCGCCCGCGCTACCTTTGCAAACAAGGCAACACCCCGGAAGGGTGGGCTACTATCGACGCGCATCTCGACCGATCCGCCCCGCTCGTCTTCATCCACGGCGACATCCACGCCGCGAACATCCTAGTATCGGAGAACGAGGGAAAACCGGAAATAGTCGCCATCATCGACTGGGAGTGCGCAGGCTTCTACCCGGAGTGGGTGGAGTACAGGGCGCCCGCTCGAAGGGCTGAAAGCGGCAAGTCGTTGACGGCTACCACGGTGATGATGGCTGTCTGCGGGCCCGCTGTCGGCTTTTCGAAACGCGCGCGCGACTACGAGTGGATTAAGGAGCTCAGGCGTACCTTCTGAGATGTCACAACGGTTCGACCATCCTCGACGTCTTCGCGGTCATTGACAGGACGGGCGTGGTCGCGGCGAGGAACACCTGGCAAGTCGCGTCGCTCATCGAGTCCCGCCGCACGCTCGGCCTCAAGGAGTACACGGACTTCACCGGGTGGAACCCGGACAAGGACACCGCCGAGACCGCTTGCCGCATCTACAAGCATGTCGACAACCTCGAGCTCTACCCGGTCTTGATGGCGGAGCAGCCGAAGCCTTCGCAGGAGGGATCCGGTCTCGCTCCGGGCTACACCATCTCGCACGCCATCCTCTCGGACGCCGCCGCCCTCGTCCGCGGCGACCGCTTCGGGGCTGGATTGTACGAAGCTCTAGCCGGAAGGAGAGAGGAAATGAGGATGAGACTTGCTCGCTTGCGTTCAGCGGGAACGCACCCAGGTCCATTCGACGCCGAGTTCATCCGTAAAAGGTTGCAATCGAGGAAAGTTGGGCCGTAGTGCTACGAAACTGCGCTCTCGTCTTGCCAGAGTGTCCTGCGGGCTCGAAGGAAGCGCTGCGACTCGGACGACAGCGCTCGGTGGAGAAGGCCGTCTCGCTCTTCATTCCGAAGTCTCCCTCTTCTGCTGCTGTGCTGCCACGATGGTCTTGCTAGAGGCTGGACTGCTGCTATCCGCCTCACTGGCCGCTGCCTCGCCCGTTGGAACCGGCTCCCAGGTCGTCTTGGCGAACCCGCCATCGAGTACGCTCCATCTCAGCCGACAGCGCCTCGCAGGCTTCGCTATGGAGCTCAACTGACGCGAATCCATTCCCACAGGCTTCTCTGGCCTGCCCAAGATCCCTCGTGCGCTCCTTCTCAGCACTCGCATGACGTCGTTCGCTGATCTCCTTTGTCCGGCAGATGGACCGTTCAACCCGCTGGACCACATGAGCGGGTGCGATCAGCCCCTCTACGACTTGCGAGAAAGCAGCTGACCCGAGCGCAACAGCATCGCGCCGTACCACGACGCTCCCTATGCCGACATCCGCCCTCCTCCCACTTGCGCCGTCACCGCAGCGGCATTCCTCATGCGACACTCGTCCATCTACGCCAATGACGATGAATTCGATGACTACATGGAGCCGTTCATCGAGCGCGTCAAGAAGGCGCAGAAGAAGGGCGTCTCGATCCCCTCGAACTCGCCTCTCGCTTTCCTCGCGCACTGGAAGAGCCTCATCAACGACGACAACCTCGAGAAGATCACACCTCCTGGCAAGGAGGACGCGGAAGAGTTTGGGAAACGGTTCAGGAAGTTGTACGGCAAGCTGTTGCCGCCGGCGGATTTGGGCAAGGAGAAGAAGTCGAAGGACAAGAAGGGGAAGAAGGGGCACAAGAAGCCGCCGTTCAAAGTCTGGTCGGCGTCCTCAAGCCGTGACGTCGAGACGAGCAAGGCCTGGGTCCGCGGAGCGTTCCCGTCGTGGCAGGAGGGACACGAGGGCGAGGGCGACGGAGACGTCGTCCAGCTCGTCCGCGTCGACAACAAGAATGCGAGCTGGGCCGACTCGCTCACGCCGCACAAGATCTGTGACCGCTTCACGAAGGAGACGGGAAAGCCCAAGGCGCAAGAATGGCTTGAGGTCTACGGTCCGCCAGCTCTTGAGCGCTTGAACGGCTTTGCGCCTGGTTTCGACTTCCAGCTGGAGGACGTGATCGCGATGCAGATGATGTGCGGATACGAGACTGTGGTGCGTGCGCCCCCTCCTTCGGCACCTTGCCTCGCTGACAGGCGATCCGTCGCAGATCTCCAAGTCCCGCTCCTCGCCGTTCTGCTCGACTGAGCTCTTCACGCCGGACGACTTCCGGAGCTTTGGCTACTGGAACGATCTGCTGTACCACTATATGGTACGCCGAGCAGTTTCTTGACGCTCGCAGGAAGTCTGACGGGTTCCGTCGTGCAGGTCGGGTACGGCACCGACGTCAGCCCTTACCTCGGCGCGCAGTGGCTCAATGTCTCGGCGCACAACCTCCTCTCCGCCTACGGCCCGCCTCACCCGCACCCGAACGTCTCGACTACCGGCGCGAAACTTCCGGCACCTGAACTCCCGCCTGACGCGACCCACACCCAGCTTCTCTTCCCCTACTTCACCCACCGAGAAGAGCCTCCCGTCGCTCTCGTCGCCCTCGGCTTGTGGAATACTTCGACGGAGGAGCTGCCGACCGATCGCATGCCGAAGGACCGGATATGGAAGACGTCGCACCTCCTTCCGTTCCTCGGTCACGTCGCCATCGAACGCTTGAGCTGCGATGCACAAGACGAGCTCGCCGCATCGCCTCGAAGCTGGACGTCCCGCTTCGCAGACGCCTTCCACCTCTCGCGAGGGGACGAGGACAAGCCGCTCAAGGAGGAGTTTATTCGGGTCCTCGTCAACGGCGCACCGCAGCAAATCGAGTGCAACGACGGACCAGGCGGGACGTGCAAGATGGATGACTTTGCCAAGTTCGTTGCGCGGCGGATGGAGCTGTTTGGAGACTTCAAGGGGGCGTGCAAGAAGGAGGACGAGTAGAATGCCGCCGCATAGACACTCTCAGTGCACTGTATCGCATTCCACGGCTAGGACCGTCAAAGGAAACGCTTCAGCAGTTGTGAGAGCGAGGAGAAGAGTGAACTCCGCAGGTTGACATCTTGCCTCCCGGGCAACCTCGCTGAATCGCTTTCGTACTGCCTGCTCCAGCTTAGAACTACTTTGTTGTATGCTTGCGACGCCGCCCATCCACGCCCCGCTCGAGCAGCCCGTCTACCCTCCTCCTCGCGCGTCCATCTCAAACAGCCCTGCCCTTCTCCACGGCGCCTCGCTAGGCCAACCGGCGTCTCGTACACCTCAAACCGAGCTTCATCGCCATGCCAAGGCTGCGCGGGAGGCGCTCGATCGTGTGAAACGGCTTGCAGACCAGGTGGACGGGCCCACCTCAGGTGGGGAAGGGAGTGAGGGGGGACAAGGCGTGCGTTGCTGGCTACCACCTCGACTGCAGCAGAAACTAATTCCATTGTGCAGTGCATCATCGCGAACCTCGAAGCGCACGGATGGGAGTTCCAGACCACGACGAGCGAGGTCCGCATCTTTCACGGCCGAGCGCAGGACGTGCTGGGCACGAACGGCGCGCCAGTATCCACAGCCGCGCCTCAAGAGCAGCTCAGGCAGAGCGGCACGTTCGGGACGCCCGGAGACAGTCGCTTGAACCTCTCTCGAAGGTCCTCGCGCTTCGACGGCTCGACTGGCCAGCGCCTGTCAACGGGACCTGCGAGTCGAGGGCTGAGGGCAGACGAAGCGCTCCCGTTCTTCCGAGGCGAAGGCTGGATTGAGGGGAGTTGGCGGCGAGAGGACGTTATGTTCGTCTGATTCTCCCATCAAAGCGCGAACTACCCGCTTATCTTCTTTCTTGCAGCGCTACCATCGCCTCTCTCGGTGCACGAGCGGTGTGGGACCCTCGGCTCGACAGCGCGAAGAGTCAGGTGATCCAGCACCTGAGCGAGACCGACTCGTCTGTCTGGCGTCCTCCTCAATCAGCAACTCTCCGCTGACTCTCATGCTTGCAGTCTCGCCCACCTGACCATCAAGAGCAACCTTGTATCGAGCCGCGACGCCTGCATCGTCACGACTTGGGCCGAGGATGATCGACCGGGGAAACGCAGTAATACCTCCTACATCGCCAGCACCTCAGTCGAAGATCCGCTCATCCCACGGACCGGCACTCGTACGACCATTCACATCAACGCTTTCGCTCTCCGTTCGCTCCCTCAAGCACCCGACTTCGAACCCTGTCCTCCTCCTCCTTCCGAGATTCCCTCGCCGCCGCCACGACCAGCACACCGGCGCACGCGATCAATAGCGCCTCTCAGCAGTAGCGCTCTCCTCGGTACAATCCCGCTCCCGCCTCTCCCGTCCTTTGCCAGCGACGATGCCTCCTCCCCTCCTCAGCGACCACAGCTGCTCGGATCCGCAACCCACATTGGCGCTCTCACAGCTGCACAGCTTCACCCAGTGCCTCCACCTCTCGTACACGCCATCTCAAACTACACCTCTGCGACTGGCTCGACAGAAGGTCCTGCTTTCTACCCGCCCTTCATCCAAGACAGCGAGCGCACCCGCGGACCTGCACCAAAGCGCGGTTCCGTCATGCGGCCGCACTTCCAAGGCCCAGGACTCGCCGTCTCAATGGTCGTCCATGCCTCTCCCGGATACAACCTGCCGCAGACGACTGTCAATCAGCTCTCCCTGCACCTCCCGCTTTCGATCGCCTCCATCGGCCGCTTCCTCGCGACGCACGGCTTCGCACCGCATATCGTTCGCTCGTGCGGCCGGATACACGTCCGTGAGGAGGACTTTGACGCGCAGGCGGGCAGGTACCGCGTCATCTTCACCGTCGCGGATGACTCGCGAGACGATGGGCACGAGGCGAGAGTGCGCTTCTTCGGCGGGACGTTCGGCAAGGGCAGGTTCAGCCTCGAGGTGGAGAACGTTGACCCGGATGCCTGGCGGCTCGACTTTGACGCCCCGCCGCCTGAGTCTGGACGGGATCGTCTGGACCAGCAGAGGACGTCGGAAGAGATCGGAGCGAATGGTTCTGGTTTGTGGCGGAGCGTGCTCCGAGTTGCGACAAAGGCGGCTGGCGAAGACGGAGAAGCGAAGCAAGGGCGAAGGGGTTCGGCGACATCCTTGCTCTCGCCGATTGAACGGGACGACTCTGAGATGCAAGACCCCGCACTCGCGCCTGGGGCGCTCGGTGGCTGCACTCTCGTTATCCCGTCTTCCGCCACACGACCGCACCTCCCTGTCATCGTCAGCATCACTCGCACGACTTCCGAAGCGACCGGTCTGCCGCTCGTCAAGATGCGCGGCATGTCGACCGCCTTGGCGCAGGCCGCCCAAGTTGCCCTCGACGACCACTACTCGCTTTGCACGAGCGTGGAGGAGCTGCTCGAATACGGTCAGGAAGGTAGTGAGGAGCGCGCCGAGGTCTGCCTTCGCGGCGCTCGCTCGGTCTTACGGGAGCTCGAGGTGGCTCGCGAGCGAGAAGCGGCGAAGGCGGCGGCAGCGGCAGCGGCAGCGGCGTTCGCAGCCGGCAGACGGCGACGCTCTTCTTCCGCCGGCTCGACCCGCCCGTCCCTCTCGATTTTCACCAACAGTCTCTTCCAGTCTCGCGTACGACCTGTCGCCAGCCCCATCTCTCCAGCGACCAAGGTTCCGCCTCCAGCCGTTCCCTGACCGCAATGCACCCGTTCGCGACCAAGTCACACTGCCAACAACCTCCTAACTTGGCTCGACGCTCTGTTCGCTCTCTTTGTCTGCGCTTCGTCCTTCTGACAGGCATCGCCTCGATCACGCGGTCAGCCCGACCGAACAGGAGCCTCGCTTCGCGCGCTCTCGCCGACCTCGTCCGCCCCTCTCTCCTTCCTGCTTCTCCCCATGGATCGTGCTATTTACGCAGCTGCCCCTCGAGGGCCTACCAAGCATCCGCCGCATCGCTCAGATGACCATGTACGCGACCCGTCGTCCCCAACTCCCACCGATCCGTTCGATACCTTGCCTCGCCCGTCACCTCCCGCCTCCTTCTTCGCCTACACCGCCCGTCCCTATCCCGCTGCCACGCTCGAGGCCGATCGAAGTGCTCGACCTCGTCGACAGCGACTCGGAGACGGAGGACTCGACCTCTGCGACCCGTTCGGGACGTCCTTCGTCCACCTCCTCCCCGTCCGTCGCGCACAGTACAGCGTCTCGACCCAGCAAGCAGTCTACGCAGCGAAGTTCGCTCTCTACGTGCGTGGCTCGCCCTTCCTTCACCTCATTCCTGTGCTGACCTCGTTCGCTCCTGTCGACAGCCAGGTGCGCCGGCTTGTCCGGCCGACCTCCGATCCTCGTGATGTCCCCGCTGACCTTCAGTCTCGTGCAGAGGCTCCAGGCTGGCTACGTTGCTGCGCCACTTTCCCAGGAATGCGTCAAGAACGACTTTTTGCAGGCTTCCGAGGATAACGCGGTGAGTTGCCTCGCGCCCTGCCTCCGAATCTTCGGCACTAACGCAGCCCCTCGCCCAGAACAAGGGCAGCAAGAACAATTTCAAGAAGCGGTCGACTGCCTCGCTCACGCCGAAGATCCGCCGTCCTCCCTTGTACCGCTCGCCTGTCCGCCGCCCTTGCGCTCTCCCGTCCCACGCTCATCAGCAGCCGTATCCGACACGAGCTGCACCGCCCTCGCATGACGCTGTATCAGCCGCCAGCTGCGGAGTCCGTCCTTCACTCGCCGTCCTTCGCCGCAGGTCCGACCAGCAGGCCTGCTCGACCTCGCTTCCGACCCCGCCTCTCTCCTACTTCTCCACCCAGTCTTACGTCTGACTTGCGCTCTCTCTCATGTCTCCCTTGACCCATCACCCCGCCCACACTTGTCTGTCCGCCTCAGTCTGCTCCACCCATACCCGTCACTTATCTCGTCTGCTGTATCGTCGGTCCGTGCCTCTCCCCCCGTTCTACCCTTCACGCACATATTGCGCTCTCCTATCGATGTACCCCTCTCACGACTTTTCCTTCCCGCGCTCGCTTTCTCTGCTGTCGTTCCCTCTCCCTCGTTTTGTAGATTCTGTCCGTCCTGCAAGACCCAGCTCATCACACACGACTCAAACAGATCCTTTGCACACGTCATGATCGTCACGAGGCTCCGAGAAACCGATACAGACTCCAAACAACGGAAGAGAAGGACGGACACCCTGATTCGCACAACCCGCTCACTTGGTCAACACCTGCTGGACCTTTGTACCGCCCGCCAGGTCCGCCTCGCTCTTCCCGCCTCCGACGACGCCTTTGTCTTCGGTCAAGGCTGGCTCGAACTTGAGTGCTGCGTCGGTGACGGAGTTGAGCGCCTCTGCGGGATCGGGGGCGGTCAAGTCAGCTCGCGTTGTTGACTTTGAGAGTGTGGACGAATGCAACGGATGCAAACGGAGGAGGAAGAGAGCGAGACGTACCCTGTCGAGGACCGTGGAACCAGTGCCGGGCCCAGCCGAACCACGAAATTATGATGTAGAGGAAGACGATGCCGACGGCGACTGGGGCGTAGTTGAGCGTTTGCGAGTTGACTGGGAGTCGATTAGAATGTGTGAGGACGAGTGATCAGCGATTCGCTGAATGGGGAGACGAAGGACGATTTGGGTGGAAGGTAAAAAGCGAAGGGAGGCGACGGACCAGGGCTGATAGTCGGCAGGCAGAAGACGACGGTGATAAAGATGACGTAGCCAGTCGCGATGATTGCACAAGGCCTGCAAGCGAAAGGATGAGCAAGCGAAGCGTTTCGAGGCGAAGAGGACGAGGAAGCGCAGAAACCGAAACTGACCTCGAGAAAGCGCCGAGGTGGAACGGCCCACGGATTGCACGGCAGCGGTGCTGGTCGAAAGCGAGTCCGATAGCGATCGGGAGGACGTAGGAGATGTATAAGCCGCTGGAAGGAGGGGAATTGGGAAGGTCAGCTCGGGATCGTCCATAGTCGCGCCGTACAAGCCCAGAGACCGTACGTACATCGTGGCGATGGATGTCACTGCCACATACGCGACTGTCGAGCCCAATGACGGTAGCGCGAGGCAGAAGGCGAGGAGTACGGCGAGCCAGACAGTCCTCACGGGCACCTGCGTCCGCTTATCGACATGGTCGAACCAGCCGAACAGGGCGCGGTCGCGACTGAAAGCGTAGAACATGCGCGAGTTGGAAGTGACGGAGAATGTGCCGCAAAGGGTGATGCAACAGATAATTATCGCCGCAGCGGCCGTGCCTCCGTTCTGGCCGAATACGTCGACGAAGATCTGGAGGACCGGCTGGCCGGTTGCTGGGACGACGGTGCTGTCGTAGCCTTGCATCGAGAAGAGGAGCGAGACGAGGTAGAAGAAGCCGAAGACTGTCGAGACGCCGACGGACCTGCGAACATTGGGTGTTCCGAGAGTCAGTAGCGGCTCCCATGAGCCGGCGCACGGTCGTCGGGGCACATCCGACAGGGGAAGCAAGCAGAGTCACGGAGTAAAGACGGAACGAAGGCGCGAAATCGACACGCACATGATGACACCGATAGGGGCCGCACGGCCAGCGTCCTTCGTCTCCTCCGCCATGTGCGCGCTGGCGTCGAAGCCTACGATTCCGCCAGAAGCGGTTCAGCTGAGTAAAACATGAGAAGAAAGGCCAGTGACGAACCAGTGATTGTGAATTGCGCGAGGAGGATACTGTCGAGCCAAGGGAGTCAGCGAATCAGCCCATGGCCTGTGCAACAGCATCTTGGAAGCCTGTGCAGTCCTCGAGAGTCGCAAGGAAGGAACGAAGAACGCACCCAGTCAAGGCGACATACGCCGGGCTCGCCCTCTCTCCCCACCCCGACTCGTCATGATACGTCGCAAACACCTCCCTCGCCGTCTGATGCGTCGGAGCCTTCGCAAGCAACGCCACGCAGATGGAGAACACTCCGACCGAGTGAATCAAGATCGAGAAGCGGTTGAGGTGGCCGAGGAAACGGATCCCGACGGTGTTTACTAGACCGGCGAAGATCAGGAGGGCGGCGTGGATGCCGATTACACGTGGGGCGGTGATGACAAAGCCGCGGAGGGCGGCGACGGTTGCGACTGCGGAAGGAAAAGGTCAGGTTCCGGCTGTAAAGGAGCGAAGAGAGGACCCACTGAACGTCGCGTTGCCGAAGACGATGGCGGTCGTCACGCCTGCTTGACCGAGAAAGTTGAACCAGCCGGTGCAGTAGGCGGCGAACCTGGACCCGTTTCAAGATGAGCGGAAAAGATGTGGTATCGCGGGAGAGGAAGCAACGCACGGCGACCACCTCTCGCGCGCCAGTACTGAGCTCCAGGCGTAGGGTCCAGCAGCCGACGGAATAGCCGATACGACCTCCGCCATCGACAACGCGACGAACCTGCGCACGAGATAAGCGGTCACGGGCTTGTCCTGGCTTCACAAGCGCGAAGAGGACATACATGGTCATTGCCGAGACGCAGATCCATCCGATAGACATGACTCCAGGTCCGCCGTTCGTCAGGCCCAGCGAGAAGGAGGTCGTGATGCCGGTACACTGCGAGGGAGGAGCGGGAGGAGGAGGAGGAGGAGGGTTAAATCACTTTGTCGCGGCAGGATTGAAGGGCGGGACTCACGATTGAGATGATGGAGAAGGATATACCGAAGCTCTCGAGCGCAGACCATCCACGCGTGAGCTCTGCGGCGTCCTTCAAGATCAGCGAGACGAACGAGACCCTCCAAGGCAGCTGAACGCACCCTGCTCGTATCCAAGCTGCGCAAGCCTATCCGCATCGTCTACGTATCCGTGTGGATGCTGCTGGGCTTCTGCAGTCGAGGGCGAGAGGTGTTTCGCGAGTGAGGGCGGCGAAGAAGGATCCATGATCTCGCGGGTGTCGTTTCCGTCCGTCCGAAAGCGCGGCGATAGGGTGGGTCTCTAGCCTGAGTCCAGTCCGCGAGTGTCCAGTCTTGTGCAGGGTGTGCAGCGTCGTAGCAGGTGAGGAGGGCTTATCGAGGTGTCGAGCGGGGGACAAGCAGCGGAGCAATCGAGGCGGCTGGCCCCACACCAAAGAGTAGCCGCCCAGTCTGGATGAGTACGGCGTTGCAGAGTCGCGTCTGTAGAGGTTTCGAGCAGAGAGCGAGGGCGAGAGGAGGTCGAGGACAACGAGAGGAGCGACCTTCGCAGGCGCAGCGTGGAGAGGAGGCCAGCGGACCAGGACCTCGCTCGTCACCGAACACCAGTCCTGCGCCTGCAAACAGCCTGCAGCGTCGAACCAGCGTCGCATCCAAGCGAAACACGTCGAGAGCGAGGAGGAATGGAGGGAGAGAGACGAAGAGCGAGCGAGGAGCCAAAGTCGTGCGGCGAAAAGCCCTCTCGTGCGAGAACCGCGTGGCTTGACGACGAGGCGGCAATGTCGCTGTGGTTCATCGAACAGAGGCGAGTGAGAGAGTGCGACATGGCGAGCCGTCGTGAAGGATGGAGAAAAGAGCGCGAGGAGAGAGAAAGCGAAAGAGGCGGCTCGTGGCATCGCATCCCTCTAGCGCTGATCCGCCATGCAGTCCCCTCCGAGCCTCATTAGCCAGAGCATCGTGAGCGATCCAGTCGGAGCGAGACGGGTCATAGTTGTACGGCTGTGCTTTTCACGGATAACCCCCTCCGAGTCGACGGATCCAGCGCTCGTCTATCCCGCCAGAATCCCGCTTAGATGCCCTCTGCAAACGCGAACGAGTCAGTACAGGACAGAGTAAGAGGGAACGGGACGCGGACGCACCACCGAGCTGCTGGTTGAGGCGCGAGACGCGCGAGGCGACCGAGAGGTCGATGGTGCGGTCACCAAAGTCGACCGTGAGACCACCGAGAACCGACTCGTTCGACTTGTACTCGAAGACGACGTTCTTGGCCTCGGACGCGACCTTGGACTGCTTGAGGGCGTCCTCGAGGCGCTTCTGGACGTCCTTGTCGAGCGGCTGCGCAGACGTGATGGTGATCTTTGCCTCGCCGCGGTAGGCCTGCATCAACTCGGCGAATCCCTCGATGACCTTGTCCGTCTCGTACAGGCGGCCGTTCTCGCTCAACACGACGAAGAGGTTGCGGGTGAGGTCCGACGCGCCCTTGGGGGAGGCGGCCTTGAGCAAGGCATCGATGCCGGCGAGCTTGTCCGACGACGAGAGGACGGGGTTCGAGAGGAAGTCGTGGATCTTGGCGTCGGCGCCGATGGTCGAACGGACACCCTTGAGGTCGGCCTCGACCTGCTGGAGGGCGCTGCGAGCGGAACGAGCTGCATGTCAGTTCCGCTCATGGCAGTCCTCCGAACTATCGTCATCATGCTCGAGTGAACCCGACTAGCCACCTCGAGCACGACTCGACAGTAGACCGGTGAGATAGGAGGGAAAGCGAGGTGAAACGCACTTCTTCTTGGCGGCAGCGGTGTAGAGCGCCGACGCATACTTGCCCGCGAGTCCTGCACCACCACGCGAGTTCCGTCAGTCCCTAGCCCAGCCGTGCGAGTGTGTGTCCGAGGAGAGCGAGGGGGTGTGGTGGTGACCGGCAACCGAGGCCCATCACGTCCTCGCCCTCCGCCTGCAACTGCGTGCTCACCGTGAAGCTGGACGGGGGGAGCCTGTGTGACAGTACGGATGGTCAGCACACGCGCGAGGGAGTGAGAGCGAGGGCGATGCGGGTCGGTTGGTGCGGGCGTTGTCGCTGGGGGATGGAGACGCACGGCGGATTGGGATGCCTGGGTGGCGTACGTGCGCACGGTGGATGCAGCCCTGCGCGTGAACATCCTGGCTAATTCTAGCTACAGACGAGCGAGTGAAGGTGAGCGAGCATCGTCGTCTTGGGCTGGCTGAGCTGGACCTCGCGCTCGCCTCTCTCGCTCACCGACTCACAGCCGCACTGCTACACCGAGAAGCACAGGGCAACAACTCAGAAAGTGAGCTCACCAACCCAGTCAAACTCCCGCTCGCTCGCGTCTTCTCCTCGCGACACACCACCCGCCCAAATCTCCCCTCGCACCAACTCGCTCTCGACAGCTCGCTGGGACTGCTGTGAATGGGACAGACACTCATGGAGAACTCTCTGAGGACACTGGGCGGGTGCGGCACGGACTGGCGCGCGGTGGGACGCAGGGACGACCACTCTCTCTGCCCGCGCGACTTGATGAAAGAGGAACAACGGGCATCTCGCGCTGCACTCCTTGGGAAGCGTGTCTGTATGCGCGATTGGGACTACAGAGAACTCCTCACTGCATACCTCTCCAGCGAACCTCTGAACTGACCTCTCGCCCTCCCCTCTCCCACTCGGCGCGCAGTGTCGTCCTTCTTCCGCAGCGCCGCCGACTCGGACAGCTCGTCGTCCGCCTCGTCCGACGAGGAAGAGCTCCGTTCCTCGGGATCGGAATCCGAGTCTGACGCGCCCGCGCCCAAGACCGCGCCCGCCGCCAAGCCCAAGCGCAACCTCCTCCGCAAGACGGGGAGCGACAGCGACTCGAGCGACTCGGACAGCGAGTCGGAGGACGAGTCGGAGAGCGAGTCGGATGAGGAACCGATGCAGCAGGAGACCAAGAAGCCTGCTCGTTCGCGTTTCCTTCGTTCCGAGGGCGCGGCGGCCGACTCGGACGACTCGAGCGACGACGAGCGCGCCAAGGTCGTCAAGAGTGCGAAGAGCAAGAGGGCGGATGAGGTCGATGCGAGTGTCAAGACGATCGAGAACGGAGCAAAGATCAACGACTGGGTCACCATCTCGAACGGTGCGTCGCGTGACGTTTAACATCCGAAGACAAGCGTACTGACATGCTCGCCCGCAGAGTTTGACAAGCTCGTCCGCCTCGCCGCTCGGCAGACCAACACGGCCGAGCCCATCCCCGTCGGGTTCTTCAAGGTCCTCTCCTCGCTCGACGAGATGGTCGCCGCGGCCCAAGGGAACCGCAAGAAGATGAACGCGACCAACGCCAAGGCCCTCAACTCGATGAAGCAAAAGGTCAAGAAGGCCCAGCGCGAACATGAGACCCAGCTCGCCAAGTACCGTGCCGACCCGGAGGAGTTTGAGCGCTCCCTCAATGCGCCAGCTGTGGCGGCGGCTGCGGCTGCGGCGGCTGCGTCCGTGCCGAAGAAGAAGGGCCCGATGGCTGTTGCGGCGGATGCGGAGGGCGACGACGACGGGTTCGAGACGGTCGGCGCGAAGGGTGCCAAGGGCGCTGCGGGCGCCAAGGAGCCCACCTCCTCGGAGGGGATCTACAAGGCCCTCGCGCAGGTTCTCGAGGCTCGTGGACGCAAGAACACGGACCGCGGCGAGCAGATCCGTACCCTCGAGGGGTTGCTCAAGGTCGCCACGACTACCTACCAGAAGGTCCGCGTCATCCTTGCGCTCATTGCGTCCCACCTCGACTACAACCTCGCTACCTCGGCGTACATGCCGCTCGAGTCGTGGACTGCCGCAAGGGAGCAGCTCGATGCGCTCGTCGCGATCCTCACGGAGGACCCGTCGTACGCCGTTCGCGAGAACGCGCCCGACTACGATGACCAGGTCGAGCGTGCGCCCAGCCAGGACGAGCCCGTCGTCGTCGTGAGGGGAAGCGTCGTCTCGCTCGTCGAGCGCCTCGACGACGAGTTCATGAAGAGCTTGCAGAACCTCGACCCGCACCAGGGCGAGTACATCGACCGCCTCAAGGACGAGAAGGTCATCTACGCCACGATCGTCGGCGCCCAGGTCCTCTTTGAGAAGACGGGCGAGCGCGAACACCTCGACCGCACCGTCATGCGCCGCCTCGAGCACATCTACTCCAAGCCGGACCTCGTCACCCGCGCGCTCGAGGCGAGCCTGCCCTCGGTCGCGAGCAAGTCGACCATCTGGGCGTCCCAGGTCGGCACCTCGACCGAGTCGTCGTTCTCGGCGCTCGCGCTCGTCCGCGCGCTCTGCATCCGCCTCTACAAGACGGAGAACTCGCTCCTCCGCACTCGCGCCATGCTCTCGCACATCTACCACTACGCCCTCCACGACGACTACTACACCGCGCGCGACATGCTCCTCATGTCGCACCTCCAGGACACGGTCGGAAACGCGGACGTCTCGACCCAGATCCTCTACAACCGCACCGTCGTCCAGGTCGGCTTGTGTGCCTTCCGCCTCGGCTTGATCCGCGAGGCCCAGTCCACCCTCCAGGAGATCTTCGCCACCCAGCGCGTCAAGGAGCTCCTCGCGCAGGGCGTCCAGGCTCAGCGCTACACGACCCTCACGCCCGAGCAGGAAAAGGCCGAGCGCCAGCGCCAGGTCCCCTTCCACATGCACATCAACCTCGAGCTCCTCGAGGTCGTCTACCTCGTCTCGTCCATGTTGCTCGAGGTCCCGCTCATGGCCCAGGCCGGCTCGGACCCGGATCAGCTCAAGAAGAAGGTCGTCTCGCGCACGTTCCGCCGCATGCTCGACTATGCGAACCGCCAGGTGTTTGTCGGACCGCCCGAGAACAAGCGCGACCACGTCATGCAGGCGACCAAGGCGCTCCAGCAGGGCGACTGGCAAAAGTGCGTCGGGCTCATCCACGCCATCAAGGTGTGGAGCTTGATGCCGAACGAGAAGGACGTCAAGGACATGCTCGCGCGCAAGATCCAGGAGGAGGGACTCCGAACATACCTCTTCACGTACTCGTCCATCTACTCGACCCTCTCGCTCGCACACCTCGCCTCCATCTTCGACCTCCCCCTCTCGACCGCCACCTCGATCGTCAGCAAGATGATCTGGGACGAGACCCTCGCCGCCTCGCTCGACCAGGTCGCCGGCGTCGTCGTCCTCCACCACGCCGCGTCGTCGTCGTCATCGGGATCGGTCGCAGCAGACGGCGGCGAGCTCTCGCACCTCCAGCGCCTCGCGCTCCAGCTCGTCGACCGCGCGACTCAGCTCACCGACTCGTCAGAGCGCTACCTCGAGTCCAAGCTCTCGCAGGGCGAGCAGCGCGCCGACGGTGTCCGCGGTGACGGACAAGGCGGGGGAGATCACCGTGGCGGCAGGGACGGGCAGCAGCGCGAGCGGCGCGGTGGCGGACGGGGTGGACGCGGAGGAGCGGGTCGGGGACGGGGAGGTGCGATGGATCGCTTCAACTCGGGTGCGCTTGGGCGGACGGTGCAGGTGTAGGCAGCCTCGGCGCGTGACTAGAATACGTTTTCCTCTTTCGAATCCTCTCGGCTGTTTCTCTCTCTCTCCTCTTTGCATGCTAGCACCCTGCACGCTCTCCTCTCGTGGGAAATGTAAAATCGCTACACGCTCTCCTCGTGTCTTATCCGTGGGAGAGACTGCTTGACTGCGATTGCGGACGGATGAAGCTACACAGGAACCCGGGAGATGGACGCTCAGAGAGGCCAGGAGCTGCGGGAGGAGGGAAGGTTAGTGGAAGCCAATGGCACTGGAGGAGAAAGCGAGACGCACAGGTCCTCACCGATGTTGTGGTGTACAGACTTGGTTGCTGCGAAGGAACGAGAGGTGTGGTCAGTATTGCCAGACTGGCCCCAGACGACCCAATGACAGTCGCTGAGGCTGCAGGCGATGGTCTCGTCGCAGCAGCCGGCGCATGCTGACTCACAGAGGTACTCCTTGATGCCCGCGAGACCGAGTTCGCGGCCGATACCGGACTGCCGCACGCCGCCGAAGGGAACGGCGTTCGAGAGGACGTTGTATTGGTTGACCCAGACGGCTGCGGACGAAAGCGGGTCAGTGAACTCCTTCTTCATTCACCAACAGCGCAGAAGGCGAAGAGCCTGTTGGCTGTGTGAAGAAAGTGGACGTACTGCCAGCGCTCAATTCGCTCGAAACGCGCATCGCCTGCTTCGCATCGCCTGACGCACGAAGTCCGTCAGTACATAGGCTCCCTCAACGAGAAAGGAGAGCAAGACGAACCTGTGAAGACACCCGCCGCAAGCCCGTAGATCGAGTCGTTGGCCATCTCGAGCGCCTCCTCCTCGCTCTTGAACGTCATGACCGACATGACCGGTCCGAAGATCTGCACGCCCGCCTGTCAGTAGTTCGCTGAAGACGCCGGAGCTGTGAGATAGCTCACCTCCTCGCGCACGCACTGCATGCTCGGCTTGCACCCCGTCAAAACGGTCGGCTCGACGTAGAACCCGCCGTTCTCGGCCTTCCACTTCTTGCCGCCCGTAGCGACCTTGGCGCCCTCCGAGACGCCCGAGTCGACGTATGAGAGGACCTTGTCCCGCTGCGCGGAGGAGATGAGCGGGCCGAAAGAGGTCGCTTCGTCGAGGGGCTGCAGTACGAGGTTTCAGTCAGCGCGAGATCGGCAAGAGGGGAGGGAGCGAACGCACGTTGCCGATCGCGCACGCCTTTGCCTTCGCAACGAGGATCTCGATAAACTTGTCGTGCACCTCCTCGTGTACCAACAAGCGCGAACCAGCGGTGCAGTCCTGACCACTGTTGAAGAAGCATCCGAGCGCCGCCCAGTTCGCCGCCTCCTCGAGGTCCGCCGAGGGGAAGACCAGGACGGGACTCTTGCCTCCCAACTCGAGCGTAACCTTCTTGAGGTTCGACTTGGCCGCAGCCTCCATGATCTTCCGGCCGGTCATGACCGACCCCGTGAAGGCGACTTTGTCGATGTCCATGTGGCTTGCGATGGCGGCGCCGGCGGTTTGGCCGAAACCGGGGACGAGGTTGACGGCGCCAGCGGGGTAGCCGGCTTCTTTGATCAGGTTGCAGAGGTAGAGGGCGCTGAGGGGCGTGAGTTCCGAGGGCTTCATGACGATCGAGCAGCCGCTGGATGGCGTGGACATTGTCAGTGCGAGATTGAGGCGCTTAGAAAAGCCAGACTCACGCAGCGAGAGCAGGAGCGACCTTCCATCCCCACATGCCAATCTGCAAGTCAAGCTGTGTCAGTGAGAGTCTGTGACAAGCGGACAGACTACGCACAGGGTAGTTCCAGGGGATGACCTGGCCAGCGACGCCGAGCGGTTCGAGGAGAGTGTACGCCAGCTTGGTCTTCGGGGCCGTCTCGATCGTCTCGCCGTGCACCTTGCCCGCCCACCCGGCGTAGTACCTGCATGAGCGATGTCAGCATCGTAGCCGAGATGCGCAGAAACGAGAGTTGCGAGCGCACCGCAAGCAGCCGATCGTGTCGCCAATGTCGAGGTCGCGCGCGATCCGGACGCCCTTTCCACCGTTGACACTCTCAATCTCGGCAAGCAACTGCTGATCCCGCTCCATCAAGTCTGCGAGCTTGAGCAACAAGCTGGCGCGCTCTTCAGGCCCGACGTTCTTGCCCCAGGTCGTCTTGAACGCCTTACGAGCCGCGGCGACAGCCTTGTCGACATCTTCTGACTTGCCGTGCGCGACAGAAGTGATCACTTGGCCGTTCGCAGGGTTGAGAACCTCGAAAGTGGACGAGTCTGCCGCGTCGTGCTGTTGATAAGGGAGGGGGAGGTCGAGAAGAGGTCAGCTAGCGCGGCGGGTATGAGCTCGTCGGGCTCGCACGCACCCACTCGTTGTTGATGAAGATGCCGGTGGGCACCTTGACCTCTTTGCCGTTGAGCTGGATCTTTGCGGAGGGCGCCATAGCGAATGAAGATGAGAAGCGGGGGAGGTGGGAGAAGTGCGCGGTGAGGTGTGCGGTGGGTTGTGTGCGGCTGATGGGCGGTGTTGTGAGTGTCCGCAGAGCAGTCCTGAGCATCCAAGCGGGAGCAAGAGAGAGCGACAGCGGCAGGACGCAAGCGGAGGTGAGTGGGGAGAAGTTAGCCGCCGCAGAAGCGCCGCGCCCAACCTCTCGCGTACAGGTAGCGGCTCCTCAGGCGGCTCCATTACCGCTCAGTTGTCACGGATAAGATACCGATTCTATTCCGTCGGATACCCCGTCAAATACTGCTCGAATTGGCGCCCTCCTCCTCCTCAAACGAACGAAATAATGGGCTTGATGACCTCGCCCTTCTTCCTGCGAGCCAGAGAGCAAGCTAGAGTCAGCGAGACAGTCGAGCGGAAGAGGAAAAGTCGAACGCACATGTCCTCGACGGCCTTGTCAAACTCTGCGACCGGGTAGACCTTCGAGATGGTCTCGACGGGGAACTCGCCGTCGGCGTGAAGTCTGTGCGCAAAGATCGGAGAGCGTCGAGACGGGTGGAAGACGAGGAAGGACGAAGCAGGCGGCTGAGGACGCACTTCATGAGGCGCGGGATGAACTGGCGCGGGCCAAGCGTCAATAGGCGGGCTTTCAAGGAATGCACTGGGCTTTCAAGGAATGCACTGAACGCGACTCACCTCTGGCGGGTTCGAGTCGCCTTCGACGAGGCCGCACCACGACTTGCTCGTGTTGACCTGGTCGTTGATGCTGCGAGAGTAGCAAGACGTCACATGCTGCGTCGTGCCTACAGTCACCTCACTCGCCGATCATGGCGAGAGGCCTGGACAGGAGAGAGACGCAGAACGCACTCGAACGGCGGCAAGACGCCCGGCCCCGGGTTTCCTACACTACACACCTTGCCACCATTCCTCACCGCCTCCCAAGCACTCCTCAGAACCCTCGCAACGCCCGTACACTCTACCGCATAGTGTGCGCCCATCCCGCCCGTCGCGGCGTGGATGTCCGCGACGAGAGAGGGAGAGGAGCCGAGGAAGGTGTGGGTCGCGCCTTGGGAGGAGGCGAGTGTGAGACGGGATTGCAGCAGGTCGACGACGATGATGGTTTTGATGCCGAGGTGGACGGCAGCCCAGAAGCTGTGTGAGGCCGAAGGCGCATCAGTTGCGGCTTTTCGAAGGAGAGAATCAACAGCACGCACGCGCCAAAGCCGACCGCACCAAGGCCAAAGATCACGATCGTCTCGTCTCGTTGCGGCTGGAACAAATTCAACACCGCTCCTGCACCACTTTGCAGTCCGCAACCGAGGGGCGCAAAGAGCGAGAGATCTGTGGAGGAGGGGACTTTGACGACGGAGGATTCGACGGCGAGGCAGTGCGAGGCGAGGGACGATTGGCCGAAGAAGGTGCCTACGACGTCAAACAGATCAGCTTCATTTGGACGAAGATGAAGCTCAGGCAACGGTAACGCACCGTGAACCTCCGTTCCTGCGCCGATAATCTTTCCCACCGGTCTCGCATCTACACTCGCATTCCGCACACGCCCAAAATTGCGCTCATAGAACTCCTTACAAGCCGCAACCTTCCCTTCCTTGCAGTACCCGCATTCTCCGCAGTGCGCAAAGGAGAGAAGGACCGAGTCGCCTTTCTGGACGGACTTGACGGCTGATCCGACGCTGACGACGGTGCCGGAGCCTTCGTGGCCTACTGTGCAGGGGTAGGGGGAAGGGAAGATTCCGGCGGGGATCAAGAAGTCGGTGTGACAACTGTTGACAAGAGAGTAGGGTCAGCACGAGTTGCGAGCGTCAACGTTTCGTGAAAGCGGACACACAGGCCGCAGGCAGTAATCTTTACAAGGACCTCTGCGGTGCAAAAGGATGAGAAACTGGTTAGCTGAGCCGGGAGAATCTCATCCGGTCCTCGAAGACGCACCATTCTCGAGCGGCTCGTCCAACTCGACATCGGTCAGCTTGAAGGGGGCGTTGACGCCTTCAACCAGGAAGGCTTGAGCCTTTGTCATTGTCGCTGGTGAAGACGGAGAAGCAGGAGAGCGAGCGACGAGCGAGATGTGGGGGGACCGACGGCGAAAGGAAGAAGCGGGCGACGCTGAGCGAGCTGGGAGCCAGTCGGCGGAGTGTCAAGCGAGTCTAGGAATAGCTTCGAGTGTCGAGCGAGTCCAGCGAAGCGCAAGCGGTGAACCGTCGAAGCCAAAGTTCTCTTCCTCATCAACCGCTGACTCTGGGAGAGCGACGAGCTCGTACGCGGACAAATGGCGCGCTGGAGAGTCCCGCGCAGGGCTCTCAGGCTACTGCGGTACATCGTCATCGCAGCCGCACTCTGCGCCGCCTGCTGCTTCTCGCGCATCTGCCAACCTCGCTGGGAACACCTCGACGCGCCTTCTACCCTCGTCCGACAAGCCCGCCAGCCAGTCGACTTTGCATGGGGGTCGATCTTGCACCGGTTCCAGAACTACCCGCGGCGGGCAAGGCGACGGGGACTGCATCCCTGGCAGGCGGAGGGCAGGTCGAAGGAAGCGGGCGTCTCTTTGGCTTCGCAGGTGGATCCGGCGCGCCGAAACAAGCCTATACGGGTTCTCATCGTCACGTCCGAGTTTGCTGGCCTGCACAAGAACGGAGGAATCGGGACGGCGTTTTCAGAGTTGGCGCATACCCTTGCGGCGGCGGGAGGAGGGCAGGAGTTCGAAGCGAGCGTTTTACTGGCGCATCTGGAGGACGTCTTTCCGGTGCAGAAGCGGGAGGAGGTGCGGGAAGAGTACGTGGACTTCGTAACCCCTCGTCGCTGCATTCGCTGACTTCGGACTCGCAGGCTCGCCTCGAAGGGTATTTCGCTACACTTCGTCGAGAAGGAACCTCGACCATTCTTCCCACAAGCGTGGACGCCGGTCGCTGCGATGCGAGTGTGGCGCTACCTGCGCTCTCGAGACGGCTCGTTCGACATCGTCCACTTTCCCGACAACACCGGCATCGGCTACTTCGCGTCGCTCGGCAAACTCGAAGGGCTTGCTCTCCGGGAGACGAAGCTCGTCGTCGGCTTGCATGGCGCAGATGTCGAATGGGCCGCCATGCTCAACAAGCGGTACCCGATCGACAAATACGCTGTCGACCTCGGCGTATTTGAGCGACGGACGGCAGAATGGGCGGATGCGGTGGTTGCGCCGAGCGAGTACATTCTCGAGTATGCGCGGCAGCGAGGATGGAAGATTCCGGACGAGAAGGCGCTCGTCATTCCCAACATCGTCTCCATTCCCGCCATCGCTCCGACACCGACTACCAACGGCCGACAGATGCGTCTAGGCACCCCTTCTGCGCACGTCGAGCCGATTCGGGAGCTCGTCTTCTTTGGCCGTCTCGAGGAACGCAAGGGTGTTCGCCTGCTCGTCTCGGTCCTCGAGTCGCTCTACACGACAGAGCCTCTTCCGCCTGCGCTAGCCACGATCGAGAAGATCACGTTCCTTGGCCGCGACCAAACGCACCTCGCAACTCGCACCTCGATCAGCACGCTCATCAAGGGTGCCCTCGACGCAATCCTGCAGTACACGAACGCCACCTTCGAACACGACTTTCTGACGACCTACGACCGCGACGAAGCACTCGCCTACCTCGCCGACCCTTCGCGCCTCGCCCTTCTCCCCGCCCTCGCTGACAACTCGCCCAGTACGGTCCTTGAATGCATCGCCCACGACATACGCTTTCTCGCCAGCAGCATCGGCGGTATTCCCGAGCTGGTCCATGCGGGAGACCGCGAACGAGCGACCTTCGCCCCGCTCGTGAAGCCGTTCACGGCGAAGCTCCTCGCCACGCTGGAGGAGTTGCAGACGAAGCCGCGGACGCCGGTGCGGGCTGCGGAGGAGACGCAGACGGCAGCCCACGACTGGGTAGCCTTCCATCACTGGCTTGCCGAGCAGCCGTTCGCCTCGCCTTCCGTCCGACCTTCCACTCGTCTCGACCAAAACCCGCTCATCAGCATCTGCATCACGCACTACGAGCGTCCGCACCTCGTCCCACAACTCCTCGACTCGCTTCTTCGCCAGTCGTACACCAACTTCGAAGTTATCCTTGTCGACGACGGCTCGACCAGTCCGGACGCGCTAAGCGGCCTCGACAACATCACCGATCGCTACTTCAGCGATTTCTCCCTCCTCCCATCCGATCGGCCTCAATGGCACTTTGTGCGCGTCAAGAACTCGTACCTCGGCGCCGCCCGCAATCGCGCCGCTCAATACGCTCGCGGCACGTTCCTCCTCTTCCTCGACGACGACGACGTCCTTAAGCCTCACGCCCTTTCGACTCTCGTCTCGGTCGCGAATCGAACAGGCGCCGCGGCGCTCTCGACTTGGCTCGACGAGTTTGCGACGGATGTCAACCCGCTTGAGCCGAGGGAGGACGGGCGCGAGTTGCCGCATCGCAGGACGTACTGGTTCCTCGGCCAGGAGCTCGGTGCAGGCTTGATGAGCAACGCTTACGGGAGCGGCAACATCTTCGTTCACCGTCGAGCATGGGACAGGCTCTCGTCGGCGCATGGGAGCGGGAACGAGACGGACCCGGGAGCGACGGGAGCGTTCTCGACGTATCGCGAAGTTGGCGGCGAGGACTGGGAGTTCTGGACTCGCCTTGCGCTCGAAGAGGCGAAGGAGGTCGCAGAAGGAAGGGAAGGCGAGATGAAGCACTACGTTGTGCCCGAAGAGCTCATCTTCGTGCGGAGTGACCCGGCGCGAGCGAGCATGGTGTGCCCAATTTGCCTCGACTGGCGGATCGCATGCTGACATCGTCCTTGGATGCTGCAGAAATTCTCGATGGACCCGTGGGACGCCCACTTCCACGCGACCGCGCCCATACTCAACGACCCGCGCATTCAGGACCTCAACCTCGCCCATTCGATCATGTTCCTGAAAGGCGTCGTTACACGCGACTACGTCGAACCGGCCTTCACCGACTCGCGCGAGAACTTCCAGGTCGCTCAAGGCTGGGGAGGCTGGTTCTACTCTTTCGAAACCTTGCCGCCGCTCGGCTCGGAGGAGTCGCTCGACTGGGTACCGTCACTTGCGGACAGCACGCTAGCCGTCGTCGAAGGCGGAATCTGGTTGATGGACGGCTCGTTCGCCTCGAAGCCCTACATCGACGACGTCTTCCAGGAGGGATGGGTCAACACGCGTGGCGAACGGATCGCGGCCATCCGTACCTTCAGAGCACCGAAGCCGCTCGAGGTTGCGATTGATGCCAACTACCGCTCGCACCACACATGCGGCGACGGGACTCGCCTTTCGCTCATCTTCGTCGCCGGACCAGGCGAAGCGCCGGAAGTCCTCGTCGAGTGGTCCACGATGGACGAGGGGTTCGGCGAGCATATCAGCGCAATTGCGATGCGGCGAGGATCGACGCTGAGCGTCATCTCCGACCCCCTTCAGTCGAGCGACTGTGACCGGGTCGAAGTGCACGTCAAACTTACGCCTGTCTCGCTCGAGAATCAAAGCTGGTCCGCTCTCGCACGCCGCATGTCCAGCAACGACGACGCGAAGGAGGGGCCGTCCCGAACGGAGGAGGCGCAACCTGCAAACTCGACGGGCTGGTCGGTCGCGGAGGATAAAGGGCCTAGTGACGACGAGATCTTCAATATCGCGCTCATCTTTGACCGCAACCGCTTCCCGCACGCCAAGTCGGTCATCCGCTCAATCCGCCACTTCACCACTTCGCGACGCCTGGTCTTCCACCTCATCGCGCCTTACCAGCTCCACGAAGAGCTGCACGACTTCTTCGCCGACACCGACATGTCGCTGCGAGTGTACGACCATTCGTTGTGTTCGTTCGTCGCTCGCCAGGTTCTGCCCTTCTCGAACCCGGACATCCACATCTCGGCGCACTGCAAGATGTTCCTGTCCGAGATCGTCACCTTCGCCGACCGTATCCTGTATCTCGACACGGACGTAACCGTCACGTCGGATCTCGCCGCCTGCTACGACAAGCCACTGGCCAACCCGGGCGCGCTCGTCTCGATGGCCGTCGACATGGGCGACGCCTGCCAGCGCGAACCCGACGTTTGCTGGCCGATTGGCCTTCACTGGCGTCTACCGGAAGGCCTCGTCTGCGGCAACGTCCCTGCTCGAGCAGCTCTAGACCGGTTCCCGCCGACGGTCTGTGCCGAGGCGGGCGAGCTCGAGACTCTCCAGGTCAACGGCGGAGTCGCCCTCTTTGAACTCGCCAAGATGAAGGAGTCCGGCTTCCTCCAGCGGTACATCCTATCCGTCGTCCACCACTACCGCATCATGAAGAGCACGCCGTCGGTCTGGGGCGAGCAAGACTTCATCAACTCGTACTTCCGCCTTTTCCCGGAAGATCTCGAGGTCCTGCCATGCGGGTGCAACTACCAGTGGTTCGGCGCGAGGCGGGAAGTCAAGTGCGGCCTTCAGCCTGTCACGATTGCGCATCACTGGTACGCTCATTCGAGCCATTGCTACCGTAACGTCGAGCTAACGCGGCCGCAACAGGTCGCACGGCATCGCCGCTCGTACCGACAACCCGTACAACGTCCTCTTCCACCATTTCCTCGACAACGTCGAAGGCGCGCTCCTTCCGCCTGTCCCCGAGCTATCACCCTCTCTACCCGGCGCACCGAACTCGTCGGCCATCGCTATCGAGCATACGCTCAACTGCCCTCGGCAAGGCCACGACTGCACGAAACCGTACGCACCGTCCGAGCATGGTCGTCCCGTTCTCGTTCTCTCCCGCGTGCTTTCCGAAACCTTTGCAGCCGACTTGGTCGACACGCTCGAGGCGCAGACCTACCCGAAGATTTCGCACGCCGTCGCTCTTCGACAAGAAGCAGTCGAGCTGCCGCCCCTCTCCTTCAAGAGGGAGCTCTTCGAGATCTCTGCTGATCCCGCGGCGGCGTACGACACTCACTGCGAGGCCTGCGGCGACCTAGCCGAGCCTGACCAGTCTTGCTCGGCTGCTCCTTCAGACCGTATCCGCCGCAAGGCCTACTTCGACTGCCTGTGCGCGCTGTCTGACCCGCTCGCTGACTCGATGCACGACCTCGAGGCTTTCGCCAAGCAGCAGGACCCGTCTTGGCTGCTCTACCTCGACGACACGCAGACGTTCGCCTCCGCCAACTCGCTCTCCCAGCTCATGGCCGAAGTCGACAGCACCGACGAGCTTATCCTCTTCCGCATCAACACGACGTCGGCAGAGCAGGAGCGCACCTACCATTCAAAGGCCTTACGTCGCTCGCCTCTCTCCGGCGTCGGCATGCTCTTCCACTCTTCCCACCTCGACCGCACCGACTGGAACGGCGCAACTCGCTGCGGCAAATGGGCGACGTTCAATCGACTATCCAAGCGCCTGCGACTCAAGTGGATCGACCTCGTCCCCGTCATTGAGCACCCTCTCCAGCGGCATCTCCCCATGACGCCAGCCGTCGACTTCAAGGTCTCGATCGTCATCCTCGAGACGCAAGGCAAGGTGTCCTGGACGCCTCTCCTCCTCGAGACGCTGCAGCTCGTCGAGCTAGCCCCGCTCATTTCAGAGATCCTGGTCGCCTCTGTCGATACGGAGGACGGCGCTTACGGACCGGAAGTCCAGGTCGTCAATCCGAGCATCGGTTCTGGCCTGGGCGAGCTCGGCGCGCAGGTCGCGTCCGAGCACGTTCTCCTTCTCAGCGACAGTGTCGCCATAGACAAGGTGCGTTCCTGCGTTGTCTTTTCTTCCCGACGAGCTTGCTGACTCTGACTCTCTTGCAGACCGCCTTGACGGCGCTCATCAACTTCCACCTTGACTCTCCTGCACGCCTCGTCGGCTTCTTCACCGAAACCTCCGGCGACGACGACTTCTCCCCTCCTCTGCCCAATACGCCCGAAATCTTCGACATCTTCGACGAGCCAGACGCACTCGTCGGCCAGTCCTCCTGGACCCACCTTCTCCCTCGGACGCTCCTCACCTCTCGGTCTAACCTCGAGGAGCTCTCGACTCTCCTCGACTCGCAACCGGACGACTACCACCTTCATCCGGTCTGCCACCCCGTCCTTCTTAGCGCCCTTAGCGTCCGCGCAACAAGCGGTCGAGCGCCGCTACGCGTCCTCCCGCCTGGGAAAAGCGTCGTCGACCGCGTGCACGACTGTCGAGTCCGGAGTTGGGCCGAGGTCGACTACGGCAGGACGGCGGGCGACTGGGTGCTGCCGAAGCGGGCGGGCGAGGAAGGTGAAGAGGCTGTCTTGGCCCCTGCTCCAGCGAACAACGTGCCGACGGTCGAACCGGACGAGGTGCGGGAGTCGGAGCTGCGCGACGTACCAGAGTCGTCGACCGACGATCTCGGCATCAGCGAGGACGACTTTCCCGTTCCTCCGACGCTCGCCGAGTGCATCGACGCTGTCAATTCGCTTCTCGGCTCCACCGAATGGACGAAGACCGGCAGCGAAGTCGGCCACTCGGGTGCGCAAGGGCTCAAGGTTGGGGTCGTCCCGGCTGCGGAGGTGTCGAAAGAGATGTGGGAGGGCGCGAGGCGGGAGGATCGTTGCTACAAGACTTAGAGTGTCGTCCTATCTCTCGTGCTGTTCATCGCATGTCGTACATCTCGCATCGCTGCATCTGCAAATGTTGTTGTCTACCGTCTCTTCCTAGCCTCCCAATTTGGCTCTCCTTGTTCCGCTGCACTATTCTCGAAAAGATATATGGCGATACATGCGAGCGAACGATGCGATCTATGCTGCGAGAAAGAGTCTAAGACGCCGCAGGCCCAGGCGGCACTTTCCTTACCTTGCCAGCCTTCAACATCCTCTCCACCTCCGCCTTGACATCCGGCCTCTTCTCATCCTTCAGCAACTCCTTCACCGCCTCAGGGAATATATCACCCGCACCTCCCTCCCACCCGACGCGCCAATCCACAATCGGATCCGCCCTCGACTCGCCGACGTTGATCAGTCCGACGGGCCCGCCTTGCTCTTTCATTTGCCGGACGAGGCGGTAGGCGGAGAAAGTGGCGAGGGAGGAACCGGCGACGAGGAGTTGCGAGGCGGAGGAGACGAAGTGTTCGGAGTGGCGGCGGGTGAGGGGTTCGAGGGATTCGCCGAAGAAGATGACGCGGCTGCGTGTGGGAGAACCGTCAGCCTGACGGATGATGCGAAATAGTGGAGTGCACGCACGGCTTCATCGGTCCTCCGCACTGATCGCAAGCCGGCACCTGAAAGTCCTCATACCGTACTCCGGGACCCAACTCGATATCTCCATCCGGATTCAACTTCTCCTCCCTCTTACCCGACTCAACCTCCTTCTGGAACTCGTGCCACGCAGGATTCAGTTCCGATAATCGGTCTTGAAACGAGTCGCGCCCGACGGGGGTGTGACAGGAGAGGCAGTGGGCGTGACGTAGGGTGCCGTGCAGCTCGAGGATGGCGGGGTCGAGTGGAGGGAGTGGGGCGTCCGGCGCTTCGGTGGGCTTGACGGAGGGAGGCGAGAGGTAGAGCGAGAGATCGTCCGAGTAGGCGCGGTGGTGCAGGCCGTCGACGTTTTGCTGCGAGCCAAGCTGGCGTGAGCAACATACATAACGTGTACTGCGATGCTCGCACGTACTGTGATCAGACTCGACAGGTAACCCATCTTTTGCAGAGCCGCCATGGCGTAATGCGTCGGATTGCTTTCCGCTCTCCGTACTGGCGGGTATCCGAGGAAACTGCGAACAGCCGACACTACTGAGCATCTTTTGTACCGGAAATCAGGGGAAGTGGACGCACCTACGGGCCCAATACCGCCGGCGCATCGCTTCATCCTGGATAAATTCGCCGTAGAAGATTGGTCGGTGCTTGCGGATGGTGTAGGTCCCGCCAGGTCCTCGGTACGCCTGTCGCCGAGTGCCAAAGAGCATCGCAAGGGGAAAGCGGCAGGGACGGCGAAGGAAGCAGAGGGGTCGAGACGAAGGTCAGCGAGTTCTGACACGTCCAAAGGAACCGATCGAGCAGACTCGCCCTGATCCCACTGTCCACACTGATCCCTGCGCCCGTCAGCAGCGTCGTCTTACCCTTTCCCTTGCGCAGGAAGTCGACGAGGAGCTGTACGGAGTCGGCGAGGCTCAGGTAGGGTGCCGGTGGATGCCGTCCTTCGATCAGCCCGGGTACCCTGATCTCGCCCGATATCCGCAGCGATGTCCTCATCGTCCCAAGTAGTCGTTCAAGGCGAGTCGAGAGGCGCGAGGTTCACGAACGAGTGGCGGAGGGAAGCGAGTGATCGCCTGAGGCAGGAGCAACGGGACGAATGCAGGCGAGTCTGAGCGAGTGTGTAGAGTACAACAGCGACGGCTAGACAGGCAACAGAGCGAGAACAGCGGCGAGCGGGCGAACAGTCGTCCCTCAACCTCTCGCCTCGCTCCTTTCGCCTCGTCGCTGCTCTCGCTCGCACGCAAACCCGCTGCGGCGCACTCTAGACCCGCACAACTCGCTCGCAGACACTTTTCACTCGGCAAATATGGTCAGTCCCGCCTTCCGCTGCTGTCCCGACGCCGCCTCTTCCCCCTCGAAGCCACTTCCTGCCGGGCCATCTTACTCGACCATTCCGCCACGTGCGGGCATCCGAAGCGCTGGAGATGCTGATGAGAGCTTGTTTGCACGCATCTGCAGGGCAACGGCGCAAAGGCACAGCAGAAGCGCGAGCGGAACGCGAAGGACGCGAAGAAGGGTCCCACGTCGCAGCTTGCAAAGTACGTACGAGCTTCTTTTCGCTGTAGGAGCGTCGGAAGACGGCTGGGATTGGATTCCGAGGGTCGAGCGACCGTTTGCTGACTACCTGCTCGTTCGCTATCTCCTCTTGCTCCTCCCTTCGACTTCGTACCTCTGCCGTTCGTTCGCCGTCCTTGTTCCGTGCGCTTCACCTACTGCAGCAACAAGGCGGCTATGAACCTCAAGTGCAAGATCTGCATGCAGCTCTTCATGAACACCTCGCGCGTGCGTTTTAGCCCTCTTCCTTCACCGCTCCTCACCCTGCCTACCCTTTATCGCCTTTCCTACCGTTCTTACGCTAGAGTCCCTTACGACACATGCTGACTCGCTACCGAATCCTCAGGCCCCCCAACTCCAGGAGCACGCCACGAACAAGCACAGCAAGGACATCAAGGACTGCTTCCCGGATTTCCAGGGTTGACCACGCACGGTCGCCCTTTCTCTCGCTTAGAAGGTACTCGCCCGCCGTTAATCAGCTCGGGACGGGCACGGCCATGTTGTAGAGGGTTTTAGCTTGCATTTTCTCCCGTTCCGTCGTTTCATTCGCCTGTGCGCCTCCCTTTCACGGCGGATGACTTTGGCAAGACTTTGCTACTGTCAAGCTCGTCGTCGACGCTTCAACAGAGCGCCTGCGAGATGTCGACGCCGTGCCGTCATCGCGCCCTCTTGCTCTCGCCTCGTCCGCTCACTTCGCTCTCGCTCGACTCCCTCGTTCTGCTGCTATCGAGCATGACCGTCTCACTGCCACCCGAACTCGTCACCCTCTGCCTCCAGCAACTCGACCCAAGCGATCCCTCCACCGTCCCCACCCTCCTCGACGCCTCGCTCGCCTCGCGATCCTTCAAGTCCCTCGCACTCGCACCCTTGCTCTGGAAGCCCATCGCCGACGAGACCTACCACCGACATCGCCCTCCCTCATCCGCCGGCCCCTCATTCGAACACGATGCCTTCGAGTACTTCCGCCAACGAGCAGCCAAGGACCTCCGCGCTCGCTCGATCGTCCGCGAACTCGCGACACAGTCAACCAAGCGTCTCGCGAAGATGGAAGAGCTGCGCCGACTCGGCTCAGACGTGATTGAGAACCGGTTGTGGAGGCCTGAAGAGTTTACGGAGGAGAAACGCCCCTCGAATTGGCTTTGCTTGCAGTATTGGGCGAGGGAAAGTCGCAAGGCGCTCTTGAGGGAGGAGGCGGTCAGGGTGTGGAGGGAGATTGCGCTGAGGGACGTCAGGGGCGAAGAAGCGGACGACGATTTCGAGCGAGGGATGAATGCGTTCGGCGCGTTCAGAGGTTACGACCCCATGGTTATCCCTCGTGAACGGTTCGACGTGTCGAATCACCCGCGACTCGTCGAGGCGACCTCGCACCCTCCGTTCGAAGGCTCGAAGCGGCTCGAGTGGATCGCCCGCGAGGCCTACGAGTACGCCCGCTCGATCGGCCTCAAGCCAGCCATCGAGGGCGCCTACCACAACCTCGACTGCCAGTACGTCGAGTCGGTCTGGAATCGCGCCGCGGGACCGTCGGCGCAGAACCACGGCACGCTGCCGATGACTTTGGTCGGCATCTACTGCTCGCTCGTCCGCCGCCTCCCTATTGCCCGCGAGCTCAAGATCCGTGTTCGACCAGTTGGTTTCCCCGGAACGGTCCTCGCAGCCCTTGCATACGAAGGGAGCGATGAATGGACCTACATCAACGTCTTCTCGTCCGGCAAGATCCTCTCGCGCGACCGGTTGCTCAGCCTCCTCGGTGCGATGGGCCAAGCAGGCGAGACGCACTTTCTCGAGTCCGCCTCGGCACGGGAGATGTGCCTCCGAGTCGCTCGGAACATCCTCACGGCCGTCCGGACGGGCGAACAAGCGCCCGGCATTCCCCTCGCGCACGAGACAGCCATTGCAGCGCTCTACTCCGTCTCTCACGCCCTCTTCATCCTCACCAACCCGCAACTCTTGCTCGGGAATGAGCGGACGGCGCTCGACCGCGACGTCGACCAGTACTTTGAGTGGATGTGCTCGCTCATCCAGAGCGAGTTTCCCCTCGACGTGCACTACCTCGAGTCCGCCCTGCCTGTCCTCTCGGCGGACGTCAGGCCGCGGATCAGCGTCTTGTGCGAGGCGATCAGGGAGGAAGACGCGGCGAACAAGGAGCAGAAACTTGTGAACGGGGACATCAAGTGGCCTATCGGGCACGTCTTCCGACACCGGCTGTTCCGGTACGTCGCGGTGGTACGAGGGTGGGACTACAAGTGCGAGGCGAGCGAGCAGTGTGCGTTCGGCTCTTTCCTTTCTCTCCAACTCCGCTGATGGACTCGTGACTCGCAGGGATCCGCCAAATGCGCGTCGACACCCTCCCTCACGGTCGCAACCAGCCCTTCTACCACGTCGTGGTCGACGACGGCTCGGCACGCTACGTCGCGCAAGAAAACGTCACCGATACGCCCATCGACGACGACGAAGTCGATCGTTTCCTTACCAACGAGGGGTTTGGTCGGTACTTCCGCAAACGGGAGAGGAGGGAGGACGGGAGGTGGACTTTTGTGGCAAGCGCGGAGGTTGAGGCGGAGTACCCGGACTCGTGAGCGGTCGCGGCCAGGACAGGAGGTGCAAGGAGGTGCGGCAGTAGCGATGAGGCTGCTTGTACGACTTGGGATAACTTATCCACTTGACCATCAAGGCTGCGAAGTCGAGACGAGCCGCTTGTCTGGAAGAGACAGCTGCTTTCGTTCGGAAGCGCTCGAGCGCCGTACTGGACTCTCGTTCTTCTCTCTGAAGTGTGCTGGACGCTCGTGTGTCTTGCGCGAAGCGCTCGAGAGCGTGCATTTCACTTCTTGCCCAGCCCCGCGGCGTGCTCTGCGGTGAGCTGGATGCATCGCGCGACTGCCGAACGCATCCGAGCGTCTGCATGATGGGATAGGGCGCAGATACGATCAACGTATTGAAGGAGTGAAGAGGGAAGGAGCGCAAGCCGTTGTCAGCTGGAGAGCGTGGCCAAAAAGCAGGAGAACACAGCGCACCCTCAAGACTTAGCAGTCCAGCGATCGTGCACCCGCCGGGCGCTGCAAGAATAGCGTAGTAGCCAAGTCAGCTCGTCGTAACCGAACCACGTCGATGGGAGACGAGGGGACGCACTTGTGACGCTGTCCTTGAGCGCGGCGGGGTGCATGCCTGTCTGCAACACCATCCGTGCCGCTCCTTGCATCGCTGGGAAGTACAAAACCGCACGTTAGCGCAAAAGCAGAGGAGAGAGGGCGAACTTAGCAAGATATGAGGGAACATCGCGGCGAGAAGGACACTCGGAACGTACTCTGCGCAGCCAACTCCAGCGCCTCGCTCCGCGGCAAACCCATCATGACACCTCCATCGGCCATGGCTTCCAAGACGACGCAGACAAATGCAGGACCGGAACCGCAGACGGCTGTGACTGCGTCAAAGTGCTGTCGAGAACGCGATGGTCAGTCTGGCTGGACGAGCAGGAGCAGGAGCAAGAGCGTACCTTCTCGTCCATGAAGCGACACTTGCCGAGAGGCGTGAAGAGCGCCATCAGGATCTCGCGGTTGACGGGAGTCTTCGAGTCTGAGGGGTCGAGCGAAGAGACGACCGTCATGCCTTCACGGATCTGCGTGATTGACAATCGTAGCTCGTCAGCGATGAGCCTGAATAGAGCGGTATCGTTAGGGAGGCGGGACGCACCTTGCTCGGCGTGTTGGGCATGCTCCGCACGACCGTGCAGCTCGACGGGACCCACTCGCGCATCATCGAGATGGTCGTACCCGCCAGGATCGAGATGAGAAGCTTCCCCTCGAGTGCTTCGGACATGCCAGGAGCAAGGAGGAGATGCGCGGCGAGTTGAGGCTTGCAGCTGCGAACGGAGATAAAGTCGGTGAAAGGACCTCCGGGCGATATGGATAACCGGAGCGCACCAGAGAAGGATGACGTCCGACTCTGCGACACTCTTGACATTCTCGGACGCCTGTCGCACCTCGACAGACGGCCCGAATCCGCCCAACTCAAAGAACGTCCGGCGAAGCTTCTTGGCCGACTCGGCGCGGTTGACAGTTGCGATGAAGCTGCAGGCAGGACTGGCGTGAGCTAGCATACGGTTTGAGGAATGCGTGGGAACGCGCCGATCAGGCAAAGACGTCGGGTTGCTGTTGTTGTCGAGGATAAGGCTGCCCATGGGCGTCGAGGGGCCGCTCTCGTCCGGCCCGTTCGACTGCCTCGACGAGCGCGGGGCCCGCAGGTTGTCCAACACGCCGGACAGAACTGCAACGCCCATCGTGCCGCAGCCGAGCACGCACAGCTGATACGGCATCTTTCGAGGAAGTGGGTGGGGACCAAGGGGAGAGAAGTCGGGGTGAGATGGCTGGAGCGGCTTGTGCGGAGCGTCGATAGTCTTTTTGGGGTCTCGTGAGCGTATCACAGCCGGCAGCAGCTCAGCTCGAGGTTAGCGAGATGCTGGTGAGCGGGAAAGAGGCGACTTCGCATCTTGACTCCGAAACCATCGCTCGTCTGCCGCTATTCGTCAGAATGGGACTCGTAGACTACGGCTCAGACTCAGACTCGGACTCTGGCTCGCCGCCGCCGCAGAACAAGCCGTCGACGAAGCCTGCGACCGCCTCATCAGCTCCGACGTCCCTCCTTGGCCTTCCGCCGCCCAAGTCCTCCCTGAATCTGCCAGCGCCCAAGAGTAGTACGACGACACCTCCAGCACCAGCGCCGCAACCCCCAAAGAAGGCGAAGGACAAGGGACCCGTTCGCATCCTCCTCGACCTCCCTCCACCTTCCGCCTCGTCTGCTGCGTCGAGAGCCGACGATGATTCAGACGAGCCGGCGAAGAAGCGACCGAAGTTGTCTCTCGGTAGCGGCAATGGAGGCGGATTGACCGGGCTGGCGGCCATGCTGCCCAAGCCAAAGAACGAATCCAAGGCCGCACCTCCGCCTCACAAGCCCGCGCCAGCACGACCCGCTGCCGGTCTCGCCGGACTGGACGAGCTGTTTGGCGGGAAGGATGGTGCAGAGGGAGCGAGCGGGTCGACAGGCGCTTCAACTGGTCCGCCCAGCGGACTCTTCGTTCCGCCGTCTGTCTCGTCGAAAGGAAAGGGCAAGGCGTCTGCGGCGGCGAGCGATCGACCTGCACCATCAGTAGCACCTTCGGAGCCTGCTGTCGACTTCTTCGGCATCGGTGCGTTCTCTCATTCAGACTGAGTTGTCGAATCTGGCTGACTTCAGGTCTTTGCGTAGGCTCCGTTGCGTCTCCCGCCGCGCCATCGTCCTCAGCCTCCTCCTCGTCCGGGCAGCCTTCCCTTTCCATCTCTTCCGCGCCCTCGCTCTCCGCCGCACCATCCGTCTCCTCCGCCCCGAATCCCAAAACATCCTCATCCGCGCCCTCCTTCGGCACACCCACCGCCTCCGACCCCTACCCCGGCTTCACCCAGCTCCCCTCAGGCGAATGGGTCGCGAAAGACCAGCAGACGTACGAGATGTGGATGGCTTGGATGGCTCAGCAGCATTACGGTGTTCCGGAGGGATTGGACACGAAGGATGTGGAGGCGAAGGGTGGCATGGTTGATGTCAATGAGGAAGAGCGGAGAGCGAGGGAGGCGTGGGCGAATAGGCCGGGACAGCTCCCGCCGAGCAAGGTTGTGGGCGGAGAGGAGAAGACGTCGGCGCAGCTCAAAGGGGTGCGTCAGCCCTCCCATCCTGTCGTTGCGCCGCGCTGACCTTTGCTTCGCTCGCAGGTCCCGAAGCAGATTGGCGGAATGGCCCGGCGCAAGGGTCAGCTCTCGTCTCTCCTCGCAGCCGCACACGACAACCGCGCCGAGCTCGAGGAGCGGATCGCGCAGGCGAGGGCCAACAGGAAGGGCGCGGGAAGCAAGTACGGTGCGCACAGACTCGCTTGCGGATCTCGAATGTCGAGGCGAGCTGGAGGACTGACCAATGTGACGACCTGCAGGCTTCTGATCTCTTCATCCGCCGTGCACTACGCATGCACTGGAGCGCTGCGCCTTGAATACACTGTGACGATCTCGGACGAGGAGCGACAGATACATGGCTGGGCCCCTGCGAGTTGCGAGAGCTCTTCCGTTCTCGCGTTTCGAGCTCGCCATGTAGATGCGTTTCCCTCGTTGCGCTAGAGGTCAAAGTCGCTATCGCTGTCGTCGCCTCCTTTCCGTTTCGCCGCATCCGTCATCTTCGTTCCTCTCCGGATCCCACTCCTCCGCCCACCGCCAACAAAGCTCTGGTCGTCCTCGCTGTCCCCGCTGTCATCGTCACTCTCCGGCTTCTCTGGTCGCCCTTCGCCTGGTGCTGCGCCTCCCTTTGTCAGAGGCGCGGTCGCGTCGGACCGAGAGGCAAACTGGCCGGATGCGGGAGAGGCGTCGTAGCCGACCTTGTTGTGAAAGTCGATGCCGCGGAAGGCAAACAGGATGCGCTCGACGTCTATTGACGACCTTCGTGTTAGTAGGCGAAGCATGACGGCCACGAAGGAGAGGAACGCACCTCGCAAAGTCGCGTTCATCCCGTTCATTGCTCCGAGACCCACGACCTGGCCCATCATCTGGCCCTTCCGGTAGATGATCATGGTCGGGACGTTCTTGTCGGGGTAGTTCTCGATGCAGTGGTCGGATACAATCGAGACGAACTTTGTCGAGGGGTAGAGAGAGGCGAGTTCGTTGATGATTGGCATGAGCTTCTTCGATTCCGGGACGCTGTGCGCGATACCAGGTATTGATGGAGTGAGCTTCGGTCGCTCGGAACCGGCGAACAGCTGACGGAACGACGTTCCAGCGCACCTGTCTTTGAAGAGCACGCAGACGACACCCGTTCCCCATCCCTCCGGCTCGCCCGGCAGCTCCTCGTTGCTCGCATCCGTGACCTCCCTCTTGTAGTCGACCTTGCCAATGTTGTACACCCGCCCAAACTTGCGCTTGCCCAACCGCTCTTTCTCCCTCCGCTTGCGGTCCTCCAGCGCCCGCTCAAGGTCCTCCCGCCGGACTGCATCATCCCGCTCGATATCGAGGTCGTCCAAGTCAAGCTCTGAGAGAGTCGGAGACGACGGCGCAGGTGGTGGAGATGGAGAACGCGAGGACGACTTGTCCTTCGGAGGGATGATGCCGTGCTTTCTCAGCGCATCGTTGAATTCGGTGTCCTCCTCGTAGTTGATGGCGACCTGCGGATTGTGTGCGGGTCAGCTCGCGCGCTTTCACGCTGCGAGGGAAGCTGCACACCATCGTCGGTCGTGTGGGGTTCGAGCGAGTGCGATGAAGACGAGGACAGCGTGGGAGGGGCGGTCGAGCTGGGTAGAGGCGATGCAAGCGTCCCGCGAGGCACTGGCGTCCAATCAAGCGCGAAAGACGGCAGTCAAGCGGGTGGACGAGGAGGAAAGAGGGAGCGGAGGAAGCAGGCCAACCTGATGGCTCGGTCGCGGCGCAGGAGCAGCTTCTGGATTTGGATCGCTCGAGCATGTCTTTGGAAAGCAAAAAGAGCACGTTCAGCAGCCTTCCCAGCCGCTTGTCGCGGGCAGCAAAAGATGATTGACCACGATGGGGTTCGAACCCACAATCTCCTGATGAACGACTGAAATCGTAGTCAGACGCCTTGCCATTGGGCCACGCGGCCATTCTTTGTTGTAGTGCCGTTCTCAATTTGCGTACAGTAGGCGCGTCAAGCTTGTTCCCCTTCATCGACTTGCGCCGCCCCAGCTTCTACTCGTCGCGCGACTTTCAAGAGTCGCTCCTCTCGGTTGCTCTCCCTCAAGCGTGTCGAGATAGGGAGAAGGGATCGATGCAAAGCTGGGAGGTAGAGAGGCTACACAGAGACGAGGAAGTTGGCCGCTAAGCCCGGGGTCTAAGGAAACAAGCTGATGGCACGACATTGACGGGAATCTACAAAACGCGAGGAATAGATGACGAGTGAGGTATAGAAGCCGACAGAGCCCCGAGAAATGGAAGAGGAGGAGACTTTGGTGGCTCAGAGGACTTTCATCCTCTCTGCAAGGCCGAGCATCGCTTTGCCTGCCCATCCGGCGCGCGAGCCGCTCGGCGAAGGAGGCGCAGGCGGGATGCAGGCGTCAGGGCCTGAGACGCTCCGCTGCCTCGTGAGGGGGACGCGGTGGACCGCTTGCCCGTACGAAGGGTAGGCGGAAGTCGAGGCGGCGGTTGCGTCGTCGTACGGCGGGAGGATCGACTCAGAGAGAGACGACGAGTGGAGCGAGGGAGGGCGCTCGTCCGTTGGCGAGAGGACGGGCGACATGCCGGAAAGGTAGGCCGAGTTGAGGACGGGGGAGGAGAGGTGAGTGCGACGGAGCGGGCGAGGATGCGAGAGGGCCGGAGAGGGTGCGCGGGTGGTCGAGGCGCTCTGGATGTGCGGGAACTGGACGCTCTCGTGGATGTGCGGAGGGAACTGTGAAGGTTGGAGCGGAGGCGAAGTGTAGGAGTCGTCGGCCGGAGCGTAGAACGACGCCTGCCACGGCTCAGTTGCCGGAGGAGGCACGTGCTGAGGCGCCGACGACCTCTCGGGACGGCGGTTCTGCGACGACTCTGCCTTGGCGAAGGCTGCAGTTGAGTTGGACGAGGTTAGCTATCGTGAGTCCTGCGAAAGACTGGGGGCATGCTTACCGATGATACCCTTGACAGTAGCTTCCCTGCAGGCGGGGTAGTCAACGGTCAGCGCACCGTCAGAATACAGGGGCAAGCGAACGCACCAGCCGACGCTCAATGCTTCTCCAGCATTGCGCAACAAGCCGACCTCCTTCTCGATCTCGACCAGACCCTCGAGGAAGATGCCGAACGCGACGGCGAGACGTTGGTGGATGGAGAAGCGGGCGTCGAGGTAGAAGACGATGGCGAGGAGAGTCTGGAGGCAGCTGAAGATGAAGCCGGGGAGCTGCGGAAGTCGAGAGAGCGTCAGCACCAGCGAACGGGTAAATTGAGGAGATCGCAACGCACCGGGGAGGCCTTGACTGCCTTTGCAAAGCCGATCGCTCCGTCGACAACACGGTCCCTCCAGGCGACGCCCTCGACCGTCACAACGTCCTGCTGGCGCAGCTGGTCCTGGCGCATCATCTCGCGCGTCCTCTGAGCTCCATCGAGAGCAGCAAGGAGCCAAGGCGGCACCTCCATTGCGACCGTGTCGCCGCAAGTCCCGCAAGTCGTTGACAGGCGCAACTCGGCGCGGTGCTGTCCCGCCTGGCCCGCTCCTTCTCCGCCGCGCATGACCTCCCTCGGCTGGTACTGCGCCAGCTCCATGCCTTCCGCCGTCGCGTCGGGCGCTGGAGCCAAGTCGTGTTTGCGAGCGAAGAACGAGTTGGCGCGGCGCGGGTTGACTGCTGGCTCTTTCTGCATGTCGGAGGCGAGGAGAATGGAGAGTCCGGGGAGTAGACCGAGAGATGCTCTGCCTGGAACGGCGAGGAGAGGGCTCATCGCCCTTCGGAAGCGGGTGTTGGGCGACGGGGTGCGCAGGCGGGACAAGCGCGTCGGGGCTCGTTGCGGTGGTTCGTAGCGGTGTGTACAGCCGTGTAGAGTCTATCGAAGCAGGCAGTCGAGCTGCTGAGCGTGTGGAGTGAGGACGAGGAGCGAGAGAAAGCTCGCCGCCAACGTTTCACGCGCGACTTCGCCGAGTTTCACAAAGTCCCGTCGATGGTCGACCCCTTTGCCACAGCGCCGCCGCTCCCTGGCAATGCACTGGACTCTCTGGTCAAAAACAGCGCGAGTACTGATGAATGCGATAGCGAGTTGCGAGCGAAGAGATAGCGAAAGTCTATGGCGAGATACGAAGTTGCGATTAGGAGGAGCGGAAGGGACTGACAGTTGATGCGGATGTGCGGAGAGTATGGACAGGATGGCAGTGAGGGCGTTGCTGAAGGCTGAAGTGGCTAGCAGAAGGTGTTTGCCGGGCGTCGGTGGTCTAGGACTGGCCGAACTTGCTGCGCTTGCGGAGGCGGTCGCCGTAGAGGTATAGACCCCAAAGAGGGATGATGAAAACGATGTTCCTGCGCAAGAAAGGGAATCAGTACTTGAAAGGCAGAGCGGAGAGAGAACTGCACGCACAATCCGGCGAGAAGCGACGAGGCAGGTCCGACGCCGAGGTTGGTGAAGAAGGCGCGGCCGAAGAGGCTGTAAGGCAGGGCAAGGTCAGCTCAAGAAGACGGCACAAGGGTGAACGAACGCACGGGAAGCCAGCGGCCATGCAGGACCTGAACAGGTCATTTCCTGCGAGGATGGACGCAGTGACGGAGGGGTATCCTTGCTGGAGGTAACTGTAGAGGACAAGCACTATCAGCCGAGCTCGGTTGTAGCAAGCGAAACCGTGATACGCACAGTAGGATACACTGGAACGCGCAGAAAACGCCAGGGAAGTACAGCGCGGCACCGATAGTCGGGCCAATCCAGTGCGTGCTAGGGCTGTTACCGGTCCAGCCGAAGATGAAGAGCGAGATGGGGATCATGGGCGTCGCGATGAGCACGAGCTTGAGGCGCTGCTCGGGCGGGGTCTTCCAGTCCTCGCGGTCTTGCTTCGGGATGAAGTAGTACCTGCGCAACGAGAGGGTCAGAGGGCGATGGGGAATTGACAGCGTTGAACACACTTGTGGTAGAGGCAGTACCCGAGGAGCGTCAAGGCGCCCGTGACGAGGAAGCCGAGGAAGGGAAGCACGGAGAGGCCGAGACTGAAGCCGTGGTACTCGGCGAAGACGATTGGAAAGGCCTGAGGAATGCGAAGGTGAGCTTAACAACAGCAGCGGAGAAGCGCAAGAACCCTGCTCACCTCGAACCAAAGGTAGAAGACGGCGTAGATCAGCCCGATGTACAGGTTCGCGTAGCCAATTGCGGGCTCGACCGCGAGACGGAACGCGAGACCGATCTGCTTCGCGCCAACCTTGAGAAGCGAGACGCCGTGCGGGTTCTCAAGCTCCCAGCGGGTCTTCAGGAGCTCGTTGCCGGTGAGTTTGCGGAGGCGCTCGGCGCGGCGGAGGAGGATGGTTGGGGCGTAGGTCTCGGGCAGGAGGAAGGTCTGTACGAAGTCGTCGTCAGCTCGCAGATTCAAAAGCTGGGCGAGAGGAGCGCGACGCACGAAGAACAGGAGACCGAAGCCGGACATCCACACCAACTCGAGAATCGACCACTTCCAACCGTTCGCCTGGACGGCAAAAGCGGCGACGACGGGACCCATGATCGGACCAAGAACAGCGCCGACTGCCCAGCCGCCCATCGCGTAAGGGAGCTGTCGAGGGACGTAGAGGTCGCCCATGCTTGCGCCGCCGGTTGCGAGGATGGGCGAACCGAAGAAGCCGGAGAGGAAACGGAAGATGAAGATGCAGGTGAGGTTTGTCGGAAGGAGGATGGGGATCTGGAGGAGGACGAAGAGGAAGAGCGCAGCCCAGTAGACCGGGTTGCGGCCGAGGTGAGGCGTCTCCTGGAGTGGCGAGAAGAACACTGTTGCCAGCGAGAGCGCCATCAGTGAGCAGGCCAGAGGAAAGCAGCGCCGGGAAGCAGTGCGGAACTCGCTAAGTGAGGCCATGCGACTCACTCGGTCCGGTGCCGTAACCCAAGATGAAGAGCGTCAGGCCGAGCACGGTGACCGTCTCGGACACGCCGTACACTTCGCTAAGGTTCTGCTCAGACGGCGTGTAGATCTGTCGCGCAAAGAGGTCAGGTCTCGTCGACGAGTCCCGCCAGGCGAGAGGAACGCACAGCACTGCCGATGTACACAACGGTGGTCATCATGGCGATCTGGAAGGCGGCAAAGTGCTTTTTCCAGGGTGACCAGTTCCTGAGACGTCGAGGACATGGTCAGCCGCCTCTCCACCAAGCAGCTCACGAATACGCACAGAGGGTTGCCCGGGTCATTCTCCTCAAAGTCGACGAGGTACTGGTACTTGTCGATCAAACCCTCCTTGTACGCCCGCTGGGGATCAGCCGTCCCAGGGTGGTTATCCCGCTCCTTCTGTCTTCGCTGCTGCTCCTCCTCGTTCTCGTCATCCGCCGCCTCGAGATCCCGCTCGCGCTGCTGTCGCTTCTCGCCCGTCCACTCGTCCCGATCCCGCTTCTCCTGCTCGGTAGGCGATTTTCGCTTGACGGGCTGGTCGGCGCCGACAAGAGTCGCAGCGTCGACGGATGGTCGGTTGGTGTTGGCGAGAGTTGATTCGGATGAGCGCGCGCTACTGCGGTCGCTGTTGTCGCCAGAGTGTCGGAGGTACTTGCTGGGAACGACGTAGCCTGGTTGCTCTTCTGGATGCCGGAAGAGCTTGCCGCGCGAGACGGCGTGCATGAACAAGCCGAAAGGTGAGTCCCTGATCATGTCGGGCATCATGATTGGCAGGGGCTCAAAAGCAGAGGACGGGAGCGTGAGCGAGGAGGCCAAGCGGTGTGCCAGCGAGGCGAGCGAGAGAGCCAAGTGGAGGGGCGTCGGCGCGCGAAATGATGACCTCGGTCGCGAGTACGGATGCCAGTTCTTCGGAATCGGAGTGCGCCCGATCGCTCTGTCAAGCAGGACAAGCGGATCGTGGCCTGGGAAGGGTCGATGAGGTCAACAGGCCGAGGCGGGTTCCGCGACGTCAAAAGGAGGTGTCAAGAGTCGCCCGGCTCCTTGGCTCCGTCGCGATTGCAGGTCCCGCACTAGCGTCCGACCACGAGCCGAGGGAGCGGCGGAACGGGCGCCGTCAATTCTCATCAGCAGTCGAGGCGAGGGGCAGCGTGTCGGGCCAGGCGGGTGCACAAGAGTCGCTGTCCGGCCTGCCAGTCGACTATCAGCCACATTGACGCCTGGCAGTACGGTTCAGTCCGATGTGAAGCGTGGAGAGGAGGGTGGAGGGGAAGTTGCGGGGACGAGGAGGGTTGTCCTCCTGCTACTCACCTCGCAGCCGCTGTTGGCTCTCCTAGCTGCTCTTATCGAAGCCATGCCTGTTATCACCGGCGGTCCCGGCGTGCCCAAGGCCGCACCCTTCCTCTCGCCCGCTATCCTCCACAGCGATTCCAACACGCTCTACCTCTCTGGCCAGTGCGGCGTGGACCTCGAGGGCAACTTCATCGAGGGCAGCGTGGCGGACAGGACGAAGCAGACGATGCGAAACATCGCGGCGGTGCTGAAGGCGGCTGGGATGGGTCTCGAGGACAGTTCGTTCCTGTCTTGCTCTCCTGGCGGTCGTTCTGCTGCCGCTGAGACCGCTTCAATTGCTTGAACAGTCGTCTCAACCACCATCTACCTTTCCGCTTACACGAAGGACTTCGAGACGATGAACAAGGCCTACGTAGAGTCCTTCCCGCCAGGAATGGCTTTGCCAGCGCGAACTTGTATTGGTGGTGAGTGTGTATGGCCGCATCCAAGCCCTGTGAGGATCGCCTGACGTCTGGAACTGCAGTCGCTGCGCTGCCGAAGGGAACGGACGTCACCTGTGTGAGCGACTGTGCGTCCCTCTCGCTTTCAGCTCCCGATTGACCTCTACTGCGCATAGATTGCTGTCAAGAAGCAGAAGTCGAAGCTCTGATTGCAAACGCGACCGTTCAGAGCGTCTGGCAGGACGTCTCGGTTGAGGGAGGGCATCGTTGTCCTCAGAGACTGGCACGATGAAGCTCGCTGGCTGTTCCGGCCTGCGCAGGCCTTGCTCACACTCCGCTATTGACGTCCTCACCAAGCGTCTGAGCTCATGCTTTCAGCCTCGCGAGACTGCGCTGAGGCACAGAGTACTGCTTAAGCTATTGCACATCATCCCGACCGAGTCTCCGCACCTACTACTTCCCAACAACCGCATTCTTGATGGCCTCAGCTGTCAAAAGAATGTTGTCTTTCGACGCCGCGAGGTCGGCGTCGACGCGCATGAAGCCGACCGCCTCAACTGTCAACCCTTCCTCCTGCAAGCCGAGCAACGTCAGTTCATTGACATAGCACAGAGGCTCTAAGCCTGCTGCTGTCGCAGGACGCACTTGGATGTACTCGGACGCGTTCCAGCGCATTCGGTCCTTCAAGTCGGCCGGTCCGTTCAAGGGGTAGTTCTTGTTCTGCGGGCCGGCGTAGGAGGGAGGCTCCTTCGCGGCAATGAAGACATAGCGGTGCTTGCTGTGAAGGACGAAGGGAGGAGAGGGGGGAGGAAGGGAAGCGGAGAGAGGAGAAGAAGGGAAAGGGAACAGGCGAAAAGCGAGAACGGGGGAAACACGAGAACATCGTAAGCTGCTGTGCGTACTGGGAGGAACCGTATGTTTCAACGCACCCTGTGCCGTGCAAAGGCGAAGGCGGGACGTAGTCATTCTGAGCGACAGGCGTAGCGGAAAGGGTCGAGCGCTTGCTCGTTGGGTCAAACTTGACGCCGGTTCGTAGCCAGTGACGAACTTGACCGGCGATCTGGCGACAGAAGCGCGAAGAAGGCGACGTGAGTAGCGAGCGAGTTGCGGAGGCTGAGGAAAGGGAAGCAAGGGAGAATTGCGTACCTTGTCGTTTCCGTGCGTAAGGTCAGGGTCGGTCATGATGATCGTGTAGCTGGCATCGGTGTCCTGTAGGAGCGAGAAAGGTCAACCTCAAGGAAAACGGGAAGAGCGACCGCAACTCGAGGAAGAGAAGGTCCAACTGGACGCACGGCATCAGGGAACTCGAGGTCCGGCTGCGAGAGCGTCCCAGCGCGAGGAATCGCCTCTCCCTGAGCGATAGTGTGCTCGGGGTAGTGGACCTTGAGGAAGCCCTTGAAGTGGGCAAGGTCGGCGTCGGAGAAGACTTCGGGGACGACGTTGTATTCGCGGAGAGCCTGCATCGTTTCGGCGGGTGTGGCAGCCATTGTTAAGCGTCGAAATGCAACGGTATGGAGTGGAGGAGAGAGGAAGGAACCGAGGAAGCGGACAAGGAGAACGAGTCCCGACGTCACTCACCTTCGAGATTTGGCGCTCGCCTGTTCGGAGGCAAGCGACCTCGCTTCCTTGCTGACGCCGCGAAGTCGTCTCTCTCTGCCATGAGCAGCGTCGACAGCGACGAACAAGAGCGAGGCAAGAGACGTCGCGCGTTCCTACAACAAGAGAACTAGGCCGGGAGGCAGAGAATAACCTGAGGATGCTGCGGGAGAATAGAGGGATCTGGTTGAGGTTGGGGGAGCGAGTCTACAGAGGCGTCGGATCGCAGACGAGCTCAATAGGGACGTCGCGGAGGGCGCCCTCGTCGTCGTCGAATTGGAGGCGGTAGATCTTCTGCGTCTCCTTTTTCTGCGGGAGGTGGACATCAAGGACCGTTAGTAAGTCTTAGCGAGCGACTCAAAGCAAGTGCGATGTACCTTGCCGGTACCGAGCGATGTCGCGTGAGGGCCGGAGTGAACGATGGCGCGGTAGAAAGAGGTTGTCTCGGGATAGCACGCCAAGACGTACATGCCCGGCGTAAAGTCGTAGTCGGGGTAGGTCCGCTCGTCGCCTTTCTCGGGTAAGGGGATGATCGACTTGAGCGTCGTGTTCCATTTCCTGCGTGAGCGGGTGTGAGCGAAGGAAGCGAAGAAGGCGGGAGTTGTGCGAGCTCACCCTCCTTCCGGCGTCGGGTTCGACGGGTCGTAGTCGACGTCTTCAACCGAGTATCTGGACGAGAGAAGTGTCAGCTGACCGACAGGGCAGAAAGGGAAGACTCTGTCACGCACCTGTTCTTGTCGCCTTGCAACTGTTGAACAATCCGCCCAAGGATGTAGTTGTCGGGTTGCTGGCCAGTCGTCGAGTTTTTCTTCGACTCCTTGACCGCGATGGGCCTGCCCGGCTTGAGCGGGAGCTGCGCGTTGAGCGAGTCTCTTCGGTTCTTGGGTGTCGGCTTCTTCGGATTCGGTGCGGGAGCGATAGGAAGGGGATGTTGCGCCGGCGACTTGGAAGGCAAGACAGGTTGTGCTTTTGCGGCGGCGACTGGTCGAGGAAGGGGTGTGGAAGGGTTCGGAGGAGAGCCGGCAAAGGTTGGCATCGGAGAAGCGGCGGCGGACGATGCGGGAGAGCCTGCGCGAGACGAGCCGTCCGTCTTGCGCTTCTTGTTGGGTGGTGGAGCGCGAGCTTTGGCTGCTGTCGCGGTAGACGAGAAGTCAGTAGCGCTCAAGAGAGCAACGAAAGTCAGTCTTGAGACGCACCTTCGGCTGCTGCGCCGTTCTGTGCCGTCTCGAGCGTCTCGAGCAAGTTCAAACAGTCGTCTAGCTCGCTGCAAGAGTCGCACACGGCCCGGTCAGGCTCAACATTACCGGCTCATCGCGCGACTTTGCGGCGGAAGATGCGAAGAAGCGTACTGAAACTCGGCCTCTGACTGCTCGAGAATGAGCTCGTACGTCGACGAAAGCTTCTCGTGGCACGCTTCGAGCGGCTGGACGCCCGACTCGACGTCCGTCTGCATCGAGTTGGCGTCCTCGAGAGCACTTGCGATGGCCGCGCTGTGCGCGAGGTACGACTTGAGCTGGGCGCGCAGCTGCACTGTGAGCTGCGCGAGGTCGACTGGCGCCATCATGCGCAGGCGGGCGAGCGAGCGCCGGCGGACGACGGGCTCACAAAAGTCGCGCGACGAGAAGAAGCGGGGGCGGCGCATCTCGGCGGGTGGGAGGGAACAAGCTTGCGGTGGTACTTAAATGCCAGTTGAGGGCAGCACTACAACAAAGAATGGCCGCGTGGCCCAATGGCAAGGCGTCTGACTACGATTTCAGTCGTTCATCAGGAGATTGTGGGTTCGAACCCCATCGTGGTCAATCATCTTTTGCTGCCCGTGACAAGTGGCTGGGAAGGCTGCTCAGCGTGCTCTTCTGCTTCAGCCGACAGTCTATCGCCGGCCTCATGCACTGGGGTAGCTGGAACTTGCGACGAAGGTACAGGCGACGAGACCGGACTTCCCTCTCGCTGTACATGTCCTCTCGCCTCGCCTCGCCTGCGTGGGACGCAGTCCTGACTGCGGCGTACTCAAATCGACGTCTGGCGAGTTCTGAGCTGCGCCAAGCCGTTCTAGCGACAAGAGGAAGACTCGCCCGTCCACCCCGCTCGCTCGCTCGCCTCCTCGTTGCTCGCCTCCTTGTCTGGCACGCAAACGTCGTTCTGCCTGCACTTAGGCCTTCCAGCGTCAAATCGACGTCGTTGCAGAGCTTTGCCACTCGAGGGCAGTTCCATCTTTCGAGGAAGCCGACCTCAGCCTCCTCCCCATCCTTCCCGCTCCCCTTGTTCTCCGTTTCGAAACCTGCTGAGCCTCCTGCGCAATAACGTTGTAATTGACGTTGGGACACGACCGTCTCGCCTGCGATCCGCCTGCTCGATCATCCGGCCACCCTCCTCCATCCTGTTCTTCGTCAATCTCGCTCCGTTTTTCCAGCTCACCGGAGTTCTCCTGCGCGCGCTTGCAGACTTCCAACGTCAATCCAACGTCGATGCAGCGATGTCCTGCTCGAAACACCCGCGTCCTGCCCTCCAAACCCTCCCATCCCCTCCTCCCGCTCCCCCTCCTCTCCTTCGCTCAATCACTCATCCCCTCGCTTCCCCTCCTTCACACCACACGCTCTAACCATTGCTTCGATCGATTTCGCAACATAGGAGTCTGACCTGCAATCCGTCTCTCGAGCACCCGTCCGCCCTTCTCCATCCTGCTCTTCTCACATCTCGCGCTTCCTTGCCTCCTCCCTAAACTCCTCTCACCGCCCTTGCTTCCGCCGTCCAACGTCAAACCAACGTCGATGCAGCGCTGTCCTGCTCGAACCACCCGCGTCCTGCCCACGAAACCCAACCCTTCCCTCCTCCCCCTCCCCCCCTCCTCTCCTTCGCTCATTCACATACCCCTGCCTTCCCCTCCTTCATCCCACACGCTCCACCAGCTTGCACACGCTGCAACCGTATCCCTCTCACTCACCCTCACTCACTCAGTCACTCACTCCTCCTCTCGCACCTCTACAGTCCCACCCACTCACTCTCACAGCCAGCCAGCCAGCCACACAGACAGACAGAAAGACAGACAGACAGTCGAAGAGAACGAGGGTATGGCTAGTTACATAAATAGACTGGGTCGAATGAACGGGCGAGGAGGATGGCTAGAGGAGGCCGCAGTCCCGGAGGTTGATTTGGATCGGTGTTCTTACGCGCGGCTGTCTTTCTTCCTTGTAGTATACAGCACGTCAAGAGATGTGCAAGAGGTGCCGTCGGACGCGCAGCGAGATGCGGGAGGGTTGCGGGTTGCGAAGGTCGACTCTGCGAAGCTGTCGCTTCTGAGCAATTCAGCGGTTCCGGCGCTACGGGTATCTTCGGCACCTTCACTGCTGTAGTATTAGCAGTGCATCAACGGCAGGTAAACCGGTCGCAGCATCGGCACCTTTCCTTGTCCGGGACGAGGGCGACGAGGCGGACCAGCCGGCGGCTCGTCGAGCAGGCGCTGCGGCGACCGGCGGCTAGCAGACGTCAAGACTCGACGTTGCCACCGCATAGGAGCTGTCTGCGGGCAGAAGCGGGCGCGCAGGGCGCGAGAGCGGCTTTGGAGAACTCGCGACGGCGCTCCCACTCGCCCGTCGACTCGGCGCGCTCCGGTCGTTCGCTCGAGCGGATGTATTCGACGCCGGTGACGGGCTGCAGTGTGCATCGCAAGCCGTATGGCGACGAGGCGAGCGTGTTGTTTGCGGGTCGAGGCCTTTGTCGTCTGGCGCTGGCTCGCCTCCTTCCTCTCTCGTCGCGCTCGCTCTCACTCTCCCTCACTCGCTGGGCTGTGCTGCACGGGCTGCTGCTGCTCTCTGGGACTCGTCTGTGCTGTCCGACGCTCACCTCCGAGGCGAACAGAGCGCCAACCCGCCCGCTCATCTCCCACGCGAGCATCCCCTCGACGCAGATCGCTCCCTTCCTCCGCCAGAGCCAGGTCCGTCTCGCTCGCAGCGTACTCGCACTGGACCGCACTGACACGCACTGCGATCCTGCACCCTTCCCTCGCCGCGCCGCCGTCCCGCTGTCGTCGCCCGCCTCCTTTCCCCCTCCCCGCGTCGCTCTTCCGGCTCGGCACCCGCACCAAAACTCGCGCTTCTTTCGACTCCTGTCCTGCCCGCGAACTCCTCTCTGCCGAACTCGAACCACGCGACATCGCCCCGGACTCTCCTTCCTCGCCGTTTCCTCCCTCAACTCCCAAGTCGTCCCTTTGTCCCGCCTCCACCCTCGCTCGCGCCTCGCCTGTACCTTGACACGCCTCGACGGCCTCTCCTCGCACTCACAGAGCGTACACACAGCCCTAGCGCACCCTCTCGGCCTCCCTCCCGCCCCTCTCACCTCTTCGCGTCCGCCGTCGCTCAACAACAATGGGCTGCGGAGGATCCAAGCCCGTCGACCAGGAGGGCAAGGCCCGCTCGGACGAGATTGAGAACCAGTTGCGCAAGGATAGGATGGCGATGCGGTGCGTTTCTTTCTCCCGTGCTCGACGCTTGGGCCGGAGGCATCTGACGCGGTGTTCGCTCGTTCCCGGTCGACAGGAATGAGATGTGGGTTCACTGTACTCTCTAGTACGCGGACGAGTAACTGATTCTCGTGCACGCAGCAAAATGTTGTTGCTTGGAGCCGGAGAGTCGGGCAAGTCGACCATCTTGAAGCAGATGAAGCTCATCCACGAGGGCTCGTACACCGACAAGGAGCGCGAGAACTACAAGGAGATCATCTATTCCAACACAGTGCAGAGCATGCACGTGCGTCGTCGTCGCTCGCTCACTCGGAAAGTCCGTCTCTAACCTCCGACTCGCGCAGGTCATCCTCGACGCGATGGAGATGATGGGGATCCAGCTTGCCAACCCCGAGGGTCAGCGGTACCAGGAGGTCATCATGTCGCAGCCGCACCAGATCGAGGCCGACTTCTTGCCCAACGAAGTGACCGAGGCCATCATCGAGTTGTGGAAGGACCCGGGCGTCCGCGAGTGCTTCAGCCGCTCGCGCGAGTACCAGCTGAACGACTCGGCGCAGTAGTGCGTTCGATTCCGTCGTCTTGGGCCGACTGAACGCGCGCTGACATGGCTCGCGAAAACAGCTACTTCGACTCGATTACCCGGATAGGGTCGCGGAACTACATCCCCTCGGACCAGGACGTTCTGCGATCACGCGTCAAGACGACGGGTATCACGGAGACGACGTTCCAGATCGGCGAGCTCAAGTACCGCATGTTTGACGTCGGCGGACAACGGTCGGAGCGCAAAAAGTGGATTCACTGCTTCGAGAACGTCACTGCCATCCTCTTCCTCGTCGCCATCTCCGAGTACGACCAGATGCTCTACGAGGACGAGGCAATCAACCGCATGCAGGAGGCGCTCGTCTTGTTCGACTCGATCTGCAACTCGAGGTGGTTCGTGCGGACGTCGATCATCCTCTTCCTCAACAAGGTGCGCATCGTTCCTACGCTCCTTTAGAGCTGTACTGAGGGCTGTGTGCGGCGCGCAGATCGACTTGTTCCGCGAAAAGCTTCCCCGCTCGCCCATCGCCAACTACTTCCCCGACTACACCGGCGGCTCCGACCTCCAAGCCGCATGCGACTACTTCTCCAGCCGCTTCGTCTCTCTCAACCAGAGCACCGCGAAGCAGATCTACGTTCACTTCACCTGCGCGACCGTGAGTTTTCCCCGACCTCCTCGTCCCCTACTTCCTCCGGACGATGCCGCTGACCCTCTACGACGTCTCCCTCAGGACACGAGCCAGATCCGCTTCGTTCTATCGGCTGTAAACGACATAATCATTCAGATCAACCTCCGGGACTGCGGCCTCCTCTAGCCATCCTCCTCGCTCGTTCGTTCGACCCAGCCTATTTATGTAACTAGCCATACCCTCTTCGTCTGTCTGTCTGTCTGTCTGTCTGTCTGTCTGTGTGGCTGGCCGGCCGAATGGCTGAGAGAGTAGAGGGTGGGAGGGTGCAGAGGTGCGAGAGGAGGATGGGTGAGTGACTGCTGGTGAGTGAGGGTGAGTGAGAGAGGTACGGTTGAAGCCTGTGCGAGCGGTGAGTGGGTGGTTAGAGCGTATGGTGTGAAGGAGGGGGAAGGGAGGGAGGTTGGCGAGCGAAGGCGAGGAGGGGGAGCGGGAGGAGGGAAGGGTTGGGTTTGGAGGGCAGGACGCGGGTGTTTCGAGGACGCGAGCGCTGTATCGACGTTGGATTGACGTTGTGGAAACGGAGCGCGCGCGAGGGGTCTCTGGAAAGAACGATGGCGAGGAGCGGGACGCGAGAAGAGCAGGGTGCAGGCGGACGACGGGTGCTTGAGCGGTATAGTGCGAGTCAAGGGTTGACCGATTTCCAGTGTGGCAGAGTTGCGTCGAAGAATGTTACGATAATTGAAAGGAGAGAGTCAGGAGGAGGCAGGGGAGAAGCGAGGAGGCGAAGGTTGGTTTTCTCGAAAGGGCGGATGTTCTCCGCGCAGCAAAGGTCTACAATCGCGCCAAATTGACGTTGAGAGGCGCTCGAAGCAGGCGTAACGTCGTCGTCTGCGAGTCGGGCTGAGAGGGGAGGCGAGGTGACGGAGCAATCCTAGGAAACCCACTTGCGTCTCTCGCTCCTCAGCCCGCTTTCGTGGCGCGCGATCACGGAGAACACGCCGACGTTGCACCTCGACCCACGCTAGATGTCAAACTCGTCGACCTTCTCCTCGACCTTGGCAATGTCCCACAGCTGCGCAAGCTTGCCGAGGACCTCGCGCGCGCTCGACTCGCTCGGGCAATTCTTGCGCGCCATGTCGGCCCACACGCGCTCGCGGTGCGCGCCGGACCACACCTCACGGCAGTAGTTGTCGGCGAGACTCTGCGGCTCCTCGGGCTCGTCGGGCGCCGTGAACGGTCCGGCTGGTCGCAGGATACCGCCGTGGTCCTCGAGCGTGGGCGCGTCGTCCTCGCCGCCTGCGCGCGGTGCAGCCTCCTCCGTCCACCGGATGCGGTTGAGCATGAGCTGGCGGTACTTCTTGATCGACTTGGCGCCTCCCTCGACGACGACGAGGCAGAACTTGGGGTTGTGCAGGATGCGGCCGGTGAGGTGCCAGTCGATCGCGTTCTTCTTGACTTTGAACTTGTGCGACGGGTCCGTCAGGTACCGCACCTTGAACGCAACCGCCTGGATGCCCTTCGCCTCGTCCTGCGCAAACTGACCCTCGCGCTTCTCCGCCCGCTCCTCGGCTGTCAGCTTGCGCTCCGCGTTGTCCTTCAGGTGCTTGCGCTCGCGTGCGACAATCTCGCGCCGCACTTGCGCCTCGACCTTGGTCGGGTCCGAGATCGCCTCCTGCGTCAGGACGCGCATCATGTTCGAGATCTTGACTGCGGGCGGCAACGAAGAGAGTCAGCGCTGAGCAGAGCCTCGGAAAGAGCGCGCGTACGCACCCTTTGGCGGATCTGGCGGGAGCAAGCCCATCTTCTGCCGGTCCTGCTTGTCCTTGAGCTCGGCTTGGCGCCTGATCCTCCGCATCTTCTTCATCTCCTTCTTCGTCAGGAACAGCGGCTTGAGCTCGACCTTGTTCTTGTCCTGCGGCGCCGGAATCGAGATCGGGTGTTGGACAAGGTGCGAGATGAGCGGCGACTCGTCGAGGAACTGCGTCGAGTACGACTCGTACGTCTTCTCCGGCACGTAACCCTCGTCCCACCACTCGATGTCGGGCGGAGGCGGCCGCCTGACCTTCTTCGCCGTCTCCTCGAGGTCGCTCTGCACGCCCGCCTTTTGCGAGCTCTCAAGGATCCGCTGCTTCAACTCGTCCATCCGCGCCTCGGCACGCATCGCCTCGCCCTTCTTGATGTACGTGCCGGCCTGCTTGAAGTGGAGACCCTGCCGCGCATGGCCTCTGCCCATATGGGACTTGCCCGTCACGCCTGCCGAGCCGTAGCCGAGACGAGGGTCGAAGAAGGGCGTCGCAGTGAGGCTTTCGGCTGAGACGTCGGAAGTCGAAGGAACGGGCGTGGCGGGACGGGGCGAAGGTGTGCTGACGTTCGCCTTGGTCGTCGAGAACTTGGGCGCCATTGGCTTGCGGCGGTCCTTGTTCGTCGTCGGCGCAGGCACCGAGTTGTCGAGCAGGAGCGGGTGAGCAGTCATGGCGAGACCGCCCTTCGCGGCGACACTCGCGTCAATCGCCGGGTCCTTCTTCTTGCCCTGGAAAGTCGCGGACTGTGTGTGCGCAGTGTCAGCAGGGGTACTTCAACGAGTAGAGAGCTACAGGACGCACCAGATAAGGGTTGGCCTTAGCCTGAGCCTGCGCCTGGCTCTTCGCGGCCATCTCTGCAACGCGCTTCTTCGCCTCGGCGATCTTCCTTGCAATGTCGGGGTCGATACCTGGTTGTTGAGGCGGAGCAGAGGGCAAGTTCGGTGTAGGTCTTTGCGGGAGACCAGCGGAAGGAGGAGCAGGCGGGGGAGCAGTGGAGGACGAGGCAGAGGCGGGAGGAGCGCCGAGACCGCCGCCGTTCGCGCCCTTCATCTTGGCGAGTTTCGCAAGGATCTCGGCACGCTTGGCGGCGATGTCGATGGGAGGACCGCCTGCGGGAGGAGCGGCGGCAGGACGGGGAGGGAGGGTCGAGGTGATGGGGGTCGGGACGAAGGACGGCGCGGCGGGCTGCGAAAGTGGTGAGATGGTCAACGGTTGCTCGAAGACTGTCAGTCAGCACTTGGGACTCACCGCATTGCTGTAGACGAGGTGAACGACAAGCGAGAACACCCAAGTCAGCGACGTCAAGCTTCGCTTGCTCGACAGGCTCAAGGATAGCAGACGCACCCGCGAGGCTTCTTGGCATCATGCTGCGAGATAGGATCATCATCCCCGAAGACGTTGGCGCGCTTGCGGTCCGACATGGTTGAGGGGGAGTCGGGCGACGCGATGAAAGGGTTCCCGGTCACGGGCGGAGCAGTGGGTTGTACTAATGAGCAAGGTACTCCTGTAAAGCCGCAACAAGGTCTCGCACTGCCCGTCAAGCGAGGACAGCGGGTGTGGTAGCGAGAGACCGCCTCGTCGCCCCGCTTGACCTTCGACAACTCGCACAAAGCGGCAAACACGCTCAGGATGCCCGTCTACTGCTGCGGCTCGAATGCTTTCGGGCTAGTGGACCCGCCAGACCAGCTGCAGCTGCTCGAACCTGCCCTCGTCCCGGATTGCGCATCTCTCGAAGCCGCTTCCTGGTCGCAATTGCTCGCCCGTGCGTCCTGCTGCGTGGACTGCGTTATTCGCCGGCTAAGACTTTTGTCTAGACAGGCAACACCGACGGAACTCGGCGAACTTGCGGCCTGCCTCTACCGAACGACTTCCCTCTCGAGCCTGTCGCGCGCTGGCTTGGTCAGGATGACTTTGTCGCCGCGCTGCTCGAGGATGGACGTATCAAGAGACTCTCTGACGGCGCGGTCTCGACGGCGAGGTTCTCCTTGGCCGAGATGAACGGGAGAGGCGAGTTGCTCGGAGTGCCAGGTTCGCCCGCAATTCTCCATTTCGTTCAGCAGGTCAGGCTTACAACGTCTGGTTGTTCGGCTCGCAGCCGACGACCCAGGTGTCGCGCACCTCTTCCCAAGCCTCGATGCGCTCTTCTTGCAACCAAGCGCCGACAGTCCTCCCCTTCGCCTAGTCCTGCCATCTCCCACCTTCAACGGCACATCAACCGCTTCACCTTCAGCCTCGGCCTCTATTCGACAGCGAAAAGAGTCCATCACCGCCCTCTCCTCCGGCTCAGCCCACTTCCTCCTCCTCACATCCTCCTCACAAGTCCACTCCTACGGCGACTCTCGCTACGGCCAAGCCGGTCCTTTCCCCTCCTCTCTCTATCACGCATCCACCAGCTCATCACTACCGCCAGCGACTATCCCGCTCAACCACCTCTCCTTTTTCGACGGCCTGTATCCGGTCCAACTCGCATGCGGGTCGTTCCACTCGGCTGTGCGGACAAGAGAAGGGAGTGTCTACCTCTTCGGAAGCGACAAGGACGGTCAATGCGGTGAGACAAGCGGAGGAGCGGACCCGGAGATGGTTGATCTCGACACAGACGAGGGTGACGAGGCAGATGAGGAGGTCGTGCAGGTTGCATGCGGAGGAGCGCACACGGTGTTGTTGACAGAGAGTGGGAAGGTGTGGGTCGCTGGTGCGAGTGAGTCCGCTTCTGAGCCTGCTTGACCGACTCTGCAGCCAACTGCTCTCCCTCGCAGACCACCACGGGGAGCTAGGTCTCGGCGACACAGCGCCCCGACCGCGCTTCACCCGCTGCTCAGCAATCGAGCGCCTCGCCGCACCAGGCCGAGTCCGCATAATCCTCTGCTCGCGCTCGGGGACGTTCTTCGAGACGGCGCCGTAGATGCTGGTATCTGCTGCATTGCGAGGAGACGGAGAAGAGGCACTGCGAAACCCTGAGAATACGGGGAGTTTTTGGTCGAGAGAAGGGAGAGGCTGGGTGAGGGGAGGGATATGCAAGAAGGAGGCCTCTAAGGGAGAGAGATTGCTGTACAGAGTGCTGGTTCGGCTGAAGAGTGAGGAGCCGATCTAGATTTTGAAAGAGAGTCTAGGCGGAGCCGATGAGGCCGTTCGACTCGAGGAGGAGGATGATTGCGTGAGTCGCGCTCGAGACCGACTGCTTCGAGAGGTCAACAACGAGGTCTGCGTCCGTCGGCGCGTCGTACTTGTCGTCGATGCCGGTGAAGCCCTTGATCTCGCCGCTGCGGGCCTTGGCATACACGCCACGACGGTCCGTCTTCTCGCAGTGCTCGAGCGGGGTCGCGACGTGGACGAGGAAGAAGTTGCCGCCTCCCGCACCGCCGTTCTGGACAATGTGAGCCTTGGCAGCCTTGCGCGAGTGGTCGTACGGCGCGATAGGGGTCGCGATGACGGCCGCACCGGCGCGCGAGAGCTCGGCGGCGACGAACGCGAGACGCTGGAGGTTCTTGTGGCGCTCTTCGGGTGCGAAACCGAGTTCGGCAGAGAGCTCGGAACGGATCGTGTCGCCGAGGAGGAGCGAGACGGAGCGGCCTGCCTGCTGCTGGAACTGCGACTCGAGCGCCTTGGCGATCGCGTTCGCGCCCGAGTTGACGTAGCCCGTGAGGAGGATGGTGAACCCTTGGCGGGCCTTGGGGGGGTACGACTCGCGGAGGACCTTGACGACCGCCTCGTACGAGAACCAGTCGGGGATGGGCGCGCCCGTCTTGAGGCGGCGGCGGAGCTCGGTACCCGAGATGTCGGCCGTGACGGTGCCCTTGGGGATCTCGTCGACGGGCATGTACGTGTCCTGGTCCGGGATGTACGACATCATCTGGAACGGCACCATCTCGATCTGCAACTCGTCCTTGAACTTGGTCACGAGCTCCTGCGCGTCGTAAGGGCCGTAAAAGTCCTTGCCCTGCGAGTTCTTGCCCGGTCCGGCGTGGTCGCGCCCGACGATAAAGTGCGTCGCGCCAAAATTCTTGCGGATGATGGCGTGCCACACGGCCTCGCGAGGTCCGCCCATGCGCATGGCGAGGGGGAGGAGGGCGAGGGCGGCCATGCCCTTCGGGTAGGTACGGATGATGGCCTCGTAGACGCGGACACGGGTGAAGTGGTCAACATCGCCGGGCTTGGTGAGGCCAACCACGGGGTGGACGAGGACGTTGGCACGCTGCTGGCGGGCGGCACGGACGGTGAGCTCGCGGTGGGCGCGGTGCATGGGGTTGCGGGTCTGGAAAGCGACGACGCGGGTCCACGAGAGCTTCTCAAAGTAGGCGCGGAGCTCGCGGGGGGTGTCTGCGTGCGAGGAGCAGGGTGAGCGAACATAACCCCCAGTTCAACGGCCTCGCGAACTCACAGCGGAGCTCGACGTAGTCGTAGTGCTCGGGCGAGTTGATGGCCTGGACAGCGCCGCCGACGTAAAAGTCCTTGACCGAATTGTGGAGGTAGTGGACGGCGGGGTGAGCCTGGTCGTCCGCGCCAAAGACCTTCTCCGCCTCGTTCGACTTGTTGGGCTGGTAGATCGAGGAAACTGCGAGCGTTTCACTGTCAGCGGGAACTTGGGAGAGAAGGGTCGGGCGCACGCACTGGAGAGGATGGCGAGGGGAGACTCGTCGCGCGAGTCGCGGAGGGTGACGCGGGATCCGGGGGCAAGCTTGAGCGAGTCGATCTGCTTCTTCGAGACGTCGAGGGTGATGGGCATGGAGAAGAGTGCGCCGTCGGTGAGGCGGAGAGTCTCAACAACGCTGCCAAGGGAATCGTACGGTCAGCTCACGATCAGGACGAGCGAGAGCTGGTCGAGCGCGGGCGCACCTCTCGTAGTCCTCCTTGGTCATGAAACCCTCGAGAGGCGAGAATCCACCGTTCATGATGAGTTCGAGGTCGCACAGCTGGCGCTCGGTGAGGCGGATGTCGGGGAGGGTCTCCGACTCTTGGATGAGCTGCTGGCGGATCGGTGCATCGCGAGCGTGGAGGTCCTTGAGGACACCGCCGTGGGGAGAGTTGGCCTGCGAGCCGGAGCGCGACGTAAGAGCAGGCAGAGAGGGTAAGCGGGAGGTGGAGGAGGGTTGGGTGAGTGCGCGGCGTGCGAGCGAGCGTGAGTTGGCTGGGTGTCCTCGTCGAGTCGACTGGACAGTGTGCTCACCATTCTGCGTGTCGGCGAGTGCGGCGATGCGAGTTGGCGAGTGCGAGCGAGTGAGAGAAGCTGGATCACACCATCTCGCTCTCCGGCGCCCGCAAACTCCGCTCTCGTACGCGGACTTCACGAGGACAGGGACACGCATAACTTCATATCAAGAACGAGTTATAAAGAGCAACACAGTTCTACATCCTGCGGCGGATGACGGTAATCCCGTCGCGGATGGGCAACATGGCCACCTGCAGATCCGGGTGGTTGCGCACATACTCGTTGAACCTGCCACGCCAGGTCCTGTCAGCACCGCAGCGGAGCACGCAGAGCGAGGGGAAGGAAGGAAACGCACTCGTGGACGCCCTTGGTGTTGTCCGCCTCGAACTTGCGGCGCGCGAGGACATCGGCCGGAACGGTGGACTCGTCCTCGGGGAGCGGGGCGGGAGGAGCCCAGGCGAGGCCCTGCAACGGGTGCGGCAAATGTTGATCAGCTGGATCAAGCCGAGGGAATGAGCGAGCAGAGATGGGTCTCGAGGAGAGCGAGCGGGCGCACCTTGTACATCGTGTTGTCCTGTGAAGCGAGCGGACCAGCATCAGTATCAACGCTCGAGTACGTAGCAGACCCCGTCGCGAAACGCACCGCAAGGATCACCCCCTCCTCCTTCAACAATCCCTCCTCGACGATCTTCCTGACATACTCACAATACCCCTCCTTATCCGCATCAATAAACACCAGATCGAACCCCTCGTGGCCCTCTTGCTTCAACTTGTCGAGCGACTCGAGTGCTGGGGCGACACGGAAGTCGATCTTTGGGGAGACACCGGCGCGCGTCCAGAAAGGGTCGTTGAAGGAGGAGAGGTAGGGCTCGATGTCGAGGGCGATGACTTGTTTGACGCAAGGGACGAGCGCGAGGGCGAGCTGTGCGAGATGGGAGCGTAAGTCGCCGCGTATACCTCGAGAACGCAGGTCGTCGCGGCCAGGGAGAGTGCCTCGTCCTGCGAGTAGGCTCAGGCTGCGACTCACCGTCGCCGTCCCCGTGAAGACTCCAATCTCCAAAACCTTCTCAGCTCTCATCATCGCCGCAAAAGTCTGCAACACAACCGCCTCATACGCGCCACTGCACTGCTCGTCCCTCCTCGTCAGCTCAATCCCGCTGAGAAAGAGAAGAGAAGAGGAGAGGGGACGAACCATGACAGCCCCAAGCTGGTACTTGGTCTCACCCCTCTCCTTCACCCCAACCCAATCCGTCTCCTCCGTCTTCCTCAAAAGCTCCTCCCAAACACCCTTCACCTCTTCCTCCTCTACTCCATGTCCCCGCGGAACGATAAGCGAAGACGAGTACTTCTCTGCGTAGGACTCGAGGCGGGAGGTGAGGGTGTAAGCTTCGACGAGGGGAGCGTGGGCGGGCGAGGAGGGGGGGATGTGGGTGAGGGCGGTCGAGAGGAGGGTTGGAGCGCGGGCGGGGAGGAGGCCGGGCACGAGCAGCGGGTTCGAGGGTGCCATCGTGTGAAGAACGAACAGGTGAAAGTCGTTGGTGAGAGAGGAAGGAAGGAGAAAAGGAAGCGACCGAGCGACGGCAGAGCAGCGCGGGGAACCCGCGACGAGCGCAGCGAGCCCCACGCGTCAATCTGGCCAGCTTAGCGCGTGCGTGGGGGTTCACAGAGAGAGGACCGAGCGAAGAGGTCGAAGCGAGCGGAGAAGCCGTGGAGATGAGCGGTCGGCTGGGCACGTTCGTTCCGGCGCGGAAGAGGCGACGTTGTGAGGAACTCGGCATAGCAGGAAGGTGAGAGGGAGAGTCGGCTAGATGCGCCGGCGGATGACGGTGATGCCGTCGCGGATGGGGAGGACGGCGGTTTCGAGGTCGGGGTGACTGCGGACATAGGTGTTGAAGCTGCAGACACGAAAGAGTGTCAGCTCCGAATCCACCCCAAGTACATCCACGAGCCAGGGCAACGAGCGCAGGCGGCGCGAATGTCGGAAGGTGGACGAGAGAGTTGAACGTCGGAAACGCACTCATCAATGCCCTTGGTCGCCTCGCTCTTGCTCTTATTATTCGTGCGGTTCGATTTGGCGTAGGTGGACTGGTCGGTCGACGCCGGAGGAACCCACGGGTATCCCTGCCGAAGCGGAGAGGAGTGAGCGAGGAAGCGAGGAGAGGAGCGGGAAGAGGGCCGCGGACTTTGTAGAGCGTGTTGTCCTGCATAGCGAGGCGGTCTGAAGGTCAGCCCTTGTGCACGAGGGCACTAAGCAGGAGCGAGACGAACCACCAGGATCACCCCGTTCTCCTTCAACAAACCCAACTCGAGGACCTGCTCGACATACGTACGATACGACGGTTTATCGGCGTCGATAAACACCAGATCGAACCCCTCGTGGCCCTCCTGCTTGAGCTTGGCGAGGGACTCGAGGGCGGGAGCGATGCGGAGATCGATTTTGGAGGAAACGCCGGCGCGGGTCCAGTACGGAGTGTTGAACGATTCGAGGAAGGGCTCGATGTCGAGGGCGACAACTTGTGTAACAGAGGGAAGGAGGGCGAGGGCGAGCTGGGAGGGCGGAACTGTCAGGAATGCTCTACTGCAAGCATTGGGTCATTCGAAGCCAGCCGCCAACTGGAGTGACCACGTTCTGACTGACCGTTGCGGTTCCTGTGAACACGCCAATCTCGAGCACCGTCTTGGCTCCTTGCATCAGGGCAAAGTTCTGGAGGACGACGGCTTCGTAAGGCCCGCTGCACTGCGTCCGTCAAGCGTGTCAGTCCCGGCTGATTCGTTCGCTCCACCTGTGGCACTCACCATGCCCGCACCCAGCTCGAACGTCGTCTCTTCTCGGTCTTTGACAGCCTTCCAATCCGTCTCTGTTGTCCCTCGCAGCAACTCGTCCCAAACCTCCCTGACCTCCTGCTCCAGCACCGCATGACCCGCCGGCACAATTAACTCGCTCGTATTGCGCTCGATGTAGGTTTCCTCGCCTGCGACGAGCGAGTGCGCTTCGACGAGGGTTGAGTAAGCGGGCGAGGAGGGGTCGAGTTGTGAGAGGGCGGTGGAGAGGAGCGAGGCGGCGCGGGTCGTGGGAGTGCCGCCTGTGTGTGTGGTGATGTATGTCGGCATCGCAAGCGGTCTAGCACAGTGCGGGTGAGCGGGACGAGGTGGACCTCGGAGCAAGTGCGAGGTGGGGAGCTGGACGGCTGGAGTAAGGGTCTGCGAGCGGGTTCAGCGTGTGACCGATGGCTCAAGGCGTCAAAAGAGCTCAAACGCCAGATCCTGAGCCTAAGTGCCGCTCGGAACGGTGTGGTCGACTGCAAGCGGTCGAAGCGGGTCGAGGAGGGCGAGAGGTGGCGCTCGAGCAAGGCGTGGCGGGTCGCAGTCGAGTCGCACAGCCTGAGCCAGTCCAGCACAGTCCAGCACGCGTCCTCTCGCGCCCGCTCGAGTCAGCTGGGCGTTGTCAGCGAGTCGGTCGAAGGCAACTCCGCAAAGTCAAGGCTCGACCCTGGTCACCACGCTCTGCACGCGACTGGCTGCTCTTCAGGGGCTGCTTCTGCTCTAGTTGACTCGCTAGACTCGCTAGGAGACCGCCCGCACAACTCGCAGCGCGCGACACCCGCTCCTTCGCCGCCGGACCATCCCCAGCGACGAACAGCGCGAACAGCACCGCACACCGCCAGTAGACGAGTGCAGACAAGGCTGAAGCACAGCAATACGCGCTCTCTAGCTTTCTCGAAAAGCGCGACACCCCTGCGCACCCCTCATCTCGCACACGACCCCGCTCCACTTCTCCCTCCCTCTCGCTCTACACCATGACCACTCCGCAACCGACCAACCCGAACGCTCAGTTCCCGCCTCACGACCCGACCGCCCAGTTCTCCTTCCCCAAGGCAGAGGAGGAGGTCGTCGAGTACGTTCGCTCGTCTTTCGCTTCGACCTGTCTCTCGCGCTGACTCAGTTTCCGCACTTCTGCAGGTACTGGAGGGCCATTGATGCTGTGAGTGGCACGAGTGTTCCACCTCGTGAAAGTAGCGCTGACTCTGTTCGCCCGCTGCAGTTCCGAACAAGCGTCCAGCAGTCGAAGGACGAGGGTCGCCCGAACTATGTCTTCCTCGACGGTCCTCCCTTTGCGACTGGCTTGCCGCATCACGGTCATCTGCTGATGGGCACCGTCAGTGAGTCGGGAGTGCCTCACTTCATACGCCGAACAGCATGCTGATCGACCCACTCCCGCCCGTAGAGGACATCGTTACTCGATTCTGGCACTCGAACGGCTTCCACGTCGAGCGCCGCTTCGGCTGGGACACGCACGGTCTCCCCGTCGAGCACGAGATCGACAAGAAGCTCGGCATCACCTCCAAGGCCGACGTGATGGCGATGGGTATCGACAAGTACAACGCCGAGTGCCGTGCCATCGTCATGCGGTACGCGTCCGAGTGGCGCCGCACCGTCGAGCGTCTCGGTCGCTGGATCGACTTTGACAACGACTACAAGACCCTCTACCCGACGTTCATGGAGTCGGTCTGGTGGGTCTTTGGCCAGCTGTGGAAGAAGAACCTCGTGTACCGCGGATTGAAGGTCATGCCCTACACCACCGGCTGCACGACCCCTCTCTCCAACTTCGAGGCCGGTCAGGCGTACAAGGACGTCCAGGATCCGGCCGTCACCGTCGCCTTCACCCTCGTCGACGACCCGAAGACCTCCTTCCTCGCATGGACGACCACGCCCTGGACCCTCCCCTCCAACCTCGGTCTCTGCGTTCACCCCGACTTCACCTACGTCAAGATCCACGACGTCGAGCGCGACGCCAACTTCATCCTCTGCGACAAGCTCCTCAACGCCTTGTACAAGGACCCGGCAAAGGCCAAGAAGGACAAGAAGTTTGAGGTCCTCGAGACGTACAAGGGGTCTGACTTGGTCGACATCAAGTACGAGCCGCTCTTCCCGTACTTTGTCGAGAAGGTGCGTCCTTTCCCTTTCCCTTTCCCTTTCCCTCCACTCATACTCACCTTCTGCAACCGCGCGCAGTACGGATCCCGCGCCTACCGCGTCCTCTCCGATCCGTACGTGACCGACTCGTCCGGTACCGGTATCGTCCACCAAGCCCCGGCATTCGGTGACGACGACCACCGCGTCGCTGTCGCGCACGGCGTTGTCGCGAAGGACGAGATGCCGCCTTGCCCGATTGATGAGAAGGGTGTTTACACGGATGAGGTGCCCGACTTCAAGGGCATGTATGTCAAGGTGAGTGGGCGGTCTCGCTCAGAAGCTTGTTGCGGTTGCTGCCCACGAGGGCAGCAGCTGCGACTTAAAAGTCTGAGCTCGAGTCGCTCACATCGTAAACGCTCAGGATGCCGACAAGCACATCACCAAGTTCCTCAAAAACGCTGGCAAGATCATCGTCGCATCGACCTTGACCCACTCGTACCCCTTCTGCTGGCGGTGAGTTCGTCTCTTGCGCTCCTTCTCGCCCATCAGCCGCTTACGAGAGCGACCTTCGCAGCTCCGGCACGCCCCTCATCTACCGCGCCATCCCCGTCTGGTTCGTCCGCGTCCAAGGCCACCAAGACGAGCTCGTCAAGAACAACAAGGCGACGCGCTGGGTTCCTGCCTCGGTCGGCGAGAACCGCTTCCAGAACTGGCTCGAGAACGCCCGCGACTGGAACGTCTCGAGGAACAGGTACTGGGGAACGCCGTTGCCGCTTTGGGCGAGCGAGGACTACGAGGAGGTGCGTTCTGCTTCTTCTCCAAGCTTGTCCGGACAGCTGCTGACGTAGATAATGGAGCAGATCGTCTGCATCTCGTCGATTGCCGAACTCGAGGAGTTGTCGGGCGTCAAGGGCATCACCGACCTCCATCGCGACAAGATTGACCACATCACCATCCCTTCGAAGCAGGGCAAGGGACAGCTGAAGCGTGTCGAGGAGGTCTTTGACTGCTGGTTTGAGTCGGGCAGGTGCGTTTGCTGCTTCCATTCGCACTGCTCGCCGAACGGAGGATCGGCAGCGACGAGTGTGGCGACCTCCCGAAGCGTACACTGACGCTCGGGTCCACACAGCATGCCCTACGCGCAGGTCCACTACCCCTTCGAGAACAAGGGCGCGTTCGAGCACTCTTTCCCGGCCGACTTCATCTCGGAGGCGATGGACCAGACCCGTGGCTGGTTCTACACGCTCCTCGTCCTCTCGAACCACCTCTTCGGTACCGCTCCCTGGAAGAATCTCATCGTCTGCGGCCACGTCCTCGCCGCCGATGGCAAGAAGATGTCCAAGTCGCTGAAGAACTACCCCGACCCGAACATGATCATCGACCGGTACGGCGCCGACGCCCTCCGTCTCTTCCTCATCAACTCGCCCGTCGTCCGCGGCGACTCGCTCCGCTTCAAGGAAGAGGGCGTCCGCGACGTTATCGGCCACGTCCTCCTTCCCCTCCTCAACTCCTTCCGCTTCTTCCTCGGCCAGGCCGCGCTCCTCAAGAAGGAGCAGGGCGTCGAGTTCAAGTACGACCCCACGAGTCTCGGCAGCTCGAACGTCATGGACCGCTGGATCCTCGCGCGGTGCCAGACGCTCATCAAGCTCGTCCGCACCGAGATGGAGGGTAAGCACCGCCCTTCTCATTCGTCGTTGGGCCAGCTGACCCAATTCGCCTCGCAGCGTACCGCCTTTACACCGTCGTCAACCAAATGCTCGGCCTCATCGACGAGCTCACCAACTGGTACATCCGCTTCAACCGCCGGCGTCTCAAGGGCGAGAACGGCCTCGAGGACACGACGCACGCCCTCAACACCCTCTTCGAGACGCTCTTCACCCTCGTCCGCACCCTCTCCTCCTTCACGCCCTTCCTCACCGAGCACATCTACCAGGGCCTGCGGCCGTTCTTCCCCCACGATGGCGAGAGCCTCGGCTGCGGCACCGACCTGCGCTCGCTGCACTTCTTGTCCTTCCCCAAGGCGCGCGAGGAGTACTTTGACGACGTCATCGAGCGCCAGGTGTCGCGCCTGCAGGCCGTCATCGAGCTTGGCCGCGAGGTCCGCCAGCGCATGGTCATCCCCGTCAAGACGCCGCTCGCCGAGCTCGTCGTCTTCCACCCGGAGCAGGAGTACCTCGACGACGTCAAGTCGCTCCTCCCCTACGTCGAGCAGGAGCTCAACGTCCGAACGGTCGTCTTCACCTCGGACGAGGCGCGGTGCGGCATCAAGTTCCGCGCCGACGCAGACTACGCCGTTCTTGGCCGCAAGCTCCGCAAGGACCTTGCACGCGTCAAGAAGGCGCTCCCGTCCGTACCCTCGGACGACGTCAAGGCGTACCTCTCGACCGGCAAGATTACCGTCGACGGTGTCGAGCTCGTCAAGGGCGACCTGACCGCAACGCGGTACGTCGAGTTGCCGCCGCGCGTCGAGGGCGGACCGCAGTACGAGACCAACACCAACAACGACGTTGTGATCTTGCTCGACTGCCTGCGCCGGCCCGAACTCGAGCAGGAGGGTACCGCGCGAGAGGTCATCAACCGTGTCCAGCGGTTGCGCAAGAAGGCTGGCCTCGTCGCGACGGACGACATCGACGTGTTCTACTCGTTCGCCGAGGGTGTCGGCAAGGAGCTCGAGGAGATCATGGCTGCGTCTGGGGATGTCATCCGCAAGGTCCTCAAGAAGTCGCCGAGGCCCAAGAGCGAGTTCAAGGGCGACAAGGAGGTCATCATCGAGGAGGAGCAGGAGATCAGCGACGACAAGGTCGTCCTCACCCTCGTCTGGGCGTAGACTTCGTTTCCCGCTCTAGATCCCGTTTCTCTGTCTCTGGGTCCAGTGTCCGTGCAATCAGCAGGAGTCGTCTCTCTACTCCAGCGTGTCGAGAGGCAAGAAGAACGACAACATTGACGGGACAGCCAGCTGGACCGCTCCCTCACACGCTACAGCTTCACACCAGCCCCGCCCATTCCAGGACTGAGCGGACCCATTCCCGCTGCTCCCGCTCCGACCCCATACATACCCCCATACACGCCCCTCGCACCCTGCGCGCCCATGCCTCCTGCATAGTCGAGTCCAGGCGGTCCGCCGTACATCTGTGCATGCGGAGGAGGCGGGTAGGGCATAGTTCTCGAACGGAAGAAGGGCGGCGGGAAAGATGCGCCCTGGCCGCTCGTACCCGCCGGACCGCCCGCCTCGCCCACTTCGTCCTCTGCTTCGCCTGCTCGTCGACCAAGCATCATCCCGCCTCCGCCTCCGCTCGCAGCCACACGCTGCATCTCCATCATCACTCCCCCGACCTGGATCCGTACGCCTGCGAGACCGGCTCGGAGCGCCGCAAGTTCGTCGACTAGGTGGTGCGTTGTGGAGAGGTGTTGGTGGTGCGAGTGCGAGAGGGACGAGAGAGTGCTGGAGAGGTTTGTGGACTGGGTAGAGAGGGTTGAGAGTGTCGACGAGAATGAGGGAGAGGGTATTGACGCCGAGGGTTTTGAGGAAGTCGAGGAAGAGGGTTTGTCGTCCGCCGGGAAGTACTCGCCCATCCCCTTCCGCAGTCCCTCTATGAGCCTCTCCACGCTCTCCAACCGTCCCTCCAGCACTCCCACTCGTTTCTTCAACTCCCAGTTCTCGCCCTCCAACTCTCTCGTCCTCCGATCCTGCTGCTCGAGATAGTCCTTGAGCGGCTCGTAAGCGCACTCGGTAGGGAGATGGTCGTCGTAGAGCTGTGTTCGAGGACCGGTGTAGGTACAGCCGTGTTGGGCGTGCGGGCAGGGAAGGGGGACGGAGGGGCAGGAATTAAGCAGGTGAGAGGGGTGTGAAGAGAGAGGGAGATTGAGCGAGCAGTGTGTGCAGGGGCAGCGGGACGAGGGGCATGTCGTGAGGTGAGCCTGTACGAGGGCGTGCAAGAGGTAAGCCGTGGCTCGCTAGCAGAGCGAAAAGAAGTGACGAACCGGCATCTCGGAGGACAAGATCTCGACGTCGCATAGCTCGCAGCGCTCCGTGCGGGTTGCCCCTGCGTCCTCAGCCTCGTCGCCACTGCTCCTCTCCTCGGTCGGCGCCACTGTGGCAGCCTCCGCCTCGCTCTTCTCATCCCGCCGACCGCAGACGGACGCATGCCTGTCCCACTCATCCCTGCGCATCTCTTTCCCGCATGCCCCGTTTCTGAGCAAGCACCTGACGGTCAAGTTGTCGAGCAACTCCCTTACGGCCCTCGGTGCGGGCTCGCAGTCGTCAACCGAGTCGAGCGGAGACCGGTCGATGGGGCAAGACCGGGCGAGGGCGAGCGAGCGGGCGAGACAGGCTCGGCAGAACAGGTGTTGGCATGTCGGCGTCTGCACTGGGTCCGCTAGCGGGCTCCTGCGAGCGTTGTTGGCGAGTTGAGCGGTGAGGACCGGGTGAGTGGGGAGGAGGAGTGGGAGAAGGTGCGCACCGGCAGATGGGGCACTCGAGCGCGTGTGGCACAGTCTGCGTGTAGTCAAACAGCGCAACAGCATCGTCTTCAGCCACAACAGCCATCGAGAGTGAGTGGTGGGAGGGAGACTGCTGTTCATCAGCAACGCCTCACCTCGCTCGTCTCACACACTCGCTGGGCGGACTGTGACCCGCTAGAGTGCATCGTACCAGCTCAGGACAGCCACTACCAATCTCTCCACGCTTCCCCCGCGCCGCGACACTGCTCCCACACCCCGCCTCGTCGCACACGCCCTCACACGCACGACCATGAGCGGCAGGTTCACGCAATCGCGTGCAGAGACGCAGCGGCACCAGCAGATCCTCAGGGAAGAGCTCAAGCGTCCCGAGAACAAGGTGCGTCGACGGGCGTGGCTCATTGCAGGACGCATCCTCCGAAGTCGCGGTTGTGCTGACGTCTTCGCGGTGTGCGCAGCTCTGTGCCGACTGCAAGAGGAACGGTCAGTCGAAGACTTTGTTCCCGAACGCGTTCGACGCAGGCGGGCCACCCTGCTCTCACGATCCCCCCACCTCGCCGCTTGTTTCCTTAGCTCCTTCAGCAGCGATTGCCTGACGGGAATCCAAGGCGCGGTCAGAAGCTGACCTCAATCACGACTCGACAGACCCGCGCTGGGCCAGCACGAACCTCGGCGTCTTCGTCTGCATCCGCTGTTCCGGCATCCACCGCTCTCTCGGCGTGCACATCTCGCGCATCAAGTCGATCGACCTCGACACCTGGACGCCCGAGCAGGTCGCGAATGTCCAGAGGTGGGGGAACAAGCGTGCGAATGTCTACTGGGAGGCTCACTTGAAGCCCGGGCATGTCCCGCCTGACCAGTGCGTTCCCTTCCTTGTCTTGAGACTGAAATGGGTTACCGATTGCTTCGTCACGAGCAGCAAGATCGAAAGCTTCATCCGGAGCAAGTATGAGTCGAAGCGATGGGCGACGGAAGGGCCTGTTCCGGACCCCGAGACGCTTGACGGTGACTCGAGTGGCGCCGTAGGTCTCCCCAGCCACTCATCCTGCAACCGTAGCTGACACGCGACACCTCGCAGGCTCCCGCCGAGACTGTCGCCCCTCCCCCTCGCACTTCATCTGCCTCCTCCGCCTCCGCTCCTCGCAAAGCCGCTGCGACGACCTCGATCGACCTCCTTTCTGCCGCACCCTCGACCGGCCGTCCCTCTTCCTCCTCATCCGCGCGCTCCACCCCGGCTCCGCCCAAGCCGGCACAAGACTCGCTCTTCGACCTCGACTTCGGTTCCTCCCCCTCTGCCCCTTCGACCGCTCCAGCCGCCTCGCCCCCCCCTCAGCAACAGCAGCAGCCGAAACGAGACCCGAAAGCCGACATCCTATCGCTCTTCAACGCCGCTCCGCCTCCTCAGCCCGTTCGACCCGTCCAGCACGCACAGCAGCCTTCCCTCGGCGGTGGCGGACTGGGCGGAGTGACGACCGGTCTTGCGGGGTTGTCGTTCGGAGCGCAGCCTGCTCCATCGCACGTGGCGGGCGGAGGAGCGGACCCAGCAGGCTGGGGTGCGCCTCCCTCGTACCCCGCTCCGCCCGCCCAGCAAACCGGTCTCACCTCGTCCTCCTCCTTCGGCGACTTTGGCGGCTTTTCCTCTGGTCCCTCAGCCTCCGCTCCGCACGCACAGTCGACCGACCCCTGGGCCTCGTCCACTGGCACCACCACGTCCTCGTCGATCTGGGGTAACTCGGCAACTCCTGCGCCTGCGCCAGCAGCGAAGGCGAATGACCCTTTTGCAGAGTTTGGCTCGTTCTCTACGCCTGCTGCGAGCGGGGGGAGCGATATTTGGGCGAGTAGCGGGACCGGTGGAAGTGGAGCGAAGAGCGGCGGAGGAGCAGCGGGCGGGTTCAGCGACATCTGGGCGTGAGCCGCATCGTCGGGCGCTGTAGAAGGCAGTCGAGAGCGGTAACGAGCACGATCTTCTCCCTTGATGGCGGCTGAGAAGCGAGAGATGGTGAAACGACGAAGAGGAACGATTGCAATCGACACGAGGTGGTGGAGAGACAGAACTCTGCTGGAACGACTGCACTGGGTATGACACGAGCTGCGAGTTGCGAGGAGGGAGATGAAGAAGGCGAGAGAGGTGTCTATCGCGCTGCGGAGCCGAAGCGGCTGAAGAAGCCCGAGGTGCGGCGGTCTTGCGACGAGCTGTGCAAGCAGTTCCGTAGCAGTCAGCACGTGTATCGAGAGTGCAGAGCCAGACACACAACGACGGGCAGGCGACTTACTTGGACTCGGCTTCGGCGCCTCCGCCCCGAAGCGGCTTGGCGATGCGCCCAAAGTTGAGGCTCGAGGCCATCGCAGGCTGATTTTGCGCTGCTCGATGACGACCACAGTCAGTACGGACACCGCAAGCGTGAGGACGGAACCGGAACGCACCCCTCGCCTGGTCGAGCCTCTCGCGGACAGCCTGCAACCGCGCCTCGAACTTGGCGTTCTGCTGGTTGAGCTTGTCGTTGGCGTCTTGCAGCAATGCTTCGAGGTTCTGGATCCGCTCGTTGCGCGCGATGAGCTTGCGCTCGGCAAGGGCGACGTCGCGCTTGAGGATCGTGTTCTGGTCGACGAGCTGGGCGGATGCGGACGTGTCAGTCATCAGAACGATCGACATCAGAGCGAGGGGATGCGTGGCTCACCTGCTTCTGCACGATGGTGAGCTGGTCGAGGTTTCGCGTCAGGAAGTCCATCTTGCGCTGCTGCGCCTTGCTGTTCGAGTTCTTCGCAAGGTTGCGGTAGTTCTCGCGCGCCTCGTCCAGCGAGATCTCGAGCTCGACCACCTGTACGCGGCGCTGTCAGTATTCAACCCGAAGCCAGGACAGAGATTTGAACACACCTTCTCGCACCGGTCCTGCAAGTCGCGCATCAAGCTCTTCTTCATCGTGTCAAAGTCGGCGAGCTGCTGCGCAACAGCCTTGTGCTGACGCTCGAGGTCCTTCGCCGCCTCTTCGAGGTTTTTGCCGCCCTCGATGCTGGCCCTAGTGATCTTGAAGGCGCGCTGTGGTGTCCGTCTCGTCAGCGAGTCTCGGTCTTCTGCGAGCGATAGGTTGCCGCACCTCGAGCTCAAGGTTGGCGGCCCGCGCCTGCTCGAGCTTCGCATTGACGCTCTTGACCTCCTGCGACTTGAGCTCGATCTGCTGCTTGAGGTCGTTCGCATCGTTGAGAGCGGCGTCAAGCTTCATCGCGTACTGCGCCTCGAGCTTATTCTGCAGAACGCGTCGTGTCAGCATGAGCGTTATCGATGACCGAAGCAGCGACACTTACCCGAATGTCCTGGACGTGGTCGGCGTTCGCGCGTTCTTCGTCTGCGACCGTCTTGTCTGTAGGTGGAGTAGTCAGCCTCGCTTTTCTTCGAAGCGACTTCCAAGCGACGCACCCAACAACTCCTCGTACTCCTGCTCGAGCGTGCCCAGCCGCTGCTCAAGCTCGTCGCGCCGCCTCGTCAACAGGTCGTTCTCCTCGTGCACCTGCTTCGACTTGTCCTGCTGCTCACGCAGCGAGACAGTCGTGTCCTCGAGCTGTCGTCGCAGAGTTGCGATGTCGTCCGGCGACAAAGGCTTGTCCGCGTTGACGGCGTCGTCGAGGCGAGCGAGCGAGGCGCGGATCTCCGATTCGCGTTCCGATAGACCGCCCTGCTCAAGCAGACATCAGTGGTCGAGCGAGCAGGACAAGAAGGACGAGCTTACCGCAGAGAAGCCTGCCATCATCGCCGCCATCCGCTCGGCCTTCTTCTTGTCCTTGCCCTCCTGTTCCGCCGACTTCTGCGTGGTCTTGGCATCCGCGAGCGTTCTCTGCAAGAGTCGAGCCGGTAAGCGTCATGTCTGCAAAGGCAGACGAGCGAACGCACCCGCAACTCCTCCAGCTCTCGCTCGAGTTCGGCATTCTGCTCCTTGAGCGAGTCGGACGTGATCGCCGCCTCCTTGCTGTCGTACCGCAATCGCTCGAGCTGCAAGCGCAGGTCGGCAACCTCGCCGCTCATGGCTTTCGATTCAGACAGAGCGAAGGATTCGGACTCCTTGAGCGACGACAGCTCTTCGCGAAGATCTCGGATGAGCTTCTCCTGCGAGGACAGTTGCGACTCCTGCGGGCACGCCGAGCGTCAGTAGACAATGTAGAAAAAGTTTTTGGCAAACGCGCCGTCTTCGCAAGCTGGTCCTCCATCTCGTTCTGTCTTCGCAGCAAGTCTTCCCGCTCGTCTGCGCCTAGCGACCCACTCATCGGCGTATCTGGCCTGCTGACGTCTCCCTCGCTGATACGGTCGAGCGCAGGTGGTCGAGGTGTCGTCCGTCCGGGTGCTGAGCCAGGCGTCGGACTCTTCGCTGGCCCGCCGACGAGTTTCTCGAGTTCGCCCTCGCCGAGTCCGAGAGCCTTCTCCATGCTCGCCCATTGCTCCTTCTCGACCTTGCCACCCTCGCGCCAGACGTTGACCTCCTGCTCGAGCAGGCCGATGTAGGCGCCGGCGTTGCTGTAGTCTCGCTGCGCCTTTTTGAGCAACGCTTTGAGCTCGGCAGGCGACAGCTCGGCGTTGACTCGGGCCTTGTTCTTGATGGACTTGGCGCGCATACCGAAGCGGAGGGTCGAGAGCGTCTCGGTCTCGTTGTAGGGCGAGGGCGAACAGTTGATGATGAGCGTCGTGCGCGAGTTACCGCCGAGCGACTCTTGCAAGATGCGAGTGAGCTTCGAGTCGCGGTAGGGGATGTGCGAAGACTGTATCCAGGAGAACCTCAGCGATCAGTGATGCCCGGCGTATACCGCGAGAGGCCCTGGAGATGCAGGTCTTCCACGCACCTTTCCGTCCGTCAGGGCATTGATGACCATTCCGAGGGCCGACAGACTCTTGTTGATCTTCTTCGCCTCCTCGAGTGTCTGGCCCGTCGCGCCCGTCTTGCCAATCTTCTCGGAACCAGCCAAGTCGACGAGGTAGAGCGAGCCAGTCTTCTGCGTGCCAGTTTCGGTGTTGCGGGCCTGGATGGTGATGACGAAGATCGAGTGCGAGCGAGAGGACTCGGCATTCATGTCTGCAAGATGAGGCGTCAGTCTCCCTCGGTCGCAGCATTCCGACGACGGAAGCCTTACTTGTCGCGGAAACGGCACGAGCACTTCCACCCTGTCGCATGACCTCGTACACCTCCGCCGAGTTGCCGACGTAGAACTCGGATAGGTTCTTGACGTAGACGCCGCGCTGCTTGTCCTCGTGCACGGGCAAGTTGTCGTTCTCGGCTGCAGGAGTACACCGAGAGAGTCAGCTCGGGAACCCCGCTGGCAGTCCCGAGTGCGCGACGTGCGCAGTTCGGCACGGCGGATCGAATTGCAGACTCACGAGAGAGCAAGTCGCGGATCTTCTCCATGTAGATCTCCATGTATGAAACCTTGACGAGGTATTCGATGTTGGCCGGCGAGGCGATGATAGAGGCAAAGATCTGCTCGGTGATACGGGGAATGATACCCTTCATCTCGGGACTGTCGATGTCCGGTCCCTGCGAGGAGGCGAGGTGAGCGAGCGAGAGGAAGTCTGACGGCAGGAATCTGGCGCACCATCATCGTGTGCGACTTGCCCGAGCCCGTTTGTCCGTATGCGAATACTGTGCCGTTGTAGCCGTTCATCACATCTGCGAAGCGAGAGTCAGCCATAAGAGCGAAGAGAGCTTGGCGAATCCGCAACTCACCGTCGACGATGCCCTTGACGCCGTACTCGAACACCTCCTCTTGCTTCGTGTCCATCTGGAACACCCTGTCGAACGTGAAGCCCTGCGCATCCGGTCCCTTCATCGCCTCTTGCGACTGCAGCTTGACCGTCGTCCCCTCCTCGTCAATCTGGACGATACTCTCGCCGCCATTGTTGGCGAGCTCGATCTTGTTCGGCGGCCGGAAGCGACACACGACCTTGATGTTGTTTGATGCGCTCATGGCGGCTGTTCAGTCTGCGAAAGAGCGGAGCCGTCGTTACTTCCACGCCCTCGCAGTTGTCGAAAGGGTCAAGCGCACCTGCGAGCTGTTCTGTCTGCTCATGCAAGCTGTAAGCCTTACTGTCCACTACAGCAGACCGCGCATGCCCTGCACGACGCGTGAGAAGCGGAACTCACGCGGTTGAGCGACCTCGAGCGATGAGAACCGTCTACTCGGCAACACGCCTTCTAGGTCTAGCCCGTGGGTCTAGTACTTGTGTTGGGTTCCTCCGAGCTGTTTCAGACTCCTGCACGCCTGTATAGCGATGCGACAACGGTGGAAGGGAGCGAGCGTCGGCGATGGGGCTGAGGTGGAGCTGCGAGTGTCGAGGGAACGGCAGTAACGGCGGGCAAGCTCTGTGGGCGCAAACGCGTTCAGATAGGAGAGCGAAGCTTTCGCAGCAGCCGGTGCGAGCGAGCTGGCGAAGTCGAGGAGAACAACCCTCTTCTCCCCGAGGGCGCTTTCACAAGGGCGGGTCCACATCTCTCTGCCAGGCCGGCTAAGCTACGGCGTGCAAGAGCCGAGCAGGTAGAGAACGTCGCGACTAGAGCGGCCACTGAACGCGGACGCGACGACGAGGAATCCTCAGAAGACTGCTCACGATTGCACAATTGGGTGTCGACGGCGAGCAACGTTGCGGATATGCGAACGAGACGATGAGAGTACATGCACCTAGAAAAAGACCGAGAGGATGTCGTCCTTGGAGAACGGGTTGGCGCAGTTGCCGCACTTGCGCTGGCGCGTGTTGATGCGGGCGTCGACGCACTCGCGGCAGAACATGTGTCCGCAGCGCGTGATGCAGGTGTTCTTGAACCGGACGTTGCACGACGAGCACTTGAGCATGTGCTGCGGACGAGGGAGAGAGAATGTCAGTCGGGCATAGAAGGAGGGAAGGCCGGCTCTTGAGCGCACCGTCAAATCCGCGTTGTACTTCTTGAGGTCGCGGATATCTGCCGGGTCGGACACGCCGCTCGCCGCAGCTGCCGCGCTCGACGCCTTGGCCTGCGCCTGCTCAACCTGCCGCTGAAGCTTGTCGAGCTGCTCCTCGGCCCGCTTGTGCGCCGCCGCCTCGTTCTCGGCCTGCTGCACCCGCTCGGCGAGAAGCTTGTTGAGCTCGGCAACCTGCTTCGTCTCCTGCTCGCTGCGAAGGAGAAGCTCGGTGTTCTCGCGCTTGAGATTGAGGATGGCGTCCTGGTGCGCGCGGACGTTGCTCTGCTGCACCGTGATCTCCTTCTCGGCGGCGGCGAGTTGCTGAGCGATGCTGCGGTGGAGCTCGGCGGCGGCTTCAACCTTCTGTTGCTGCTTCTCGGCGAGCTTGTTGAGGACGGCGTTCTCGTTCTTGAGCGCGTCGACCTGCCGCATCGACGCGAAGTAGTGGTTGTCCGACTTGGCTTTCTGTATGCGGGCGACTTGTCAGCATGGCGGAGTGGCACGGGCTGAGCAGTCGGACTCACCTCGGCACTCAGGCGCTGCAACTTCTCCTCGAGCGCGGCGAGGTTGAACACCTTGGACGCGTTCTGCTCGTCGAGCGTCGCCCATGCCGTCGAGAGTCGGTCAATCTCGCCGTAGAGCATGTTCGCAGCCTGCACGAAACCGAGCATCAGCACGAAAGACGAAAAGCGGGATAAACGAAGGCGAACGCACCGCCTCCTGGCTCTTGACCTGCGCCTGCGCAACCTTCAACTCGTGCGTCTTCTCCTCCAGCTTTTCCGCCATCTCGCGCACGTCCGCCCTCCCACCCGGACCGAGGATCGCCTCAAGCTTCATGACGCGGTTGTGCGCATCCGCCAAGTCCGCCCGAGCCCTCGTCTCGCTGTCGACGAGATCGCGCGCCGAAGGAGCCGACAACCCGCCTGCTGAGCCCGCATACGAATGTAGCTGGTCCCGCAACGCGAGGAGGAGGCCCTCGGCCTTCTTCAGCCGGTTCGAAAGGTCCGTCACGACTTCGTCCTCGCCGACCTGCACTTCGCCCTCCTCGAATTCCTCGTCTTCCGCCGCCTCAGCCTGCTTGAGCCGAACATCCACGTTCTCGACATCCCCTCGCTCCGCCGCCTTTCCAAGTCGGATCCGACGCAACTCGCTCGCGTACGCCTGGAGACGGACCTTCCTCGCTTCGGCGAGTTTCCGCAACTCGTCGAGCGAGTGCGAGTTGCCCGTCTCCTTCGCGCGCAGCTCGGCAGTTTCTGCTCGGAGCTCGTCTCGGCTTGCACGGAGGCGGGAAAGGTCGGATTCGTGCGAGGTGAGGCGGTTCTGCAGTTCGGTGACCTGTTCGGACGCGTCGCGCTGTACGTCGAGACAGAGATTTAGTCAGCAGCTCGTCCAAGACGGTGGACTGACAAGGTGGCGGGCAACGTACGAAGACGGTCTCGCGAAACGACTCCATCCCTTCGCGCAGCTGCTCCGCCTCTTCCGTCGCTCGCTTCGCTTCAGACTGCTTAGTCTCGAAGAGACCGCTCAGGTACTGAACGTGCTGCTGCATGAGCTTGAAGGTCGCTTGTTCGGCGACAACGTCGTCAGGCAGGTTGACGCGCTGGATGCGATGAAGACTATCAGATCTGCCCACAATGGTCAGCGAGGCGAGCCTGCGCACCTGTCCCTTGAGGTTGGCGATCTCGAGCTTGAGCTGTACGCGCTCGCTCCGCAACTCCTCCAGCTCCTTCGCCCTCTTCTCAACCAATCCTCGCAACTCGTCCATCTCCTCCTTGACAGCCGCCGCCTCGGCCTCGGTCTGGCCCGTCACGACCCCCGTCGAAGGGGGTGGATCTCCCGTCCCCTCTGCGCCGGTTGTACTAGGCTCGCGCTTCAGGCCGTTCACGAGCGGATTCTGTCCGCCCGATGCAGGCTGAGGCGTCGCACTTCCCGCCTTTGCTCCACTCGGTCCCGCAGCACCCGCGAGCTTCGGATCTGCTCGACCCTCGATCGCAGCGACCGTTGCGCTCTGGTAGCGATCGAACTTGCGTTCGGCGCGGACGAGCGCGGCATGCGTCTCTTCCAGCTGCGCGACGGTCTCTTCATGCGCTGCGCGAAGGATGCGCAGTGCCTCGCGGGACTGGAGGGACTCGGCGTGGAGGGCGCGGCACTTGTCTTCGAGGTCGGAAGCGGCGGGAGAGGCGGAAGAAGGGTGGAGGGATTGGAGGCGGGAGAGGAGGGATTTGGTCGCGGCGCTGCGGTGCGAGAGCGCCTCGTCGAGCTCTTCGTCGGCGAGGCTGGCGGATGTGAGGGGAGGCGAAGAGGCAGAGTCTGCACTGCCTCCGGAAGTCGAGGACGAAGTGGAAGGGAGGATGAGGTCGGCTTCCGCGACGAGTGCCTGCCAAGCCGACTCGACGCGGCTCAGACGGACCTCGTAGGCGGTTCGCTGGCTGCGAAGAGCGTCGGCATCGGAAAGAGCGCGAGAGAGTTGGCGCTTGTATGAGAGCATCTCGCGAAAGATAGCCTCCTTGCGGAAGGACTGCGCGCAATGTCGATGGGTCAGGATATCAAGCTCATTGAACAGCGGAGCAGGTCAAGCCAGAGCAGCTCGACCTGCACGGCAGATGAGGAAGACAAGTCCTCGATGAGAAATAGCACGCACATCGAGCTTCCTAGCAGCCTCGTCCATCTCGTCGTCGTCATCTTCGTCCTTGACAGGCGCATCGCTGTCAAGCCGAGCCTTCTTGCTGGGATGCGGCGACGGCGGGTCGACGAGCGTGACCCGCTTTCGCTGCTGGTGCGGGTCGGCGCTCGACGGCCTGCTCGGCGGCAGTGACGAGCCGTTCATGCTCGCCTGCGCTGCTGCACGACTACGCGCACGCGGCCGAGGGCTGTAGGCGGACGAGGCGACGAGGTGCGCTAAGCGAGACGAGTTCGCGGTGTGGTCACGCGCTCGTTTGACGGGCTGGCTGGGCGTCTGCTGGCGTTGTCGTATGGTCTGAATCTGCCTGTACTGCTCGCTTGCCGGCCGTGCGCGAGTGTCGCAAGTTGGAGGGTGTCGTGGTGAGAGAGTCGCGAAGGACAGCTTCGACCTGGACAACAACGCTCGACGGCGCAGGACGCCTGCAGAGGGTCGTGCCAATGCTGACAGGCACTCGCAGACACGGGCGAGCTACTTGCACGCGCTCCCACGACTTCGCCACCTACCCTCGCTCTCCTTGCCAACCCTGAGATCCAGCAGCGCTCGTCGCCAGCGATGGCGAGGCATTGAACGGCTGTATATCGCTCAAGACGATTAGGAATCGCTACTGGTGCTTTCGGATCCACCGCCCGCGCGGTCGCTCACGTAAACTGCTTTCCTCCGTCCTTCGACTCGCCCGCTAACCGGCTCAAAGGCATGTACTGGACAGTCCCATTGACCGTGAAAGGCACACTCAGATATGCTACAAGTCCCCTTCCGCCCGCTCACACCCTGCTCTTCTCCTCAGTCGGAGTTCCCGCTTCGTCGTCCTCCGGCTCAACCTGCGAAACCTGCGGCACAGGCGGCGGGAGCTGCACCTCCCGCTCGACGCCTGTATGCTCCGCCGCATCGACGCCCTTGCCCTTCGTAAAAGGCGGAGTCGACTCAGAGTGGGCTGCTTCACGCGACGAGACCTCGGCGATATGCTTGACGCCGTCCGCCTCCGTCTCGCCCTCCTTCGCTTCTTTTGATGCCTCGGCACCTGCGCTCGTCTCAACAGTCCGCATCGACGTCCGCCGATCCCTGGACGTCGACTCCCCCGGCACGCCAGCGACACTCGCCTCGTCTTCAAGCGGCCTGCTGCGCACGCTCGTCCCGCCTCGCCCAGCTCCAATCGCAGCAGACCACGTCGACCTCCCTCCGAGGCTCTCTTCACTGTTCCTCCTCGACCCGGGCAGAGCCCTGACAGACGCATCCTCATCCGCAACGCCGTCTGCTCCCCCAACTCCAGCCAACGACCGAGCGCCTCCCCCGCCTCCAAGCGACCGAGCCTGCTTCGTACTCCACGCGCGCAGACCCCCCAGTCCTCCACCAGTCCAGCTATTCCGCCCCGCCCCCTCGCGACCCGCAGTAGTCTTGCTCTCTCCGCCCGTTGAGCCGATGAAACTCGGTGCGAAGGAGGACGAGGCGAGTGTGAGGACTGAGGCGTTGTCGGGCGGTGGTTGGGCCGGGTGAGGGTTGTTTCGGGGATGGGCGCGCGTGTGAGAGGGGATACCGATCAGACCGGATGAGGCGTGCGCTGCGGAGGAGGGCGAGTCGGGGGCGAGGGAGGTAGAAAGGCCGGCTGTAGTCGAGGGAGTGAGTGAGATCGAGGATGTGCTTGATGAGCTTGAGAGGCGGTGGGGGTGAGCCTGAGCCGAGGAAGACGAGGGCGAGTGGTGCGAGGCGAAGGGTGCAAAAGGCGGCGCATAGTTGGACAAGGGCGAGGCGGTGGGAGGCGTAGACGGTGATACCGGGTAGGCCGAGGAGAACGACAAGCCCGTCGACGGGCCAGCGAAGAAGTGGCTGCCCGTGCCGGGCACAACTGCGATCCTGTTCGCCCCGCCTCCCGAGTCGACACTAAGCAACGTCGTCGGCTTGGTCGACGCATAGCTCTTGTGTGTGCTCGGCGCAAACGACGAGTTGTGCGAGGACGAGTCGACCGTGTGACGGGAGATGATGCTGCTCGCAGGTCGAGTTGAGGGGACCATGGCGTAGAGCGAGGCGTCCGTGTCCGCTCCCGAGACGGCCGACATGTTCGAAAGCGAGTTGTCCCGTCTGCGTCGGTGCGCAACGTCCTCCTGAGGCGTCACGTCGTGCTCGTCGACGCTCGACCTCCTCGAACCATCCCGCTCGCTGCCGTCCTCCTCTCCATCCGCAGCTCCCAGTCCAGCTGTGCTCGTCTCCCTGTTCCCAGGGCTCGTCATAGCGCCGCCAGCACCCACCTGTCCCCCCTGCACACCCTTCGGTCTCCCCTTTCCACCTCCCAAGAACCTCGAGATGCTCCTAAACACGCTCTTCCCCTCCTTCCGGTGTGCGCTCCCGCCCACTTGCCGAGAATGCACGGGTGATGCGGTCGCTGTTGCTGCGGTTGCCATAGAGAGCGCCAGAGGACTAGTGCGAGGGTGAGGTCGGCTTGAAGAGATGAGGTGCGGGGGAGAGATGGCGACCGCGTTGGGAGCGGTGGGAGTTGGACTGGTGGGTTCGTGTGCAGTCGCTGTGTGTAAGTAGGTGTGTCTGAGTGAGCCTGAGCAGCAACGAGCGAGGTGTGCGAGTTGGCGAGACTGAAAGCGTCTCCTCGTCCCGAAAGTGCGCTGGAAGGGCCGTTCTGCTAACACAACCGGGAGAGCGCGTGTTTATTGTAACGCAGTCAGGAAGTACTTGCAAAGCGATTTCAGCACGTCCCGAAGCGATTCGAACGAGGCGAGGATGTGTTCTCCCGCTCGCAGTCAACGTAGACGCAGAGGAACGACCGCAGGGCCGCCGATTTGTACTCCAAGAGGGGGTTGCTAGGCACAGACAACAGAACGTCGTGAAGAGCGAGGACCGGAAGGAGGAGGAGGGAGGAGGAAGAGAAGGCACTGCCGAGGGGGGGGGGAACAACTGAAGGTACAGACCGAAAGAGAGGGGTTGGACGGAAGATACATGACACAGCGATGTAAACAGCGAGATCGTCAGGCTCAAGCGACAAGCGAGGGCGAGTTCAGTCGGACGCAGCAGACGTCGCCGCACGACTCTGCACCTGCGTCAAGCCCAACTTGAACCCGCCCTTCGGCACCCCATCGCCCTTCAACTCGCGCAACCTCGTCGCCGGCGATCCCTGCGACGTGAGGTAATCACTCGCGTCGCTCTCCCCGCCAGGAGTCGTCTGCCCGTCCGTCTCGTCGCCGAACAGCGGGCCGTCCAATCCAATTGACGGAGCACGGTCGCGTGCCATCCGACGGAAGGTGTACGACTCGTCGTCTGACCCTGCGGAGGAGGCGGTAGATCCCGTGCGGGTGCGGCGGTAATGCGGCTTCTTGTAGGTGGACGAGGAGGAGGACCGGCGACGTGATCCGGCGGGATCGGTCGACTCGCCTGTGCTGGACGAGTCGGGCAAGGGCATCGAGTCGGAGAAGGCGGGCGAGGGGAAGGCGTCGCTCGAGCCGGACGACGACTCGGACGAGGAAGGGAGGACTTCGGGCGCGGACGTAGGCGAGTGGTTCGGGGTACCCGACTGGGCGTGGACGCGCATCGACGGCGGCTCAGGGTCCTTGAAGCGGATGCTGTTTCGCGTGAGTACGGGAGCGTCAGCGCTTGTCAGACTGAGGAACGCAGGGTTTCTGGAACCCCTTCGAGACGGGAGAGGGAGAGGAAGGGGCAACGAACGTGTGAGCGTAGCCCAGCGGCCGCAGGATCGCCTTGAACGCAACCCATCCTATCAAGTCGACCTGTACAAGCCCACAGAAGCGTCAGTCCGCGCTCTCTTGCCTCCCGCAGCTCCCCACCTCGACATCGCCGGTCGGGTCTCGTCCAGCGCGAGTACGGCCTCGGAAGCGGAACGGGGACGCACGACGGCGAGTGCAATGACTGGGATGAAGAGTGCGATGGCTATCAGGCGGCACAAGGCGGGCACGAAGGCGATGGCGTCGGGTAGGTCGTTGTGCGTGACCAAGACGAAGCGGGCGAGAGTGGCGAGGTCAGGAATGTGTGACGGGATGGCGTGTTTCGCTGTCGACAGGAACGTCGTCTCCATCGTCGCAGCAGCTTTGCTAGCCGTGGCGAGCGAGTCGTTGAAGGCGAAGGAGCGCGACTCGTGAAATGGTCGCTGAGACTTTGCGGAGCGAAAGGGGGACGACGACGACGAGTTACTTTCTCTTGTGTGGCATTGACAGGACTGCGATAGACTAGACTAGACGGGGTGATAGACATGTAGGGCACTACGCAAGAGCGGGTCAAGGGGGGAGGAGTAAGCAAGGAGGGGCAGCCGACGGAGGGCGCGTCTGGCGTTGTAACGATGGAGGAGGGCGGGAATAACGAAGATGGTACGGCATGAACGATGAGGCGATGAGATACAGGCATGGACAGGCGCGGCGAGATGAGGTGAAGTCGCATGGTGGGGAGTCGGTCTAAAGGGTGACCAAGATCGCGTGTAAGGGTCGTCTAGGGTGTAGGAGAGAGTCGCAGCGGCGCGCGCTCAGTCAACGTCCATCCGCTCGTCGTCCGAGTCTTGCTGCGGCGGAAGACCATCGACGAACAGCTCCGGCGGGTCGTGCATGAGCAGCGGGAACGCCGGTGCCGCAGGGCTCGCCTGTTCGGGGTAGGCCTTGTTGAACAAGTCGTGGAGGAACGAGTCGGCTTCTGCGCAGACGGCGCCGAGCACTTCGGGCGTCGACTCGCTCGCTGTGGACGCGAGCGACCGCTCGAGCATGGCGATGAGCTGCGAGAGGACTGGGTGGCGGACGACGTCAAAGATGGATGCGCGCAGGTCGGGAGACTTGTGCAGCATTGAGCGGAGAATGTCGACGAGGAGGGGCGAGAGGCGCGAGAGGTCGACGTCGGAAAAGTCGTTCGAGCGCAGCTTCTGCCACGCCGGACCGTTGTCGGGCAGGACGACGTTCGCCGCCGCCTCGAGTATGATCAAGCCGAGGCTGCCAAGAGGATCGCAAAGGTCAGCTTCGGGACGGCTTAGAAGGCGACCCACTCGTCACGCACCTGAATACGTCCGCCTCTTTGCCGTAACGCCCGCTGAGAATCTCCGGCGCGATGTACTCGCGGTCTCCTTCGCGCTCGAGGTCTCCCGGCGCATCGCCATTCGACTTGGCGCGGACCCTCCGCTCGCCCATCTCGGTCCTCCAAATCCGCTCGCTCGTGAGGCTGTTCCACTCGGGTCCTTCAACCGCCGCGCCCTTCATGATACTGAGCGGATCAGCGCGCGGCCACCTCGTCGCGAGTCCAAAGTCGCCAATCTTGAGGTGTCCCTTGTCGGTGATGAAGACGTTGGCGGGCTTGAGGTCGAGGTGGAGGACGTTGCGGGAATGGAGATGCGCGACACCGGCTGAGAGCTCGGCGAGGATTTTCCACACGCGCGACTCGTCCAGCTGCTCGTGCTCGCTGCCGTACACTTCGAGCCAGTACGCTAGGTTGCCTGCCGGGCACAGCTCGGTCTGGATGAACAAGTGGCCGCTTTGCTCCCATGCGTCGACGAGCGAGATCAGGTGAGGCGAGGCGTCCTTCTCGCTCGAGAAGAGTCGGAGGATGTCGACCTCTTCAAGGCGGCGGAGGCTACGGGTTAAGAGGTGTCAGCTACTGGCGCACTCGGGAAGCAAGCTGGGAACGCACCGGTCTTTCGGTCCCAAGAACGGGTTCTTCGTCCGCTTGACAGCGTACACCTTGCCCTCCCTCGTATGGTCGGCAACCTCCCACGCATCGCTGAATGCGCCGTTGCCAAGGTTGCGCAGGAGCGTGTAGTTGGTCTCGAACCTGCTCGGCTGCAACAACTCCTGCTGGCGAAGCGAGAGGACCGTCGAGCTCGAGTGGCGAACCTTGAACTGCGGGCGACCTTGAGGAGGCGGAGGACCAGGTCGCTGGCGCTGCTCGGCTTCGGAGAGAGGGTACGATGCGCGAGGTGCGCCGTGAGGCGTCTGAGCGGCCTGGAGGAAGATGCTGGCTTGGTTCGGGAGGACGAACGGGTGAGGCGGGAGGTTCGGGAACCCCGGCGTCGCAGGCGTGACGGGCGGTTCCTCCGTCGGCGTATCGAGCAGCTGCGTTCCCTCCCAGTACTTCTCCCCGACGCTCCTCGTGGGAGTCATCGGCTCCCCCTCGCAGATCGCGTGCGTCGCCGTACTCTTGCCCGAACTCGAGCTGCTGCCCGACCGGTACTGGATCCCGAAGAAGCTGCCCTCGCTCGAGAGCTGGCCGCTTGATCGGCGTCGGAAGAGCGCAGGACGAACTCTGCCGAGACTGTTGCGCATCGACGCCGAGCCAAAGCGAGACGCCGACTTCGAGGCGTGCACGGTAGGCGACATGTCGCCCGAGTCGAAACCCGTGCGCATCTTCGATGCCGAGCCAGACGGCCCAGACGCCTCAGTCGACGACGACGAAGGCGAGACGGACCCACGCGAGAGAGGCGAAGCGGACCGCTGGAAGTGCTTCTTGGCGCTGCCGAGGGGCGAGATCGACTCTTGCGACTCGGACATCTCGTCGAGCGTGAGCGAGGCCTGGTTGGAGGCGTTGTGACCGACGGGCGAGCCGGCGTCCATCGCTGCGGTCGTAGGCGAAGGCTGGCAGCCGTCTGAGCTGCTGGCGTCCTCGACGACGACACCGGGCGTGGCGACCGATGCGGATCCAAGCGACGAGCGACCCGCCCCGACCGTCGCCGACTGACCATGGACGAAGGCGGACCTCTTGACAGGCGTGTCGGGCATGGACGGGCGCGACAAGCTCGCGACGAGCGGGTTCGGCAGCGGCGCAAACGCGTCGCCCTGGATCGCCCCAGCTCCGGCGGGTGCCTTCATAGGCGACCCTTTCGGCGGAACCGCCTCGCCAAGCTGTTGCTGCAGATGCTGGTGGAGGTTGAACACCGGCGCGCCGCCCATACTGTTCGTCCTCGGCCTGCTGCGCTTGCTCACGAGTCCGGTGGACATGAACGCCGCAGCGAGCGGTCTGACGTTCTTGTAGTTCTGGGGCGTGAAGAACGTCCCGTCAGGTCCGGCACCTTCAGGCTGCGCAGCGCCGTGCGTCGAGTTGAGCGAGTGAGTCGACGTCGAGGCTGTAACGGCGACGTTGTCGTTTTGCTCGAGTTGGCCGGAGAGAGCGGTGCAGAGCGAGGAAGACGAGACGGAGGTCGCGGCGTCTGTCAAGGCGGGCACCGTTCCCCTCCAGCTGTCCATACTGTGCCGCGATGGGCCCTCGTCTTCGTCCATCGCGTAGTCTTCGTCTTCCGCCATCGACGACCGCCGCTCGTCGAGCCGCGAGCGCGGTTGGGCGGGAGAAGAGGAAGGCGGGTTGATGATTGGCGAGTTGGCGGCGAGTTTGCTCGTCGCCGCGCCGGGTAGGAGCGCGCCGTTCGCGTTGCGCTTCCTCGAAGCAGCTTGAAGCGGGGTACCTGCGACCGTTCAATTCGTCAGTCTCTCCAAACCATCTGAAGCAGCGAAGAAAGCGAACGCACCGAAAGGTTTCATCTCGAATGTCCCAATCCTCTCCGCATCGCTCGGGGCCAAACTCGACCTCCTCGCGCCCGTCGTATGCAACGGCCTCAACCTCGGCAACGGCGGCGGGCGGTCGCTCGCCTCGGACATATCAGGCATCGAAGTCGATCCTGATGCGGTGCTTGGTTTGAGCGGGGAGAGCTTCGTCGAGGACGCGTCGAAGGAAGTGGGTGAGAAGGACGTGTGAAGGCTGAACCCGCTGGCCTGAGGGAGCATCGAATGCCTCCTCGCCGCCTTCTCAGCCGCCGAAACTCCTACTCCCCCACCCGTGGCAGGCGCTTTCGCACCAAAGAGGTTGAAAGCGCCATGCGAATCTCCCCTTCTCCTCGGGGGCGTCATCGTCCCCGTCCCAGCTCCTCCGCCAGTCGATCCAGTCGGACTGACAGCCCCATCGCGCAGCTCGCTTCCCGGGTTCGAGAAGTAATCGATCGCGGGACCGGCTTCGTTGAGTGTGTCGAGTGCGGGAGAGTTTGACGGGCCGCTATTGCGTGGGCGGGGGAGGGTGGTGGGTCGGAGAGAGTCGGTGGGTGAGGGAGAGGCGGGAGGGGCGAGGTTGGGCGAGTGAGGGCGAGTGGTCGAGAAGCCGGGGTGGGAGGAGGACGAAGGGATGGCGACGACGTTGAACGACGGAACAGACGGCTTGGAAAGACTCTTTGCCCGCCCGACTTTGCGAGGCGCGTGCGAGGCGAGCGAAGGACCGCCAAAGACGGCGTCGTCGCCCGACAACGACGCGTCCTCGTCCGCCTCGTCAAAGGCCGTGAGCCGGTCGATCGAGACGCGCTTCGAAGGGGGCGGAGCGGTACCGGAGGAGAAGGTGTCGGACGGAGGGGAGACGAACGGGTTGTCGAGGTTGAGTGAGGGGGCGGAGCGAGGGAGCGAGACAGGAGAGGCGAACGACGGGCCTGGCGAGTTTTCGCCTCCCGTCGCCTGGTACGAGAGCATGCGCGAGGAGCGAAGAGTGTGCGCATGGGCGAGCGAGTGCGTTCGAGAGTGTGCGTGGTGCGGATGGATATGGTGCGACTCGCGCGGTCGGACAGCCGGTACGACCGACGCAGCCGCTGCTGCGGGACTCGCAAGCTGAAACGACCCCCGCTCGTCCTCATCCATCTCGTCACTCTTCCTCCGCCTCCCCGACTCGGGCCCTAATCGCGCCACAAAATCCTCCCCAGCCCTCCCATACGCCGGTCTCTGCCTCGTATTCCGCGGCGAGATCTCGTTCACAGGGCTCGACATGTCTCCTCCGCTGAGCGAGCTAGTCGCCGATTCTCCCCTCGCCGAATCCGCTGGCCTCGCCCGCCGTCCAGCAAGGACATCTTGCGGACCTGGACTCGTCGGCGTAGAGCTAGGCGGGTGACTCGCGATGGCTGCGAGGTCATGGTTCCAGTCGCCGAGGTCGAACGCCTTTCGAAGGGCGGTCGAACTGCGCGTCTTGCCGAGCACGGCGCCGCCGAACGCACTTGCGAGTCGCTTCAGACCTGCAACTTCGCGTTGGCCTGGGCGGGTGCTGCTGCGAAAGGAGGAGGAAGGGGCGGCGGAAGTGCCCGAGGGAGAGGGGAGGGTCGACGTGGAAGGAGCGGTCGAGACGTGGACAGCGGGAGGGTTGCCAGGTGACGGCGGGAACAACATCGCTCCTCCTCCCCTGCCCCTGCCCTTGCCCGTACTCGCCGCCCCCTCATTCCCCGACGCGTCCGCCAACTTGACCGGACTCTGGAGCTTGTCTCCCCCGTTGTTGCCGGTGAGACTCGAGAGGATGTTGGTCTTTGACGAGAACGGGTTTCGCTGGAACGAGCGTCTCGGGCGGAGGATGTGGGTGTGTGGCGAGCGCGAGGGCGAGGGCGAGGGGCGGAGCGAGTCCATCCTCCTGGCGCGCGCGGTGGCCGCTGGACCTGTGCACTGGTGTTCTAGTCAGTTGTAGAGCGTCCGTCGGCAGGCTGCACGGCTCGCGACGCACCTGGTGGGCGAGTCTGCGGGTTTGTTTTGACGCGCGAGGTTGGTGGACGCGGCGAGGGTGCGGTGAGTTGGAGTCGGGTGAGGGAGGGAGTGGCGCGGGTGTGCGTGTACAAAGCACTGTAAAGTGTCTGAATGGACACACGCAGTCAAGCAAGAAGGGGGCGAGCGAACGAGTTGGGCGAACCAGTCGAGTCGTGCCTCGTCGCGAAGGGAGCGCGCGCAAGGTCGGCGAACGAGAAGCGCAGCGTGCGACGGTGCCAGTCTTCTGAAGCCACGCACAGAACAACGCAAACGGCAAGGCTGCTGCTCACGCTCACGGCGGCCAGAGTGGACAAGGCGGCTGGCCTCGCTCTCGCTGCATGCCTCGAGTCGTGACTCCTCTCTCCCGCGAGTTGTTGCATTCCTGCATGCCAGAGTAAGAGCACAAACTGTAGATTGCAGATTGCCCAGAGCTGGGCAGAGGAATGCCGTGCCGTGCGATGGGAGATAAGCCCGTGGGCAAGCCTGGTCTCGTCGAGGTCCAGCGGGAAGAACTGAGCGAGCCGGCTTGTCCCCTCTGAGGAGCACGCCCCAGCGAAGGTTTCGCCTGCGAAGACTCGTCCTCGGAAACAGCGCGGTGGAAGACGAACAGAGTTGAGCGAGCGAAGTCGTCCAGACAACCTGCGAGAAGGCGAGAAGGTTGATTGAGCGGCGATGTGGGTCGTTTGTCTCGCTGGCTGATCCGCTGCGCTCACCGCGCGGAGAACCAACAAGAGGTCGGCTTCGGTTGTCGTCGTGCCGGCAGAGGACGAACGCACGTTCAGCAAGGAAGTGAGGCTGCGAGTCAGCGAGGGAGAGGAGCGTCGCCAAAGTCGCCGCTGCGCCCGCGTCCCGCAGAATGCCATCGTCGAGCAAATCGTACTGCACCATACTGCTGACGCAGAATCAGCTCAACAGTAAGCTGCCCCGCAGGAGGAGAGGCGAGAAGCAAGGTAGCGAGTCCCTCCTCGTCAACAACCGCGCCATTGCCCCGTCCGCCACTTTGTACCATCCTACTGGGCTGTCTGCAATACATCAGCGCCGTCGACTGAGTCCGGCTGAGTCTACAGCGTGCGAGGAGCGAGATGACGATGACCTTCGTGTGAGGGCAAGAGCGAGACGACGGCGACAGCTGCTGTCCGCGCGACAGCTTTAGTGGCTGCCCGAGGCCATCCAAGCATCATTGAGCACGTCTAAGCTGGCTTGGAGCGGTGAGAGCGATGCTGTCGTCCGCCAACCCTCCGGAAGTTGGTCGAACAGAGGTCTGTCCTCGACGACTCGCTGCGACTCGCTCTGACAGCCCGTCTTGACCTCTGCAGCACTCGCCAAGTGCCTCCTGATCCACACACGGAACGACCGCGCCACTCCCAGCCCCTCCTCACCGCCACCCCACCTTCATCACCTCCCGCTCCTCATCACCTCTCCCTCAATGTCCGCCTCAAATGCCTACCCAGTCCCTCCACCTTCCTACTCCTCCGCCCCGTCAATCAAGAAACCCGCCTACGGCGCCACCGCCGGCTCTTCCGACCAAGCCGCGAGCGAACCGTTGTTGGCGGGCGAGGGGGAGGCGGCGAGGAATGCGTGGAGTGAGGAGGACGAGTTGGAGGGTGATTTCAAGGTGCGTGCGATTGCGGACGAGGAGCTGGTGCGCGGGAGCTGATGGAGAGAGGATGGTTCGCGCAGATTGGGGTCACGGTCTCGCAGAGCTCGCAGGATGTGAGGAACGACTTTGTCAAGAAGGTCTATTCGGTCTTGTTCCTCCAGATCGTGAGTCCGCCCGATTCGCCCCCTCAGCATTTGACGACGAGCTGACGGAAACCGGTTCGCGCAGCTCGGCACGACCCTCATCGGCTGGCTCATGTCCTCGAACGATTCGATCGTCTCCTGGACGCGCGAACACTCCGGCCTGATGCTCCTCCCCTCGCTCGGCGCAATCGGCGCCATGATCGGCGTCTACTTCAAGCGTCACTCCTCGCCCGCCAACATCCTCCTCCTCGGCCTCTTTACCGTCCTCGAGGCGATCACGCTGGGAAGCGTCGTGTCGTACTTTAATCAGGCGGTCGTGTTGCAGGCGCTCGTGATCACGACGTTTGTCTTCCTCGGTCTCACGCTCTTCACGCTCCAGGTGCGTTCGGAGGCGCTTCTCTGGCAGTCTCTGCGCGAAATCGCTGCAGTTAGCTGACTTGGATGACCGCTTTCGCGTTCTTGCAGTCCAAATACGACTTCTCCTCGATGGGAACCTACCTCTACACCTTCCTCCTCGTCTTCTTCTTCACCGGCCTCGTGGGGATCTTCATCCCCTACAACCGCACCTTCGACATGGTCATGGCCGGAGCCGGGTGCTTGTTGTTCTCGGCCTGTACGTGCCTCGTCTCCCTTTGCCTCCTTCGTTCGCTGCGAAAGACAGATGCTGATGGCTGGCGGCGGACAGACATCGTCTTCGACACGCACATGTTGTTCCAGCGCCTCCATGTGGACGATTGGGTCGTCGCGTGTGTCGCGCTCTACCTCGAGTGCGTTCCCGATCGTCTCCTCCTCATTGCCCCTGAGTTGGTGGTACTGACTGGCTGTCAACCGCGCGCGCAGCATCGTCAACCTCTTCCTCCAGATCCTCCGCCTCCTCTCGGACGTCCAGGAGCGCTAAGCCGTCCAGGTCGAGCCCGTCACTTCATCCTGACCTCGTTCCATCAGGATCGCCTTGTCTTCACTCTTCTTCACCTGTAGCCATTGGTTTGCTTGTTCGAGCTGTCGCACGTAATGCACTGTCGCCTACTTTTCGCTTGTCTTTGCGCGTATGCAGCGGACGAAGCGAGAGGAGGAAGCGAGGTTAGGAAGGTCGCCGTGAGGAGGGAAGGGTCCCTCTAGCTCCGGTGGATCGCCGAGCTTCGTTGGTTCTCTGCTCACGCGCTCACGAAGTACTCAGCTTGTATACATGTCGTGCGAGCCCTCTCGAGGGATGCGTCGAGGAAGCGAAGCCGTTTCTCCTCCTCGACTCCGCTTCTCCCGCCTTTACTCTGCTCGCGAATCCTGTTTACACGGTCACAGCAGCCGTTTGAAGCCCGCGAAGCCACAGCAGACCTCCGCCTGTCCCTCCCCCTCGCTCAGACCGCCTCACCTCGCCCGTTTCCAACGGACTTCGCTCCTCTCGCTCGCTCGCTTCACCCGACGCTGGTCGTCTCGCCTCAAACCACTTCGCAGTGAGCTCCCACGTATTCAGGGAAGGCGACTGAGCTTGACCGAGTTGCTCCTACAGCCGCTCGTCCACTGGAGGCCGCGCTCGCCATGCGCTTCCTCGCTCTCTTGCTCGCACTCTGCGCGCTTGTCGCCGTCACCGTCTGCCTCGCTCAAACGTTTGAAGCCGTGAACGAGTCTGGCACGACGTCGCTCGTTCGCCAAGGACTGCACCGTCTCGCCAGGAGCGAAGGCGCTTCGCTTGCTGCCTCGTCGGACCAGGTGCGTCCGTTCTCCGTGCCCTTTCCATCCAGGGATCTGCCTGACACCCTGTTGGAGCAGGCTGCGACGGCGCAGGAGAAACAGCTTGTCGAGGCCGTCCCCTCGTCGGCGTCGAGGAAGCGCAAGCGCTGCTACTACATCGGGACGTTTTTCCACCGGTGCGTCTTCGCTGGCTACGCCCTACTGCACGCTCGCTGCATCAGTACGGCTGCCGCATCTCGAGAGAGATCGCTAACCATTCCCTCGCTTCCGCAGCATCGACTGCAACGCTCCCGCCAACTCGACCTCCATCCCCTACTCGCACGCTCCTGAGCCCACGGCTGAAGAGGTCTGAAGACTCGAAACAGGCAAGGAGGCGGACACAGAAGCTTGAAGGAGAGGATGGAGCAGGAGAGGGTGAAGGCGCTTGAAGGCTTTCGAGGCGGCTGGACCGCCTGTCTCTCGCTTTTCTGCCTGGAATGACAGCTTTGCATCGTCTGTCGCGAATCGAGACACAACAGAATAACACGAGCTCGTTACGGAAACGTTCGACCCCGTCTACACCGACGGCTCTCGCTTCTCCGCCTCGTCCCGCCGGTACCGCAGCAGTACGTGCACGAGGAAGGTAAAGTTGTCAGCCTTGAGCGTCGAGAGGAGCGGTGCGAAGCGCGAGAGAGTCGAGTTGAGCTGTTCTGCTGCCTGCGAATGCAGGATTTCATCAGTCTCGCTAAGCGAGGCCGGGAAGAGGAAGCAACGCACCGAGGTGTTGAACGCCCGCTCGAACGTCCTCAACTGCGGTCCCCTCTTCGATGACCCGCCAACAGGCTTGTAAGGGACAACCAGATCCGGCGCCCTCCCATCAAGCGGCGTCGGGTCGCAGAACTCGTCGCAGAAGGCGTCACCCTGCGGATGCGACTGCTTGTGGAAGGCTGTGACGATGAGACGCGAAGAACGGAGGAACGGAGGGAGAGGAGAGTCGCCTGATGAGGAAGGCTTGCGCAGGAGAGAGCGGAGGACGTCGCAGGAGCGGTCGTAGGCGATGTAGGAGGGGAAGGTGGAGCGACTCGTCGCAGATGCTGCGTCTGGAGACCATGAAGCATGGACGGTCGAGAGGAAGTCGATGACGGACGCGGGCGTCTCGCCGTCTGCGAAGGTTGCCCAGGCGAGAGGAGCGCCGCAAGCTGCGACGAGCGTCTGGAGCGTCTTGCTGCGTCTGCAGGCCCACATCGTCGAGACTGCGATGCGGACGTAATTAGCGAGTCTACCATCGCGGTTACGCGAAGAGCCGCACCTCTGGTCGAGTCGTGTCGCACTGTGTCCGACGCGTCGCTTTCCTCCTCACTCGCTTCGAGCTTGAGCGCCGCCAAATCGTCCGTGGTCTCCTTCTTGACCTTGCTCGCCCGGTGGCGTCCTCGCCATCCACGCGCCTTGACCTGTTCTCGTCCGTGAAGGAAGCGCAACCAAAGCTCCTGATGTTCGGGCTCGTCGCAAGCCTCGCTCGGGTCCTCATCGCCATCGTCGCTGCGAGTGCGACCGCAATCCACAATGCCGCAGACTTCGTGAAGATGGGCGTGGGTTGAGCAGAAGCGACCGGAGCGGCGATGCAGTTCGGGGGAGTTTGGACAGTCGGGAGCTGCGCAGAGCTGGCGTGTAGTCGTCAGCTTCCATCTTCGTCGAGTTCAAGGAGCGAGACTCACGAGATGACCGATCTCGGTACCGTCGCAAACGGCGAGTTGGACAGGCGGTCCAGGCAGTTTGATCGCGTCCTCCTGCGAGAAAGACGTCAGTGCTTGCGTTGGAAATGCTCAGAAGTGAACAACGCACCTCGACTTCCGTCCGATGAGACGTTCCCGCCCATAGGACGCCCTTCTCCCGCTCAGCTTCCGTGGCCGGTCCGCCAAGCCATCGTCGACGAGGCTTCGAGCACGTCGAGCAGTGGTGTGGCGACAGGTCGTGCACGTTTGCTATCCCGGAGCCGAACAAGGTGGAGTTGCCGAGTGCGACGAGGTCAGCTATTGAGGGGCGAGGCGAAGAGGTGAAGGTGTGGGACGATGCGCTCGAGACGAGGATGCAGGAATAGAGGACAAACGAGCGCCATACGTGGTGCGAGGTGAGGCGAAAGAAAGAAGAGCGGGGTCGCGACGTCGACTTCTCCTCGTCGTCTGGCGAGTCTTCCGAGTCTGTGTCGAAGAATGACGGGTCGAGCGGCTCGTCCGGCGTCGAGGGTTCGGGCTCGCTCCGCGACTCGGCGTACAGCTTGTTCCAGAGCGCCGCGAAGCCGCCCGGACTGACGGCCTGCTCAAGGAGGAGCATCCGAAAGTGCCGCGCGAAGCCCTTTGTGACCCAGACTCGCTGTCCAACCTTGATCGCGTCCGGCTCGGCTTCCCACATCCACATAGGACCGTCTGTATCGTCGTACTCGACATGGTCGGGATGGTGTACTGCGCGACAGTGCCGGTTGGTGCAGGTCAAGTGGGCGACCAGGACGCGTTCGGCAGGAGAGGCGGAGTCGACGAGCCAGAACGGCTCGGTCGGGCGCTTGCGAAGGGTAAGAGCCGACGAGCAGTGCCGACAAGACGTGCGAGGGGTGCAGAGGATGGGAAGAGGCGGATCCGCAGAGACAGCGAGGATGGGTGGCGGATAAAGCTGGAGTGCGCGTGCGAGATGCAAAGCGACTTGCGGTGCGTCTGAAGTTTCGAAAGGGCTGTCTTGGAAGAGCGAGTTGCCGAGGAAATTGAGGGAGGCATCGAAGGTGCGGCCGCCCGCTTGCGAGTGGACGTGCGAGATGGACAAAAGCCGCTGGTTCTCCTGGATGGTGCGAGCGAGGTGGACGAGGTGCGGCAAGTCTAATCCGGGTACGAGCCGGTCGAGTCGGGCTGCGAGGCTCGCAAGCGGTGAGGGTTCTGTAGCTGCGACCGAGCGGATGCAAAGGAGGAAGAGGCTGACGAGATCGCGCAGACGGTGCCGAGAGCGCTTCGTTGGCGATGGCGAGTCCAGATGCGTCGGACAGCTCGTCGGGGCGTACGGGGAGCTGGAAGGGAAAGGCGGTGTGACTGGAGAGGCTGGCGAGGGCGGACTTGCACGGCGCGGGACCGCATTGGCTGTGGCTGGCGGATGGCGCCGCTTCTTTGGCGTCCTCGGCGGTGCTGAGGAAGAAGACCGTTAGTTGAATCACTCAAACGGCTGAGGCGAATTTGTTGCTCACCTGGCGTAGGAGAAGCGAGTGACAGCGATTCTAGCTCTTTCGCCGCTGCCGTCCGAGGTGTCTGTTGAAGCGATGTGGAGGGCGCACTAGGCTTGACCTGTGCGGCGGAGCCGCCCGTGGAAAGGTTCGAGGTGGAGCGAGACGGGACGGGTGAGCCGGAACCAGTTGGCGTCGCACGTCTTGCCGGCGGTGAAGGTGTCTGAGGCGGGTGACGTGAGCAGTAGTCTGGCACGAGGAGCATTCGCTGTCCACGCACCTTGCGAGGAGGGGAAGCGTCGGCAATATCCTCCTCAACCTTCTCAAGCAGCGTCTCGAGAGCCGACTTCCGCCTCTTCGTCATTGCGGGCGGTTGCCTCTGCGGCTGCTCAGGCAGGGAGAGCGAGTAGCCGAGCGAGCGTAGACGGGAAGCGAGGATGTCGTCGCCGCTGGCGAGAAGAAGTGGGTGACCCCGTCAGCACCGGCAGCGAGGAGGAGAGTGGCAGGAGACGTACTCGGGTTTATCGGCGCTCGGTGACTCTATAGAAGGCCGAGAATGCATGTGAGAGCAGCGGAAAGCGAAGAAAGCGAGACGCGAGGCGGCTGCGAGGAGTGAGGAGGCGAAAAGCTGAGGACGCTCGCGCCGCGCCGGCGAACGAGAGGCTCGAGGGGCGGAGGCACATGCGAAAGAAGCGCAAGACGAGAGCTGAGGCGCTCGCAGGACGTGGGTGACCAAAGTGAAAGGAGGCGAAGCGGACTCGCAACCGAGTCGGTCAAGTTCGGTGGCCCTATGGCTGGAGCTGCGACTTGCGAGATGTGGATACAAGAGTCTGCGCAAAAGACGAGTCAGCACGCCTGGAAAGACGCAAAAGCAGGCGAGAGTGGGAAGCCCGTACTCGCCTATTCCTCCCGTCTAGAGTCTACCTTATCGGACCATTCAAGGACTCGATGCGAATCTCACATGTGGCTGCCCCGCTGCGTTCGCCCGCAGAGCCGCATCCATCTCTGCCATCCGACGGAGTTCGGGCCAGCCGTCCACCGCTTCCTTCGCGCTGTTCCGGATGAAGTGACCCTGCAGCGCAGCCATGCTGACGCGCGATCCCTCCTTAAGCGCAGCTTCGACGTCCTTGACGAGTCGGTCGCGAAGCTCGACGAATTGGTCTTGCGAGAGATCCGCCTCGTCGTGGTAGAAGCGGGTGAAGAGCTCGGAAGCCTGGTATGGCGTCGCATCGTCAATGATCTCCTTCAAGTCGACGCGTCCTGGTCGGATGAGAGCCGGGTCGAGCTTCTCAATGTGATTGGTCGTGAGGAAGAGGATGCGCTGGGAGGTCGAGGATGCGACGCCGTCGAGGGCGTTGAGCAGGCCGGAGAAGGTGACATTCGCGCTGAAGCTGCAGGACGAAGATTTAGCTATGTACGACCGAGAAGCGACGTTTGAATTTACCCCGCCTCTCCGCTTTGCTGCCGCTGCGAGAAAGCCGCGTCGATATCCTCGAGAAGCATGATGCTCCGCTCCGGCGCATTCGCGAGCAGGTGATTAAGCTTGTCGTCCGTCAGGCCTCGTTCCGACAGGTTGAGGACGCAGATGTTGTAGTCGAGCGAGCCGGCGAGAGCCTGGATGAAGGAGGATTTGCCGGACCCGGGCGGCCCGTAGAGGAGGTACCCTCTTCGGTAGGGGATGCCTGCGGAGTCCTGGTCAGCTAGCGAGCTACTCAAAATCGCCCAAGCGACGCACCGCGTTCCGAGTACCACTTCCCACGCCCCATGAACGCCCGGACATCGTCAACAACCCGCTCCTTGACACCCTTGTCCAGCACAACGCTTTCCAACAAACGCTTCTCCCGTGGCCGTCCAAACGGCCGCCATTCCGCGCCCCACGCCGTGTAAATGACTGTTCGGCCGACTTGAGCTTGTTGTGCGAGTTGCCGGGCTTCGCTGAGGAGGAGAGGGAAGAGGTCGCGGTCGCGAGAGAGGGTCGTGAGGTGCACCGTCTCCCATGGCGTGCCAGAGTTGAGATCGAGCATGTTGGTCGCGCGTTCTCGCTTAACCTGCGGGCCGCCGGAGGTGTTGTCAGCGGAAAAGTCCCTTCAGGCGAGAAAGCTCCGCCTGCGCACCTGGAACCACGCATCCTTGTATCGGAAGAAATGCGTGCCCGGTCCGGGGACAAGACTGAACTCGGCCGTCGAGCTCCCGTCCTTCCGCTGCTCGTATTTCGTCTCAACCGCAAGCTCATGGCTTCGTATCCGGCTCGCGAGACCCTCAATCCCCCTCATCGGCTTCTTCGCCAGCTGCGCCTGCCGTGCTGATTGTGCTGACATCCATTGAAGCACCCAGAGGTAGGACGGGTCTTTGGACGAGATCTCGAGCGAGACGAGCAGGCGGCGCTGGGCGAGAGTTGCGGCGTGGACGGCGGATCTTCGCAGAACTTGCGCGCCGACGCCGAGGGCCTGCGCACGATGAATTCAGCTGTGTGCGAAGCTCCAATAAGCGGAAGAAGGGCACCATCAAGCCGAAACCGGCGGAGAAGTAAGGGCTGGTCGAGGAGAACGACGGTCAGAACAACGGCAAGAGATGCCTGGCGGACTTGCAGACGTACTTAGAGTCCAGCGCACTCTGTACCAGCCCTCTCAGCCCCGTCGGCTTGTCCACTCCCGCCGCTTCGACCGTTCGTTCCGCCAAGTCGCCAGGAGGGGGAGACACGGAGTCGGGGGCAGTCGAGGGCGATGGGGCGATCGCAGAAGGGTCGTTAGGCGTTGTATCATTCTGTGGCAGGAGCATCGGCATCTCTGAGCGGTGATGCGGCGAGGTGTCGACGGTCGACGTTCGCGAGAGATTCTTTGCACTTGGGTGCCCTCCTCGGCCGCCTTACACAGCTTCCGGGCGGTGTGAAGGCTCGCTGTTGCTCCCAAGTACTGCTGATCGACACGCTCACCCAGCTAGCAAAGCGCCCGCCGCCGCCGACCTTGCTGCTGAACTTCATCAGTCGCTCGTCGTCGAAATCTCGTCGGCACCGACAACGGTCTCCAGTCTGCTTGGCAAATGCTGGGAATGCATGCAAGGGAGGTTGTCTACGGGTCAAACGAGCGAAAGAGCGGTCGAAACGGGCGAGTGGAGGTTGGCTGCTCGTTCGCGGTGGAAGGGCCCGTCCTGCAGGTCGTGTATAAGCTTTGCCTGGTCAGGGGAGGTCGACGGATGCTTTGGCAGACACTGTGTCGGGATTGGTGACCTGCTCGAATGGACTGGTCAGCCCACCGGTCCTGCAGAAGTCTTCGCCCGGATCCGCACTCACCGCCAGATCCGTCAACTGCGGCACTCCATCCGGCAAAGTCCCGCTACTCCCTTGTCTCGGCAACCAGCTGATCGGTCTACTGGCCCTGCGGAACACCTCATGCTCTTCCGAATCTCGCGCCGGATCTTGCTCCACCGCCTGGGCTGGCGTGTCCGCTGCGAACCACGGGATCGAGCCTTGACGACGCGATGAGGTGCGGGTAGGGAAGGCGGTGAGTGGCGGCTCAGACGGCGAGGCTGAATGAGCGGCGGGTTTTGCAGGGAAGGCGAAGCTGGAAGAGAGGGATGCGGCGTACGTCTCGAGGTCTGCGAGGGCTGCGGACGTCGCTGTCGAGATGTGGGAGACGCGGGTGTGCGCGTGAGAGGGAGGAGCTGAGTGCGGGAAGTAGCGCGGAGCGGAAGGCGAGACTGGGCTGGAGAAGGCGGACGAGTCACAGTCTCGCATTGACAGGCGAGTAGGCGTATTCGGGAAGATGGCTGTAGGAGAGGGCGTGCGAGTCGGCATGGGGAGGACAGTCGTGCCGAAGTAGGCGGATGAGCGGGCAGAGATCGTGTAGTCGTCGGGAGAAGGCGATTGCTCATGGTCCGGGTAGATGCGGGACAAGCGCAGCGTCTCGGTGACGTCTGGAGTGTGATGCGGGTCGTACTGCAAGGTGTCAGAAGCAGGAACCGGATGCGCTGGCGTTGAGGGCGACATCGGCGAATGCGCTTCCTTCGAGCTCGTCTGGCGCATCAAAGGCATCCCGCTCTCCTGCGAGCCGCCGACCATGACCTCGTCAGGCGTCGTGAGAGCGCTCGACGTCGGCAAGTCGACGGCGCTCGTCGCAGCCGACCAAGCAGACGCGCCATATCCCGCTCCAGGCGGGAGGGGCCTTGGTCCTGGTCTCGCGATCGTGTTGGGCGCCGAGAGCGACGCCGAAGCCGAGTGGCGCTTTGAGGACGGCGAGACGAGCGGATCAAAGTCCTGAGCGGACCAGGTCGACGTCCGACGTCTGCTCCTTCCCGCCGGTCGAAGCGTCTCGTCGACGATGCTGCGAGTCTCGATACCTCCATCGTGTCCCGCGCTCGTCGCCGTCGGAGTCGGCACCACCGCAACCCACTCGTCATCCGCATCGCCAACTCCAAACTTCCCCTTCTCCCTCCTCGTCCTCTCCGGCTTGTCCCTCCTCGTCCGCTCTCTCGACACCCCACTCAACCTCTTCCACGCCGCCTCAGAGCCTGAGTGGCTGTTCGACGAGGGCGTGTGGGATTGGTTGCTTGAGGCGTTGCGGGCTAGGACGCGGGTGCCGCTGCGTGGGAGGGTGGTGTGGATCGAGAATGGCGGTTCGGCGGGTGTTGGTTGGGCGGGAGGAAGTACGGAGAAGAGCTGGTCACGGGGAATGGGCTGCTCGCTCGGCGAAGGAAAGGGAGGAGGATGTAAAAATGGCGGTGGAGGAGGAGGGACAAAGACTGGCTGAGAAGGTCGAAACTGAGCAAGCGAGTGAGGTGGAGACGGTGCGCTGGCGGCTGTGCGTCGGAAACGTCGCAGGACGACCAGCGTCCAGGCGATGACAACAACGAGGCAGACGGGCGGGACGACACAAGCGGCGAGGAAGAGGCCGTCGGAGAGCATCGCAGGACGAGGGAGTCGACGTCCGGCCGCGTGTCGAGCCAGCAGCTGCGCAGACCGTGCAGGGAACGTCGAGAGGCGAGACTTCGCTGAACGCGGACCCAGCGCGATGTGAACGGGAGGTCCGTGGGAGGCGGGGTGGAAGAGGAGGCGAAGCAAGATGTCGAAACGCGAGTTGCGAGGAAAGCAGGACGGCAATACGCTACGCAGTGTTACAGACAAGCAGGGAGTATGTACGGCAATGCGGATAGACACGAGTGAAGCCCAGGACGAGGACCGCTCCAAATCCTCTCACTCCTCCTTCGCGCCATACGAGTTCGTCCGCTCAAACCCACTTCCCCTACGACTCCTCAAGCTCCCACGCTCAACCATCGTAGTTGGCGACCCATCCGTCACGACTCCCTCATCCCCATCCGTCTCCCTCAACTCATCCGCCCTCCGCCCTCCCCCGCTGCTCGAACTCGCAGGCGGACTCGGACTGACCTCGCTCCCCCTCTCGAGGTCTCCGTCCTCCTCATCCTTCTCCTCGTCACTCATCGCCCCGTTCCCGTTCCGACCCGCATCGCTCCCCCTCGTACTCGCACCCCGCAGGTCCAGCGTCTTCGTCTCCTTCGTCGCCTGCCTCATACTCATTGTTCGCGCATCAGACGAGTCCTCGTAGCGGTCATCATCGACGTCGACTGGCAAGAGTTCCGCAAGAGGAACGGCGGCGTAGATCCCGACTGCTAGGATGACGGGTAGGTATTCGAGTGTCCCGAAGAGCGCTTCAGAGCGCGATGCAAAGCCGAACACGCCTTGGGCTGTTTCGGCGAGTCGGAAGGTCGTGCGGAGGAAGACGAGTAGAGAGGCGGTGAAGAGGAAGGCGGAGAATCGGCGAGGGAGGTGGGCTGCCGTGAATGTTCGTTCGGATCGGACGATGACAAAGATCAAGAGGCAGAGGAAGGCGAAGAACGAAGCCATTTGGATCGCGAGACCGGCGAGGAGGATGTCGTTTGCTTGCGAAGAGGTGATAGAGACTTTGTTGCCTTGGTATTGGTTTGACTCGGCGACTCCGATCAAGGCCGCGCCTGTGATCTGGATGATGGTCGTCACGACATCGGAGGCGATCATGACGGAGATCAGGATCTTCGGGTTGAAGCCGAGGAGAGTCGAGCCGAAGTGGTCGAGGCGGCGCAGGGCGAGGCCGAGAGCGAGGTAGAATGCCGCTTGCTGTTGGGCGATAGTAGCGTCAGTACAGCGTCACTCCGTACCCGTACGCGGGAGAAGGGGCCCAGGATAGCCGCCGTCTCGTCCCACCCGCCAGCCTAACTCCTCAAGGTCTCGGAAACGCAGAGACGGCGACGCACGAAGAATACGGGACTGCAGACGATGAAGAAGTACTGCACGACAAAGTAGTCGACGACAAACGGGTGGTAGTGGGAGACGAGGCGGCACGAGTAGCCGACAATCTCCATGATCTGCAGGCAAACGACAACGGATAAGCGGCCATCTCTTCCGTCCAGCACACGCCGGAAGCTCGACACACGTTTCCAAACATCATCAAGCTCTGGAACGTCCTCGTTCCCCTCAGCCTGACCAGATGCACCGCATGGTTGATGAACGCCAGTCCGAACGTGACCACCGCAATCGTCGCCAGTGCGCGGGAAGGAATGTAGCCGTAGATGGAGATGCCTGCCTCGCCTGCTGGCGGGTTCGGGTTGGGGTTTATGGGGACGCTGGGTGGGAAGGATGACATCCTGGGTGAGGGCGATGAGGAACTCGAATGGGTGAGGCGCAAGGGGTGGAGTGGTCGGTGGTGGGTCAGCCGGTACGTAGAGAGTCTATGGCAATGTTCAGCGAGCGAGAACAGTCGCCAGCGGTGTGTGGGAGGAGCGAGAGATGAGCGAAGAACGCTTGGCAAGAGTCGGTCAACTGCCGGGATCGGCTGGCGAGGAATAGGACAGGCTAGCTGGTGACGCTGTAGCAAGTGCAGTGCAGCTGGTCAGCGAATTTACGGAGCGAGAGGAGCAGAGCAAGCCAACCCCACCTCCTCCTCGACAGTCGACCACCTCCTCGCACTCGCTTGCACGGTCGCTGAACTCATCTGAGCACCCAAAAACACTCACAAAACCCTCTGTACACCCGCCAACCCCGCTCGAACGCGCCCAATCCGTCCAGTCCCTCCCACACCTGGCCATCTCCCCCTCACCATGCCTCGCCGCTACGACCCCTCCGAGCCGCGCCGCGCAGACCTCGCACAACCGTGGAAGTACTACTCGAGCGAGTCGAGTCTCGCAGGTGCGTTCGATCACTCCGTTGTGAAGGTCGAGTCTGCTCACTCGTTTGGTTGTGCGCGCGAAGACCTCGCTTCAATGGCTAGTATGGCCTGCAGCGGTCTCGCCATGATCACTCGGTTTGTCTCAAGCCCGTACATTTCGAGCGAAGACGAATCTGACGGATACGGCGACGCAGGTTCCCCATCTGGCCTTGGATTGGACTCCTCCTCGCCATCAGCGGCATCACGGGCGCTAAATCGCTCGGGACGAACAAGAAGACGGGCGAGTCGGGCGGGATGTTGAGCGGTGAGTTCTCGCAAGACACGATCTTTCGGCTCGATGGACCTGGAAAAGGTCGGGTTGCTGATGCGCGGACTTGCGCGAGAATGCAGGCTGGAGCTCGCTCATGTTCGCCGCAACTGCACTCTTCTCCATCTGTGCGTCCCACATCCACACTTCCTTCCTCACTCACACTGACAGCTGCCCACGCAGACGCCCCCATCCTCCTCCTTCAAGCCGCCAAAGCGCCGAACCAAGCCTGGCCGTTCGGGTTCAACAAGGGCCTCGTCTTCCTGAATCAGCAGCAGTTCGTGCCGCCTCAGCCGGTGGCGTAGTGCGGTCGTTGGAGGGTGTGGAATCAGAACTTTGGGTTATCGCGGTTCACTCGCTGGAATTTTCGGAGCTGGCTCGCGTGGTTTGTGAGAGAATGCTACTAGCCGTGAAGCTTATCTTGCAAGCAGCAGTCGGAGTTGACTGGGTGACATTGCCTCTTCTCACGCAATCCGCTCCTGACTTTACACCACACCGCTCGCTGGACTCGTGCTGCTTGCTTGGACTGCTCGACTCTATCGAGCTCACTTGCGACCCAGCCAGCACAACTCGCAGTGTTGACGGGTCCCGCTCGCTCTCCTGTCGAGGTAAGCACCCTCGCTCACGCCATTCTCGCGCAAGAGGCGCCGCGCGTGCTGACTGAGCCATCCACACTCGCACCAGATCACGCACGGGCACACCCACCTCGCCAACGCTATCTCACCGCTCACCCCGTCATCCTATCTCTGTTCCCGACGAACCGCCACTTCCCTTCTCACGCTCACACGACCATGGCGAGCCCGTCTGCGCCGTTCATGTCCGCCGTAGACCCATTTCACTTCGAGCCCCAGTCCCCTCCGACGACATCCATCTCGCTCGCGAACGGCCTCCCGCCCTTCCCGTTCACCTCCGCCCCTCCTCAACTTCCATCCTCTCAGAGCCGCGTTTCTCCAGCGCTGTACTCGCCCCACTCAGCAGCCTCAACAGCCTCCATCGCACAATCTATCGCCCCATCACTCGGTCCACGCAGTCCCTTTCCCGCTCACGAGTCGGAGAACATGGAGGGGATCTTGCCGGGTGAGCCGAGGGGCGCTGGGGGAGCGGTCACGGAGGCGATGAGCAGGATGGAGGTCGAGGACGAGTTGAGGAGGGGGCCGCCCACGTCCGATACGCCAGGTGGAGATTGCAGGAATGTCTGTATTCGTCATGCGAGGATGGCGAATGGCGCGACCAACCTCATGCTTCAGAAGGTGCGTGCGCGAGTTCTACGTTCGAGGTGACCCTTTATTGACGAGATTGTACTCCCACAGTCCCTCGAGAACCTCGCGCCGCACGAGCAGCAGGCCGTCAACACGATCTGGTCGCTCTTCTCCTCCTCGCCCTCGAAGCGGCGCCTCCTCATCCTTCGCGGCCTCCTCACCATCGCCTGTCCCTCCCAACTCTCCTTCCTTCAAGAAGCCCTCGCACTCGAGATGCGCCTCGACCCCGTCGAGCTCCTCCCGCGCGAAGTGACGCTCAAAATCTTCGGCTACCTCGATGCGATCTCGCTCGGACGGGCGGCGCAGGTTTCTCGTGCATGGAAGGGCATGGCAGACGACGACTTGCTGTGGCGCACGATGTGCGAGCAGCATATCGAGCGCAAGTGCGAGAAGTGCGGGTGGGGATTGCCGCTTCTGGGCGAGAGGAGGAGGAAGGCGAGGCTCGCGATGAATTCGTTGCCGGCGAGTCGGGCGGGCGAGGTCAGTCGCGGCAGGGACAGCGACGTCAGACGGATGCTCGAGGATACGGCGACTTCTGCCGCGCAGGCTCAGGCCGAACACCAGCACCTCCACCACCACGATGACTCGGGCGCTCCCTCGTCGGCCATGGTCATCGAGCCTGGCTCGGCGGCGTCGTCCGACTCGCACCGCCACAAACGCAGCAAGACGAGTTCGCCTACCCCTTCTCGACCCGCTTCTCCTCGCCCTCCTTCTTCCCGACCCTCGCTCCTCCCCGCCAGCGCCGACTCAGCACCCGTCGTCCCCCTCACCCGTCCCTGGAAACACGTTTACTGCGAACGCCTCGCCATCGAGCGTAACTGGCGTCGCGGGACCTGCGCAGCGACGGTCCTCTCAGGCCACACCGACTCGATCACCTGCCTCCAGGTCGCCGAGGACCTTCCGCACCCCAACTTCCCCGTCCTCATGACTGGTTCTTGGGACCGCTCGGTGCGGATCTGGAACCTCGAGACGGGCAAGGAGGTCGGCGTCTTGCGCGGGCACACGAGGGGCGTCCGGGCGCTCCAGTTCGACGCGCTCAAGCTCGTTACGGGATCGATGGACTCGACGCTCAAGATCTGGAATTGGCGGACGGGCGAGTGCATGCGGACGCTCCGAGGACACCGGGACGCGGTCCTCTGCCTCACGTACGACAAGCAGCTGCTCGTCTCCGGTTCGGGGGACAGTACGATCCGCGTCTGGGACTTTGGGACGGGCGAGGTCTACACGTTGCGCGGCCATACGGAGTGGGTCAACTCGGTCGCGCTGTGGGACTCGAAGACGGACGGGTGCGAGCCTTCGCCTTCGACTATCGGCGGTCCCGCTTCTGCCGCAGATCTCGGCGCGCCCATCAGCAACCCCGAGCAGGCGAAGCAGTCGAGTATGGGCAAGTACCTCTTCTCCGCCTCGGACGACGCGACCATTCGCGTGTGGGACTTGTACACCCGCTCGTGCGTGCGCGTCTTGTCCGGCCACGTCGCGCAGGTCCAGAGTCTCAAGGTGTACGTCGTCGGACCGGGCGAGGGACAAGGGTCGGCGGCGTTCCCCGACTCGCTCCTCCAGCCTCCTGCGACGACGCCGGGCGAGGACGAGCCGTTCGAGGGCGCGGACTCGGCACTCTCGACTGCCCGCCCGAATTGTACAGCGAACCAGCGCCTCCCGCCTGCTCCGCCCGCCTCCCTCCTCAACCCCGCCGTCTTCACCGGCCAAACCGCCCGTCCGCTCTTCCCCACCGCGCCAGCCCAGCCCGACTTCGAGTTCCCCTCCGACAAGAAACCAATGGTTGTCTCGGCTTCGCTTGACAACACCGTGCGCGTCTGGAACGTCGAGAGCGGTCAGTGTGTCCGCCAGCAGTTTGGGCACCTTGAGGGCGTGTGGAGCGTCGATGTCGACAAGTTGAGGATCGTGTCGTGCAGTCATGACAGGACTATCAAGGTGCGTTGGCGCTTCGTGGCTTGGCTCCGGCTGCTTCGGTTCCGAGGCTGACGAGCTTGATGATGCGTCGTATTCTCGCAGATCTGGGACCGCGACTCGGGGAAGAACTTGCACACCATCGTCGGTCACAAGGCAGCAGTGTGCGTGGCGCTTCCTCCTCGAGGATGCTCAGCTTTCGGCTGACTCCTCTTTCCCTCTCCCAGCACGTCCGTCCTCCTCACCGACCAGTCTGTCATCTCCGGCTCAGACGACGGCGAGGTTCGCGTCTGGAGCTTTGCGCCGAGGGACTGAGCGCGGAAGAGCGCTGCGTCGAGTTGCTGTTGTTTGCCTGGTTGTCGTGTTGTCGTTTGCACAATTTACCATCTCTCGTTCTCCCCGAATCTCGTGCGCTTGTAAGTGAACGAGAGCGCAGCTAGCGATTACAACAGTACAGAGATACCCTCATCGACCGCCCATCATGCCTTTCAGTATGTCGCCCATCCCTCCGCCCATCCCGCCCATCAAGTTGCCAAGTCCGCCGAGCCCGCCCGCGCCAGACATCATCTTCTGCATCTCTTCCATCGCACCTGGACGGGACATCATCTCTCGCGCGCCGGGCGGGAGCATTGACTGCGCGCAAGCGAGTCGCGAGTTCCGTCAGTCTCGCCGTTCTGCATTCGAGGCAGTGAAAAGGCGCGCACCTGCATCGCACGCATCTGCGACGGCGAGAGCTTTGAGAGATCGGGCATGCCGCCTGGACCGAGAGGGGGCATCCCTGCGCCGCCGAGTCCGGGCATTCCACCTGGTCGTCCGCCTGCTCCGCCTCGTGCCGCGAGCTTGCCCATCCTGCGCAGCCAACAGTATTCAGTGACCAGGGCGGGGAGCGCTGAAGGCGAGGAAGCCGCTGACGCACAAGCCGTTCTTGCCGCCCATCCGCTTCGCCATCTTTGCAAACATCTGGTGCTGCGCCAGCAACTCCTCGACCTCCTGCACGCTCGTCCCACTGCCTCGTGCAACCCTCAGCACGCGCTTGTTGGGTTCCTTCAATCCCATCGGGTTCGAAGGGTCCTTCTCGGTCGTCTCCTCCTTCTCCTTCTCCTTGCCCTTGGCCGAAGGAACCGAGTCGCGGAAGAGCGAGCCATCCGAGTCGAGTTCTTCGGTAGTCATCGAGTCGAAGATGAAGGCGACGCGCTTCATTCGCCGTGAGACGTCTTCTTCGCCGCCGCCGCCCATCATCTCCGACATGCCCGGGATCATCGAAGCGAGGTTCGACAGCGGGCCCCTGTGCGGAAGGCAGGGCTTCTATCAGTAAGGGGCTCGACGAATGAGGGGAGCGCATCGTTGAAAGCTGGCCTGCCAACGCACATTCCCATAACCGTCGCCAACTGATCCTTCAAATCCCTAACCGTGAACTCTCCCTTCTCCAACTTCTTCATCATCTTCTCCTGCCTCTCGGGGTTGGCGAGGGCCATCTCCTGCGCGCGCTCGACGAGCCCTTGCATGTCACCCATGCCGAGCATCTTGCTGATGAATGGCTGCGGGGAGAACTTTTCGAGGTCATGCAGGTGCTCGCCCGTGCCGATGAAGATGATGGGCGTGTTGGTAGCAGCGACACTGTACGTTCGACCGAGGAAAAAGATCAGCGAGTGCTCGAGACTGGGTAAGCAGCCGAAGAAGCGCAGGGCGGACGCACGCAGAGATAGCTCCCCCTCCCTTCGCGTGTCCATCGAGCTTGGTGACGATGATGGCACCGAAGTTGGACGCCTCCTTGAAGGCGCGGGACTGCGCTTCGGCGGCTTGACCTGCGTGACCGAAAGCGAGAAATCGTGAGCTCACGGCGCATGACATTCAGTCAGGCAGCTTCGGCTCGGAGGCAACGAAGCTACCCATAATGACCAAGCCCAGCGGAACTCACCAATCGCTCCATCCAACACCAGCACGACCATATCCGGCTCGACCGCATCCTGGATTTGCCGCATCTCGTCGAACAGCTCGCTCTCCTGCCTGTGTCGTCCGGATGTATCGACGATGATGACGTCGAAGCGTTCGGAGCGGAACTTGGTGACACCTTGAAGGGAGATTGAGACAGGGTCGGTTTCGGTGTAGCTGCGAGAGGAGGCTGTCAGCTTCCGTATCATCCATAACAACCTTCTTCTGCCTGAGACGTAAGGAACGGCGAAGAAAGAGAGGCAAGTCGGAAGAGCTGAACGTACCTTCCGAAGAACGGCACCTTTGCCTTTGTCGCATTCTGCTTCAACTGGTCAAACGCTCCCGCACGGAACGTATCCGCGCAGACGAGCGCGACCTTGAGGCCTCGTCGTTGGTAGTGCGTGGCGAGCTGCGAACTACGTGTGAGCGGAGGGAAAGGAGGAAGATGAGCGAGGAGGCGAACCTTGGTACAAGTCGTTGTCTTGCCTGCTCCTTGCAAACCGACCATCATGATTACCTGTGTCTTTCCCTTGACGGGCTACACGAGCGAGAACAACAGCGTGAGTACGCTTAGAGACGCAAATAAAGGAAGGAGAGGGGAAGACGGACGTTGAAAGCAGGAGGAGCGGCATCTCCTGGGTCCACGAGGGCGACGAGCTCGTCGTAGATGGCCTGCCCAGATGTACAAAACAAGTGTCAGCCCATACTGAAGGAGCCACGGCGACTCATGCACTTTCGAAGGAGGGAACGAGTCGAAGGGGAACGACCCGGACGCACCTTCTGGATGATCTGCTTCGCCTTGTTTCCCTGCATTGCGTCTGCATCCTGACCCTGCTTGGCCTGGATCTCCTCGAGCTGCGGGAGGACCTTGCCCTTGACCTTGTCGCGGAGTCGCTTGACGAGGAGGACGTTGACGTCCGACTCGAGCAGCGCTGCGCAGACCGACTTGAGCACTGCATCGAGAGCCTGTCATACGCCACGCACTGTCAGTCACGACACTCCTCGTCAAGCCAGAGGATGGGCGAGGTGGAGCGCACCTGTTCGTCGATGGCGGACTGCTGGGTGAGCGAGTTGATGGCCGTGTTGAGGCGCTTTCCCAAGTCCTGCAACACCATCCTGTGCACCAGTCAACCCTGCCGAACCCTGTGAACTGGCGAACAGCAACCCTCCCTCGCTCTCTCTCGCCAACAACTCTCGCTGGACTCGTAAACTCGCGCTCGGTGGACTGTTTGCTGCTGCTACAGAGGCTGCACGACACACCCAGCTAGGCACACCCACTCCCCGCGCAGCCATGTCGGCCTCGCCGCGCGAGCGCTCCCCCTCGCCATCCGAGGATGAAGACGAAGGCATCGACCTCCGCCCGGGCGCAGGCAGCCCCGGTGACAGCTCAGAAGAGGAGGCGACCGACTCGGAGGAGGAGCGCGCGATCAGGAAAGGTGCGTTGCAGTCTCGCTGCCTTGGGTCACGGTCGGTGAGGTTGATGAGGCGTGCGTCGCGGCTGGCAACGGATGTGGGAGGTCGGAGGGGCGTACAGAACGTCTGAAGCTCTCTCTACACGAGCCCGTACCTCGCCGCGACACCGGACTGCTTCCTGGAGGACTCGCTCTCTTGGGTCGACTCGAGGCGATGAGGCTGCTCGTCCGCTTCCTGCGCTCAGGTTACGGGCGTGGGCGCGGTGAGAGGTCTACCCTTTGTCCGACCAGCTCTGCGGACCAACATCTCCCCGTTCCTCGCGACTCGCAAGCTGACTCTCCGCTCCCTCTCCCGCTGCTCACTCGCAGACTTCATCGTTGACGAAGACGAGTCCGAACGCCGACGTCGCCGACGACTCAAGAAGAAGAAGCGCAGGGAGCGGAAGCAGCGCGAAGCAGGTGGCGAGGCAGACGAGGAGGGCGAAGGGAGGGACAGCAGCAGGAAGAGGAGGAAGGATGATGATGATGGTGCGCCGCTGCTTCTCCGTACCTTGGCAGTGCGTCTTCAAGGTATTGATGACCTCTCTTGCGGCGTACCTGCGCACAGAGGACGAGGCGCTCGACGAGGACGACTTGGAGCTCTTGCAGGAGAACTTGGGTATCCGGACCGACAAGCCCAAGGTGCGTCTCTCACTTGTTTATCTCAATGCAGTGATCCCGTACTCATGCGTCTTCGCCGCTCTCACAGGGCAAGCTCCGCCGCCTCCGCCGCGCCCGCTCCGCCTCAGCCGACGACACCTCCGGCGCTCCTCGCGGCCTGCAAGACATCTTCGCCGACGAAGACGCCGGCCCGGCAGCAGGAGTCGAGAACCTCTTCGATGCAGACGAGATGGCCGGTTTCATCGAAGACGATACGGACGAGTCGCGTTCTGAAGCGGGAGACTCGGATGAGGATCGGGAGGGCGATAGGGCTGCGAGGAAGGGCAGGAAGAAGAGGGATGAGAGGAGGAAGAGGGCTGAGAAGGCGGGTGCGAGGAGGAGGGGAGGGTTCGCGATGGGCCGCGTCGAGGGCATGACGGCGGAGGCGTGGGGCGAGGTGGCTGAGGTTTTCGGTAATGGGCAGGACTATGCGTGGGCGATGGAGATTGACGATGAGGAGGACGACAAGCCGAAGGAGCTCAAGGATGTGAGTTAAAGTCTCGCTTTCGGTTGGGCCAGACGCGCGGCTCGGTCGCAGCATACTGATGGCCGACGTCATGTTCCTCACAGATCTTCGAACCGTCCGAGATTGCCTCGCGCATGCTGACTGAGGAGGACGAGAAGATCCGCACGACCGACGTTCCCGAGCGCCAACAACTCGCCTCGGTCGGCCTCCCGCCCTTCGAATTCGACGCCGAGGGCGCTCTCCTCCCTCTGATACCCGAATCCGAGCTCCCGACTGCCGCCGTCTGGATGGCCGACAAGCTCCCTCGCTCGACGACTGCCCAGTTCCTCCTCCGCGACGAGGAAGGCAACGCTCCTCCTCTGCACGACGCCTTCCTCCGCGCGATCCAGGACGTCGTCAAGTTCATCAACAATGACTTCCTCGAGCCGCCGCACATCTGGAACCACCGCTCCGACTACCTCTTCCACGCTCCGTCGGGCGAGAGCCCCGTCGCGCTCTTGACCGAAGACGACGTCTGGCGCATCTCGCAGCTCTCGATCAAGTTCCGCGCGTTCCTCGCGCGCAAGAAGGAGGTCGCGGCGCAGTATGCGTCAATCGGGTCGGTTGATGTCCATCTCGAGGAGGTCATGGACCAGGCTGCGTCGGTCGAGGAGATCATGGATGCGCAGGGCTGGCTTGGTTTGAGGTATGCGGAACGTTTGGAGGAGGCGAAGAAGACGAAGAAGGAGGGTGGCGAGAACGGTGCGGCGGATGAGCAGGACGACGAGGAGCGTGCGAGGGCAGAGAGGGCGGCCGAAGTCGACAGGGTCAAGAGGCCGAAGCGTGCGACGATTGAGAACGAGTATCAGACCGCCAAGAAGACGGTCATCAGGCGTCTTGCCGAGGTGAGCCGACCGTCCTCTGCCGTTGTTTTGAAGCCGTACTGACGCCTGCTTTGTCTCGTCCAGCTCGTCAACATCTCGCCCGCCGACTTTGCCCTCGACGTCGTCCAGCAGCAGAAGACGCACTTCGCCGAAGACCCCGACAAGTCACCTCTCGACCTCGCAGACGAGTTCGTCGTTGACCCGGAGTTCCCAACGCGCAACTCCGCCCTCGCAGCGGCCAAGATGGTCCTCGTCACTGAGCTTGGCCACGAGCCCCTGCTTCGCAAGGAGGCGAGGCGTTTCTTCAAGGACTTTGCGGTCGTCAACGTCGCGGCGACCAAGGCGGGAGAGGCCAAGATCGACGTCCTCAACCCTTACTACGTGCGTTGTTCGCTCTCGATCGAGCTCACAGCTCGTGCTGACGAGAGGCTCTCTCCCATCGCAGGCCTTCAAGTACCTCAAGAACAAGCCCGTTGTCGAGTTCACGCGCTCGGCGCAATGGCTTCAGATACTCGCTGCTGAAGCCGAAGGACTCGTCACCGCGTCGATCGACCTTCCCCAAGCCGCGTACGACAAGCTCATGTCCGACTTCAGCAAGATGTACCTCTCCGACTACACGTCCGCGCTTGCCGACGAGTGGAACAGGCTGAGGGAGGAGATACTCAAGCAGGCGGTCGACGAGTATTTCTTGCCTCAAGGGGCCGCGTGGACGAGGGGTTGGATCAAGGAGGAGAGCGAGGATGCTGTCGCTGATGCGTGCGAGCGCAGGCTCGAAAAGGTATGCTGTGACCTGTCTTTCCCTTCTGCTGTACCTACGCTGACGCTCGACTCTCACTCAGCGCATCAACGCCGCGCCTTGGTGCCGCCAGGACGACACGATGGAGCCCGGCGACACGCCCTCCGTCCTTGCGCTCTCCAACGGTCGTGGCGACCCGAAGCGCGACTCTGTTGTCGGCGTCTTCCTCGACTCGGACGGCCACTTCCGCGAGCACTTCAAGTTTGACACCATCGCAGGCGACATGGACGAGGCGCAGCGCGAGCAGTTCACCGAGTTCCTCAAGCGGCGGCGACCGCAAGTCGTTGTTGTTGGCGGGTTCTCGCCGGCTGTCCCGCATCTCTTGCAAGACTTCCGCGTGTTCGCCGAGGGCGTCTCTCAACAGCTATACGAGGACGGCGCTGCCGACGACGACGAAGCGGACGAGGGCAAGTCTCCGGAGGAGGTCGAGCAGCGCAAGCGCAACCGGGCGGCGTTCGAGTCGACAATCGTGTACGACGAGATTGCGAAGATCTACCAGAACAGTCAGCGGGCGGCGCAGGAGTTCACCGAGCTGTCGACGCTCGGCAAGTACTGCGTCGGCCTCGCGCGGTATACGCAGAGTCCGCTCAACGAGTACGCCGCTCTCGGTCAGGACTTGACGGCGCTCTCCTACGATCCCAACCAAAAATACGTGCGTGCTGTCTCCATACACAAACTCAGCTTTCCCCGCTGATGGCGTCTCGCACCTGCAGCTCGCCAAGGACAAACTCGTCCAAGCCCTCGAGCGCAAATTGATCAGCGTCACGAACCGCGTCGGCGTCGACATCAACCGCGCCGCTCGCGACCCGTACTACGCCCACCTCCTGCCCTACGTCGCCGGTCTCGGCTTGCGCAAGGCGGACGCGTGCATCAAGAAGATCAACGCGATCGGCGGCACCCTCACGACTCGCTCTGGCCTCGTCATGCAGAGCATCTTGACGAGGAACATCTTCATCAACGTAGCTGGCTTCCTGCGAATCCGGCAGGACGACCTCGCTGCGGACCTCGAGCTCGAAGTCGAGGGCCAGGAAGACCCGGACATCCTCGACGACACCCGCATCCACCCCGAGGACTACGACGTCGCTCGCAAGATGGCGTCCGACGCGATGGAGTACGACGAGGAGGACCTCGAGGGCGCGGCGCCCTCCAAGGCCGTCGCGGACCTCCTCGACGACGACGTTCGCAAGCTCGACGAGCTCGCCCTCGATGAGTTTGCCGACGAGCTCTCAAAGGTCCTTGGCCAGCCGAAGCGCCTGACACTCCACGGGATTCGCGAGGAGCTGAAGAAGCCGTTCCACGAGAAGCGCCCGCCGTTCGTCGTGCCGGGTCCGGAGGAGCGCTTCACCATGTTCACCGGCGAGACCCGCAGCACGCTCGACCAGGGCTTGATTGTCCCCGTCCGTGTGCTTCGCGTCACGCCTGACGATGCTGTCATCGTCCGTCTCGACTGCGGCATCAACGGCACGATCGAGCGCGAGTATCGCACGAACGACACCAACATCACGAAGCTTCGTCCGGGCCAGACGCTCCAGGCAATGATCTTCTCCGTCGACTACGGCAACTTCTCGGTCAACCTCACGACACAGGAGAACATCATCGAAGCCGGCGACGTCGAGCGTAGGCAGGTCAAGCAGGACGTCTGGTTCGACAGGGAGCGCGAAGCGGCCGAGAGGCGCATCGCTCAGCAGCAGTCGCAGCGGCAGGCGGGCAAGACGAAGCGCGTCATCAACCACCCCAACTACCAGGACATCAGCGCCGGCAAGGCCGAGGAGTACCTCGCCAACATGCAGCGCGGCGACTGCGTCATCCGCCCTTCGTCGCGTGAGGATCACATCGCCGTCACCTGGAAGGTTGCCGAGGGCATCTACCAGCACATTGGTCAGTTCCGCCTTTTCGCTTCCACCTTTCCCGCCGGGAGCTGACCCGTCCATCGTTTGATAGCCGTCCACGAGCTGAACAAGCCGAACGCGTACTCGCTTGGCACGCAGCTTCGCATCGACGACAAGCACCGCTACAGCGACCTGGACGAGCTGATCGACGCCCACATCAAGCAGATGGCGCGCAAGGTCAACGAGCTGACGTCGAACGAGCGTTTCAAGGGCACGAAGGAGCAGCTCGAAAAGTTCCTGTCGACGTGGACGAACGCCAACCCCGGTAAGAGCATCTACGCCTTCGGCTGGGAATCGGACCGCAGGAAGGCGGGTCAGGTTGTCCTCGGTTTCAAGACGAACGAGAAAAGCGGGGTCCAGTACTGGGTGCGTGCGGGTTCTTCGCCCTCCGCTAGCAGGAGTCGCTTACATCCATCCATCGACAGCCCGTCTTCATCGTCCCCGAGGGCTACATGCTCAAGGGCAGCGTCCACGGCGACATCCCTTCCTTGGTACGCCTGCTTCCTCCTGGCGCCTTGCGCTCGCCGCTTACGTGTTTGCACCCGCAGATCAACGCCTTCAAGATCGCCTACTCGTCGGGTATGGGCGGCGCTCGTGTGCCGAACCTCGCCCCCGGCAGGACCCCCTACGGTGCTGGCGCAACCGGCGCGACCCCGATGCCCTACAGCCGAACGCCCAACCCGCACTTCAACCCTCAGCAAAGCGGCCGTACGCCTCTTTCCTATGGTCAGCCGCAGCCGACTTACGGAACCGGTCGAACGCCTCAACCTGGACCAGGTGTCGGAGCAGGGACGGGCTACGGCGGACGGACGCCCGGTCACCCTGGCGCGGGAGGTCCCCCGGGCGGAGGACAGTACGGTATGCCACCGCCTGCGCCGTACGCGACGGGCTACGGGCCTCGATGAGGCGGGACGGTGGATGCTTGAAGGAGAAAAGGAGAAGCTTTGGACGTCTCTCGCCGAACTGCATGTGTTTCTTGAAGTAGTCTCTCCATCGTGTGTTGACCTGTGCACGACCCTTTCGCATTGTACTCGCTTCCAGCAGGACTTGACGCCGCCGAGCAGCGAACGAAAGTCTTTCGTCGGTCCTTTCTCGCCCATGCCGCACAAGCGGGAGGCATGTATGACAATGGCAGAGCGTCACTACGGGTCCAACTGCTACGATTAAGGGCGCTGCCCATTCCAACGACGAGGAACCTGTCCTTCATTTGATCCGCAACGTCGCAAGGCTAATCTTGCGCATCCTGTGCGCCTTCTTCTGCTTCGCCGCCAACTCCTGCTGCTCGGCGTAGAAGTACGTCGAGGGCTGCTGGATCGAAGCAGGCTGAGGCGCCGGGCGAGCCGGAGCGGAAGGGAGGAACTGGCGCGAGAGGGGCGGAGGCGGAGGAAGGGCGTCGAGTTCGGTCGCGAAGTCTTCCCAACTAATCAAGCCGCCCTTGTCGGTCCGCTGGTGCGCCTCGTCGTCCGCCTGATGGCGCTGGCGCGCTCGAAGCTGGGCGTGCGAAGGCCTGCGGCGCGAGACGGGCAAGTCGTGTTGCGCCTGCTCGTCCTCCGATTCCTCAACAGGAGCGACAAAGCGCGGCGAACGACCCATCGTTGCTGTTGAGCGAGACGTAGGGCTCGAGATGCCGACGCAGGCAGGCGAAGAGCCCGAGGCGGATCCTCGGCGCGAGCAGTTGTCGCTGTACTCGGTGGATGGGGCAGTCGACGACGTCGCAACGCTCCAGCGGAAGGAGTTGCCCGAGTAGGACGAGGCGGACGTCGCTGAAGAGTTCGAGTATTGCGAATCGCGAGAGAGCGAGCCGCGCATGGCGACGGAGCGGGCGGATGCGTTTGGGCTGGACGGGGTGTACGAGCCGCTTGACGAGTTCGAGTATGTCGATTGCCGCGCGAAGGAGGTGAAGGTGCGGTGCGAGCGACCACTGGGAGACGAGGCGTACTGGGGAGTTGGCGGGAGGTGAGGGAGAGGAGGGGGCGCATCGCTGGGTGCGCGAGCACGAGGATTGCTGCGTACCGAGGCGACCGACTTCTTGCGCTGGATGGTCGGGAAGGGTGCGACGCGGCGGTGAGGGAAGAGTTCGTCGGTCGGGTTGCGGGACATGGGGAGCGAGTGCGACGAGTGCGCCGTTCCGGGTCGCTCGTATGCGTCGTAGCCACCAAATTGGGCGTGCGACTTGGCGCCACGAAGCGGCGAGCGGTGGGGCCTGCCAGGCGGTCCGTCGAGCGAGATCGAGGGAAGCAAACCGTCTTCGCCATAGGCGTCGAGGATCGCGTCAATGTCGAGGTCGGCGAGGTCTGTCTGCGTGAACGATAGACGGCGGGAGCGGCGAGAGCGCGGGCTGCTGGCGTACGAGTGGGCGGGACGGAGGGTCGCGGTTGACCTGGTCGAGTGCAAGTCGCGGTATGCGGCGGCCTCCGAGGCGGCAGTCCTGCATAGCGAGGACGTTCGTGTCAGCCTCCTGCTCGGCAATGTTGGAACTCGAGCAAGAAATGACGCGTACAGGAATGCCTGGGCTCCCAGTCCTCCCAACTCGCCAAACACGTCTCCCTGCTCGACAGGGAACGCGATCCTGCCTCCAACGATACGCGAAGCCCTCTTGCGCGCCTTCTGTCCGTCACCGCCGAGCTTGGTGACCTCGGCTTCGAGCTGGTCGAGGAGGTCGAGGCATCGTTGTTCTTCGTTGTCGGAGGCGGAGGAAACGGTCCAGAGACTCGATTGCGATGAAGAGGCTTGAAGGGCGATGGCGGACGATGAAGAGTAGGGCGAGGAGGAGGCGTCGACCCAGGGTGCGGAGGCGGTGGAGGAAGAGGTGGATGCCGACGCGAACGAGGCGGAGGGAGAAACAGTCGCGAAATCGGCCGGGTCGAAGTACGGGAACGTCATGGCTGCGTAGGCGAGGCGTACTCTGGGTGCTAGGGCGCAGGGAGAGGCGGAAGGAGGAAGAGGTGCGTGCAACGCGACCTTGGGCGGAGAAAGGGCGAAGAGGGCGAAGAGGGCAGAGAGAGAGGTGTACTCGGTCGAAGTCCGAGGTGTTGCTCGTTCTCACAGAGTCGAGTTGCAGTTGCGAACGGTTCGTGTGGAGTCCTCGAGACGAAGAAGACCCGTTTGTGATGCTCTGTTGTCGCGAGGGTTGAGAAGGCCGACCGGGGCGGAGGAGAGAGTGCGAGCTGAGGGAAGCGGCCTGCGCTGACGTGGCTCGTACGCGGTCTCAGCAGCCGTACAACGACGACGGTAGAGTGAAAGAGCGCAAGGAGGAGCGAGGTCGGCGTGAGCGTTCAACGGTTGAGGGAGCCATGCCGGACTCCGCGTCGCGCGACGCGTTGTCAACCAACGGTCGAGGAACCCGCTCAAGCCCGCCGTTCATCTGCCCTGGCGGAACAATGCACGCAGCGTTCTTGTCATTAATGAGAGAAGCCCGGTGCAGGGCGATCCAGAGGGGCGGTCGGCCTTCCGTCGCCGCCGCTGATGGGCGAGGAGGACGACGGCGGCGAGCTCGCTCGGCGGCAGACTGCTACTGTAGGCTCGAGTGCCGCAAGTGTACGACAAACAGGATTGCAATGCGTAGTGTGGCAGGGTACAGGTCGGTTGCGAATGTTGCGGATGCACGAGGGCGAGCGAAGGCAATCTGCAGGAGCGGCGTCAGAACTGGCTAGTCTCGAGTTGCGAGCGGAGCGCGGACGCACCGAGGGGCATGCAGAGGTGCGTGTGCGGGAGGGAGGCGAGGACAGCAGGCAGAGGCGCGGGGTTGACGGAAAGTCAATGGTGTCGCAGGCGAAAGATGGCGGATTCGCTCAAAGGCCGTCCTCGCCCGACTCGGCGAGTCCTCCGAGATCATCGTCGTAGTCGACTGCACCTGCTTCGGCAAACGGTGCAGGTTGTGCCGCCGAGGTGCTGGCGGCGGCAGCTGCGGCCTTCGCCGCCCGCTTCTGGGCCCGCTTGCCGGACGCTCGTTGTTGTTCCTGCGGGCGTGACGGCGTCAGCAGCGGCTCGTTGACACTGGTCGACGTAACGCACGCGGTACTTGGCGAGGTAGACCTTGAGGACTTCCGCGTACGAGTCGAACCCGAGCGTCGCCATCGCAAACAGGATGTCCTCGCCGTTGATCGTCTTGCGCTTCTCGACGAGACACCGCTCGGCCGCCTCGGACGTGATGAAGCTGATGAACTCGGACGTGCACTCCTGGACGCACTCTTTGGCGTCCTTGCTGACCTTGGTCGTCTCGGGGAGGCACTTCTTCATGATTCGCCCGACATTGGCGATTGGCAGATAGCGCTGTGCATTGCCACGTCACGCTAATCAGCTCCACTCGCTCATTCTGGCCCGTCTGCTCGACGATGGTGCAACGGACGACTCACATCCTGCTCTTTGTACGTTTCGACCTCGTGCTCCTCAATCTTCCTCGGCGCAGCCACCGTCCCCTCTGCTCCAGCTTGCTGCCCTTCGACCCCTGCGTCTGCGTCGAGAGCGGCCGGACGAAGCGCGGGGAGAGAACCAGCGTTCGGGTCGTAGTAGTTCATCGCGGGCGAGTCGCGCGCGGGTCGGCGCAGGTGGAGCAAGCCTGTGAAAGTCTAGCGAGAGTCTAGGCAGGTAGCTCGAGCCGAGTATCGAGGAGTAGCTGTTCGGTTCGAGGAAGAGGTGCGCCGCTTCGTCCTCGACCGCTCACCACCGCTCGCAACAGCGCTCCGCCGGCTGACTGCATGGGATAGCGCTCCTTGAGCTCGTCAGGCGCAGCTTGCCAGTCCAGCAACCCCGCCAAACGAGCCTGTCGCCGAGCCTCACCCACTCGCAATTCTCATCAGCGAACTCGCCTTCCGCTCGTCTACCACGCCTCTCACAGCTTCTGCAAGGCTGGCGACGAGTCTGACGCAACGCCCGAAAACTGCACGAGCACGTGACGGCCTCGGAACACGGCTGGAGGCGGACGAGAAGTTCGAACAACTCACCGTTCTTCTCGCGCGCCTCGTGGTCGAAGGGCGCGTCGTCACTCGCTTCCTAGCGCGAGTCGAGCGCATCTCTCCCTCCTCACTGCTTGTCACAAGTGCGCTGGTCCTCGACGCGCGCCGCTGTCGCTTGTCTGCTTGACCCTCCCCCGACCTCGCCGACGAACACTTCCGCACGCGCCGCTTCATCAGTCAGCTCCCATTGTCCTCGTCGGTTCGTCGGGCGCCCACAACAGATAACTTGTGTAGGGACGTCAACGGTTGCGATTGAGCGGAGCGGATTCGCGACATCCGCCCTCCCCCTGCACGACCCTCGTCCGTACGCCATCTTCCCGCTGGGCCGCACTCCTGGACTTCCAACACTTCGTCGCCCATCCTTCCCTCAAATCCTCGCAGGATGGCGGCCGTCTTCACCCACGTACCGCGGGTGTCCTGGACGACGACGGACTTGTCGGAGCTGGACATCGAGGACATGCTGGAGACCTGGGACGAGACGGTGACGGATTACATCGCGTCTTACGCTGGCGAGGGCGTGTCGTCGCCAGTCTCGCCGACGTTCTCCTCAGCGACATCGTCTCCACGACTGCCGCGGACGTCTTCCCTCCTTCAACTCCAGCCGACCACTCTCCCGCCCATGCAACCCGCCATATCCTCTCACTGTCTCGGCATTGACACAGAACGACGACCCAGCGACGCCTCCCTGCTCTCCCCGTCCTCCCTCGCCTTCGATGCCTTCCGCTTCCCCTCCTCCTCCGACTCGCTCTCACCGCCGACTCCCTCGTCCCCCGCCGGCCTCTTCCCTTCGGACTCTCCGCCACTAGACCGCAAAACAGAAGACATGCTCGACCTCGACGAGTTCTTCGGCACACCGCGCGCCTCTCCCTTTCCCACCTTCGGACCACGCACCAACGCACGTCCAGACACAAGCGGTGCGATCCGAGCCTTCGCGAAGAGGCTCGAGGCGAACCTCCCGCCGCCGCCTGTACCGCCTAGTCGACGAGTGTCCGTCGCACCGAGTACGAGCACGGGATCGTCTGTCTCGTCGGGGCGGACGGCGACGAGTAAAGCGACTGCTGTGTATCCCAAGCCTGCGAAGAAGGAGAAGGACAAGGTGCAGACTAAGGCGTATCCGAGACCTCGGCAGAAGAACGAGGCGGAGGACGAGATTGTCAAGGCTTTGAGGGCGAATTGGTTAATGTTGCGTTGAGGGATGGCGCGGTCGTGAATGCATGGTTTGTCGTAACACTACACCTATTGATGACAAGTAACGAGAAAGACGTAATCTATAAAGGGTACCGCTGCCTCGAACGGCACTTCTATCGGAGGAATCGACCGAAACTCCTCCAGTTCAGACTGCTTGTCCCGCCCCACGCCGCGCAAGCCGCCCTCTCGTCGTGCCCATCGTTCTCCGTCCTGGTCTTGCGGAGCGAAATGCGATGTGAGCGTGGACGGCGCGAGGAAGACGGTTCGAGGCGCGGTCGTCGACTGCGTCTAGAGGGAGGGCGGCGTCACCGCAGAGAGGATCGACCGGACAACGCGATGCGAAGGCTGTAGGGTAGCGAGAGTTAGCTAGCGGCACAAAGCGGGTCGAGCGAGAGAGAGAGCGGACTCTTGAGACTGGATGAGGCAGAGGGCGACGACGCGCTCAACGCAGTTGTGCAGACGTCTAGCCGTTCGAGAGCAGTCGAGCTGCACAAACAGGCTGCAGCTCTGTCTTCTGTTGGAGAGGCGCCGCAATACTGGGAGGTGCGACGGTGAGCATTCCTCGAATGAGCGGAGAGGCGCAGTCTTGAGTACGCACATTCACTGTTGCCAGCCACCCATCGCACGCCTCTTCCACCAGTGTATCCTCGTCCGCCATCCCTCGTCTGAATAGGAGTTTCCGAGTTGCTTCGGGATTGAATCGAGCGAGTCGAGCGAGTTTGGCGGCGTCCAACGAGCCGAACAGGGCGGTGAAGAAGGGTGAACGCAGGACTATTGACGGGAAGGGTCAGGCTGAGCCCCTTGAGCGGAAGGATGCCGGGAAAGCGGGCAGGGAAGCGTACCAAGAACGACAGCAAGCATGAGGAGCGCAGCGACTCCCTTGCCCGGTCCCTTCATCCCGCCTCGCGCGTCAAAAAGCAACAGTAGCAACCCCGAGAGAGCTGAAGAGCAGAAGCGGGAGAGGAAGCGATGCTGTTCCGTTGAGACGGTTGGGATCTGCACTTCGCGGGAGTGACGGGAAAAGGGTCCCGCGTCTGACGCGTCGAGACAGTCTCGGTTCGATCAGGCTGGCAAGTACGACGTTTCGCAAGTCCAGCCAGCACTCAGCAAGGGCTACTCAGATGTCAAAGGAGCGGAAGGCGACGTGACACGAGTCGGAGGAAACGGTGAGGGTGCGCAGAGCGGCCGGTCGGGTCGCCGCGTCCGTCAGGTCCATCCACCAATCGCAGAAGAGCGTCGGAGCAGCGGGAAAGCGTCCAGCATGCGAGCGAGGCGTGCTGTCGGTGTTGAAGGACGAGGCGGGGAGGCTGCGAGCGAAGTCGCCCTCCGTCCGCAACGATGCTCGTCTTTCCGCTGCTGCTGGCACTGCTGCCTGGTCTCGTAGCGGCTGCTACACCCCAGCTGGACAAGTACCGCGCCCTAGCGAAGCGGAATGGCGGACTACTCTCCCTCGACGCAGCGGCCTATGATGAACTCACGTCCTCGCCGCGCGACTACTCTGTGTCGGTGGTGTTGACGGCGATGGGAGCGCAGTACAAGTGTCAGCCGTGCCAGTGAGTCTCGAGTCAGCTGGTGCAGCGAGGAGCGCGGGAGCTGACCTCAACTCCCCCCGAACAGGCTCCTCCAGCCCGAATACTCGCTCCTCGCCAAGCAATGGAGCTCGACGAAGAGGAGCAGTGACGAGGAGCACTTCTTCGCCTACCTCGACTTTCAGAACGGGCCAGAGGTGTTCCAGCGGGTCCGTCTCGCCTCCTCGCTCCCCCACCTTGCGTTCGTTAGGCTGACCTTGGCCTCTTCTTGAACAAACAGCTCGGTCTGCAGACCGCACCGGTCTTCCAGCTATTCATGCCGACCGAGGGACCGCGGGCGACAGGCAAGCTTGCGGCAGAAACGGTCGACTTTGGCAGGACGTGCGTCTCATTTCGCTCTTTCAGCAACTCCAGTAGGGCCCTCCTGACGCTCGTACACTCTTCACAGTGGGTTCAAGGCCGAATCGATCGCCTCGCACCTTTCGGCTCATGCCAACCTCCCGTCTCTCAAGTTCGCGCGACCCGTCGACAAGACCAAGGTCCTCAAGACTGTCGCTTCCGTCGTCGTGGGCGTACTCGCAGTGTGGCGGATGTGGCCACTTTTCGTCGTCGTCTTCACCCGCCGCTACATCTGGTCTGCGATCTGCATCGTGCGCTCTTCTCCCGGTCCTTCAGCTTTCGCAGTATTGACTTCCCCCTGCGCGCAGTTCACCATCCTCTTCATGACCTCGGGCTACATGTGGACGCAGATCCGCCGTCCGCTGTACGTCCAGGCTGAGCGGAACGGTCAGGTCAGCTACATTGCGGGCGGCTATCAAACGCAGCTCGGCGCCGAAGTGCACATCATCTCAGCCATCTGTGCGTGACTTCCTCGAAACTCGTCATGACATGCTGAGCTGACGGGCTTCCGAGCAGACGGCATCCTCGGCTTCTCGGCCTACATCCTCGCCTACACCATTCCCAAGCTGACGGACCCAGTTCGACAACGGCTCGGCGTCTATGTCTGGACAGGCGTCTTCATCGTTATGTCGGGCGTCCTGATGAACATCTTCCACATGAAGCAACCTGGATGTGAGTCGCCGGACGCGTCGGAGCCGTTGTCTCCTGCCCCGAAACTGACTGTTCCTTTCGCGCAGACCCCTTCCGCATCTTCTGATTGCCACAGCAGTACAGCTAGAGCACTGACTGGAATCGCAACAGAACGCATCGCGGCATGTTGTGCGTTGAGGAGAGCGATTGCAGCGCCTTTCAGCGGATTTCTGGCTTCCAAAATTTTCGCAGGCGAGTCTGTCTTAATGGTGCGTTTGAGAGGAGTTCCTGCGCTCGCAAATAGGCTTTCAGGCGTTGCAGAGGGAGACTTTCACCCGTTCCTCCTCGACTTCGCGTCCCTCTTTCGACTTCACTTTAGGTCATCCGCTCGGGACTTTCGCTTGCTGGTCAGCTTGCTCAGCGACGCATTCTCGACTCGCTGCAAACCTCCATCGGCTGCGCAACTCCGCCTGCGTCGACCACACCCCTCGATTCCTCATCATCTGCGGGCCCGTTCGCTCTCACACTCGCGCACCGCCCGCCGTACCAAACGCCAGTATACGGAAAGCCACGCCGGGACCCTACAGAGGCCAATCGATCGCAGCAGAGAGACATTCTCGCGGCTCAAGACGAGGAGGAGCTCGACCGTTGTGGGGTCCGGTTGCGAGACTCGAGGTGGACGAACGACGGCGTGCGGGACAGAGACGGCTCGCCTAGAGCTCACAAGGTGCGTTGCAGTGCCCTCAGATTGGCTCGTAAGCTCCGTCGACGTCTTGGGAAGCCGCTTTGCCTGCGTGAACGGCGGTGGAGGCGCGAGCAACGACCCGTTCTCCTCGCTGGCCAAACCGAAGCTCTGAAGCGCTGATGGACTGGCGCTGACGAGACCCACGGATCAAACAGGCGCCGGCATGTCCTACCACTCTCACACCCTCAGCTCGCCTCGAAGCGCATCCTCCCATGCCTTCCGTCCGAACCGATCCGACGCGCCAGCAGCCAGTCCCTCAGTCTCGCCTACCACTACGACAAGCGCTCGCTTCAATGCGGCCCTTGCATCGATGCCGTCGCGACATGCGAGCCAGACTTCCGTCTCGTCGGTAGCTTCCGACAACTCGCTCGGCTTCCTTGGGCCGCACGATTCGATGCTCCCGACAGACGACGGGGCATTTGGTGCGTTGCGGCGTGAGCTGAGTGCGACGGAGCCGCTCAACGGTCTAGGCGCGAGCGAGGAGGATCGACCGGCGTCAGGAAGTTCCTCAAGACCAGGTCGTTTCTATGACGAGCCTGAGCAGTTCGACACCCTCCGTGGACGGCCTTCGTACGAGATGGGACGGCCCGACGAGCAGCAGGATGTCGAGACTCTCGGTCGACCTGCCTCGATCGAAGTCGACGGTTCGATGTCTTTCCTCTTGTCGCCTCCTCCAGCAGCCCTCGACTTGGCCACTCCGAATAGCCAGGCCAAGGCGAAAGATCGGAGACCAGGCGATCGCAGCTTCCCAGCACCGCTTCTCCTGAAAAGCGACCGGAGCTATTCGTCCGGAGGCGGGAGTGCCAACCCGGCTAGTAGCCCGTACTTCCCGCCTACTGCGCCCCTCTCAATCCCGCGCCGTCCGTCGGCGAGCACGTCCATTGGCGGCTCATCGTCAACCAGCGTCTCGCCAGCCGGTCCACCAAGTCGAGACTGGTCTCGGCGGGACGGGACTGGTCAGTCGTCAAGCTCGGGCGAGAGCTCTCGGTCCACCTTGCCGTACCAGCGACACCGCCATCAGCAGTCTTCCACCTCCTCCCTTTCGCATGGCTCGTACCTCCCTTACAACAGCTCTTACTCTTACGAGCCGCGCCAACTCGCCCCGTCTTCGTCTTCTACGCCTCCATCCTCATCTTCCTCTCGACCCGGGACACAAACATCTCATGCATCAGAGAACGCCACTTCCGCGCCGCCGCCATCCTTCTCGTCCTCCACCACTCCGCCGGGCACCTCTTCCGAGCCGCCCATCTCTTCCCAAGCTCTCCTTCTTCACGTTCTCGCACTTCGGTCAGCAGCGTCCCCGATGGCATTATCGCAGTCGCAGGGGCCGCTGTCACGCTCGGGAACGCCTCTCGCTGCGGGCGCTCCCAGCCATCAGCGCATCCGGTCAGCGGGGTCCACAGCAGCCGACTCGGAGTCGACACCTGCAGCTGCGGAAGATCGCAACGCAGCTCGGCAGAGTACCTATCACGGCGGACCGAAGCTCGATACAGTCGACCTGAGCCACAAGCGTATCGCCGAGGTCCCTGTCGAGGTCGTCGAGGAGCTCAAGGACGAGGTCGAGAAGCTTGCGCTCGGGTACAACCTGCTGAAAGACCTTCCACCTCACTTCGGCGAGCTCGGCAACCGCCTCAAGTACCTCAACATCCGGGTCAACTTGCTTACGACCTTTCCCGCCGTCGTCCGTATTGCTTTGCACTCCTCTTTCCATGTTGCGTACTTACATCCCTTCTTGGCAGCTCTGCTCTATGCCGTCCATCGAGATTCTCGACATCAGCCGCAACAAGATCCGCAAGCTTCCCGCCAACCCCGGCACGCTCGTCAACCTCAAGGTCCTCTCGATCGCCAAGAACCGCATCAAGCGTCTACCGGTATGGTTCACGACGATGTCGCACCTCAAGGTGCTCAAGCTCGACCACAACCCGCTCGAGTGGCCGCCGCGCGACGTCGCGACCTTCAGTCCGTCAGTTGCGGGCCAGCCGATGTCGAAGCAGGAAGAGGCGGACGAGATGCAGCGATGGCTTCCGGCGTTGATGACCTGGATGCGCGATCATCAGGACAGCGAGTTGCAGCGGATACAGGATAAGGAGCGGGAGAAGAGACGAAGACCTAGCTTGGCTATGGCGAGGTACGTTGACCATTTCGTCAATGTCCGAGCTCTGCTGACGCTGCTTCGACTCGCAGCGAGGATGAGCGTCAGTCGTCGGAAGGGCGGATACCGCGTACAACGAGGCTGCCGACAAGCGGGAGCGGTCACATGCCGCAGAACTCGCTCACCGCGATTCTCGAACCTGTCGCCCCTCTGCGGCTACCCTCGACCTCCCCGTCATCCTCCTACGCCCGCCTCGCGCCCGACTCGCTCGAAGCAGACCCTTCCGCCCGACACAGCAGGAATGCATCGCATTCGACCGCTCAGTCCGGCAACTTGACCCCGCTCTCGAGTCTGCGAGCGAAGAAGTCGCTCCCCGACTTGCGACAGAGCCACGCCGACATCTTGGCGGAACGGCGGACCGGTCCAGGGCTCGACGCCGGGCCTGAACCTGCGCTTCCGAATCTCGACAACCTGCCTCGAGGGCTTCTCGACAGTCATTCGCGCCCTCCCATCGCTCGCTCCCTTTCCGCGCGCCCCTCTACGGCACCAGACGACAACGGCGTCTCGACCACCTCCGACTCGACCGTGATTCCCGCTCGGCCGAACCTGTTTATGCGGTCGGAAAGCGCCCGACCCGTGGCGCGCTCAGCTGCCGAACCGGCGCTCACAAAACGGCAGGCGACTCTCGCGACTGGACGCCTGGTCTTGCAGGTCGAGGCCGATCCAGCCGGTCGCGTCAAGCGGGCAGAGGTCAGCCGGCCTACGCCTGTCGAGAGCGAGCGCAGCAGTGGCGCCTACTTCCGACGTATGTCGATGCTGCCAGTCTCGACCATCTCCAAGACCGTCCCTGTCGCCCTCCTCCAGTTTGCCGACGCCATCCGGGGTATCCTCTTCTCCCTCTCGCAAGTCTTCTCGGCGCTACGACAGTTCGTCGTCTTTGCGGCTCAAGATCGCCTTCCTCCGCCTGTCGCTCGCATCATGAGCATCGCCGACACCACCATGACTGCCCTCATCAACGCCCTCGACCGCTTCGACTCGATCTCCCGCCGAGGTACACCTCCCGCGCCCATCATCCGAGACGTCTTTTCATCCTGCCGCGACAGCGTCGCCGCCTTTGGCGAGCTCGTCACAGCCATTCAGCCGCAACTCGCCTCTCTCACCCTCTCCGCCGATCTTCGTTACACTCGTACACTCCTGCTGATGCTTTACGGCGCTGTCGGCGAGGTCGCCAACTCATGGAGCGGTGTCGCGCCGCTCATCACCGACATCGACGACCCGTCACTCGCCACCCTTGTCCTCCAGCCGCCGACCCCGTCTCCCACTATCGAGCCGTCTGCGCAGATCGAGCCAGGGCCTCGGCTCACCCGTCAGCGGTCCGTCACTCGCCGTCATGCCGGCTCGTTCAGCGTTGAGGATGTCCAGCTTGGCGCGAACTTGCCGCCTGCCGATATTCCGCCCGTACCGTCTCTGCCCGGCGGTCCGCTCGTTCTCGACGAAGGTGCCTCGGCAAACGAAGCGAGCGGGGGAAGCACCCTGCGCGCCAGGCCACCCGCGTCGGCCAAGTCGTCCACGTCCTCCATCAGTTCCGTCTCGACCAGTCGAGCTGCACCTCCGCCACCTCTCGCCATGCCGCCTCAGCTCGGCTACGAAGCTATGGCCCAGAAGGCGTTCGAACACCCGATCACACCAGGAGGAATGGGCCTGTTTGACCGAGCTGGCGACTCGCGCGCGCCGTCTCGACAGAACTCGTTCTCCGCCTCTATCCCGCCTGTTCCGGCCATCCCGACTGGTGCGGGATCCGCCATGCCCGCTTCCTACCACCCTCACCGCGTCTCTCGGCCCGTCTCGACGCTCAATGCCGACGAGACGTTCGTCGACCAGGCGGACTCGACCATCTCGATTGCGTCGGACGTCTACGGCATGCTGCTCGACTCGTTCGAGGATCCCGCCATGTCTGAGCAGTTCGCCGACATCGACTCGAGACGGATGGACGAGCTCGTCGACCTGTGCAAGGCGGGACACGAGACGACGCAGCGGCTGCGCAGGGCAGTCGAGCGAGTTCGCGGGAATGATGGTCGCGGTCGGCTCAAGTTCACGACTTCCGACGCTCGCAAGCTTGGAGACGCTTCCTTCGACTTTGTCCAGGTGCGTCGGCGACCATGGACGCCTACAACACGCCTGAGCTGACCCCTTTTCGCCCGCAGAACGTCATCCGTTCCGCCAAGCTCATCAAGTCGATCAGCCAGGACTTCCCCTTCCCGCTGCAGATGCGCGAAGCCGTCGGCCAGCTCACGCTCGGCACGCGCGAGTTTGCGCGCCTGCTCTCGCACGCCCAGACTTCCTTCCGGCCGTCGCAGGTCGTTGCGAGGGAGGAGAAGGCCGCTGGTACGGCCAACGGCGGCGCGAGTCGGGATGTGGGGAGCTTAGATGCCAAAACTGCCGGTGGTGGGCCTGCAGGAACAGGTGTGAACGGCGGCTTCGCGGGAGGAGCGGGACCAGTAGGAAGAGACGTCCGGCCTCGCGACTTTGCGACCGGCTAGGGCTGATCGAGTAGGATGCACTGCACACTGTGACACTCGCTTCACGGCGCCTCAGCCAGCACAATCTCGCACGCACGCTATTATCGCACGCTCCCTCGCTGCGATCGCTTCTCCTCCTCGTCCTCTACCTTCACCGCTCGCCACTCGCTCTACGTGGCTTACTGAGCTCGAGAAAGGTGCTTGCTACTGCTGTCTAACAGCTCGCGCGACGCTAGCCTTGCACGACTTCCTCATCTCGCCAGCCTCTCCCCACTTGACCTCGACTCGCTCACGCACCTCGACGGACGCCTTGCGTGAGACGGACGGCTTTGAAGAGCTCTGGAGGGAGGTTGAGAAGCTGCACGGTGCGTTCTCCTTTCCGCTTTGCGCCTACGACCGGTTCTGTCGACCTGTTCTCGCAATCCCTACCGAAGGCTCGAGCGAGGGTGGGCGATCACGAAGAGCGCTGGCGGCTCCTCGTGTCATCGCTAGAGACAGTCTCGAGCTTGCAAGGTCATCGGCGTTGCCCTCGGCGACCAGAGCGGGCTTCTTCACTTCCGGAACATCCGCATGCGAAGGCGGGAAGACGAGGCTGACCTCGCACAGACATCCTCGCAGAGCACGACTCCTTCCCAGACCATACTCGCAACCGCCAGACGCCGTCTCTACTTCGAAAGCCTCGACCTTGCCGTCTTCCTCCTCGTCCAGCCTGCCGCCGCTTCCCTAGACGACCTTGATGGGCGATGCCGAGCACCCAGTGACGGCCTCGGAGCCTCTCTTTGTCCGCGCCCTCTACAGCTACAACGGCGCCGACTCGTCGTCCCTCTCCTTCGGACAAGGCGACATCATCGAGGTCCTCTCGACCCTCGAGAGTGGCTGGTGGGATGGCGTTGTGCTCCAGTCGGGTGTCAGAGGATGGTTCCCGTCCAACTTTGTCGAGGAGCTGAGCGAGGACGAAGCGATGTGGGTGGCGAACGGTGGTGAGGACACTCGGCGCGGCAGCATTGCGAGCCAGATGTCTCGCCGGGACAGCGAGCGAGGCGACTTCTCGAGCGGTACCCTGTCTGCGTTCGCCGGCATGGACCTCAACGGCGGTCTCGCTCGCGACCCGACACTGCAGGACTTTATGAGCGGCGGCGAGTTCGACTTGTCGTCTTTCTCTACCGGCGGCGACATCTTCGGCGAGATTGCGGCTGCGACGAGCGCCGTACCGTCTTCAGCCACGTCTTCGGCCCCCATGTCCCGACAGCAGTCTTCCGCCAGCCGAACCGGCCCTCTTCATGCCAGCACACTCAGCATCGATTCCTCCACTGGCGACGACTACTGGATCCCAAAGATGGGTCGGAGCGGTCAGCTCTTCTACTACAACACCCAGACGGGCGAGACGTCGCGCGACATGCCCATCAACGGCAAGGGCGACGGGACGCGGATCGACCCGAGCGAGTTCGGGCAGGAAGAGGCTGGACCGTCGAACGGCGGCTTCGTCGACCTCTGCAGGCCTAGCACCGACAGCGAATGGAGCGAGCGGATGACGGAGGACGGGCGAGGAGTCTACTACGTCAACTTGCGAACGGGCGAGCAGAGTTGGGATCCGCCGACCTCGTCTTCGCGGAGAACGAGCATTCGGCCTCGCGCACCAGCTGCCGACGCTGCATCGCTCCTGTCAAGCTGGACGGAGCGACCAGCTCATCCTACGCCCGCCGACTTGGCCGCAGCGGAACACGCAGGAGCCGACACCTCGAAGCGGGTCAGCGCAGCGTCTGACGATTCGGCCCTCGACGCGACGTTCGCGAACTCGGCGAGACGGGAGCGGAGAGCGAGCGACGATGCAGATGGCGAAGATGCGATGCGTCCGGGCCGAACACCTCGCAAGGCGTCGGCTGCGACGACAGAACTGCTTGGACCGCCTCCGCCGCCGCTCGTCAACGATTTGGAGGAGATGGCGAGTCGTGCGCTGCAGGAGCTCGTTGCATTCGTCGCCTTGGGTGGAGTTGCGAACGGTTCAAGCTTGCGGAATCCGGCGGAGCAGCGAGATCAGCTCGTCCAAGCGGGCGACGATGTGGTCCACGCGATCCGCGTCGTGCTACATGCGACAGGTGCACTCGAGCACTCCGTCTTGACCTCGCCCTTCGCCTCGACCGCCTCTCCCGTCAACGAGATTGCCTCCACCCTTCCCCCTCGACCGCCTCTTCCGCCTTCCGCCCAGGCCGAACTCCGCCCATACTCCCGTCGCCTCATCTCTACCCTCTCGAAACTCTCCTTCTCCCTTCGAGCGATGTGGGGCCTGCTCGAAACGACGGCCGAGGACCAGTTCGTTCCGGAGGACGACAGTCCCGCTGATCCTGAGGAGGTCCTTCGTCGCGCCCAAGCCCGTCAACAAGCGCTCACGGACCGACGCGTTGCTCGCGACGCCCGCTTCGAGCACGAGACGAAGCTGCGCACGGAAATCCTGCAAGGCGCGCAAGACGTCGGCGGACAAGTCTCGAACTTCCTGCGCGCTTTCCAGAGCATCCTCCTCTCGCTCGTCGCCGCCGGCGTCTTCCCGCCTGCACCGCTCGCCGAACTTCGTGCCCCGAAGTCGCTGCAAGGCAGCCTCCGTACCGAAGCAACGGCGCTCCTCCTGCCTGGCGGTGGCTTCGGCGGCAATTGGCGCGGCAATGGCTTCGTCTCGCTGCCGACCGCGCGCGAGGCTCACACTTTGCATTCAGCCCCAGCGCTCGCCTACGACTGGCCGGCGAGGCCAATCTCGCACGACGTCGTGGACGAGTTTGCGAGGGAGTCAGGCCGACTGGTCGACCAGGCGCAGACGCTGGCATCGATGTCTGGCGGGACGCGAGCATACGAGCAAGCTGCAGCGATGCAGCGGGCGCTTGCCGAGCTCCTCGTTCGTGTCGAGGACATCGACGTCGCCGCGGGTGTCGACTCGCAGATGCCTCGAGCGGACGACTCGCGGCCAAACTCGACGGACAGCGTCTCCGACTCGCTCGCGGGGTACAGCGCAAGCGTCAGCGAGGCCAGGTCGTTGCTTGCCGACTTCGAGACGCGTAAGCAAGCCCTGTACGACGTTGCGCCTCGCCTCCTTGTCGCTCTGCAGCCAAGCGGGCCCGGTCGGTCTCGCACGTGTCCCGTCACGGCGTCTCAACCGCTCGTCAACGCTCCTCTCGCCGGCATGTCCCTCCCGACACTCGCGGCGCTGGCCTCTCCCTCCGCACAGCTCTCCGCCCTCGCCGGCGACGTCCCTCACCTCGTCTCCTCTCTGTGCGACACGCTTCACGCTCTCGCCGATACAGCCGCAGAGCAGGCAAAGGCGCCCAAGCACGTGAGACAGGCATCACGTTCGTACCGCGACAGCGCTCTCGGCACTTCGACCGCCGAATCCCTCACCTCTGGTTCTGCGGCCCGCTTCAGCCAGGGCCAGCAGTCGACCGTGCCGAGCAGCGTTCCGTCCGTCCGCGATAGCGTCGACAGCGACTTCTTCTTCTCCGGTCAGGCCGTTCCCTCGCATCCAGGAGATTCGCCTCGAGCCTCTCTCGCGCCCTCCTCATCCGACAAGGGCACCATCCGCTCTCAGACGTCCATCAATGGTGTAGGCTCGGTACGAGGCAGCATCCCGCTCGCATCTCGGTCGTCGGTCTCGAATAACTCGAGCGTCGAGGTGCTGGACACGCCGTCTGGCTTGCCGCCCGGTTGGGATGGTCGTCGGCGCGGCAGCGTCGCTACGACGATGACTTCGTCGAGCGGGGGAGGCATGGCGGGACAAAGCTTGCCGAGTCTCGTGGAGGGACCGTCCGACCCGCACTTCTCGCCGTCGCGCGGCAGCGCCAAGAACATCCAGAAGCTCCTTGGTGAACTCCCGCCAGAGCTCATGCAGCAGCAGCCAGAGCCGTCGCGGCCGTGGTATCTCGAGCGGGATTGGAACGACGAGGACCTATCGTTCACGATGGAGAACACCATCAAGGGTGGGACTTTGCGCGGACTCGTCATTGCGGCGACGAGTCACGAGGGTCGAGGTACGTCTAGGTGTTCAGCTCTCGCTGACGAGACTCGGGACTGACCCGCACGCTCATAGTCGATTCGTCGTATCTGTCGGCCTTCCTCATGACCTACCGGACCTTCTGCTCGGCTCACGAGTTGCTCGACCACCTCGTCGAGCGCTACCTCATGCCTACACCGCAAGGCCTGTCGCCCGAGGAGTACCACGACTGGGAGGCCAAGAAGCAGCGGCCTGTACGCGCTCGGTGAGTTCGCGAATGGCTTCGTGGTACGACGATAAGTGCTCACCTCGCCTCTCCCGCAGCGTCACGAACCTGCTCAAGGCATGGGTCCGCGAGTACATGGACAACGAGGACCTCGACCGCGACGTGCTCGAGCGGATCCGCGACTTTGCCCTTAACACGATGGCCGAAAAGGGCCAGTCCCTCCAGATCTGCAAGAGCGTTGACGAGAAGGTGCGCTTCCCTCCGCCCGTCCGTTCGACTTGCGCTGATCATGACGAAATCGCCGACAGCTCCAAGGTGCTTCCCGTCGACCCGTTGGCAACCTCGCTCCCGGCCCTCTGCCGCAGCCGATCGTGCCGCGCAACCTCAAGAAGATCAAGCTCGTCGACATCGAGCCGCTCGAGCTCGCTCGCCAGCTCACGATCATGGACGGCCGGCTCTTCCAGCGCATCACGCCGCAGGAGTGCCTCAGCAAGGCTTGGCCGAAGCAGTTCGGCAGCGAGGCGCCGAACATCTCGGCGATGATTGACATGTCAAATGCGGTGAGTGCAAGGAGTGTCCATGTCGAGACCTTTTGCTCACTCGCTTAGTCGCGCAGGTCACACGCTGGGTCACCGAGTCGATTCTCGCACAGGAGGACCTCAAGAAGCGAGCTGCGGTCGTCAAACATTTTGTTGCGATTGCCGAGGTGAGCGCGCTCGTCGTCCACCTTGCCTGCCTAAGCTTACTCGTCTCGCGTCGCAGCGGTGTCTCGCCCTCAACAACTTCTCGACGCTTATCCACATTATCGCCGGCCTCAACTCGACGCCGATCCACCGCCTCCGCAGGACGTGGGAGGTCGTCAGCCAGAAGACGATGATCACGCTCGGCATGCTCAACCGCCTCATGAAGCCGGACAAGAACTACAAGGAATACCGCGACATTCTTCGCAAGTCGGCGCCGCCTTGCGTGCCTTTCCTCGGTGCGTCGAGCAGACTGTCGGTTCGGTTCGTGCAGTTCTGACGGCTCAAATCGCAGGCGTCTACCTCACCGACTGGACCTTCATCGGCGACGGCAACCCCGACACGATCCGCGAGAAGCCTCACCAGATCAACTTCCAGAAGCGACAGAAGGCGTCGGAGCTCATCCTCATGATCAAGCTCCACCAGGCGACGACGTACAACCTGCAAGCCGTACCCGCCATCGCCAAACTCCTCCAGGACGCGCTTTTCCCGCAGTTCCTTGACCCGGCGAATGAGGATCAGCGGCTGTACGAGATCTCGCTCGCGCTCGAGCCGCGAGAACGGGACGATGTGCGTCCTTCTCCACATCTCGACTCTCTCGTGGCTGACTCGCTTGCTCCCCCTTCCGCTCGTAGGAGAAGATCGCCAGGCTGCTCAGCGAATCGGGATTCCTCTAAAGACCGATGTAGAACGCCGAATCGCGCTTTATTTCGACTTCAGCAGTGCGGACGTTCGGAACTTCGTGCCCCCTTCCTGTAGACTAGCTTCTTCGCGTGTGAATCAGTTTCTTGGGTTCTTGACATCCATGTGAGGTTCCGTTGGCCTTCCCGCGTCAATGCTGAGAGCTAGGAGCGTGCTTCGACTTCGTCGCAATTGCAGACGAGAAGAGCGGCGGCCGTGAAGTGCTCGGTCCGGCTTTCTTCTTGCTGGTCTCTTTGGCACTCGTGTCACTTATGCTGTTGGCATGCAAAGCTCCGCTGCACAGCGAGGAAAGCGACAGAACAGCAATCCAGCCGCCTTGATGTTGTTCAAGCGTGTTCACCCTCTCCTGCTCCATCGTCTCCTTCAAGCTTCCCGGACTCCTTCTTCACCTGTTTCACTTCTTTAGAGCACCTCAGCCGTCGGCTCGGGAGCGTGCGAGTAAGGGACGGAGGTCGAGTTGGCGGGAGCGTTGCAGTCGATGCTGCGGAAGCGAGGGAAAGGTTAGCGATCTTCTTCGAGAGGCCGAAGCCGTACTGATGCGGTGAGCGTGCAGTCGAGCGCAGCTAGAGGAGACGCACCGGTGGAAGAACGTCCCGACGTAGTAGCAGCGCTTGCGCTTCCTCACCAACGACGAGTGGCCAGTCTCGACAAGCTGCTTCTCCTGCGCCGTCACAGCCTGCTCCGTTATCTTAAGAACGGTGTCAGCCAGATCGGGGGATGGAAAAGGCATGGAGAACGAACACACCTGGTCCGACGAGGCAGCGAGCGAAGCCCTGTCGCTCCTGGCGAGACGGCGCGGTCCTTGGCGGGCGACCGAGGTCGTGCCAGACTCGTTCACGGCTTCGACCGCCTGAGCGAGACCGACGGTGATGGCGACGACCGCGCAGAGTGCGAACGAGCGAGAAAAGAGAAGCATGGCGAGCGCGACTTCCAGTAAACGAGAGGCTGTGGGAGTAGCTCGGTCAGGCTCAGCTGCACTCGCTGAGTACGTTGAAGCTCACGGCGAGGCAGTCCGAGGCGGGACGACCAGCGTCGAGTGAAGCGAGCGAGCGAGACGAGCGAAGTCCGTTGGGAACGGGCGAGGTGAGGCGGTCTGAGCGGTGGCGAGGGATGGGTTGAGGGCCCCTACAGCTTGCGGGCTTTGAGTTACTGTTCTCAACTTGTGACCGTCCTTTGTGAGCGAAGTCGCGACGGGGCAAGCGGAGTTGAGGAGGAGAACGACCGCGCTTGCTTCTCAGATGAGTTGGGAGGGCTCGCTTGAATGCATTACAGGCTCAGTACATCTTAAACAGCTGCGAAGCGTAATAGCGGAGGCCAGCGACTCGACAAGAGACGAGAGAAGACCTCCTCCTCGCCCTGGCCTTCTCAACCTCGCCGGTCCAAAGCGCTCTTCCTCACCAGTCAACAATCGCTGTGGTTCTACTCCGTTGCTTCTGCGAGTCAGGCCTGCGGGCTAGGTACGGGTAACGGTGCGAATCTACATCGGAACGGAACGGGTGCGCGGGTGCTCGTTCTTGGGAATGCGGCGTGCGGATGGGAGTGCGTGGGATGCGGAGAACAACACAGAGAGTGAAAGGCGGGTTGTGAAGAGCAAGAGGAAGAAAAAGAGAAAGGGAGAGGAAGAGGAAGGGAAGGGCGGGCTCAGGAGGCAGCAACGTCGCCCACCTCGACTGCTTCGTCGAGGCTGATCGGCTTCTCGTCGCCTGTGCTGAGGCCGGTAATGCCACTGCCTGGCGCGACAAAGAGCGGTCCGACGAGCCGACGGTGGTCGCCAGGCAGGTAGGACGTGACGAAGCCGCGACCGGACGAAGCGGCGGAGGAGTGGAAGCCGGACTCGCGGGGCGCCCAGCTGTGCGAGGGAGCGGAGAGCGAGAGGAGATAGTCGTCGCCTGGAGGTGAGGGAGTGGGAGGGAGGTATGGAGCCGGAGGGGCGATGTAGATACTCGGTGGAGGTTGGCGAGCGCGAGCGTGCTTGGCGAGGTTCGACGAGGTGAGCTGCACGTAAGCGAGGCAAAGTCAGTGCCGTGTCCACCGGCGGAGTGAGAGGGATCGGACACACCTCGTGACCATACCGCCAGCCTCTTTTGCCATCAAAGCCCTCTTCGCCCTCACCGCCCGAATCGTCCGACAACAAACCCAGTCCCGCAAGCTGCACGCGCTCCCTCGACCTCGGGTTATGCAGAATCTCCTTCGTCGAGACGATCTCACTTGGCGAGTACGTATCAAGTCGGATGCGCTTGGCGTCGGGCGGGAAGAACGGGAAGGAGGTAGCGAGGCGATTGACGGCGTTTTCGGGCGAGTCGGGAGAGGGGAAGGGGTAGCCGCGCTTTGCGGGGTGGTGGCGCGTCTGGACGACGACGGTGAAGAGGTCGGCGGGGATGGTGGTCGTCATTCCTGAAGCGCGAAGACGGAGAAGCGACGAGTTGGCGCTGCCGTCTCGGTCCGAGTTCGTCGCCGACGGCTCGGTCCGAGGGCTCAGGCCGTCGTTGACAGCGAGCATGTCGACGTCCGAGTCCTCCGTCTCGGCAACGACCGAAACCTCGCCGGCTCCCTCGTCCTTGTCCGAGTCCTTCTTCCCGCCGTCCGTTCCGAGCGCCTCATCCAGCTCAACCGCAACCTTTGGCAGGAGCGGGGGCGTGACAGGCTCGTCCTCCTTCGACAGATCCGTGCAGAACACGCCGTTCCCGTAAAAGACGAGCGTGCCCGTCCCGCCCTTGACCTGGCGTGGATCAGTCGAGTCGAACGAGTCATAGTGCGCCTTGTGAGCGGACGACGGTAGGGCTTTGTCGGATGCGCCGGCAGAAGCGCCGGCTGAAGCAGAGGCGGACGCTTCTTCCCTGTCGAGGCGGTCGTGTTCGTACAAGTTGGTGGCGGAAAGGACGCTCTGCCCGTCGGCGGAGGATGTGTCCTTCGCCTTGTGAGGAGAGCCGATGCGTCGACGAGGAGAGGTCGGTTGGCCCGGGATGTAACCGGGTGCCGATGCGCCCCTCGCCCCGTCCGCCTCTGCTCCACCGCTCCCGCCTCATCCGCCTCGACGCCGTGGAACCGGTCCATCGGCTGCAACACCGCCGCGCTCGGCCTGACCGGCCTGCCCGTAGTCGCGCCCTCCTTACTGCCCCCGGACGACGAGAACCTCGACGTCGCTCCAGTCCCACTCGACGCAGCCTGCGAGTTCTTCAACAACGAGGTTCCGCCTCCTCCTCCCGCGCCTCCACTACGACTCGTCGAGTCTCCTCCGCTCGAGCCAGAGACGAGCGTGTCCTTGCTCGAGGGTTCGCGGCCTTCGCGAGGGAGCGGTCGGCTCTGGTTACTCGAACTGAGGGACGACGTCTCCGTAACCTGGTCCTCATTGAGCGTCGGCATGCCCAGCTGCGTCCCAGTACCCGCCGCCCTTCCGCTCCCATTCCCACTCCCGCGCCATCGAATCCGATTCCCATCCTGACTCAGCTCTAACCGCGCGGAAAACTGCCTCACAGCACGCTGGACGAACCCGACTGTGACGCTGAAACGGTGCAGTTGGGCCATCGTGAATGCCAGGTTGAGGTAGACGTAGCCCTGGGAGAGAAAGTCGTGTGAGAGGAGGTTGGACAGGTACGAGGTGTTTGAGCCCGAGTCTGAGGCTGAGGTTGTGGAGGGACGGGGTAGGTGAGGAGGCAGGTGGGGATTGCGGGTTTGGAGGGTCCGCAAGAGGGATTGCTGGAAGAGCGATTCGAGCGCCGAGACGATCTCGCGCGCTTTCGTCTCTTCGCCGGGTGAAGTGATCGGTGCGGGATGCGACGAGGCGGTCGGTTTGAGTGTCGGGAGGTGAGGGTGCGAAGGCGGGAGACGCATCGACGAGCCTGTCCCGCTGAGTGAGACGGGCTCGAGGCCTGAGTTGCTTGGGCCGGCGAGGGTGGGGTCTTCGATGTTGGAGGGGTGGAGGTGCGAGGGGAGGGCGGAGAGGGGCCCGTCGGCGAGAGAGGGAGTGTCGCCGCGGACGTAGTCTTGGACGTAGCGCGTGAGGTAGTCCTCCAACTCGAAGCGTTTCTCCCTGCGATGGCGACGAGGCGGGTCAGTCCGACGTACGCCGCGTAGGAACAGTCCGCACGCACGGCGGGAGCGCGTCGAAGAAGCGGATCTCGAAGAGCCGGTCCTGCTTGACGTCGGTCGGGACGCCTTCTGCCTCGTACCGCTTCAGGCGGTCGCGCAGCTCGCGGTCTGGCGGAGCGAATTCGTCAGGGGCGCCACAAGTAGAGGAGAGAGGGCGTGCTCACTCTGCACGGCCAGCTCGTCCACGATCCCTCGGAACGTAGCGTCCGCAACGATCCTGCGCTTCCTCGCCTTCTTGGACGGACTCGCCCCTCCCCCGCTCGTCCTCAACTCGTTACTGCTGATACCCAGGTCAGTCGCTCGCGTATCGCCCGTCGACGAATCCGCCGTCGGTTCAACCCAGCGGTCGAACGAGTCGAGTCCCGAGATGTTTGGGTCGTCAGGGTCCGAGTCTGAGTGGACAGAGATACCGAGCGCGCCGATGCGCCTGAGACGCGGGACGTGGCTGCGCAGCCGAGCGCCTTTGTGCAGGGGTTCGCCGATGAGGCGTCGTTCGGAGGAATCGAGGGACGAACTCGACGTTGCGGAGGACATGACTTCCCCCTCGAGGCTCGATGGCCGGCGGTGGTGGGTGCTCGTCGAGGGGAAAGGGTACATCGTCGCACCGCCGCCGCGTCCAGCTGGAGCGAGGGGCGGAGGAGGAGAGAGCGAGTCGTCTTCGCCTGCGCCGTCCTCGTCCTCGACGTCTGTCTCGTTCCCTGCACCCCCGCTGTCCTCTTTCACGCCGGGTGACGTCCCGCTCCCACTCCCGCTCCCGCTCCCTCGGCCCGTGTCGCCTTCCTCGGCACTCCTCGACCCCTCATCCTCCCGCTCGCCTCGGTCCTCGAGACCCGCTTCGTGCCCGTCGACCGACTCGCTGGCAGACATGGCCGGGGCGGCTGCGAGTGAGCCCGCTGAGCTGGGTGGCCTGCGGTGCGAGTCGAGTGAGCGTGGGAGTGCGTCAGTCGGAGGATCCGGGTGCGATGGGTCGTCGGCGGGTTGCGAAGGTCGTGTGTCGGCGGTGGGCGGGGGTTGCTTGTCTGGCGGGATAGCAGCAGTGTCCATGGCCAGGTGTACCAGTCAACAGTAACAAGCACAAGGACTCGTACGACCAGCCAGGCCAGCTCGAGTGTTCCACAAGTTCTCTGAATCCGCGATCAATCCATTCCTTCGCATCGAACTTCCATCCGTCTCTCTCCCTCGCTCTCGCCAGCTCAGGGCACGCACCCGACCACTCTACCACCACTCTAACACAGCCGAGACACCCACTCCGCTCAAGCCCGCAAGGCGAGACCCACCTCGTCGAGTCGCGTGCGAGCAGGGACGGACCGCCCGGGAGCTTGCTCGTGTGCGCACCTCCGATGCCATCTTAATGACCAGCTTGACTGGCCTCTGGAAGTGCGGAAAACGACTCTCGACTGCCGCCGGTGAGCGTAATCTATCAGGTGCGGACCATCGCGCGCATCGTGTTACTTCGCGCATGTCTGGACTGGTGGACGGTTTGGCTGTACAGTACATATGTCCGCGAGCGCCCGCTCACGACGAACGAGTGATAGAAAATCGTCCCACGGAACGCTCCTCTCACCGCCGGCACAGCGAGATGCGCTAACGATGCGAGGCCCGCACGCGACGACGACCACAACGGGGGGGGGGGTCGGACAAGTGCGAGTACAAATACAAAGGGGCGTCTCCTGCGCTGAAGAGTGATTACAAGGGAAGGAGCTCGTCGCCTTGCAGCTGCGCCATCGGGTCGTCGAACCGTTGTTCGCGGTCGCGGCGGTACCGTTCTGTTCGCCCGTCGTTCGATGCGGCAAGAGAGATGCGGTGGAGATTCCGAGCCAGTCGAGGGGCGAGTGAAAAGATCCGCCGAGTAAGTCGGGTCGATCGTGACGCGACGAGGAGGATGAGCGGAACAAGCGGGCGCAAGGGGGAAGGAGAGAGAAAAGAGAGCGTCAGTGTGAGGTGTTCCAAACGCGGCGTCTGGAGCGGAGCCAAAATTGCAATAGAGATGCGTGATCGAGGGAAGAACGCGATATGATCGTCCATCGTCGGCGTGATGAGATATTGGCGAGGAGCGGTTGTCGCAGTGGTCGAGGGCCGAGGAGACCTCCGACGACGCTGCGACTCGAGTCCACCTCGACCGCTCGGCTCCTGCCTCGCGCACACCCCAGCCCGACGTCTCGAGCGCATCCACCTCCTCGCCCCCCCCCGATCCCGCAAGACAGCGAGAACAAAGTCCACCCGAGCCCAAAGGGACGAGAGAAGCAGAGAAAGCGAGGAAGGAAGGAGAACGCACCCATCTCCGCCTCTGTAACGCCCGCAAAATCCTTCTCGCCCTTCCCAGCATCCTCCTTGTCGCCCTCCTTGCGCGCCTTCTTGCCCCGCTCCTCAGCCGCAGAACCCGAATCGGCCTTGCGCTTCTTACGCTCCTCGTCGTCTCGCTCCTGCTTGAGCTGCATGAGCGACTTGCCGGCGTCCGTGTCCTTCGTCGAGGAGGAGGACGGAAGGGCGAGGATAGTGGCTGAGGGGTTCGCTTCAGCCTCCGCAGCTTCGATTCCGGCTTGTCCCGCTACACGTCGCACCAACGCATCAGTCTCTTTCCTTCGGAGAACGAAGGGAGGAAGAGGGACGGGGGACGAACCGCAATACGACCCTTTGATGGTCGAGTGGCAGCATGCGTAGCCCCATTTGCCCGTGGAGAGCTGGTACCACGAGCCCCAGATCGATTGGTGGTTGCCGGGATAGACTGTTGCGCGCAAACGAGAAGAGCGTGAGCGAGTCGCTCAACAACGTCGTCGAGCCCGCTTCGCTCCTGGCAAGTAAACGAAGCGAGCGAGTGTAAGAGATCAAACGCACTGTCCTCGTCGTACTTGGACTTGGCCTTTGCGCGCTCCATACCCTTGATCACCTTCCCCCTCCTGTCGTACTCGACATAATTCTCCGTCTGCCCGACCCTCAACTCCTTCGGCACAGCCTGGAGGTACTGTTCGCCTCCATACTTGTCGAGGATCGACGCCGAACTCTTGTCCTTCAACACCTCCTTCTGCTGCAGGAACTCTTTGTGCATCAAGGCGGCGGCGGTCGGGTTCGATTGGATGTGCACGTCGTGGCCGCGGTTCTCCGATTGCCAGGCGAACATTTGGAGCTTCTGGAGCTCGGTCGCGCCGCCAGAGTGTCGGACAAAGTTTTCGCCGGCGAAGGAGGCCTGCAGGCGACAACGGCGACAGCGAGTCAGTTCAGCCGAGCGAGACGACGACGAGAGAGACACAACCGCCGCGACGCACGTCTTCGGGTTGGAGGGCGGGATTGGGCGCCTCGCGCATCGAACGTGTCTTCGGGTCGTAGTACGCCGAGTCGACGTCGAGGTTCATGAGGTACTTGGCGGTGTCTTCGCGGATACGGAGGTTGCGGACCGTCACGCGCGTCTTGGTGTCGAGTTTCTGACCCGCGACGTCCGCGCCCTCGGCGTACTTGTCCTCGTCGTCGTCGGCTCCGTCCTCGTCCGACTCGTCCGACGACCCAAACTCGTCCGACTCGTCCGCCTCCTTCGCCTTTCCCTTCCCCTTGCCTTTCGCCTTTCCCTTCTTCGCAAGCTTCGTAACCTCCTTGCTGCTCGCCTCCGCCGTCCCGCGATCGATCGCCTCCTCGCGCAACTTGCGCCTGGCAGCCTCGAGCGCCTCGTACTCCTCCACGACCTGCTTATGCATGCTCGGGTCGTACCCGTCCCACCTATCGCGCTTCGCGTCGTAGTCGCCCTGCCCCTGCAAGCCGTTCAAGTGCGCAGCCGAGTCGTGGATCACTTCGTCGGCCGCGATGTTCTTGTTCGTGTACTTGGCGCCGACTTTGCGAGGTCGTTCAAGGCAGTCTTTCGCTGAGTGCGTCATCGCACCGCAGTTGGTGCATGCGCCGGCGCGGTACTTCTTCGCTGCCGGACCCTGTGAGTGGGCATCACGAGAGCGGCAGTCAGTCTCCTTCGTCCGAAAGCAGCCTGACAGAGCCGTCGCGCCAACTCACAGCCCTTGCGCCCCTCTCGAACCTGCTCGCGAGCTTGCCGGGGTCCTTGTTGTACTCAGGCAGGCCCAGCTTGTGGTGCTTGAGGGACGGTCCGTCGGTCGACGTCTCGCCCTTCAAGTACCACGGCGCGTTCGCCATGAAGGCTGCACATTACGAGCCATGTCCGAGTCAGCGTATCGCACAGAAAGACGAACGAGCGAGCACAAGCGGACGCACCGGGAATGTGAGGGTTGATCGGCTTTCCCTCCTCATCAAGCGCCGGAGCCGCCGTTCCAGCCTTCCGTGCCGCCTCCAGATCCTTCTGCCTGCGACTGCGAGCATGCGAAGCGGGTCCTGGGTCAGTGGTGAACGAGAGAGCGAGGGGTGGCGATGAGGAGGGGGACGTGCTATTCCTCGCGCGAGAGCTTGCCTGCGGGCACCGTTCGACGTGTCAGTGGGTTCATTAGCACGTTAGGGCGGGCTCTGATACGCACCCGACATCGTTCGTCGCTGTCGCCGTGACTGGCGGTTGACAACCTTCCCCTCCTCATCTCTCGCTCGACCTCGACACGGCTTTCGCTCAGACTGGGCTTGTGGCGGGCTCACTGTGCTGCTAGAGACTTGTCTAGTGACTGGGACTGCGCTTTCACCCTTCCCGCCGCGCTCTCTCGCCTGTCATGTCGACTCCTCAACCTCCCACTCAGTCGGGACAGCAGCAGCAGGGAGGCGGCGGAGGCGGGAACCCAGACGCCTCGTACCGCGCCATTCTCGACTACCTCGCCAAGCGCGGCCACCACAAGGCTGCTGTCGCGCTCCAGGCGGACCTCGAGGGTGCAGCAGGCGGGGCAGGAGGGAGCAGGCCTGCGAGTCCTGCGACGGCTGCTGCGGGAGGAGGAAGGGCTGTCGGGTTGGACGACTTTACGGAGAGGAATGCACCGAGCGCGCCGAGGGCTGGGAGTGCAGGTGCGGCTGGACAGCAGGGACAACAGCGGAGGAGGATGGACCAGAGCGTTGCGCCGGGCCAGATGCTGGTTGACCCGCCAAGCTGGGAGAAGGGGTACGAGGGGATTAGGGCGTTTGTTGAGAACGTGAGTACCGGGACGACTGTCTTCCTTCGCAATCTTGCCCTACGGTCGAGTCGGCTGCGATCCTGACCGGAGCTCGGTTCTTGCAGTCCCTCGACATTCACCGACCAGAACTCGAGCCCATCCTCCTCCCGCTCTTCGTCCACTCGTACCTCGACCTCGTCCAAATCGGCTGTCGTGACGCGGCAGACCACTTTCTCAACCGGTGCGTTCACATCCTCCCTTTCTTCTCGCTTCTTCGAACAGTGAAGAACGAAGCTGATATCGTGTCCCGCTCACAGCTTCGCCTCCGACCATGCCCCCCTCTACCCGTCCCTAATCCGCCTCCTCGCCTCCCTCCGTCTTCCCTCACACGTCGACGAAAACCCCTCCTCCCACCGCTGGCGGCACGAGCCCTATCACGTACGCATGTCCGAACGAGGATGGGGACTGCTGCTTGGATGGCTGCAGGGTGGAGGAGCGGGAGGTGGAGGCGTGGTTGCGGAGGGCACGGAGGGACGGGGACGGGATAGGGTGTTGGCTATCATCAACGAGCGAATCAAGATTGACGGTGCGTCGAGCTTCCGCAGGCATGCTTGTGCGAGCGAATCGCTGACTTCTCCTCCGCCTTCCTCCACGAATCGCTCGCTCCGCCATCCTCGTCAACTATGATCGTTCTCGAATCACCTTCCGCCGCCCATCTCTCGCCCTCCATCCCCTTGCGCAGCCATTCCTGGCCCACCTCTCCGCACATCCCTCGCCTCTCACGGCCTCGAAACCGACTACCACCCGCTCCTCCACTCCGCTCACCCTCACCCCTCCACCGGCGCACCCGACACGGGATCCGACAGTCTCAAACTCGGCCCCGCACCGGTCAACCCTGCGCTTGAGCGGGAGGTGAAGCGCAAGTTGCGGGATGAGGGGGACGATGAGGCGGAGAGTCGCGAGGGGAAGAAGGCGGATGAGATGGCTGTTGATTCGGGTGCCGCGGGCGCTGAAGGTGCGGAAGGCGACGGTTCCAAGACTGCCGCGACCACCGATGCGGACGAAGGCGAAGGCGGGAAGAAGGCGACCTCGACAACCGAAGATCTCGTCTCCCCTTTCCCCGCCGAGCTTCCTCCTTATCCGGCCGTCTTCCGCACTCTCGACGTCCAGCGGGAAGTCTCGCTCGTCCGTGAGGCGCGGAAGCGAATCAAGTTGGGTGGAGAGGCGTATGCGCCGGAGGGGGCGCTGGTGCCGACTAACACGGGCGGGGCGGGCGCGGCGTTGGGTGCGGCGCTCATTGGTGGAGAGGATGGGAAGAAGGGAGAGAGCGAGGATAAGCGCAGGGGTGTTGCGAAGCCGAGCGTGTGCTTGTTCACGGTGCATGATGCGGGAGAGAGGTACGCACGCGGTCGCATTCGTCTTCACTCATCCAAAGGACCAGGGCTGACTGTCCTTTTGCCGCATGTTCGCACAGCTTGACGACCGTCTCGTTCTCGGAAGACTCGACAATGATGGCGACCGGATTCAGCGAGTCGTACATCCGGCTGTGGAGCTTGAACGGCAAGGGTCTGCGGGCGCTACGGACGGATCTGAAGAGCGAGGAGGTCGGCAAGATCCATGATGGTGCGTGCGAAGCGCCGAGGAGCTCGTCTCGACGGCTCTGCCGGAGCAAAACCGTCTCTGACGTAGACCTCCTTCGCTTTCTCCGCAGCCAACGGCCTCGGCAAACTCTACAACCCAGAAGCGCCCCAAACGCGCAAGCTCATCGCCCACTCCGGCCCAATCTACTCCCTCTCCTTCGACCCAGTCCCCGGTCCCTCCCAACCCCCTCGCTACCTCCTCTCCGCCTCAGCCGACTGCACCGTCCGCCTCTGGTCGCTCGAGACCTTTACGAACCTCGTCGTGTACCGCGGACATCGCGAGCCGGTTTGGGCGGTCGAGTGGGGCCCGAGGGGCGTGTACTTCGCGACGGCTAGTCGGGATAAGACGGCGCGACTGTGGATCACGGACAAGGTCAACGCTGTCCGGATCTTTGCGGGTCACTTGAGCGATGTCAACGTGCGTGCGACGTGATGGAACCGCTAGGAGATGGAGCTGACCTTCTTCGCTTCCCACCGCACACAGTGCCTCGCCTTCCACCCCAACTCGCTCTACCTCGCCACCGGCTCATCCGACCGCACCTGCCGCCTGTGGGACGTCCAGAAAGGGCACTGCGTGCGCGTCTTCGTCGGCCACCGCTCCTCCGTCCAGCTCGTCAAAATCTCCCCCGACGGGAGGTACCTTGCTTCGGCCTCCGACGACGGGCTCATCATCCTCTGGTCCCTTGCGTCCGGCGCGAGGGTTAAGACGTTTTGGGGCCACCAGGCGCCGATCAATTCGCTGAGCTTCTCGATGGAGAGTACGGTGCTTGTGTCGGGATCGAGCGACGAGACGGTCAGGGTATGGGACGTCGCGACGCCGCCGGCGGAGGAGGACGGCGGAGACGCGTCGGGCGGACTGGCGGGAGCCAAGTTGGGTGGTGTTGCAGGAGCGGGGGGAGCGAAGGGACGATTCCCTGGGCTGGTGGGAGCGGGAGCGGAGGGGAAGCGCAGGGCGAGTGCGGTTGCGGGCATTGGTGTTGGGAAGGACGGGAAGGACGGGGACGCGGGGAAGAAGGGCGACGGGCTTGGCTTGATCCCGCGCGCGACGGCCGGAGAGGGGACTTGGTACGCTCCCGCTCTCGCACCCTCCTTCTCCACTTCTCAACTCACAAGCGCCTCTCCCGCAGCCCCGACTTGCTCACGACGCTCGCGACGAAGCGCACGCTTCTCCTCGAGGTCAAGTTTACGCCTCGGAACCTCTGCCTCGCCGCCGGCGCGATGCGGGAAGCGTCGTAGCTCCGCCTTCGCCTCTCCGTCGATACTGCAACACAGCTGGGCGTGAAGTACGCGATCCTGGGCGGTCTGCGCGAGGTCAACAACGCTTTTTCTCCGAGAAGGGGGCTGGACCCTCTTTCGCTCTTTCCCTCGCGAGTTCCTCCTGTCTGATCACCGTGCTGCCTGGAACATCTCCGTCGTTGCCTCGTCCGCGTCGTTTGATTGCGCTGTCTGCGAGCGAAGCCACCCCGTCGTCGTCGTTCGCTCGTCCTCGTTGTCCTTTTCCTTTACACTTCCGCTCACTCCGGCTCGCCTGGGACGGCGCACACGATCCCGCTGCAGATCGCTCTAGCGCTCTGCTGACAGGCCAAGCGAGCCCGAACGGGGTCCGCTTAGAATTCGAGACCCTTCCCTCCCGCCTCGACACCGCGCTCATCTGCTCTCTTTGCGCGCGGAGTGTGCTGCAGTGGGCTGTAGGACGACAGCAGAGGCGCGCGAGTACACCTACCCAGCGTACGTCCGTCCTCGTTCGCTCGTTCGCTTGTTCGCGGCAGTGCGGGGCGAGAGATGGGATCTTGCTTGTTCACGGCTCAAGCTGACTCGTTCGCCTGCAGAAGAGCCTCACCGCACCCTCAGTTCGCACACACAGCAGCCCCGACCGTCGCAGCCGTCGTCGCCAGTCCCCTTGCTCGCCCCCACCTCCTCGCCGATCTATTCCAACTCTCCCCCAACCAGCAGCCACTCCGTTCGCTTGTTTGACAGCTTGTGAGGCTCACACGGACGCTCGTAATCGGATCCGAGACGCTGGGAAAGACCGGACGGACGCTGCGAAAGGCAGACGACTCGTATCCTCGGGCGTACGTCCGCTGTTGTCGATCCCGCTCGAGGCCTTCGTTCCCGCCAGAGACGAGGTGGGCACGCTCTTACACTCCTTACGGGTTACGGGAGCGCTGACGGGTCAGGCCCCTTCCCCCCGCAGCCAAGGATGTCGTCCCCTCCCGCCCCCGCTCCCTTTACCGACTCGCCAGTCTCCACAGACTCGGACTCGCCTCCTGCTCCTCCCAAGCTCTCGCCTGACGTCGTCGCATCCCTCCAACTCGACCTCTCCTGGCTCGACCTGCGCACTCCCCCCTCTCACCCCTCAACATCTGCGTCCGCCTCCGCCTCCGCCTCCGAATCAGGTCGCGCAACACCGCTTGCGACGCTCGCAGCGAGACGTATCACGACGCAGTTGCAGCGTCCGCCGTTGCCGAGGCGGAGGAGTAAGAGTCTGGACGACGTCAAGTCGCATGCGTCTAGCTCGGGTGCCTCGACGCCGGAAGAGTGGTGGAGGAAGATGGGTATGAGCGGACAAAGCGGGAGCGGAGGGGCGAGCGAGTCGAGCAGTGTGTTGCGGTTGGATATGGCGGCGCTCCAGAGGGCGCGGGGAGGACTCGAGGTCCCGCCCTCCGCGACTTCGGCCTCCTCTCGCACGGCAAGCGTGGCTCCTTCGGTCGTTGCGTCCACCGTCGTGGGCAATGGATCAGACCAGGTCGCGCAGCCGACACGGCGGAGGCGCTCAAAGGCCGAAGACGAGGCCGAGGAAGACCGGCTTGCGGAATGGGTGCGAAGGGCATCGAATTCGTCTGCCTCGTCGACAGGCCCCTCCACCGCACCAGTCGCAGCCGCGCCTTCACCGCGTATCGGCACACCCGGCAGGGTCGCGCTCCCACCTCGTCAGCCGTACGCACCGGTCCTCCCTTCCCCGCTCTCGACCTGCTCGTACACGTCCGAAGACGACGCCCGCGAGGATGACGACGGCTTCCCCTTCCCCTCCACGCCTCATCCGAGTACCTCGACGCCAACGACTGCGTCGACCACCCAGTCTGAATCGTCGTCGCCTGCGGCAGAGGCGAAGCCGCCAACTTCGACGCCTCGCAAGTCGCCTCAGCTGAGGCGTCGACCGTCGAACGCTGCGAGGCCGAGCTATCACTCGTACCCGTCCGCTTCGACAGTCACCTCGTCCACCGCCACGGCCGTCAGCACGCCCGCTGGTCAACCCGGTCCTCCCTCCGCTTCCTCCTCCCCCTCTTCCGTCCTCAACCGCGTCTCAGCATGCTCGCGCGAAGCACCTCTCCTCGCTCGCTCAGCGACAGACCCGCTTCCTCCGCCTTCGACCGCCTCCGCGCCTTCTCCTCCGGTCTCCGCCTCTGCGGTCCACGCAATCGCCACTCTCCCTTCCTCCGCTTCGACCCGCGCCCGCTCCCACACACGCGGTACATCCGTCTCCTCCACCTCGCAACGTCCGCCTCTCACACCTCCCGAATCACTCTCCATCTCGCCGCACCTCTACGCTGCTTCGGCAGCCGAACTCGCATGGCACGATGTACTCAATGCTCGCTTCGGCGCACTCGCAGTTTCCGATCTGCGCTTCCCACAGTCGTTCACCGGCGGGTCGGGGTCAACAGGTGCAGGCCGTGCGGAAGGCCCGAACGGCGGAAATGCCACGACGCCGGACCAGGACTCGGGCAGGCGAGGAGGCTGGTGTGGGAACGAGTTGATGGGAAATGCGGCGGCGGGTGGGTTTGCGACGAGCACGAAGGAGCACCTGGCGGGCATGTTGGACGAGTTTGTCGGGCTTGTGCCGCTTGATGAGGGAGAGGAGACGCTGCATATCGTCGAGTATGGCGCGCTCAACTCGAGGTGCGTTCGCGCTCGTCTCGCGTAACACACACTCATTCGTACTGACGCTGGGGCGCACACAGGTCCGCCGGCCTCGTCCCACCCGTCATCGCGCACTTCGCCAACCGCGAACTGCACTCGAACACGTCCGTCGCGTCCTCCGGCGACCCCGACGAACTCCTCAACTTCCAAGTCACCCACGTCGACAAACCCACCGCCGACTTCCGCTGCCTGACTGAAGCGCTCGATGGCCGCCCCGACTCGTACCTCCGCAAGCAAGCGGATGGGCCAGACGTCGACCTTGATGGAAGGGTGTTCTCAACGTTTGCGGCGAGGCCCTCCGGTGTCAAGGTGTTACCGAAGAAGACGGTCAGCGTTGGGTTCAGTGCGATGAGTCTGCACTGGCCAACGACCGATCGCAAGTGCGTTCTTCCGCCTCTTCCTCACTCGCTTGGCTCGTGCTGATGAACTTCACTCGCAGGTTCCGCGTCGCCCCCGCTACTCTCGCGCACGGCGAACTCATGGCCTTCCTCTCGGCCCGCGCGAGCGAGTTCAAACCAGGCGGACTGCTCACGCTCGCCTACATCGCCCGCTCCGAAGAAGCAGCGCTCGCCTCGGCCTCGCCTCAGACGTGTTCTCCCGGTGCTGGCGCATCGAACTCGGTCCCCGACAGCCCGGTCGGCAGCCCGCCGTCCCATCGGCCGCTGCTTGAGCAGCGCAGGTCGTCCGAGCCGCACATCCTCGCCTCGCTCGACAATGCTCCCTCCGCCGCAGCACCGGCGCAACCCGCCCCGACCGTTCCGGTGCAAACGGCGACGAAGCGCAAGGACATCTGGGCGCACTTGACCGGCGTCCTTGGCAAGGCGATCCAGCGTCTCGTCAGCACGAACTTGCTCAAGCCTCAGATCGCTCGCCAACTCCTCGGTGAGTCGGCCGGTAGCAGTTATCGAGACCAGGCGCTGACTTGCCATCGTTTCGCAGCTCTCCCTCTTCACCCTCGCACGCCCCGCCAGACCAACGCCTGCCTCCGCGCCTCGGCCCACTCCTGGGACACGCTCAAGACCGAGATCGTCACCATCTCTCACCCAGCCTGGAAAGGCGTCGAGCACGGCACGGTCAGCATCGAGAGCTGGGCCGACTACACGATCCAGCTGCTCAAGATCTTCTGGGAGGACGAGATGAGGGGTATCTTGAGGGAGGTGCTTGGGTCGAGGAGCGCTTGCGAGTGGACGCTTGAATCGTTGTGGACGTTTGCGAAGGTGCGCCGAGCTGCTTCTACGTCTCGCGCTTCGATAGTAGCTAACGCTTGACTTGTTACGCTTGCAGGAGAAGGTTGAGGAGCAGCCGCCTCACCCACTCGAGCTCGAGGTCCAGCTCATCGCGCTGCGCCGTCGCAACCGCCCGCCCTCCGTCCCGACTTCGCCAGTCGGCGGGCAGGCACCTGCGCTTCCAGGCAAGCTGGGCGTCGAGCATGAGGCGGTTCGACCGGCATCGAGGGTGGACGTCATGGCATGAGGAGGACGGATTGGAGCGCTTGCTGTGTTCGCTTGCTGTGTTGGAGGTGGTGGCTGTCACTCGTTGTTGTACGATCTGCTTCTCTCGCATCACTACCCTCTTCTCTCGCATCACATCCTCCATCGCCTGCAATGCGCCTCACATACTATCGCCTCATCTACGCAAACCCGAAGAGAGCTCTCAGCCACTCCACCAGTCTCTCCCAGAGGGTTCCCTTCCACCCTTCCGCCCGCTCTTGTCTCCCGATCCGCAGCGCGCCATGTCCTACCTTCGTTTCGCCCGCCTCGCCCGCCTCGAGCGTCGCAGGCGTCTTCTGCGCCGATGAAGGGAAACGCGCGTTCTTGCGCACGGGGGAGGTGATAAAATCCGGGAAGAGGCGGCAGAGCGAGCGCAGTTCGGGGTTGGTGAGATACGACGGGAGGGTGAAGGTGCGGAATTGAGGCGGGACGACAGGTGAAGGGAGAGGGCGGTTTGCGGAGGTCGAGATGCGGGGAGAAGGGAGCGAAGGCGCGGCCGGACCAGCGGCGCTGAGCAGAGGAGCGGAGGCGGAGGGAGCGTCGGGCGAGGGAGAGACGGGCGAAAGAGGCGCGGCGGGAGGTGCGAGGTCGGCCTGGCGCTTCTGTTGCGCCGCGAGTTTGGCGGCTTTTTCGTCTGCGTCGAGAAAGGGATCGCTGCCTGAGCGGTTTCGGATACTGCCTCGGTGCGGCGGGACAGGCGGAGGTTGTTTCCGGTGAGGAACGCCGGAAGTGGATGGCGAGGAGGCAGAGGCGTGGTGGTCGAAGATGACTGGCGCAACAACTGGGTCACCGTGGTGTACGGACGAGGTCTCGGATGCGGTCGAGTCGAAGTAGGAGGTGCGGGCCGAGTCGGTGTGCGAAGGCTCTCTGATCCGCTCAGTCATGCCGAGGACCTGCGAGACGGAGCTTCAGTGTGCTGAGCGGCGGACAAGCGAACGATACGCACGCCTTTCAGCGCTTCGACGGCGTCCTTTGCCCAAGCTTCGCCGCTGCCGCCCTCTGTAAAGACCGCAACGTCCACGTCCCACTCTACGCACTTTCCGCCCGCGCCGCCTTTCCTCCCGTCCATCGCTTGCAGCCACATCGCCCCGAACAACGCCTTGAAGAACGTATGCGTTCCAGGCAGGCCATTTGCGCAGTTCGAATCGACGAACTCGCGCAACTTTTGCCGGCGGATCTTGCGAGCTGCCGATGAGCGCAGGGCTGCGACGGATTCGCTCGCTCGCGAGATCCCGAGCTCCTCCTTGATAGTCGAATCGGGCAGAGTGGACGAGAGGAGCGTCTCGATCTCGTGCCGTCGCCGGATCTCGTTGTCGCGGTGAAAGGCAGAGCGAACGGCGGCCATCGTACGGGCGTAGGCGGTTCGGTAAGGCGCGGGAAGCTTTTGCAAGACGGTGTCGACTTGCTTGGCTGCAGTGCGTGGTCCATTGTCAGCACGGGGAACTTACGAAGGGAAGGTCCGGCAGAACCCACCTGCGTTCGCGTCTTTCTCGTAGTACAACCTCCGACACAGCTCCGCAAACTTCCGCAGCTCCTCCTCGTCCGGTTCCTCCCTCACACTTTGCGCATGAGGGATAGACTGCCTCGTCGCCGTCCTGCTGAGGGTCGGCGAGCCGGACGAGCGTCGACGAGCGGGCGGTGGCCGTCCGTTCCCCGCTTGCACGTATGTGCCAGACGTCCGCGTCTCGAAAGACGGTCTTCGCGGGCTCGTAGCATCCACGAGAGGCGAGTGCGGCGGCGAGGAGAGGGGGTCAGAGGGGGGCGGTGCAGGGGACATGGCGAGTTGAGGCTTCTTGAGCGTGTTGGCGGGTTGTGGCGAGCGTGGGTGGCTTTCAAGTTGCGTGCGGGAGGCGCCGACACGGTCTGTGAGGCTTCACAGGTCGTCAGCGATCCCACTTCGCCGGATGAAGCGATTGAAAGCGAGGAGGCGAGAGAGCAAGACTCACGGGTCTATGGGGTTCCGCGGCTACACAGAGGGACGGAATTAGCAAAACAAAGATCAGACCGAAGCCGGGCAAGCGATCTAGCGAGGACGGAGCGAAACGAGCGAAGGGAAGGAGGTCAAAGAGGCGAGGCGACGACTTCGTCGTTCTCAGACTCATTCTCGAGTTTGGCGACTCGCGACGCGTGCTTGACAGTTATTGCAGCACCCGGCGCGCTCAGTCGAATGGAATGCGCCGCACCGCCGGGTTCGACCCACGTCCAAGTCCTGCCGCTCCGCCCTTCCCTCCGTTCTGTGCCATCTGCGACGCCGCAATCGCGCTCGGAATCGGGATGTTGCAGCAGTCGCCGAAACCCTCGCCGCGAACGTGTAACAAGCCAGTCGAGTCGACGTGGACGTCCGGTTCCTCGCGGTGTGTCTCGAGTTCGGGCGTGGGCGGCCATGGGAGGAGAGAGCCGAAGAGAAAGTGTTGGACGACTGGGAGCTTGGCGAGCACTTCGGCACGGTACATCTTGAGCATGCCGCTGTTGACCTTTTCCCACGTCTTGACGCCGGAGATGTCGTCAAGCATCGGAGAGTGCCACCGCAGGGAAGCGGTTTTGATCTGCAGGGCCGACAGTCAGCAGTAAGTCCAAGCAAAGGAGCCGGCGTACGCACCGAGTTGATGTAGCGAATGTACGAGAGGTACATGTAATCCTTGGAGAACTCCTCGAGGATCTCGTCGTCATGAATCGCCTTCGGTCGCAGGTACTTGTGCGTCCGCAACTGAGCCGAGCCGAAGACTGCGCACTACGCGTCAGCGCTCTAGAATTCGCGAGGAAATGAGCGGAACTGACTGAAGACGGCAAAGTGGTAGTCATCGAGGCCTTGCGCGCCGTGTGAGCCCGCCGGTTCGAGCCAGTAGCCCGTTTGAAGCAGCCGGGCTATGCGCATGTACCTGCATAGGATTTGTGAGCGGGAAGAGCAGTCGGGCGAGGCAGGCTACGCACTTCCAGAACACCCTGATCACGACCGCCGTACGGTCCTCCTTCTTCAGCACGCCCAGCTTCTGCAAGCACAGCCTGCGAACGATCGCCAGGTCAGTGTGCACCTCAAAAACCGGTCACACCGGACTCGCAGCCAGCACAAGAAGTTCAGCTCCATCCCGCTTCCATAGTCGATCCGCGTCCGGTTCCCCCAGCACTCGCAGAAGTACACGCTTAGCTCCGTCGTGTACGCCAAATTGAGTCCTGGTATCCGACTGTGCAGCGCGGCGGCGCGCTAGATGTTTGTCAAGGTCAGCAGGACGTCCCGAACGAGCGAGGAGGGAGAACTCACGGAGGCGACCTTGTCGTAGAAGTCGCGGAAAGCGGGGTTGCCGAATCGCGAGTTGCCGTTGTCTACGGGCGGGGTGGCGTTGTATATCCCCTCCACCTCTTCCAGGACAGCGAGAACCGCTTCAACGGCCTGTCATCAGTTGACCGGGGGAAGTGGTGAGTAACAGGACGACCACGGCTCCAGGGAAGTGCGCACCTCGCTCGCAGGCACCTCATCGGTCAGCTTGATACCGACGGCCGCCTCGTTCAGCTGCTCGACGAACGCGACGACCTCGTCGTGCGTCTCGCTCGTGAGCCAGGCTTCGAGGTGCGCCTTGCTGACGACGCGCTTGGTCGGGACGACAGGTCCCGTCGGTGCGTCTGTAGCCATCGTAGCGAGCGTACGGGAGTGTCTCTGGAGCGAAGGAAGCGAGACAGCGAGCAAGTCGTGAGCGGGAGGAGGCCAACCTGCGCAGAGGGCTGTCGACTCGCCTCGTC